TAATAATATATTATTATCTTTAAAGACTACCTTATAGGCTATATATTAATAATTAAATAATAAGAATATATAATATTCTAATTATTATTATTATAACACATATACTTTTTCATATTTTATATTCAATTATAAAGTTCTTTTATTATTTAATTATATAGCTTTATATTCTTTAATAACTTATTTTTATAGATTATACTATTATTATTATTATTAAACTTGAAGTATTTAATAGCTTTTATAAAAAGTACTTAATTACTCTTTATTTTATTAATCTTATTCTTAACTTTATTATAATATTTATAAAAAGTCCTTTTTAACATTATTTATATTTAAATATTTATTAATGATATTTTTAATTTTATTAATCTAGATAATAAATTTATATTTAACTTTATTCATAAGGCTTTATATAGGTTTTAATATAAAAATTAATAATATTATAGCTCCTAATAAGATCTTAAATAACCTCTTTAATTATTAAATAATAAATATTTATTTCCTTAATATTTACTAAGATAATATAATAAAAACTATCTATATATATTTATAATAATATAAATATCTTAATCTTATTCTAGATATTCTTATTAATTAATAGTATTGACTAGAGTTTTATATATTATAACATATGTTGGAGGTGTCTGCCTAGTTAGGCTTAGCGCCATCCTGCTTGCCTTTTCTCTCTCGCCTGCGCGCATCCTAGATAGCATCCATCCATCCATCATCATTCCGCTGAGCTCATCCCGGGGCATCGCCCCAACATTTTATTATTTATTCTAGAAATAAAAGAAATTTTATAATTTTCTTTCTAATTATATATATTTAATCATAAAGATAAAAGGTCATAAAGATAATCTCTAAAATAAACTTTATTATAAATAAGCTATTATATATAAAAACTTATTATCCTTAGAATTAATAAAGATAGATTCTTTAAGAAGTTTATTAAATACTATTTTAGAATAATTAATGAATTAAAGATTATAAATAATAATATAAACTATATTAAAGATAAATAAAAAAAATATATTTATTAATTTAAGTTAATAATAAAATATTAACTTTAATTATTAAGTATATTATTAATTTAATAATGAGAAAATAAAATGGAAAAATTTTTATTTTATATATAACTTAATAAATTATAAGATTAAGACTTATTTTAAATAAAAGATTATTAAAATAAAGCTTATTTAAAAATAAAGAAGCTAAAAGACTAAAAAATAATTTATAAAGCTAATAGAAGATTTAGCTTAAAAAAGTCTTCTTCTTAAATAAAATAAAGATTAATATAAGAGAATTAGACTAATTTAAATTAATTTAAGAATAACTCTTTATTATAATTAGTTAATTATTATATTAGTAGATATAGTAATAAAAAAAGTATTCTTATTAATATATAAAAAATAAAGAATATAGCTTAATTCTTTAATAACCTCTTATACCCCTTATTTAAACTAATATATATTAGAGGATTTAATAGTTAATCTAGGACCTAATTATCTATATTATTATTTTATATTTATAAATAAACAGATATTAATTTCTAAATAAATTAATACTTATTCTTAACTTAGGACACTATAATATTATTTTAAATAATATTACAATAAAAAAGAGGCTCCTTAAAATATAATAAACTGTCAGGCAACGGATGGCCTGGAGAAAGCGGAAGAGATGTGTAGATAGATGATGGTGGTGAAGCTATCTAGGATGCGCGCAGGCGAGAGAGAAAAGGCAAGCAGGATGGCGCTAGGCCTAACTAGGCAGACACCTCCAACATAAACTAATAATAATTAATATTACTATTATTAAGAATATTAGGTTTTTATTAATATATAAAGAAGAAGGATTTAGAGATTTTTATTATTAATCTAATAAAAATGAAATAAATTATTAAGGAAAAATAATAAGATTAATAAGTCTTCTAGGCTTAAAGAGTAATATTTATTATATTTATTAAAATAAAATAATTAAATAAAAAAATATCTTAATTTATCTTGCAAGAGTATTATAATTTCTTAAATATCTTTTTTTTTAAAAAAAGTTAAATAATTTATTATCTTATCAAAAAATATATAATTATAAGATCTAATTAAAACTTAATATATTTTTAGAGAAGACTTAAATAAAGGGATTAAAATAGAGCTTATAAAAATAGATATAATTATTTCTTAAGTTTTATAATTTTTATTAAGATTTATTAAAAATTATAATTATATAATATAATTATTAATTCTTTTTTTAATTCTTTAAATACTTATTTATAATCCTTATTCTAGTTAAATAAGAGATCCTTCTTAATGAAGACTATTAATTAATAAAGATATTTATTTTAAGTTATTATAACCTAAAGCTTCTTATGAAAATTAAAATAAATATATTAAATGATATAATAGCTAAAGTACCTTTATAGAGATTTAAAGATAAACTTTAACATTTTATTATATTTTTTTAAAAGATAATATTATTTATTACTAGAATATAATTATAAGATCTATAATAAGAAATTATTTATAATTATTTAAGTTTTAAAAAAATAATAAGTAGCGCTAAAAAAGCTATGAAAAATAAATATTTTAATATATTCTTAAATTATTAACTTAAAATAATATTAAATATTATAATATTAAATAATAAGAATTTAAATAATTTAATAATTAATAGCTTAGTCTCTAATGATAAAATACTAAATAAATTATTAATATTAAATAAAAATAATAATAAAATAGTTTAAATAACTCTTTTAGATTAAGATATCTATATTTTTAATAAGCTACTTTAAAAGAATTCTATAATAATCTTTTTATAGATATAATATAAAAAGACTAAAATAAGAGAGATACTATAAATAATATAGAAGAGACTACTTTTATATTAAGATAAGTTAATAATTTTAAAGAAGAGTAACTTAAGGATATAATTATTAAATACAATTTATTAATAACTATTAATTCTTTATTTTTAATAAAATCAGATAAGAAAGCTTTTATAAAACTAATATTATTAACTTAATTAAAGAAATAATATATATTAATATATTAAAAATTATTTTATTTATTATTATTTAAAAATTCTTAAAGATTAGATATTAAGACTTCTTTAATCCTTATTTACTTTAAAATAATTATAATCATATATCTTAATAAATTATTAATCTTTTTTAAAAAATAATAACTTAAAGGATATTATTATCTTAATAATTATAAATAAATTAAATAAAAAGACTATTTTTATTTCTTACTTTAAAATAAATAAAATATAGAAATAAATAGAATAATTTATTAAATATATATATTAATATTATAGAGCCTCTAATTTATAATATTTAATAAAGGCTTATAAATTATTATTAAATGTTAATAAAAGGTTTATTATATTCTAGAGATAAAGTTTATTAATAATAATATTTATATATAAATAATTAATTAAATAAAGATTATTAACTGTTGGAGGTGTCTGCCTAGTTAGGCTTAGCGCCATCCTGCTTGCCTTTTCTCTCTCGCCCACGCGCATCCTAGATAGCTTCACCATCATCTATCTACATATATCTCTTCTGCTTTCTCCAGGCCATCCGTGCCTGACATAAGATTATTTAATTATTTAGATACCTTAAGTAGGCTATAGTAAATAAGGATACTATTCCTATTTTAATTTAGTATAGAAAAGAGGAGAGAGATATTAAATATATTTTATAATATATCTCTCTCTTCTCCCCTCTTTCCCCTCCTTATTTAAATATTATAGTATTAAAGCTACTAATTGATTATTTATTTATTTAGGGTCATTATACTCTTAAGTATTCTAAGTTTTAATAATTCTTATATAAAATTAAACTACTTTCCTTCACATATATATATTCAATTTTAAATTTTTTCATATTCTTATTATAGCATTTCTTGGTTCTTAAATATTCATTAACATTAAATCAAAATCAATATTCATTTAATTTAACTAATTATAAAATTAACCATAATTTCTTAAGGAGCTAGTAAGTAGTACAGTAAATTTAAATTTGTATTAATAATTTAGAAAATCTTTAATGAATTCCTAATAAAGATTTTAAATTATTATAAAGATATTATAAAGATTATAATGAAAAAAGATATAAAGAATCAATCAAGATTAAAATTCATAAAATTATAATATTTTTAGCTACTTCTTATATATAAACAACAAAGCTTCTCTAAGAAACTCAAAAATAACAGATTCTTTACTTAAAATAAATATAAAAAAGTATTTTTTAATTATAAGTACTTAAGTTATTAACATAAAAATATATTAATAATAAGACTAATAATAAAATATTTGAATAAGAACTATAATATCTATAAATAGGTTATATAGAAATTAAAGATAAATTACTTAATAATTCCTTTAAAATAAATAATTACAATTTTATTTATATTTAACCCTATCTTATTTCATATCACCCTTCATCATTATAACTTCTCTTTATTCTTTATATTTAGCTATAAGTTAAGATTATATCCATTTTTATAGTAATATATAGATCTTAGGAACTTAATATAATATAAATAATATAAAGATATACTAAATTGCTGCTGTGCATTAGGGATATATTAATGTTATTGGGTTTCTGACAAGTTAGATAGAGATTAAGATCCATAAAGTTCACTTTTTATTTATACTTTTCACTTCAAAAATATTTGAATCTTTTAGAATGATGTTTTTACCAGTAAACAATCCTTATCCAAAAATCAATAATCAACTATCCTGAAATATAGTTTAAATATTATCTTAAATTAATAAAAGATTATCAATGAATAATATACTATCAATAGGTTTGTATTTAGTAATAGATTTATTTCATCAAGTAGCACTTCCTTGAAAATACTACTATTACAGTATAATAATATAAACGTGGAAGAGAGAATGGTAGTAGCTATCTAGGATGGATGATGTGAGGCGTAGCTAAGGGGAGGAGCGGATACAGGAGCCCTCCTCTGATCACGCACTACTACCCCACTAAACTTATTAACTATTCAGTCCCTTAAGCTATTATTAAGTAATAGCAGCAGGCTACATAAAAACCCTTTAATAAGATTTAAATACTTTCCCTAATATGCAATCTCTTTTTAAACGGCCACCATGGGCAGTTCAGACACAAGAAGATGCGACACCTGATTTTTACCGGCGATCTCAACATACCTATACAGATATCATTGCTGCCAATAGGGATACACGAGTAAAAAACCCTAGGCATACTAACACAATTGAATCACAAGATAACAAAACGATAAAACGCTGCCGGGTCTCTAAAGAAAACTCGAGTTCACAATGTCACAGTCCACCCCTTTCCATCACATATGACACCCCTCAAAGGCAGGATATTTGCTTTAAGCCACAATGCCCTGTCTCAGAGCCACCTCAAATATCAACACTCTCTCTACCCCAATCAAAAGCATTAGGTACAGGCGATTCATTACCTTCTGCTCATATTCTTTCAAGTACAACTCCATCCAATGGTGATATTGTCCATGGAATCGCTACTCATAAAACAAAGAAGTTTTCTGAATCCGGCCACGATCTTTTTCTTGGTTCTAGCACTGACCAGAACTCATGCGCACCGAATCAATCAGGATTAAAACAGGAATTCGAACATGTACAGCAAGATGGCACTGTTCAAGTACTTGTAACCTCGGAAATTCCCGAGACAAAGCCATTGATCGTGCATCGCAAGATTTCGCAGAGCTTCCGAGAGGTTCGCCTCGCCTGGTGTAAACGCCAAAATCTCACAGGTCTTGAAAAATCCGTATTCCTCACTTGGAAAGGCAGGAGGATCTTCGATGTGACAACATCCAGAAGCTTGGGTATTAAAACCCCGGCTGCAGAAGATGTAATTGGCGATGCTGGCAATTTTCGTATCCATGTGGAAGCGGTTGCAGAAGATTCTATCCCATCTCAAGCCAACAGTGGGATAAGTGCTCCTAATATCAGTCCTACATCTAAATCTCACTGCCAGTCCAGTCAAACAAGCGATATCATCAGAATTACGTTGAAATGCCTAGACTCTGGACACTACAAAATAAAGGCCTCGAGCAAGGCAAGTATATCTCGGATTATTTCATCCTTTAGAGAAGCAAAACATCTTGCGCAGGATCAACAAGTACACCTCTTCTTCGACGGAGATCGCCTCGACCCTGGATCTCGTTTGGGTGACTATGACATCGCGGATCTTGACATGATAGATGTTTGCCTCAAGTAAATACTTCATTTCCTAGGATGTGGCAATCCTAGTCCATGCTGTCTCTAGTGCAAACTCTTTGTTCTTTCTGGGATACTTAATACCATATCTGCTACGATAATTACTTATATCATTGAGAATCCTTTCACCTAGCACTATAGTTAGCGTAGTAAATACGACGGCTTAGGGAGTTGACAAGCCGGCTTCTTTCGTGGTATTTTGCGCTTCCCTTGCTGTTTCCTGCCATTTCAGTCCCCACAGCCTTTCCATTTTATTTCGTTGTTCTGCCCCTGATCTCCGCCTATGTTTGCCAGTTGACCTCCATATTATTATTACAAGAGTAAGCAGGTTGTGAGTGGAAGTCCGTAGGTCCAAATCAGCTGCTAAGCAATTTAGACATCCACCTTAGAATATAATTAAGCAGCCCTGCAATAGCTAGCCTGCGAGGGGATAACCAGGGCCTTATATCTTTAATTGGCATACAAGTGATTCCCCTGTGACTAACATGGCCACGCTGGTCTTATGGTACACTAATTGGGCTTGGTCTATCTCATATGGGAGTAACTTGGAGTTTCCTACGTAGTACGAAGGATTCTATTCGGATAAAGTAATACCTCTACTGTATAAAGACTTTTTGGAATGGTTTGGTTGAGAGGCAGTAATTAAACTGAGTAACTACCTAATAACTAATGGAGCAGGCTTTTCGGTTCTTACTAATCTACTTCCCTTGTTCCTAGCTTGACCGGTGTCTGTCAGGGAACCGCACCGAATATTGGCTGCTTTTCCTCAGATATGAAACCCGTCCTTTTCATGATTTGATATTTTTGATCTGATCTGATAGTCTACCTCGGCTTTTTCCACCGCGTAGAGCGATTTGGGCCTCCTTTTCCTATAATTTCCGCCACTATCCCAAGTTATGGAAAACGGTACCGCATCTGACGGTAAAGACCCGTCTATGTTTCTCAGTGAGACAATTGGTTCCCAAATCACTGTTAAATTAAATTCTGGTGTTGTTTATAAGGGTTTGTTCTTCTATTTTTATAATTACTATTGGCGAACTAAAGCGCTGATTTCTCATACAGGTGAACTGCAGTCTGTTGATGGATACATGAATATCGCCCTAGAGAAAACTGAGGAGTATGTCAATGGAAAACTGAGGAGAAGCTATGGAGATGCATTTGTTAGAGGCAATAATGGTATGTCAGTACATCATTATTTATCTAACTATATCTAATATTCTAAATCTGCAGTTCTGTATATCTCATCATCCTAAGTGAGAAACTAAATGCTCACTTACCCTAATGATTCTATGTCTCTTTAATCTATGCATTCTCCAATTTAGGTGCTAAATGATGGTGTCTCTATGTTCAGCAGATCAAGCTCTTTTTCTTCTATCCAGTAGGTCATAGGTTCCATTTTCTTGGTTAATAATATCTAGATCAGATAGTGCAGGTGGTTCCCTTCTCTTTATATCCCCCATTTATATAATGTTGAATTCCTTTGAATATAATCGGTCACACAGAATTGAATAACATTTAATGCCCTTTTTAGGTACTGGTCATCCTTTATAGGCTATAGGTCATCATTCATAGATAAAGGAACTTATAACTAGTAAAAATAAAGTATTCTATAAAAATTTATAGATGACACTGATACTGGTAACTACTGGAGAATACACTAAGACACATATAGCTATTTCTAGCACCCTATACCTCAGGATTCCTCTTTGTCTTCTGCATTTCGCCACTTCTCTGCTGTCATTATTCAGAATTAACCAATTAACCGAACAGTGGACAGCTATTGGGTGAGGGGTTCCACCTCTATAAACCATGCATGCATCTACCCCTCTAAAGAGATGATACGGAGTAATACTTCCTTTTACGACACGAGGCTACAACTATATTAGTTATCAGCAGAGATAGATTTTTTCCCTTCTCTCTCTCTCATACGGTAAGTCTACAAACAGATAAATTGGTCAGACTGAATTGATGTATGGTGATCCCAACTAATTACTTAGCTTTCTCATCCATCGAAATCAAAAATATTTTTTTCAAAGATTTACAGTTATCGAATTCAGAATGAGCCTACAAGCTATTAAATACTCGAATGGGCAGCTCCATATCTTAGATCAACTGAAATTACCCTTTGTGGAGGAGTATATTCCAATCAGGACAGCCGAAGAAGGATGGCATGCAATCAAGGAGATGCAAGTGAGGGGCGCTCCAGCTATCGCTATAGTTGCTGCATTATCACTTGCATCTGAACTTTCGAAACTTCTCACAGATGATGCAATAACGACTAATGCTGTCGAGGTTCAAAATTTTATTGTGGGAAAGTTACACTATCTCATTACGAGCAGACCAACTGCTGTCAACCTAAGTGATGCCTGCCGGAAATTGGAAATTTCGGTATCAGGAGAAGCAAATCGACATAATGCAACCGGCCAAAGCGTGGCTCTGGTTTTTATTCGAACAGCGGAAAGTATGTTGGCGCAAGACCTAGAAGACAATAAAAGTATCGGAAACCACGGTGCCGAATGGATCATAAAACATGCGCTGTGGTCTGGAGAGTCACAAGCGACGGTTTTGACACATTGCAACACTGGGTAGGTCGCTAATCATAGTTTGCTGGAGACTTGCTAAGACAAACGTTGGAAAATTAGGTCCCTCGCAACATCTGGCTATGGGACAGCATTGGGCGTAATACGGTCGTTAGCGGAGAGTGACACTCTCCGCCACGTCTTCTGTACCGAAACAAGGCCCTACAACCAAGGTTCTCGTTTGACTGCGTTTGAGCTAGTTCATGACCATATTCCCGCCACCTTGATCACGGATTCGATGGCAGCAGCTCTACTTGCAAAGGAGGATTCGAAAATAAGCGCGATCGTGGTTGGCGCGGACAGGGTAGCTGCCAACGGAGACACAGCCAACAAAATTGGAACATACAGCCTAGCTGTCCTGGCCAAGTATCATCAAGTGAAATTTCTCGTTGCAGCCCCACGCACAACGATTGACCTCGAAACAAAATCAGGCAAGGATATCATAATTGAAGAACGCTCAGGCTCGGAAGTCACTATGGTCAGAGGCCCTTGTGCAAATAAAGGCGATATCAAAGAAACAAACGTCGAAACCATAAGGATTGCAGCAGATGGGATTAATGTCTGGAATCCTGCATTTGATGTCACACCTGCAACACTGATTGATGGTATCATCACTGAAGTTGGTGTTGTGGAGAAAAGCGACGACGGAACTTTTCACTTAGATTCTATATTCGAGAGCTCTTCTCCTGTTTGATCTGGCTGCGATGAACCTTGCTGTACATTCTCTTTTTTGATCCTTTCTTGCATATCCTCATCTCGAGTAGACTGCTCGAAGAATGACAACAACTCATTGATCTTGCCCTCTAGCCGATCAAGGTTTTTCTCCATTGCTAATGCCGTATTTTCCCCGCTTGATAATGGTGTTAGTTACGAATGTTGGCTGGTGATGTGGTCTTTCAAGTTGGCAATTACCTGGTGATGTCCTGGAGCGCCTGTGGCAAAGTATAGGTCAGTATAGGCCATTAAAGTCTATGTTAGATAACCAACGTGCCCTGGAATAAAAAAAAGTAAATGAACTTACTTTAGCGAATTCCAACCGAGACGGTATGTTTTCAGACATTTTGCTTGGATAGGAAAGCCAGGTACTACTCCGTAGATACCTGATGATGAGAACTTAGAAGGGAAGGTTGAAGTCTTTTCCGTCCCTTAGGTAAGGTATGTACGGACTACGGAGTGAGTACCTGCCTAACTAACTACATGAAGGCTACCGAAGATACATACCTAGGTAGTAGTTACATATTGGCATTCTCTCCAGCCTCGTCCCACCTGTAATTGAATACATGATTTTTATGTAACTCAAGCTATACTTCTAGTGTTATTGTAAATTCTGACTTTTATCTTTGCCACAATATATTTTCTTCAAAATATATCATTGGTTTAAACACTGCCGCGTTCAATGATATCATTGTCCTTATACAGACCATAAAGTCGACCTAGCAGCAGTAACATATTATTTTGTTGCAGAAGTCTTGCCCAATTTTTCGAAAGGAGCCCCAAAATCTTGATTTTCTTGGCTTTTGGAGGGAGATGGTTGGTTATGTATACTCCGTACACTCTATAACTATAGGGGCTCCGGATCTTTTTAACACCTGTCATTCTCGCGAACCGGCAATATAATTGATTAAACCTCAGCCTCGACCCAGCAAGGAAAGCTAATCATTTCAAAACCCCCATGTGCATAGAAAACAGCAGCTTCTAATATAACTAGTGGCTCTTGTACACTGATTGTCTCTTAATCATTACAACCTAAGCGCTATACCTCCCTGTGATAGCTCTAGAGTCAGCGGGCTGAACTACACACCCTTGATTGCTCGAACAACATCGCGAACATGGTATGTAACTAACGTAAACTGCGACACCGCCAATGTCCCCAGATCTACTTGCTTAGGATATGTCTTCTAGGCCCAGACACCGCAACAACGGAAGGCTAATGAGAAATATGCAAAACATGAGGCTGCGAAGCGTGGAAAAGGCCAGATCTCGATAAAGCAAAAGCAACACAGCAAATCTCCGGTCTCAACTGGCTGGCTGGGTATGTGATGCTATTTACTAATAACCACGTACTGTTAAACTAAGAACTTAATTAGTTATCCTTGCCTTCGTCGTGTGCGGCGGTCTTATCTTCGAGCTCTTGAGGATAGTCCCTGAATTATGGTCAGCTGTGGGATCAATGTTTGGCCGTTTGACTGCATAGTCTGTCCCTTTTTTTACCCCCGGACCTCTCTATCTATGTAAATTAAAGCTGCGGCATAAACACCGCAAACCTGTTAAGATAGTTAAGGGAACACTGAGGCTATTTCCCCCCACCTATCTATCTATTTCCAGTCAGACTTGAGCATTCCTCCCTCACCACGCAAGGTTAGATTTTGTTATTGGGCTTGGGTTTCGAGATAAGGTCTTGCAAAGCACCGCCTTGTAACAAAGCAACGTGCAGTACTTATCTGTTAAAATTATAGCTAGCCGCAATCCTTATACTATATTGACCAGTAAGTAAATAGCCTCTTTCTATAGGTACCTCATTAGTTACTAGAGTCCCTCAGATTCCACCTGCTGCTTCTTCGCCTTCTTTGTGGTTATTGGATTTTTGCGTTTCTTGGTAGGGGAACCTCGTCCATCGCCATTTGCATCTCCATGTGATACAGTACCTGCCTCAAGTACTATGGAGGCAGCTGTTCCAGGTTCTGTCTTTGGCTCCCTTTTTGACTTCTTCTTCTTCTTTTTCACAATTGCCCCGTCCGTGGGAATGCCTTCTAGATGGATACGTTCCGAGCTTCGCTGCATCTCTAAACGAAACTGTTCAATCTTCTGCATTGCCTTGGACATTTCCACACCATCGGTATGTTCCTCTCGAGACTCTGGGCCTTTTTCTAGCGAGAAGTCTTCCAGGCCACTCGAGTCAACCTGAAGTAAAGATCGTTTGACCTTTGGAACCTCAGTAGTAGCTTCGTGGGCAGGATTCTGACCATTGTCATTGGCCCAATCGACGGTCTCCTCCGTAGCAATCTCGAACTTCTTCACGCGGGCTCGAGGCTTTTTCCCATATCCCAGAACATCTGGTGTTACTGCAGATCGTGTCGCTCCACTTTCGATGTTAAGATCGACGATTGGAATAGAATCTACATCCAGCTCCTCGCCATTCGTAGCGCTGGATGCCTTATAAAAGGGTGTGGATCTTCCCGATGACTCGCTATGAAATCCAATGTAGAAGGGATCATCTTTGTTGCGCTCTCGCCGCTCAGCCTTCCGTCTAGCAACTGCAAAAGGCTCGCCTCTGTGACCAGGCTGTAGTTCTTGGTAAGGTACCGTTTGTTGGGTATCGGGATTAATTGACTCAGGTGCCTGTGTCACAGCGATGGCAGCATCCCCAAGATAATAGAAATCCTGGGAAGGCAAGAGATCGTTTTGGTTGAGAGACCATCCGTCATTACTCATGAATAGAGTGAAAAGGTTGTTATTCAATGTTTCGTCTAACGAAAGATAATCCGGAGTTGGAACCTTCTTCTGTGCATTGGCAGCAACAGAATTGAGCTCAAGTCCAGAGAAGAACGTCCGTATGCCAGAGGATAGAAGTGAGGGCGGCTCTTTCGATTCAGTGGAACCTGCACGAATAGCCTCGGCTATCAAGCGAAGAATCTCGAGAAATTCCATGGCCCTTTCTTGTACATCTAGGTCTGGATGCACTGAAAGAGTGTCCAGGAAAGAGAGTACTTGATTCAGCAAAAGTGAGATTTTGCTTTTCCACAGACTATCCCACGATTGGGTATCAACTGTGAGATGAAGGAAGATTTTGGGAATGGCTTGCAGATACAATGACAAAGTTCTTGCGGGTAACTTCGGGCTAGAACTTTCAACTAACGCTCTCAAAGTGGCCTCAGAGTCTGAGAGATATTCAGCGAATTCGCCGACAACCCATGCTAGGGGCCCTAAAACATCGCTGTTGGTGCCGAATCCAGTCGAGCACAATGATGACCTGGCATTCGAGACAATAAGAGATTCTGCTGCCCTAGTCGCTTGTAGTCTGATACTTCTCACCCGGACCGCAATGTTCCGTACTTCGCAGCCAATTCGGGCTGGAATGTCTTCTTTGATATCATCCAATGAATCACCGTTGGTGAATGAAGAATCCATATTGATTATCGGGGCTTCCAGAGGGATTGACTTTATCAATTGTATCAAAACTTCCAAGTACCATTCAAAGTCGCTTAACTCCGAATAGTTGTCTCGTGAGCACATTTCCAGTATACGATGCGCAACTTGAAGTTTGTATTCAATGGGAAGGCGTTGAAACTTTTTGGGATCCTGTAGTTGCGTACTTTCTTGTTGAGTAAAGTTGTGCTCATTGGTAGAACCCAGATGTGTGTGATCATCCAAATCTCCATTGTTCGTAGCACTTATCCCAGAATCAAGTGAGGGAGATCTGCGTATTTGATCAAGGAGACGATTGACAACAAATTGAAGTGTGTCGCTGCTGACCATCCCTTCCAATAACTCCAGTGCCTGGAGTCGGATTGATATATCTGCATCTTCTAAGCAGCCCATTATCACATCCTGTTGCATTGAAACAAATAGAGGATGCGTGACAACGATCCGGTTAAATGCCAGCAGTGCAACATATTTAACTAAATATAATTGTCAATGACTACACATAAATAGAGCAAGGAGTACTCACGATTTGGATCGCCATCAATGACTATCATGCCTCGAAGTTTGTCAACACACAATTTGGCAACTTCATCTCTTTCTCGCAGATTGTCATTTCCATCCAAAATTCCTCCTTGTATTATACCATTTATGCACTCGTAAAGTAAAGACATGGCGCTCGTTGTTTGGATTATATTCGTCAACGGCCGCAAAAGCTTACGCACGAGCCTTGGCTCTAACGGTGTCAGAGACGCGAACTAGAAGCGTTAGAGTAACCTCCCTCTCGAGACTTGGAGAACAAACTGACAAGTTTTATGATCTTGATAGCCATCCAGTTGTTTCCACCATCAACAAGTAGTTCGAATAGCCGGGGCGCTAGAGGAAGGAAATCCTGCGGCCGTCTCCATCCAAACTCACATACAACGTTAATGACTGCCGTGGTGACACTCGTATCTTCATGCTCGTCCATCAACCGTTCCCCGATCTTTGGCCATGCTAGCCTTAGCGCATCGGGGTAAACCAGAGCAATCCTATAGAGGCAAACAACCGCCTTCTTACGAATAGCCGCATTTGTGTGAGAAAGTCGAGGCAGAATGTCCGCAAGCAACGAAGACGCAAGCGATGGTGTGATTATGTGCGAGAGCGCGGCGATTGGGAGGGAAATATTCGGAATGGTTGAAGATATTATGTCCTGTTAACAGATTAGTGGCAGCGAACACCAGAATCAGCTTGATAACCCAAGAACCTTTTTCAGAAGATTTGTAGCTAGCATTAGAACTTCAGTATCAGGCCGAAAGCTCTGGACTGCTCCAAGATACCCAACTCGTTTCTGTAGATATTTACTAGACGACATAACCTCTAGCACATGAAAGGACGCCCAGGACATATCATAGCCAAACATTTCGAGATATATGAGTTTCAAAACCGCGGTTGCTTTCTTATCTACGGAAAATCAGAGCTCTGTTAAAAATGGTATACACAGTGGACGACACGTACCCATGTCCTGTGACTTGATCTCAACTCTACATTCCCGTATGCTGTTTTGGACATATTCTTCCTCTGCCCCCCGATGATTTCGTAGACCTTTTATCAGGTCGTATAGTGATTTTTCGAACCTCAATCATAATTGTTTCTTAGCATATACACTTGAGATGGTTTGGCAAGTTTTCTCACATGTTTATGAAATGGGTGCGCTGATACAAGGCACAACAGGACCTATCTCATCTCAACCAAGCTACCTTTATATGAAAGACAAAGAAGGGAATAATAAGCTGGCAGTAGTGCTGAGGATAATATCTATATCATTCTCTTGGAGTCTGGGGTAGAAATATCACTGTGTAATTATGTTTTAATATTATACCTGAGTCTAATCTGTCGCTGCGATAGTTGCTGACAGTTCCAAAGGTAGCCAATCACTAACATCATTCCCCACCACCAAATGGACCTCGGGAGAGTCATTGTTGCGGATTCACGACTAAGCAGACGGGTGCCAAGAAATATAATAACACTAAATGGGTATTCTTTGGACTCTAGTAGTACTTCATATATTACTATATACTAGGTAAATAGAATATAGCTTAGTTTTACAGTGCTATATGAAAATAATTGAATCAATCAATATTACTAAATAAATTTATATGCCTAGAGAAAACCTGAAGCTACAAGGCCAAATAGACCGTCATGATTATCCGGGAGATCCTCTCGCAGTCCCCTCACCTTCTCATACAGAGCGTACCTAGGTATGTAGTACTGCTAGAACCCTAGTTAGGCACCCGCGGCCAATATCCTTACAATACACTAAATACTTAGTTAATGGCTACCTAGATATTTAGGTAGTTAGCTATATTCAAACTCCATATACGGGCAAGGTGGTTTTAAGATAACTACTGTGGAATTATAGTGGTTTAACTTATAAATATATATCATGTTAGCTATATAGAGTATTTCTATTCTAGAAATCCTTTCAATATATGCTTGATCTGATGGAAATGAACGTACTTGATAACCTATAGGCTTAATTCAGTATGGGAAACGGTCCCTGGTGACTTGACTGGTGGTGGTTCGGCCCAGGTACTTAGTTAACCACTTAGTGTCACATACGAAACTCTGTAACCTGTAACTAACTATCTTCTAAGTCAACAAACTATCTACCTTTGAGTTACTTATCACCAATAATTCGTCCATATCAATACAATTGAGTCCTCTATCGGGCTTTTGATTTGGGAAGCGGTCATCGTTTTCCTCAAACTAATATAAATATGGTTCAGTCTGGCCGCGAAGCCTTTAGCACCCTCCATAGCTCCGATTTCAACGCAACTCTTCGATTTTCACAACAGGCGCCCTCAATACTGAGCCAACAGCATGGTTCCTCTGCAAATATATTCTCCATCCCTACTGCAGAGAACCCAGAGCAGCATGTGGCCATGGAGATGCTGTTGTTAGCTTGCCTTCGCGCAGGAGATGACAAGTCGGCAAAGCTATGCCTTGAACAGCTATCACAGCGTTTTGGCCCTTCCAATGAGAAAATAATGGGGCTTCGGGGCCTTTACAAAGAAGCTACCGCGGAGAAAATGTCAGATTTGGAAGACTGTCTGCGAGAATACGACAGAATTCTTGCGGAGGATCCCGTTAATATGGTGCGTCTCAATTGCTAAATGTTGAAAATAATGACCTGACAGATGCGCATTATAGCCTGTTCGTAAACGTCGTGTTGCAATCCTGCGCTCAATGTCTAGACCACTGGACGCTATTTCTGCTTTGGTTGAGCTTCTAGAGGCGGTACCTACAGATGCTGAGGCATGGTGTGAACTTGCAGATCTCTACCAATCCCAAGGAATGAGCTCTCAAGCAATCTTCAGCATCGAGGAGGCTCTTTTGATTTCGCCTCATTCGTGGAATGTAAGAATTTCCGTTTGCCCTACTTTCAACTAGTTTCCACTCACATCATATTCTTTAGCTACATGCTCTTGCGGGCGAACTGCTTTATATTGGCGCATCGTCTGCGGAAGTTGATACGTCCACATGTAGACTCATATCCAGATCGATTCGTCTATTTAGCAGAAGTATTGAACTGTGTGAAAACTATTTACGAGGCTATTACGGCTTGGCCTTGGTACGTTTCCCTACTGGCTTCTAGGTGCCGTATTCTCTGGTGCCGTTTTCAAACTGATAATTCGCTTTTCAGGCCACTTCGTTTCTTCTCGAAAAACAGTCACTACTTAGTATTTCTCAAAACGACTCATCATTTGATACACAATCGCTTCCGACACTGCAGAAGTTGAATGCCTTTGCTATAAAAAAGCTCCACGATCTCGTCAAGTCACGGTCCTCGGAATATGATGAGTGGGAGTATAGCCAAAGTGAATTGATCGCCGCAAAGGGGTTATTAGATCGTCTAAAAGAGTCGGCGGCTTAGTCGAAATAAAAAGGGTTGACCATCCTCATTCCCTTTTCTTGTCCTATCGTGCCCTTTTCTTGGAGTAAAGATATTCTTCCTCTCTCAATCATGATACATTATGTACTAGGTTTGCTATTGTCAAATAGGATTTACCATAATAGTTACCAGGTAATCATTTTATTCTTATGGTCTTTTTATTTATATATCAAATAGTTTTATTTTTTGAACCGCTAGATTTAAATAGAGATGCTTAACAACTGCATCAGAGCCAACTATCTGTTTAAGTTTAGTTAACTAGTTATATATTATTACTAGCTGGTCATAAATATCTAGGGACTGAATAGCTCACTACTCTTACTAATAATAACTAGGATCCTAAGACTTATTTCTGATTCTTTAACTTACATACAGAATAACTATAACTACCTTTTACGTCACCCAGTGGGTATAGTTTAATTATATAGTTATTATTGACTCTAATCACTAGTCACTTTCCAGCTAATGATTATTTAGTTCACTTTCATGTCTATATTATACTCTGTAAATCAGGTACCTAGGTAGGTAGATACCTATTAATTAGTTAACCTATTAATTACTTGCTGAAGTTAGGTACCTAACCCTTAGGTGTAAGTTTTCGCATGATTATTGGGCATCTTGGGCAGCAGACCATATCCTTGCAAGTTGCAACCGCGAGGCTAGAATATGGTAATGGCCTGTTGAACCCCGTAGTCTCTCACAAATGGTAAGTAATACTAACCATATCAATATTACAGACTTAGATACCTGTAGTTATGTTATTCTGTTGCTGCCCACGCGTACCTAAGTCTCTTGCGCTAGTCAAGTCCTGCGGATGCCATGCCCAACTTTGCCACAAAGCCCAATGAGAAATCAGTTCAGGCAGTCAAATACCAGGGTTTCCTGACAAGAGACATCAATGAATGACTTTATTGAGTCACTCACACATACAGAGAAATCTCTTCTGATGATTCGGACAGAACAGTTGAGATACGTATTCAGAAGACAGGCTCTGGCCTTAATAATTGACAATATATGATCCAAGTTCTAGAATTTAGCCGCCTGCAAGTGTGGTATATTTTGTGATTGAACGCTACAGAATCTCTTCCCAAACACAGGAGATACTCTGTCGAATGTTGTGCATTTGCGAAACCCCCAACTTTCGGGCGTCCCTACACAACCAAGCAAAGTGATAGGCTTGACGACCGTCTAGCCTAGCCTTACTGGGCACCCTTCTCTGAAAAGGAGTTTCTATTGTTTACCTCTTCCTTATATTCATTTTTGTTGAGACAGGTCAGCCGCAGCCTTTTTTTTATATTGAATTCTACTTATTTGTTATAAACCAAGTGAAGGGGAAGCGCGTCAGTTTTTAAGATTTCTTCTCTTCCTTACCTTTCCTTCTCTCCCTTGTTTCCTTTCACACCGCACAGAATGTCGTACGTGTTATACATCCCCACCATATTTGTATAGGAGTCGTCAATTAACTGATTACTACTTGAAGCAGGTTCAATATCAGGATTGATCATAGGAGTCCACACGATTCAGATGACTCTTCCTTATCCGATGAAGAGGACTCGTCTGGTGTGCAGGTCTCCCCGCCCTCTGATTCCGGAAGCCATGAGTACTATGACGAGTGGGCGCATTTATCATATCCCGACGAGTTGAAACCATCTGATTCCGCTTCTCGACCACGGACGTCTCATCGCAGCCGCCACGCGATCCATGGATCACGCTCGGTCTCGGGGCCCCGCCACTCATCACGACGCCAAATAGTACAAGAGCGAGGATCGCTCTCTCGATCGCGCCGCCACCATTCTCCAGAGTCACCAGATAGTGCCGATTCCGCAGATGAATACGCAGGTTATGCGCAAGCTCCTCACGACAGGGGACTCTGGCAAAACACCGCTCCTAGACATACATCCAACTATGCCCACAGCTCTTCTTCCGGTCCATCCTACAATGTTTACGCCCATGGTCAACCTCCCCATTATGGAGGACAGCCAAACGCTCCTCCCCATGCTGTATCTGACCAGCTGATAAGGATTGGCCATCCTGCTCAGTTTAACCACCCGTCGTACGCACATCCTCATCATCCCTACGGCACCCAGTTTCAACACCATCATGGTACGGCTTCGTCTCCTTATTATTTCCCGGAACACCACCCAGGACAACATGCGCATCAGTCGCAAACTGTACCCCACATGCGAGGCGATGGACAGGCTGGGATGCAGCAACCACAGCATGCGTTACCCCCTGGGTATGGAGGCCCACCTTTGGGTATGCATGAAATGATCCCTTACGGAGCAGGGAATTATTACCACCCAAGAGAGCCATTTGCTATGGTTCCTGGCATGATGCCTGGGTACTATCCATACCCACGTGTGCCATCTCCACAGCAATCCGAACCAACTCCACCCGCAGCCCCTCTGGAGCCAGCCCCAGCTCCCGCTCCGGCTCCAACACCAGCAGAGACTGCCGCTGATGACGCTATTGCAAAGTTAGAGAAGCTGATCATGGAGGAGCGAGCAGAGCGGGAAGCGAAGGAGGCGCGCGAAGCTGCGCGCCAAGCTGCGGCTGAAAAAGCGGCTGCGGAGAAAGCTGCCCAGCTAGAACGTGCTGCATATGAGAAGAAGATCGTTGAAGAAGCAGCTGCTGCTGCCCGAGCAGAAGCAGAACAGAAGGCCGCTGAAGCAGCTGCTCAAGCAAAAAAGGAGGCCGAGGAAGCAGCCGCTCAGGCAGAACAGAAGGCCGCTGAAGCAGCTGCTCAAGCAAAAAAGGAGGCCGAGGAAGCAGCCGCTCAAGCAAAGAAGGAAGCTGATGAAGCAGCCGCTCAAGCAAAGAAGGAGGCCGATGATGCAGCCGCGGCAGCCGCAGCAGCAGCCGCAGCCGCGGCTACTGAGGAAGCAAATGCAAAAGCAGCTGAAGCCCTTGCAGCAGCAAAAGCAGCAGCAATTCCCCCACCCCCTGAGAAAAAGAAGCCCATAAAGTTCAAGGATGCCGTCGGGAGGAAATTCAGCTTTCCATTCGATTTGTGTTGTACTTGGAAGGTAATATTCATATCCCCTCTTCTTGCGACCACGACTGGCCTTTTTAACTAAAATACCAGGGTATGGAAGAATTGATTCGTCAAGCATTCCTTCATGTAGAGGTCATCGGCCCACATGTTGCTGAAGGGCATTACGACTTGATCGGCCCGAACGGAGATATCATTCTTCCTCAAGTTTGGGAGACTGTTGTCGAACCGGACTGGACTATTACTATGCATATGTGGCCAATCCCTGAGAAGCCTAAAGAACCTGAGCCTGCCCCGCCTCCTCCAGCACCAGAGGCGCCTCCTGAAGATGCCATTGTTGCTGTCATCGAGGAGCCCAAGAAGAACCCCACAGGTACGTTAGTATGCTGTGACCTTTTTTGCATCCAAAAGCTGTCGATCATCGCCCTTGAAGCATTTAGTTATTGGCCTCGTAATAATTCATTTACTTTATAGGCAAAAAAGGGCAAAAGAAGACACCGGAAGCTCCCGGTGCGTTCGCCATGTGGATGGTTGGTGGCCGAGGATTGAGAGTGAATAAGGCCGTGAAAGCACAGAAAAAGCCCTGATAGACTTCCGAAACGGCGAAGCTCTCTGTGCAGGTCCAGACTCTTGAAGATGACAGCCTGATCTGTTAATTTTGTGAGAAGAGATTCTTCACATCGACATCGCCTTCCGAATTACGTCCCCCCCCATCCTTTCCGTTTTAAGGGATCAATGCCTGCCACACCCGGCTACTGTCTTTCCAGAGAAGAAAACCCGAACTTTCCTAGCACAAAACGGTAATCGTGGAGGTGAATCAGGAGATCAATAACGGATGCAATTGTAGGGCTGATAATTCCTTGTTGCAAGGAAGACATCGACCTAAGAGCGTCTCCCTCTTGCCAGGTTTTGCAAACCCCTTTTTTCAAATGTGGTGGGCTTTCCTATTGATGCAGTCAAAATGGACCTGCCAAAATCTAGTGAAAGAGATCATCTCTTGGTAAAGCGCCGTGGTGTCAGCTCGGTCAATCCGAGGACTGTTGCAAGCCGAGATGCAAGAGTATTATGTGGACTTGAAAGGACGATCAAATTGTTTGAAAATGAGGAGACGAATCTAATTACTGGAATAGTACTCTGCTTTCATAGGTTTTGAATGATTGATTCTGACAAGGCAAATATTTCTTCTTCTATAGATATAATTTAATTGACAAAATGACTTACTCAACTGGAGATCATCGGCCTGATAGATTTGCAGAGCTGCACCTCATATAACAATAAGAATTTTCGTAAATTCAGAATCAGTGGGCTTTTTCTTCCTGCCCCTAGATCATGGTATTCGTTTCGAGACGGGTATTGAAGCCAACAACCGAAAGTTTGATTTCAACCTTTAGCCATCTGCACCCATCTTGGGTTGTATACTAGTTATATCACTATATCAGTACTGTACTTCTCAGTAGATACCAAAACCGAGGTAATAAGAGTGTTTCCTCTCCTATGACGTTGATCCCTCTTCCAAGTCATATTTCAAGACCTAAACCCTGTGTTACACGACTTGCCCCATTTCTGCGTCAACTAGTTATTGTTTATCTTCTGATTTCATACTCAAGGATACGGGTTTTCGCGGCACAGGAGGTGGATTCTGCGAAGGGACAGGTCTCCGGGCATCAACGGCTAAAGTGTCTGCTCTTTTTGGGACCATAAGTTCTGATGATTTGCGAGTATTATCCAGTATTTCGTTCTGAAACACTGGCACATTCACAGTGTCGTGTCTTGGGGGCAAAGGAGGTTGCTCTGGAATAGCAGTCTTCGGAAGCGTATCTTGGGCTCGATTGATTGGCTTCTCTATGGGTATCCAATCGTCCCCATCGTAAGAAAAAGGGTTCGATTTACCATTGACATTCGGGCGTAAACCAGCAGCTGGTGGCTTGATGGTAGATCTTGCCGGGGCACCTTTCACTTTATTAGCATATTTTGGAGTATCATCTTGTCAGAGAGAACACTATTCAATACCATTATCTAGCCACCACCTATTGCGATCTGAGCTCGCTGGTGGCAGACCAACCGCAATAGATCCAGGGACACCTATATCATCTGCATGATCAGGTGAGGACAGATCTATGAGCGGGTCATTTGTAGCCTGAAGTCGCTCGTCGTAGAGAGATTTTCTCAATTGCTCCTTCTGGCGCTCGTCGACAACGTTGATGATGCAGTCAAACAGAGCCCAGACTGGCCGATGATCCGAGAATCGCAAGTCTGCTGCATAGTAATCTGCCTGGCGGATGTTTTCTCCTTTCCAAAGTACCCTGTCACACCATGCAGGAATGCGACTTTTTTCTCTGTTACAAGTAAGACGCCGTCTGCGCAAGATAAAAAGGAGCTCCGAGGGATATCTTACGACGTATCATAGGTATTCGTGCCCGGGTCGAATTTATAAGTAGGAGCAAACCGAATCTCTCCTTCGGAGAAGAATTGAAATGCTCTGCCTCCGAGCATTTGAAGGTTCAACTAAATGACTTGTGAGTATGTATTATCCCCGAAAAGAATCTGAGTTCATACTTGATCATTGTTGTATAGCTTCTCATAGTCCTTTTTGACAATGAGATCGCGGACTCTCTGGTTTTCAAGACCAATTCGGTAATTGAAATCCCCAAACCAGATGATTGTATCGTGGTCCTCGATCGCACGATTCTTTTGGAACCGGAGGCCATTATATATGGTCTCATAATCTCTATTACGTTCATCGAAATTTGCAAATCCTGCTGCAAGATGTGCGGTAACGAAACACAACCGTGTGTTCGAGAAATCGAAGCGGATAGCGCACCCACCCTTGTTCCCACCGATGCCTGAGAGCCCGGTCTATTTTATTGATTAGTAGGAAAATAGTCATGGACAAAGAGCGCAGACTTGCCTTTTTGACGCCACCCTCTACGTTTTTGACTTGATCTAGTGCATCCTCCTTGACGAATATTAGAAGAGCAGCTCCCACTAGTTGCCCACTCCTCAAAAGTACATAGCGTCCAGTGCCTTTCGACGACGAGCGATTGTTCAAACAGTCTTTGACGGCCTTTTCCCACACCTTTCTTGTGCTCGGATCTGTTGACATGATCTGCTGTGGGCTGAGTTCCACAATCTCTTGAAACCCAACGGCAAAGATCACTGGGTCATCAAGGTCCTGATTGGATTGAGGGAAGAGCCACGGTGAAAGGTCGACATCTGGGCCTTGGGTGCGTCCATTGACATTAAAGCTCCCGACCCAAATCCTAATCGATTGATTGGATGAATACTCAGAGGCTCTCTTATTGAGCTCGTCAGATATTATGTCGTTAACTGGATCATGAAGGTAGACTGGGATTTGATTGGTCAAGTGGCCTAGAAGTAGGTCGATGGTTCTTTGCCGAGCAGTGTCGGCGAAGTTATTGACATATAAACGTGTGGCACTCTTGCGGGCGTCAGCAAGGGCTCCTGCAATGGACATCTTTCCGTGACGCGTGAAAGAGCTCTTGAGTGCTCCCGTGCCTGCATATATCTTCGATAATGCATCGCCGTTGTCCGCCCAAAGGGCAGAATGTCTCATTTGTATTTCCGGGTTCAATGTGCCGTGTTGTTGAGACAAAAATGATTCCAGGGCCATGAAGCTGATGATGGTTTGGACGAGATTTGTCCGGTCCAGACAATCCAAGCAATTAGTTCGGAAGATGCCTTCTTGTTGAAGGACAACCGTTGAACTTCTGACTCCGTGGTTTGTTGGAATTGTATTCTTAGCACCCTCGCCACGATCTTCAGACACGAAGTAAGAGAATCCATCAAGGGAATCCATCAATTCATATTTTATTTGATGACTGGCCTCATACCCTTGCAGACCACGCGTTTCGGCATTGAAATCATACTCAGTCATGCGTAACAAACTGTGGTCTGATGAAGAGGGTGATTCTTCGTTTCGAATAGTGAGTGCACTGCTTCGAACATGCCTGCGAAATTTTGAAGACAGCGCTGCTTCCCCTGGTTTTAACTCACTGAGGAGATTAACCACATGGACCGCACCGTATGCCAATTCAAGCATCTGAAAATGCCTGTCAAAAGCATGTTGTGTAGCTTCAAAAGATCTAGTAATCTCAATCTTCTGCTGCCCAGGAAGAAAACCCGCATTCTGTTCCCAGAATATGGGCACCGAACCGCGAACCTGAACATATGAAAAAGCGATACCAGGGGGGCTCCAGAGAATAAGTTCTGTTTCTACAAAATTGGCCACATTGCCATCATCGTCGATGCCCCGTGAATTGAATCTCGTACCGGCTCGTCGCGACGATTGACGAGAGATAATCGTCAAGGTCGAAGGAAAGTTGGTCCTTATATCAGGGAAAATAGAGACAGAAGCGGGGATCGTCAATGTACTCGCGAAGCCTCGTATGACACATGTCAATATGTGTGACAGGTCGAGGATCGACTTCTCATGAGGTGGTAGATTGCTTCTGAAAAGGAGAAGCGGGCTAATCATGTATGAGTTCCATAGCATGCTTTCATCGAGGGTTTCAATGTCAAAAGCCGCCAAGCTATCTGAACTTAGGACTATGTCAGCTTCCTGAGATCCGACAGTGATGCAAGGCTGCTCACCGGTCTTGTAGCCGATCTGTTAGATTAAAATCGAAACTATAATAGAAACTGCCATCACTGAGAAGTTTCCTTAGCGCCAGAAAGGGATGATCTGTAACAATTTGTGACCCGCGGTCGAAGTCATCGGCCGCAAATTGAGAGCGGGATTCATAGTCGATCCCGTAATCATATTCTGAACGGTTCAGACAATCTGGTTAATTAGATTAGACGTCAGACTTCAAACATATGAGATGACGAAGCATACAGAATTCCACGTTGTCTATTCTTGAAACTGTTTCACCGGGCCTGACAGTTGCAGCCCGTAGGTAATTTGTGATGACGCATAGGAAGACGTCTTCATCTACACTTATGAGACCGAGTATCCCGTACGCCTCTCCCAAAACTCGGTAGTTTTCCAGAGCAGAGAATGGCAAGCTTGAAAATTGAACCAAGCACCGCCTTCCTTCCACGCCATTCTGCCTGCTATACTTTGAGCTTGTTGGGCTGCAGCGAAATATGAGGGTGAACTCTGTGGTCACAAGAGCAATGCTGCGGTCAGGGCTGTCTTCACAATAGATACGGAACTTAGACATGGCATCAGTATCCCACAATATGATAATGGGCAGTCATATCTTTAAAATCAATAAGGATTCACTTCTAATATATCCCCATAGGTTTGGGATACCATTAAATGGCTATATTCAATAGAATATTAGTTGTCTCTGTTCAGCCGCCGGGCCTCCCTCTAGCAGTAGCGGTAATTACAAGATTGTCAAAACCTTGATAAATCACTTAAGATAATGAAAGATTCAGAAATAAAACTACAGATTTTCAACTAGGTTATTTTTAAATGTAATTACTTGCAATGCATACACCCTTACAAGGAACTAGTGATATTGAATATAATTCTCTCTTTTCATAATAATAATCTGCAGTAGACTTGGATTAACTAGTTTATTTACTTAGATAATGATTATAGAGTAGATACAAAGTAATAACTAGGATGTAATTAACTGGTTAACTTAGGTACCTCCTAGTTAGGTTACCTAACTAAGTTACACTAGTCTGCTTACATAACCTATCGCAAAAACTTTTAGTCTGAGACTGAGGACTGCTATCTAACAGTGAGTGTATCTTGTGCTCTGGTTGTATCAACTTGTCATTCTTTTAAAAAATCTCACTCTTTGCCTTGCATACCTAGTCACCAGATACTGTCATTAGTCTGATACTGAGATATAGCGACAAGTCCTGGATATTGCTGCAGCAAATGGGTCTGGCAGCGCCTCGCAAGTGCGTATTTTAATCGTGAAATCTTATCTCGATTTTTTCTTGCGGATCAACATTATTTAGCACTATGTAGTACAATTGCCGTCACACCCAGGAAACTAATTTCTTCTCAGGAGGACCAAGATTTCGAACGATCCGAACAATACAAACTGGGCTCGATCGACGAGTGGTTATGGACAAAAAATCCTCAGCTCTCAGGGATGGGCTCCTGGTGATTTATTAGGTGCCAAAAATGCTCCTCATGCCAGCATGCTTACGACTGCGAGCGTATCCCACATCAAAGTCACTATCAAGGACGATACACTTGGTTTAGGTGCTAGCTTAAAACGCGATGCTTTCGGTGGACCAACAGGGCTCGACGCTTTCAAAGGCTTGTTAGGTCGACTTAATGGGAAGACGGAGGAGGAGCTGAGCGCAGAACAGCGCAAGACCGATGATATAAGATTAATCCAGTATGCTGCCACTAAATGGCAGGCTGTCAGGTTTGTGAGTGGCGGACTGTTAGTCCAAGAGAAAGTCAAGGTGGTGCCCGTGGACGTTCTAGAAGAAGATTCTGTCGAAGACTCTCCTTCTCAAAAATCAAGTGATACAGGGGAGAAGAAGAAGAAGAAGAGAAGGAAGGAAGATGCAAGGACCGAAGATCCTGACGACAACAATGCTGCCTCGAACAATACCGCCATTGATAAAGACGCGCAGGCCTCCGACTCGGATCGCAGAAAGTCAAAAAAGAAGTCAAAAAAGAGGAAAAATAACGAATCAGAAACATCGAGCAACGAGATGAATTCCGCCAGTACACTGAGCCCGTCAGAGGACAGCAAGAATATTCCGATCCCCAAAGTATCAAGCGGGTCCAAAGAGCGTATACCGATGGGAAGACATGTTGTCAGGGGCCGGCATATTGCCCAGAAGAAAAAGGCTCTGCTAGATGATAAGTCGCTTAATGAGGTAGGTTCTATATTTCTGAGCCCCAAGAACAAATGCTTTACTAACTGTCCATTGCGGAAAGATTTTCATGATCAAGTCATAGATACCACAGCCTTAGACAACTTCGTCCATTTCTTACGACATGGGAAAGTCAATAGAAGCAGTGCCATTTTTGCATGACTGCATTATCTATCATTTAGAACTATACCTATTTATTCATATATCATCATATTCTGATTATCTAAAATCTATCATGAGCTAGCCAAGTGCCTTTACAGCAATAATTAATATTCCTTTTATATTAAGATTTGCATGTGTTAATCAAAAAAGAGAGACCATGCCACCTAATAGTTCATTTAATAAAAAAAAATACCATCCTAGTACTATAGACTCCACTGGTTATCTACTAGATTAGGTAACTATCCATGTAACTACAGGGTCCAGACTCTAGTACTCCGTAGTGATACAGTAGGGTAGTACGGTAGTACCGGGCCGCACTCACGTGGGTGGGGCTGTGTAGTTTTATCCTAGGTTCTACAACGTCATTGCGCCCCAGTATTAAAATGGCTACTAGTGGGCTGCTTATTATGAGCTGTCATGAACTTGTAAAGGTATAAAGGTGGAATGCCTTGTGTCTTGGACAAGAGATTTATCTTCTGAGTTCTATATATAGCATTAACAGCCTTTTACACTTGAACAATCCCAGTGCTGTGATCATCCTGGTGAGTCTCGCCTGTGTATCGAGCTGGGTGTCTATAATCGCCTGGGCTAAGAGCATGACCAAGACATTTAGATGGTGTCTACGGAAGCTTTCGTTGAGCCGAGATCTTCACCGTCCGGAGATGGTTCTAAGCCAAGCATCAACAACAACAATACCACCAGACTGGGAAGAAAAGTATCAAAGATGAATGGCATCGATATCCCAACAAACAGCGAGATTCAGAGCAAGTGCTCCGGTGGTGATTTCAATGAGAAGGATACTGCGGTCTATAAGGAGAAATCTGTCCCGATCAAGGTTCCTGAGAGCTTGAAGCAGGTTAGAGAACCAGTAGATCAGACCAAAGGATCTGAGCAGAAGGAAAGAGGTACCGGAACAATTGGAGGGTGAGGGAATTCAAGCAAGTGTGAAATGATTTACCTTCCGCTTTACTAATGAGAACGGCCTTTGAATAGAATCCACTGGGCGCCGCTGAATATTGGAGTCGAAAGACGTCTGCAGACATTTGTTGTGTTATGTCATACCCTGACAATCATAATTTTCCTGACGGTCTTCTTCTTCGCATGTGCGATACCTTTATTCTGGCCGCTCCTTATCCCATATCTTGTTCATATATCTATCTTTTCTAGTGCTGCAACATCCGGAACCCTTGCAGGCCGCAGACCCTTCTTACGATCTCTACCGATCTGGTCCTTATATGCATCTTACTTCCCGGCTCGCCTACATCGTTCCGAGGTTCTACCTCCGACACGAAAGTATATATTCGGCTACCATCCACACGGCATTATTTCTCACGGCGCATTTGCGGCGTTTGCAACGGAGGCGCTCGGGTTTTCAAAGCTCTTTCCAGGGATAACAAATACACTTCTTACCCTGGATTCAAATTTTCGGATTCCATTCTACCGGGAATATGCTCTCGCCATGGGTCTCGCAAGTGTTTCTCGCGAGTCCTGCGAAAATATACTAAACAAAGGTGGAACCAACAGCGAGGGAATGGGTCGTGCTATCACGATTGTTGTTGGTGGTGCGCGGGAATCTCTCAATGCTCAGCCTCACTCGATGCGTCTTATTCTGAAACGACGGAAGGGATTCATCAAGCTCGCCATCTGTACAGGCGCTGACCTCGTACCAGTCCTCGCCTTTGGGGAGAATGATTTGTACGAGCAAGTGAGCTCCGACCAACATCCTTTGATCCACAAACTTCAGATGCTGGTCAAGCAGATGATGGGATTTACCGTCCCTCTCTTCCATGCTCGGGGAGTGTTCAACTATGACGTGGGACTGATGCCATATCGCCGACCATTGAATATTGTCGTGGGCCGGCCCATTCACGTAAGACAGCAGCGGAATAGATCGGATATCGACGACAACTACATTGATGAACTTCACTCTAAATACATGCAAGAGCTTGAGAGATTATGGGAGCAGTGGAAGGATGTTTACGCAAAGGACAGGACCCATGAACTTGAAATTATTAGTTGATGCATGTTTTTTTACGTCTTGAAATATTCTTATCTTATTGTAGAACCACTCTCCTTTCGTTCACTTGGACGTGGCGGGAACACTGAATATCCTGTAAGAAGAGAATCTCCTCACCTCTCTTCATCTTATTTGACTTAACTATGTTCAAGATTCTGCAGAAGACGATAGTATGATTCCCATCAAATCTTTTCGTTTCATTTATTCGTATCTAGATGCGTCAGCATCCCGCTAAAGACTTAGACTGAACCATTCGAAAGGACCGTCAATATTATGCCATGCACCCTGTTCTAGGGAATTACTCCAGCCCATCATTACTGCCAAAAGGCGGCATGTGACACTGCTAATGCCGCAGATCAGTCTATCGGAATGACCCAGCACAGCAAGGTCGAGCAGATAAGCGCGGCCGACTAGCTCTCGGAGCCGCAGGCCTTCGGCAGGGGAAACTAAAGAATCCGCACTCGGGTGATAGCTGTCTATCCCGGAGTCTACGTCTCGAGTTTGACTTTTGGACGGACGGGGGCTGTCGATGATTGGCCTCGCCGCCGGAGCGCCTAACGATAGGAAGAGGTTCTTGAAGAAGCCTCCTTCCCACCCGAGATTCTTCTGAACCGATTTGCTTAGACTTTGCTGAGCGACCATGGCAGCATCAATTGTCGATTTACTGGCAAGTGATATGCGGCTCTGCGCCTTCTGTGCGTTCTGGAATTCCATGGCGCCGTAGACGTCCGGGTCATCAGAGGCTAAAATGATTCTCGACGCACTCCGCTTGTTAAAAGAAGATCCTCCGTCGCTAGGGGTAGGCGAGAATGTCGATTCAAGGATATTAGCAGCTGCACTTGCATATTTCTGAAGGGGTATGTAAGCATCCTGGTACCGCGGTTCGATGGGATGGAGGTCACCATGGCGAACGTGGATACCGATCAGCAACCCTCCGCGATCGATTGAGTTTTTTAGATCCTCAAGCCGAATTCCTAGGTAGTCGTTATCTTCATCTGATAGACGGAAGAGGGCCTCAAACCCGGCTCTCAGGAATGAGAAAATCCGGCGCTGGCGGTTGATTCCTGCAGTAGCCCTCGCATCCGTGAAATGAGCAGTGAAGCTATCCCCGAATATCCACGGCGTGGTGACTGCAGATACCACTAGATGTTTTGCATCATGAGGACATGGCACTCTCAGCGTGGCTGGAGGGGGTAAGCAGTTTGGCTTTGGTGGTGGTTGAAAGTACGTGCTGTACTGTCCGTATTCCCAGTCTGAATCGTCAATGAAGAATGATCTACCTTCCTCCTTGGCCAGTCCGTAACTCATCCACAGACCCATCAAAGTCTTACCGAACCCAGCATCACTACTCTGTAGTACGTAGGTAAGGCTGTTCTCGCAAATCTGTTTCTCTGTGTCCGCCTTTGCATCAGTCTCTGTGGAACGAGTGCCCGGCAACTTAGTATCCGCAGTTTTTTGATAATGGGGCTGTTCATTGGACTCTGCAGTACTTCCCGGGAGTAGTCCTTCGTCTTGAGCGTCGGTAATGTCCATATAGTACAGATCCTTTCGGTAAAAGTCCATTTGTCCAGGCTGCGAATAATATTTGTTGTTCCCGTCATTAGCAATCAGGCTCGAAATTTCATCACACTGGCGACAGATGGTTTCGTACTCTGACGGGGCCAGAGGGAACTCTTTTACAGGAGGAATCGAGACCGTCCACCTCTTCTTTCCATATGCATCTGTAACCATCAGAGCGACAGGTTGTTCCGGGAGGACATTCGTCCCGACAATCTCAAAGTCGCCATCCTCTTCCAGTGGTGACAATAGATAATCGGAATCGGAGTGTGGCTCTGCGTTTTTGGATATCGATCGGCTGAGTAGGAATAAACACAGGCCCCCCACCATCCAAAAGAGCATCCGGAGCCTGCGTCGCCTCCAACGGGGAGCTGTTTTCTTTCCATGACGAGGTAGAATCGACGGGAGACTTGGCGAGGGGAGCGGCGTGTCAATGTAGGGTACATGAAGACTGCCCTTGTCCCTGGCTGAGGAGGAAGCTGCTGCTACTGCCTGACTGAATGTGCTGACGGTTGGTGTCCTTCTGGTCAACATGTTCGGATCACACCACCAAAAATTGAGTATGGATTATTCTCGTTCAAGATCTCGGTGAATAAAAGGTAAGTGATAGGGGAAAGCGGATAATTTAAAAGTTGTTTTTGTCCAGCAAAAACCATAGAAAGAGAGTTTAGAATCAAAGAAGAATAAGGAAATATGAAGCGATCTTGAAGATTTCCATCCCACACAAATATGGACAGAGAAACTCTGATACTAGAGGGAGGAATGACAGTAAATCTCACCACATCAGTAAAGAAGATTCAGGAAAAAGAACTACCTACTAGGTAGGCCATGTGCTGTCTGAATGAGGCAGGTAGCCAATCCGGGATAAATATGATGAAACAGACTACGTAAGAAGTTGAGACAGTGGCTGAGGGCCATAAACTAGCTGCCATGTGTACAACTACAAATGTAGCTATTATAAATATGCTCCAAGTCCTAGTATACACTGGTTCTTAAACACCGCCTAATTCTGGTTGAGGGTGTAGTTCATATGGTATCATTGCTATAAAAACATCACCAAAATGTATAGACCAGTGCGATAACGATTTATAATCATTTTCGTCTACCAGAGGAAATAGAACCAACACTTGTTAGTCTATTATGGGGGATGGAGATAGAGAAAAGACAGGCTTGATTTCTTGCTGGCATATGAAGCAATAAATATGGAAGCGTAAAAAGATCATAACTAACTGGGTATCAGACACCATGAAAAGTGGAAAGAGCATAAAAAAAACTTGAAAAGAAATGCCACCAAATAGGTAAAAGAAAAGTATAGGTGAGAAAAACGGCTAGGGGAATTTTTCAACAACTTCATAAAACGGTTGACCACGGAAATCAACGTAACCCAGATCGAATCAAGGCGGACGTAGAAATCTGATGCCGTAGCCTCAGGCTCTCTTATTCCAGCGGGCTCTCGGGAACAGGAGGCTCAGGCAATTTCGGAATGGCGGTATTCAAGCCTGGAATCCCACCAGCAGACGATGATGCGCGCCGCGACTCGTTAGCGACGCGAACACTGCCATGGGAGCTTTTGACCAGCTGGCCGCTTTCAACCCGATCTTGAATCATTTCGTCGAGCATTCGGGACATTTCATCCAGACCTTTCCGTTTGGTTCTTTCTGGGTCCTTGAACGACGTGCTTCGTGCCACCAGGCTTGTTGTTTCGCCTGCAACGTCTTTCACCGGTGACGAAGTGATGTCGTTTCCGTAGCCTTGTTGAAAGTGTGCACTACTCTTGAGTTCTGGCGATTGAGGGTCTGAACCCACTTGGGCAAAGTCTCGGTGGCGGGTAGCAGAACGAAGAGCCGTAAGCATTCGATCCTTGTCATCGAGCTGAAGACGCAGCTCGTTGATTTCCATGTCCTTTTCGCGGATGACCGCCATCAAATCAGGGCTGTCGGGAGGCATATTGCCCTTCATACCCATGGACATACGCGAATGGCTCGAACGCCGGGCTTGCAATAGACGTCGCTCTAGGGTAGAGATGTATCGATTCTTGTCCGAGAGGTCCGCCTGGAGCGCAGCAATCTGTGTTTGAAAACTCGCCCTCCCGTCTGCAAACTCGCCCATGTTATCATCGTCCTCGTCATTGCCGAATGATCCAGGAGGATAGGGTAGAGCACCCAATGTGTCGGTACTGTTAATGGATGCAAAAGATATGGGTCTGGCCAAGGAATGGGCACTCAGTGTGGATTGGCTGGCCGACGACCGAAGAGAACGAGAAACACTGGATATCCTCGACAGCCTCCCGATAGCGGATAGATTGCTCTGGGTGTTCACGCCAGTGGATTTTGACGAAAGAATCAGCCGGTTTAGATGCTCGATTCGCTCCTTTAGAGCCGTGCGGGCGAGTTGCATCTCTAGCATCTGTTCTTCATGGCGAATCTGTGCTTCTTTCTCAAGTTGCTGCTCCTCTAATTTCAGTTCCTTCTCCGCCTGCATCTTGGCTTGGCTGTCAAGCTGCGCGCGAAGCGACTGGATCTCCACCCGGTAGCGCTCCAGAAGAACTCTGCTACCGGGATCTTGAGAGCCACCACTGAATGCTTCTTCCGCTCTTTTAGCATGACTGACAATGCTATTTTTGGCTCGCGCGGCGAATTTCAGAGTGTTGAGGTTTTCGCCCGAATTCGCAGAGCTACCGAGATGCACAGTACAAAGGATACTCACGAGAGAGTTCCCAGATAGCGCCGGCTGCAGAAGCCGTGTCAGCTTGCTGTCTCTATACGGTAGGTGCTTCCCCTCTCGATCGGCGGCATTGCCGTTTTTATCCTTCGCGTCGGAAAGTTTTGAAATGATGTTGCCAAGCGTGAGCAAGCTTTTGTTGATGTGGGCACCTTCTGTGCGCCGCTCTTTGTCGTCTGCGGCCCTCTCCGAGCCTGCAAGATCGATCAGGCTAAGGGTCGAGACCCTGACTCCGCCTGGTATGATACCCGAGCGTTTGTCCTGGGAGCTGGTTCCAGATGCCGCTCGCTCTCTGCTCTCCACCACGATCTGAACGACCGCATGACTTCGGGAACTGCGTGCGTTGAATTGCGTGCTTCCAGTACGCCTGGCATGATCCCCTCTCGCGATCACTCGCAGCAGTTGTGTAGGACTTTGCACAATCTCTTCCTTTAGAGGGGTTGCATAAACTCCTCGTTTGCTGTCCTCTCGTAATTTAATCTCTTCTTGTTGGACAGCACCCCCCCCATTTGGAGCAGAAGCGGAGAGTAGGTCATGAATCTTCTCATTGTATATCTCAAGATAGCTCACGCGAAGGAGAAACTCCCTGTGTGGCGTTTCCCGGATGAAAGAAAAGATATCGGTGATTGCCAGAGGAATTACTCCAGGCGAGGTAGCTGTACCTTGCATCGAAAACGTTTTTCCCGTTCCAGTCATACCGTATGCAAATACGGTGCCGTGATAGCCTTCCATGACCCTCCGCACCAGGCGTTTCGCTGCTGAATCGTAGACCTTTGCATTTTGGTCATGCGCCGTAAACACATTGTCTAGAAGATTAAAGTCAGTAGGAGAAATTCTCTCTTGAAACCAGAAGCAATCAGCCTTACCGTAATAATAGTCGCCCGCCTCTTTCCCTCGATACGCTATCAGGCTCCTTCTTCCGTCTGCCAGCCATTCGCTGTCATTCCTAGAGCTATCGGCCCCATTCACGTCAGGGCGCACTCTGACACTAACAGTAACGTTCCCCTTGGCCTCCTTTGCTTTGGAGGAAGACTTAGAGGCACCGCCTGCTTCATCCACGTCTTCGAATGTCGTTGCGCTGGTCGAATAGGAACCCTGGGCAGACGAGCTGCGACTATGAGGGGGGGATGGGATGCTGAAATTGCCATGTGAATCTCGGATTTCCTCGCTCAAGATCGACTTTCCATCTCCATTGCCATTTAGAAGGGATGGGGTCTTCGAACTGGTGAAGCTGCATGTGGTTCCGGAGCTTAGTCTTGAGCTCTTCCTCGACCTAATGCTGCTAGTCCTTGCAAACACTTTGGGTGGTTCGGCCCCATTTATGGAAGAGGCAGTCGACGGACGACTTGCAGATTTAGGCGGTTGAGGGAATGAGGCGATACTGACGGTTCTGCGTAAATCCTTCTCCGGGCTATTTGGGGTGCGGCCACCAGAAGTCGAACGTAATGTCGTGATGTTATTACTGGAATGAGACAGTGGCGACTTGGGAAGAGATGGCCGTGGACTGGAGGGACTTCGAAGCTTTGCAGACGAGATGGATGGGGACGGTGCCCTCGAGGCATCGGGTGGGACAGACAAAGTCTTCTTGGATTTCGGACCTGGCAAAGGCGGTAACGATCCTGTCGGAGGGTTCGTGAGAGGTCGAGACGCCTGGGGCAGTGCCGATGTCGAACTCATTGCAACCTGTCGCCGCCGATGTGAATGGAGGGGTGGGAACGATGCTCGGTATAATAATTGGGGCCTTAGGGCGACGGGATCGAGAACTCTGACGACCACTTATCCATATAGATCGCAAATGTTCCTGCCGGTTGGACACTTTCACTTAGTATGCAATGACACAGCCAGACGAGGGGTAGTTCGGTGGAAAAGGGTTTCCTGGGGTAACTATCGCCAACTTCAACGCGTAAACGACTGGGCATGGGGAAAGAAGAAAATAGAAAATATCCACAGAATCGAGGTGCTGGCCTCGGGAAATTAATAGCAGGCATGATTCTCGATCTCTGAGCGACCCCTGAAAAAGGACGATTCATAGCTCGCTTTCAAGGGCCCTACGAAGCCCTGAAGGGGGGGGGGGGTGCAATGACGAACGACACAGGGGCGCAGGAGAAGGACACTGAACAGCAACTGCTGGGAATGCGGATTTGCATTCAAACTTACAGGAGTATCACGATTGCGACTGAAGGCGGGTCAACCTCAAGTGTTGTTGTGGTTGCTGCCGGGCTGCCGAAAAAAACATCCGAGTTCGCGCGCTGCGAAGTCAAAGCACTCGGACACGTCCTAGCGCATACTGCTGCCCCAGAAATCCGATCACGGAATATATCGTGCACGATGGCGAGGGTCCCGTCTGGTTGTGGGTGGTTGTAGGGAGTATAATTGTGTGGTGAAGAAGAGAAGGCACATACGAAAACCGTGGCAGCGTTGGACGTTAGATGAGGATGGGGCCGCAGATCACACAGAGGCAGTCAACAACTCATCACCGATAGGGTGCTACTGGAAGTGTAGATCCTCTTTTTTGGCCTGATCCCAGGTTCCAGAGGCCCCAGGGCTACGCTCTTTTTTCTCATCACACTTGACAGGCACGCCAGGCGCGGGACGGGGGGGGGGAATACTCGAATATGATTGCGGGCCTCAACAGGCAAGTCCCACTCGAGCAAATCTCCGCCCAAAGCAGGGGGGGTGATGGGCAAACTCTCATTTCAGAGGGATGGAGTCACGGACTATAGTACGGAGTACTAGTTTAGTAGGTAGTTATGTGTTTACGACAACAGTTGGGGGTGCCATACGGAGGGCTCTGTGCTCCGGCCACCCGGGGCAGTTGTATCTGGCGACAGGAAGCTACCTAATGGTTCAGGTGTAAGACTAGATGAAAGATTCGACTGTGGATATTGCAAGTAAGCCCCATTTGCTTTCTGTACGGAGTACGCATTCTCCTAGCTTGGCCAGGCCATCGGTATCGAATTTGCGATTGATACAATGGATGAGTGGCCTAGAGTTGCTTGGTAATGATGAACAAATCAGAGAAAGTCTCGCCTAATTCGATCAGAATGTAATCTGTAGAATGCGCCTAGTATATTTTTACCGGCTAGTTGGTTATGAGCTGACCACTGAAGCAGTGAAATCCTCATCCTACCGGAGAGGACTGGCGTTCCTTGCACGATGGCGCTGAAAAGGGGCAGTAGGCTTTCAAGTTTCTAGCCCTAGATGGATCGATCACCCATATGGGTGGCTAGGTTTCGGTTTTATCTGTCCTTCTCAATCGATTGGACACCTTGACTTATGAAGGACAATTAGTTTGAATCAAGTCAACCAACACTTGTAGCAAGGACCGACCGGTTCGTCTGCCCGATGAACCATGTTTTCATTTAACTAAGCATAATTAACTAACATTCTATCTACCTGCCGGACCAAGGTGGCCATACCCGAGCGTTTTATGCCAAAAAGAACATCCAGTATTATCTTGTATATCACGACTGATGGCGGATAATCGAAATCTACTCCATGATGGGTAAGGGTTACAGAGTATAAGATCAACTAACTTTAGAAGGGTGTAAAAGCCCCAAGGATTTAATACAACTCCTTCTAGGTCTGAAGCTAGGAGGGCAGGGCTAGGAGAAAATATCCTGGCAGGCAGAGACCCTGGAAAGGGCTTTTTCTTGGTCTGGCAAGGCTGTAGAACTTAGGTACATTTTCGTCGAATCAGATTGGGCTGATATATTCGGATTGGGGATTGACTGACTATTCCTTATAATATCAGTTCAGTATCTGAATCAGTGGGATGCCCTTTCTGGTTCTCGTAAGCAACTGGTGCTTCCGTTTAGAGCCGGCGAAGGGTTTTGCAATGTTGGTCACGGCAAACCTCCAGGGCGGTAAAATCAGAAATGTAATTGTCGCGCAGCATTTTTGAAAAGACCATCGTCGACTTGGCCAACTCGTCTGCCCATGTCATCGCCCATCTTCTTGGTGCCCCCCGCCTTCTTCGGAAGGTCTTCTTTTTTGGTGGGCTTGGGCTCTGTGCTCCACCAGCTATGTGATAATATTTGACGGGCCGTGCTACGTTTCCTGGGATCCAATGCACACATCGACATGAGCAGGTCTGCACCAACCGGACCAGCGGTTGGAAATTGTCGAACAAAGAAGTCGCGGCCTTGCAGCGGTATAATATGGGCTCGGTCGGGGGGAAAATAGTTTGGCAGCTTGGACACACCAGGCCAGTTATCATCCGTGGGGGTGCCAAATGCTTCGCAGATCTTCGAGATCTGGTCAAGGTCCGAGTTCCCTGCGACAAAAGGTACCCGGATAAGGAGTTCTGCAAAGACCATCCCCATGGACCAGACGTCAACAGCACCGGAGTACTGACGTGCACCGTACAGGAGCTCGGGAGGCCGATACCAGCGGGTAATCACCTGGTGAGTCATGTTCAGATAAGGGTCTGCGAAAGATCGAGCTAGACCAAAATCTGCCAATTTGACTTCGCCGTCAGAGGCTATCAGAAGGTTGTTCGGTTTGATATCCCGGTGCAACACAAAATTCTCGTGGCAGAACCAGACCCCCCGAGCGAGCATACCCATCCAAGCCTTGACGTCTGCCGCACCATATTGAATATTGCCATCCTTAATGAGCATCTCTAAATCACCGCGCGGCAAATACTCCAAAACAAGATTGAGGGTCTGGTCTTTCGAGGAGAAGACATCATGTAGTGCAATGATGTTAGGGTGAGACAACTCTTGTAAGTATTTGACTTCGCGGATAGCATCCATAGTGAGCCCGTCTTTGTACTCAGCATTGACTTTGATCTTCTTGATGGCGACAAACACCGATGGGTCGGTTTTCAGATAGCCAAGAGACACAACAGCGTAGGTACCCTCGCCTAGTTTCTTATCTGAAATTATAATTCCGTCAATAGCCATTCCTTAAACTCCTTTAACCGTCACTTCAACTGGATCGAGTCTGTACCTTTGACATACTTGCGTCGGACATCGTCATTCAACTGTTCCGTGAGCTCACGGTCAGCATGTGTCATCGTTAGAGGTGATCGTGCGTTTGCTGAACCTTGAAAAGGAATATCCCTTGATTGTATGGTGCTCAACATGGTCGAGGGAGGAGACACTGCCATCGTATCGTATCTGTGGTCGGCGGGAGGATCGTTTAATGCTCACATGTGGCTCAGCATGCGATAACCAAAGTTGCCTGTGTACTATGAGATAAGCATAGGCATTATTAGAGCTAGGAGACAGGTTAGTATATCGATAGAAATAGAGAAAGAATGCAAAGCAGTGAACCTTGCAATACAACTCGCGAGCTACATCGAATAATAGGATATGCAATTAGTTCCGCATCGCGGACTATTGTTGATCCCGGCTTCCTGTCAGGTAGAACTTAGTGGTCTCCCCGAAATTTCTCAGCGGACCACTGGTTAACTGGGGAGCAGTGCATAAAGCTGCCCTTTCAAGAGAATCTGGCATTCATTGGTTTCATCTAGCATTTATTTATCTTAATTTCGAAATATCCGGAATTTTTTTTTTTTTTTCAATTTGAGCAGAACCACACCCACAATTGGATGTCATGATGCGTCCTCCGTCGCTCAGCGGGCTATCACTACGGCTCCTTAACATTGCGACTCCTACGCAGCGATGCGTTAGGTCCTTCCACCAGAGCATTCCCAATTTCTCGGTGCCATCGCCGACCCCATTCGTCCCGGATGTCGCGACTTTCCTCTCGCTGATCGGCCGCGACTTGTCCAAGCACGCGAGCAAGATTCCATCCTGGGAGAAACTCTTCACTCTCAGCTCGAGCGAGTTACGGGAGCTGGGGATCGAATCATCCCGCCAGCGACGGTACCTGATTCGCAGGCGAGAAAAGTTCAAGCATGGAATATACGGCCCCGGTGGGGACCTGGAAACTGTCGTCGATGGTGCAGCACAGCTGCGGGTGGTCGAAGTCCCCGCGAACGCTGCTCGGCCTACAGGCACAGAGAATACCAGCCCGGCACCGTCTTCACTCTCATCTGCGAACCTGTCGCCGGGAATGAGGAGGGTTATTGTCAACCTTGCCCCGGATGCGACCGGTTATCAGCATAATACGAGCAATTCCCTGCGAAGATTCGCCCATATGAAGATTCACCACGGAGCTATGATCCAAGGACCCTTCTTGCAGCCGATCAAGGGGACAAACGGGTCTGCGGCTCTGATCAAGGTTCAGGAGGGTATGTGGGAGGATAAGCTGGGGCACAAGGTTGATGGTGGTGAGAGAAGGCGCGCAGAGGTCAGAGCTAAGAAGAAGAGCGAAGAGCGGAAAAAAGCACGAGCATGATGCCGTTGAATTGCTAGACGTCGCCTGTTCTTGGCCTTTGTCAAAAGACAGGAAGCTGAAGATGTCTTGTCATGTATTATAGCTATAGCCTACAATTCCCTTTTTATTTTCTTTCCATTTGTTCTAGTCGAAGTCGTGGCTGCTTCTGATCTAGTGTGTACGAATCCGAGACTCCAGCTTTCCAAGCATGATCTATATTTCACATAAAAATTAAAACTAAGCTAGTTTAGAGTCATCGGCCTGGTAGTTCAAGCCAAGAGACCCATGCTGACTATACATATATATTAGAGTAAAAGAAAATAATCAAAAAAGCTGGATGCAGCTGCCAGGCCGAGGAAGGAAAAATATATGAGAATGCATAAGAGATTCTCGTCATCGATAGAGGACATGTGATTGAATGATTCATAAGTCTGCTTCACAAACAAACCAGACTTAGTTTCATAACCACTAGCGAAATCATTCATTCGCCATTTTCTAGGGTATTAATACAGTGGAAGCCATTTGGAAGAAAGATCCCTTTATGATTTTTCGGACTGGCGCTTCTCATACAGGACAGTGGAATGGCCACGGGGCTTCGAGAACAAAGACTAGAATCGTGGTAAGCGATCATGGTAACGGAGATACAAACAAGGGACTGGAAGGATACTCACTGAATAGTCGGTGTCAGGGATGTCTGTCACACCGCTTGGGTTGCGAAACTTGAACAATCTCACAAGCGCAGCAAGAACAGTACCAAGCTGGACGTAAGCAAATTGCTCACCAATACACCTGTGGCGTCCAGCTCCGAATGGAAGATACGGGCTGTTGGTGCCTTTGGTCACCAAACCATATCCGTAGTCGATCTGCTCCTCATCTTCATTGCTGGGGACAACCTCTTCATCCCAACGGTGAGGGTCCCATTCCAAGGGGTTGACAAAATAATCAGCGGACCTGGCGGTAACTCCGGGGGAAGAGAGGACGTTGTGAGAAGTTGGGATGACATATCGGGTGCCCTCAACTGGCATAGGGTTTTTGACAGCCCGAATAATCGAATGAATAGGTGCATGCAGACGGAGAGTTTCCTTGATAACTTTGGAATGGAGGTCAAGCTTTTGAAGGCTCTCATACGTAAGCGGCGGCAGATCGGATCCAAGTACTTGAAGCTGTTCTTCATACAGCTCCTCCATGATCTTTGGCTGGGAGGCAAGACGGAGAACAATCCACGCGGCAGTAGACGCAGAAGAATGCTGACCAGCCATCAACAGTGCGATCATGATGTGGGCAATTTCCTCATCAGGAACCGGAGTGCCGTTCTTGTACACGGATGACATGAGATTCCAGACCATATCCTCAGAGTCCTTCTTGTTGCCTGCCTCACGACGCTTCTTGACGATGTCCATGTAGGTTTCGGTCATCTTTTTGTGAGCCGCATCGCGCTTGCGGTTATGAGGCAGAGGGGCCCAAGGCAGCATAAAGTTGATCGGCGCGAAGCCCATATCAAGGTCATGGTACAGTTCAGCGAAGGTGGAATCAAACTTGTCGCGGACTTCCTTGCCCTGGAGCGAATGGGACGCAGTGTAGATCGTGATCTCGGCGATGGTACTGCCCACATCGAAGCTTCCTTTGTTATTCTGGAAAGTAGGCGCGCTTTTGACAAATTCGTCGACTTCTGCGGTGATCAGGCGAACATAGGAGCGGAGCGCTTCCGACGTCAGGCCGAACTTGACAAACTATATCCATCAATCAGCATCTTCCTAGAAATTATTCCTGGGAATTCAGCAAACCTTTTTCTGTTCCATAAGCTTTGCGTTGGGGCAGTCGTAGACAACATCCTTTCCAAAGACAGGCGTAGTGAGGGGGGAATAGACCTCTTCAGCACAGACATCCTTCAGCTTGCCGTTGAGAATGAAATCATTGCCCTTGGTGCCTAGATAGACGGTGGTTTTCTTGCCGAGGAGGATGAAGGTGAAGATATCGCCGTACTGAACAAAAAATATCGGCGGTAAGCAATTGTCTAAGGGTACTCCAGGTAGATAGATTAGGTAACATACCTTTTCGCGACAGTCGAAAAAGAACTTGTAGGGGTCAATCCCATAACTGATGGTGCTTCCAATAAACGGGAACCAGTGGAAAACCACAGGGGGCTCATTCGGGTTTTTAAGCACCAACTGTTGGATGACGTTCAGCACAACAGACACAGCGATTACAGACAGAACTGCAGTCAAAGTGAGAACCCATAGAGACTGTGTTGAGCAATGCTCACAGAACCTGTCGAGAAAGGCCGCAAGAAGGCCCATGGTTTCCGGATCAATGCAAAACGATTCAAGTCAAAAACAAAAGACGAAATTATCCGGTCGTTACGCCCGCTCGCAGATACCAACAGTAAGACACACAATGAGTGTGTTGAGCAGATAGTTTGGGGAGCGACGATGACCTGGCCTGGAGGTGCCAAGGCGGTGCTAGCAATAATTAATTATTTATCGGTGTGGCTCGTTCAGACTCTGAAGGCTGGATTATTACCGGTACTAGTCTAGGTAGGAGTACTCCGTTCCCAGATTATGTTAGGTACCTGGAAAGAACTTCGGGGGTCCACTCTTGGCGGTTTGATTGAGGTCAGTTCGTCCACTTCCAGGTTGCCCCTGGACAAGCCTGGGACGGCAGCGAATCGCAATTCGCCTAAATGCTTACTTCTGGAGTAAAATCATGCCACCCGGGAGCGAAACTGAACAATACCCTGATATGATAAGTAGAATTTTACATGGACGCTTTTATACTTACATTTTAATTTTGAAATTGATTTTAGTGGTAGCCAAAGACCTGGTAACTAGCTGTTCTCTATACACCAGGCAGGACTTCACTCTCATAAATGATTGCATGCACTCAGGAGAAAAATAGATACCATTTAAGAATAATATAGGTTGATCAATCAAAAGCATAATAAAAGAGATAGTGCTAGGCACCTATCACTAATAATGCTGAATAACAGATGCCTGTGGGAGCTCTTGGCTCACCCCAGGAGGAGTGTCCCGCATATCATCTGTAGCGGCTAGTTGGTTCGTCGTCGAAAAGAGCGGGATCACCTCGGGCTCCCAGCTTAACAAAATCATCGGGTCCTCGGTTTTCAGCAGGAGATTCCTCGTGATGCTCGTTGGGGGCTTGTTTCACGGGTTCATTTTTGTGAAAAACTTTCACGGGGGCACTGTCGCCATCGACACGTTCACTGACACGAATGTCATTCACACTGCTGAGAAGGGTTCGCTCCCGCTCAACCTTGCGTCGTGAGAAGTCTAGATTTCCGAGAGCGCCTGTTAAACCATCGGTGCTGTCGTGGACACTCGGGTATTTCCCTGTAAGCCAAGGGTGCTCTAAGCACTCGTCCACGGTGATCCTCTTGTCCACATCAACCGTGAGCATCTTATCTATCAAGTCCAAGGCGGGATCTCCCACAGAGTCCCAATATGGAGACGGGTAGTCAAAACGGCCCATCTTGATCTGCTGGGCCAAAGTGTATGGATTCTCCTTGGTGTAGAGTTCGTCGGAGAAAGGAGGGAATCCACACAGACAAATGTAAAGGACAACACCGAGTGACCAGATATCCACGGCCTTCGTGTACTTGCGGCGTTGGGTTTCTTGAAGGATCTCTGGTGCGACATCTATTCAATAAGTACACATAAGCGGCAGAATCTATTGCCTGAGAACTTACAACTTGGAGTTCCACATCTAGACCCTGGTTAGTAGGTACAAAAAAGAGAACATTTCAGGAATACTCACAATGTTGTTGTGAACGAGTCCTCCCCAATAATCTTCGCTAGACCAAAGTCTCCTAACTTGACGGTCAACTTTGTATCCGTCATGAGTATATTTTCTGGCTTTATATCTCGGTGCACGATGCCACGGTCATGCTAGTATAGCACATTAGTATGTGGTACAGACAGAGGCCTAAGAGGTGGAGGGAGGGGGGGGGTTCCTGGGACTCACTAGATACTTCAAACCTTCAAACAGCTGAACAAAAATGTGACGGGTCTGCGATTCAGAAAGCTTTTGTTTGGCGACTATGTAATTGAAAAGTTCGCCTTCCGGGGCGAGTTCCAGAATAAGATAGACGCTATCGGTTTCATCGAAGGTGTCTTTTAAGCACAGCAAATTGGGGTGATTTACACTCATCAACAACGCTACTTCTTGCTGCAACGAATCCATGTGAGACTTTTGGGAGTCACCCGGTCGCTTCTCGAAGACCTTGACTGCATAATGTGTCCCAGTAGCTCGCTCAACACACAAATATACAGATGCAAAATGTCCCTTTCCGAGTTGTTGAAGAATACGGTATTGTTGCAGAAAACGATTTGTGTGCCTTGTCCGAGGGTAGCGGAAGACAAACCGTACCTGATCAAGTATTGTGATTTCGTCACCATCTTCAAGCTCTCGGTGTCTGTTGCGCCCAACAATTGCATCGTTGACGCGAGTGCCGTTGCTAGAAAGATCTTCCACGATTGCAACAGCATCGCCTTTTTTATTCTCGGTGAATAGTAGAAAATGGCGGTTTGATATCGTCGGGATTTCAACGACCAGGTCTAATCCTCATCAGCATACGCTTTCCAACGAATTCCGAATCTGACCTACCGCACTCTGGATGACGTCCTACCAAGTAGCCACCAGGGGGGAAACTCTTTGTCTGTTTGTTTGTAGATGTTCTAGGCGTTCGTTGATTTGTTGGTGTGGGTTTGGTATCGGAATCTCGCGTTTTTCGGTCTGCACAGCTGTCCCTCTTCCGTAGCACGAGTGTGTCTTTAACTTTATCAGTCAACGGGATCAAGTAGCCCCAAACACCTTCTGCAGCCTCATCCTTAACTTCATCAACAAAGGCTCTAGGTGGATATACGAATTGCGAGAACGCTTGGGTATCCCCAGGTGGAGAGGAAAGGTTTTGAGACTCTGAATCGGGCGTGGGCTGGCGGGTTTGGTCGAGCTCGTCTGGCGGAGTAGCGGTACGTTCATGTCGAATATCCGTAGCAGTCGAATCATGGTGGGTCAATGGTGTTGGAAGATAGGTCTGTTGAATTGGGGTAACTTTTGTCGTCGAGGTTTGCGACGATATCCTCTCCGAACGACGCGGTTTTTTCAAATCCTGCGTATCGTTTTCTACACTTCTCTGCGGAGAAGACAGCATTAGTCAATACCCAGTAGAGCAAACCCACATTGCTACTTACACGGCCCCTTTTGAGGGAGCTTTTTTCTGTCTGAGGTGCCATTCCCCCTGTTTATGCGGCTGATCTCATGCTTTGGGACAAGTAAACCTGGATCAAGGCAAGGATTCTTGATCCCGGGTGAGCAAGCAGCCCTTTTGTCGATAGTTCGAGGACGCAGGTAAGAGACTGAATGTCTGGGCGGGAGAGGGTGGTTGGAAGGCTGGAGCCGACTCCGCTAAATAAATCTAAGCAAGCTGGAAGCCCGTCGTCTGGATAAACTCAATGTGGAGTAGTAACTCAAGAGCATGAAAATTGTATAATAACTGATACGAAATTAATGAGACTAAATCAAACTATGCTCAGTATAGTCTATAGAAAATGAGATAGAATTCTAGCCTCGAGGTATAATAATATAAAAGAGCCTCTTATTAAGAAGGGGGCGATGGCATCCACTACCTTACTGATAAAGGTAAAGGTCCCTTATTCGTGCAAGAATAAGCTATAGCCTGTATGTGTCAACAGGTTGCCCGAGGTAGAACTTTACTAGATATAGGATCTAACTATCTACTCCGTAGAATCTCTCTCATCATCTATTTTTAGTCTTGATCTCAGCCAGATTATTTTCATAAATATATAATATCTAGTTACCCCCAGCTTTATTACTGTTGTTGTTGTTGTTCTTGTTGTACTCCGTACTTTGTACTACTCACTAGTACATAGAAATTACTAATTGTGCAAATAGTACAGAGAGTATTTTATAGTTACTCTCATTAATTAATCATTAATTATCAGCTATTAACAATTTTCTTGATATTCAATTAACTAAATAGCGAGTTAACTGTAGTTAAATAGGTAGCTAATTAGCTAACTATTAGTACGATAATTCAGTTAATTGTAACTATAATTTGATTAAGCTAAGCTGAAAGGTAGAATTACAAAAAGTATACAACTAGTCATTATAATATTCTTATAAATCATAAGCATATGCCTATATACAAGCAACATCCGAGCAAAAATACCTAGATTATAGCTCAACTAGTATGAGGCACATCCTGGATCTAAATCCCAAATAGAATACTTTAGGCGCAAACAATTATGAGGTCATGGTTGGCCTGAAATCGATAAGAGCCTTGGCGTCCGTAGAACGCTGATTGTTGTAACCTGTCAGGAGTTTACCCTCTCAGGCAGACATACAACGCCTGCTTCGAAAAGCTAAACGCTACCATTTGCCGGGCTGACCAATATATCTGTGATTATGGATGCGTGAGCTCTTGAGCCTTATTGACAACATCAGATTGTTATTTGCTAAGCTAAAGGATGACAGCTATTCCACAGATATCAGACGGGCAGCATTCGAGAAGCTCGCGAAGCTTGCAGTAAATGGCCCGCCATGTGAAGAGAGTCAACAACTCATCCCCCGACTTACGGCCCCCTACAATTTTCGCAGAACAGCGGCCAATGGGCTATTCGATGATGTTTCCCGTATCCATGCGTCTGGTTCACGCCCCCCTATGGTTCGTCCTTGTGATCTCTAAAAGGAGGCTCTACTGGCATTCTAATCCATTGATCACTGGCAGGGGATGCGAGAGTTAGATGTCCTCCTTGGGCTATGCAAATCTGCCCCGTTTATCCGAAAATTGGGGCAAGCTTCGGAACTTACCTCGCACTTGTCTCAATACCTGCCAGAATCATACGGACAAGCTTTTCGGGCATCCCCTTTCCTGCGAAACATAGAACCATCACCCTGGGAGGTATTGACCTATGATCTCACGTCTTCTCTACTGTCAATTGGGGTCAAGTTTCCTTCATTGCACAAGCAGATTGAAGCCGTCATCGATGAGTATCTGAGCAATTGTGAAGAAGCTAGCCGGACGGTGATACCCCTTCAACACTCCGGGTTGGAAAATGAAAGCTACAGTTTCTCGCAGAAGTCCTTTGGTCTCTTGACAATTGCAGTCTCTCTTGTCGGCTTTTTGAAGGCATCTGCCATTCATAATACCTTCTGGTCAGCCAGCAAAAGGTTGCTGATCGTTAGTCAGCTGCGTGCGATATTTTCAGATGACTTTATGGTTGCTGTTGAAACTGCCTCATCGACTATACGTAGTGCAGCCCCATCTGATTCCGGTATCAAGGCCTGGAAAAGATGTACTCGACACTATGCCGCTCATGGACGGCCTCTAGGCGCCATGCTCGTACGGCAAGAATACATGCGGTTTGCCAAAGCTTGCGTGGCATCTGGTGTGACTAGCTCGAACGCCTCTTCTGGAGATGGACTCATGGATGATTATTTGAATGGTATTGGGATTGCACAGGGCAAAAACGATTCTGAACTTGCTCTTGTCGAATGCATCGCCGAAATTGTTACCGACGAGATTCATTTACTTGAAGATGGCGCCGATTACTTGCAACTCGGTTCACCGTCTCAGCAGAAACTTGCTTTCTCGGTCAAGGCACTTGCTTTGGTTGGATACCTGAACTGCTTGATCTTAGGTGGGGGGGCAGCGAATGCCGACACTTTCCTTGCGTGGCTAGAGGACACATTGGTAGATCCCCATCAAATGTCCTGCTATGAATTAGCAGCAGCTACACTCAAATGCATAGCAGCTATGGCCAGACTGATGCCGAATAGCGCATCAGGTGCAAGCCGTTCTCTTTTGAGGTTTATTGTCCAGAGAGGTGTGCTTACGGGTTCTATAATTGATGCCGCCGCACGCAGTCTGGCTCAGGTCCTTGCACTCCTTTCTCAAGATGCCATCATCACGACATTATACTCATTGGGAAACGTGCTAAGCCCTGTGGCTAGCCCGGAGAGACCATACCAATACCAAACTGCAGGAAACTTAATCGGACGCGTGGATACTATCACATCATATTCACCTCCGAAGAACGGGAGCATTGTTTCCATCCCTGTTAATGGTGAAGAGGATAATATGACCTTCAGAAATGTGACCCATGCTATTGTGGTTATCTCTACCAGCAGGAATGATGAGAAAATAAGTGCATTGGCCCAATCGATGCTGTTGCAGAAGATCGGGAAGGTAAACGCTGTGGTGGACTCATACATAATTCAAGAGGCCGCAGAATTGGCCCTAAGCAGTGAACAGGCCGAGTTCCAACTTCTCCTCAAGTTCTATGACCGGACTCATAGGGATGCTCTTGCCAAGGGTCATGCCATAGTCTCGGACGCCGTCCAAAATGCAATGAACTACCTCTCGATCCGATTAACACCGGAGTCTCCGCTTCACAAACTTTACCTGATCCATTTACTTGAAGGGATTGTGAACAAGGGAGATGCTACTGGCTTTGAGAGTAATCGACAGCAAGAAATGGCCTTTACAGCAGACGATATAACACCTCTCCTCAAGCCCCTGGCTTTGCTTGTGTCTTCCAATAATGAGACTCCGGGGGGTCATTCGTCAACTTCCAAATACGAAGAAGAAATATCATATATGTTTCGCGATGCGTGGTTCAATATGGCCGTCCATGGGATCACAGCTAATTCGATCGTTTCTCAGAGCCACAGCGAAGAGCTTCGTCTGCTTGCAAAATATTCGCCACCTCTAATCGCTGGAAACTATCTGGACGTTCTTGAAAGTGATGTCGAATTAAACATCATTCTCAGGCGTGGAGAGACCCCTCAACGTGTTGCGGAGCAGAAGAGGGTTCTGATTGCCGAGCTCCCTGGTCGCGAATCCGAGATTAAACGACTGAACTACCCCAAGGTTGTGTTCCTGAATGCAGCCCTTTTGATTGAAACATTCCGTGCTGCATCAGGTAACTGCACCAGTGTATTGGATTATTTCCGCGATCCTGCATTGAACACAGCTGAAATGGCCAGCTGCATGAGTGCTATTGCGGAGAAGGTCGTCAATTTCTACCTTAGCATGACTCTCTCTGGAAACCATGAACAATTTTCATCTTCGTATTTGGCAAAGCAACTCGCAGGGTTTTTTGCAGCTTGTTGTCATCGCATTGAAAGAGTCCAGAGTGTTGCTGTTTTCTGTGCTACGAGAATAATAAACGAGTGCCCTTCTGCGCTTTGCGAGAAGAGTTCTCTGTTTGCACTCCTCGAACTTTTGAGTGTCATGTGGTCGTCTTGTCTTGAAGGCGAGCTTGATGAGTTTGACTGGAGGTCTTCCTTCGTGTCATCTCGAGGGAATGTGAAAGTCGATCTATCGGATGACTATAACTTCAGGAAGCGTACACTAGATTCGTTCCTCGAAAGGGCTCGGGTGTGGGTGCCAATGGTAATGAACATCGCGCCACTAGATATCAAGGGTCTTCTTCAGGTACGCAACTGTCATGCACCTTTGTGTCTCTCACTACTCACAAGGGAACAGACCTATCTCTCCGAATATGATGATGAGGGCTCTTATGGCCATATATCATTGGGCCGTTCATTTGCTCTTGAAATAGGCTCACTGATCCCACAGAGTGATCAGCGTCTAGGTTAGTTCTCTGTTTTGATGGCCCCTTTCTCTACGATACTTATATGAAATCTCTGTTTTAGGATCTATTGAAAGGCACGATATTTCAGTCAATGTCAGCTCCGACTTCATTTCCCAGTACACGACACGGCAAAAGTATCGTTCTTCCGATGTGCCCCCATCTGTTCACGTGGAGGATGGTTTGATCATCGACAAAGGTTTGAATACCCTGGTGAAAGATTGTGTTTGGCCCATGGCCACTAACTGTGTCCTCGACAGATTTGAGCACCTCAAATTCTCCTTCCTTTGCAAATATTTCTCAGAACCTAGAACATTCACTGTCTTGTTTGTATGAAAAATCAGTGCGCGGTGAAGATGTGTCTCCAATTCAAGTGCGCGATGAGCTCCGACAAGCAGCGGCCGTCCTTTGCAGCAGCAATGAGATGCATCCATCGCTCATACACTACCTAGTGGTGTTACCATTTCAGATTTTCACGAAAGATATGATCAAACTTGGGATTTCCCTTTGGCTTGGTGTGATTCATGAGAAACCGCTTGCTGAACCAAGGATCTTGATGGAAGCAGCCGGAGAATGGGAGAAGACAGTACGCCGTCGGGGTGGGCTGTTTGATCCTTCTTTAGAGTGGGTTTCCTCTGTTTTATTTTCCAATGCTCTGTATGGTACTGATAGAAAAAGGCATCTCGATCCCATGCTCACCAAGATCGAGCTCTTACCAACAGACAAGGCCTTGCTGCTCAAAAAACAGCAAAAGGCCCAGAATACCATTTCGCCCCACAGTCGTCTCCTCCATTTTTTTGAAAGTCACTTCAATGCCATCCGACTATCTAACAATCAAAACCAACATCTCTTCTTTCGTCTAATCAGCAAGACCGTCATAGGGCTGCTTCATTCCAATGGTCATCCTTTGTCCAGAGAAATACATTTCCGTATTGTTCTTCTCGGACTGAAAGTTTTGAGGTATTCTACAGCAAAGAGCAAACCTGCTGCGTGGAAACTCAAGGACCAAATACTATCAGCTGCTTTGGGCTGGTTTAGGCATCCACCGAGGTATGCAATTCTTCCGAGCCCCTCACAATGATACTGTTAAGCGCTGACATTACCTCTAGATGGTCTTTCGGGGGTAATCGCCTGCAGATCAGGGCCGAGGATAAGGTCCTTGGGGATGTTGTTGCTGCTCTTGGACATGTCGCAGGGATAGCCACGCATAACCGAGGAGCTCTCAAACCACTCCAGGCTAAACAAGACCTTCTGAACATATTCATCGACAATGAGAGGGCCCGCCTTAAAGTCTGGTTGTTTCCTTTGGACCATGAGAGAAGACACCATTCATCTTCTCTTCTTGGGAACAAAAACTTCATAGAGGTTAGCTAAGTTCCTGCTGACCGTGTGACTATATTAATCCTAATGGAACTCTCTAGGAATCATCATCGTTGCTTCGTCTTGCTTGGGCGGAAACCCCCGGGTTGGCCATTCAGCTTGCTTCCAGATTCCCATCAGCGAAACTTCAAAATGATATCCGTTGGCTACTACTGAATTTCCCAGAGAAGGCACTCAACGAACCTCAAGGTTTGGAAATCCTATTCGGTTCATCACTTCCGGCGGATGTCTCATTCCAGCTCAAGGTTTGCTAGCTACTTTATTATGCACCTAATCGTTTACCTTGTTTTGCTGACCATGCATAGTATCTGTTGTATTGGGCGCCGGTGAACCCTATTGAAGCCCTCACATACTTCTTGCCTGCGTATGGTAACCATTCTTTTATTTTACAATATGCGATGAGAGCTCTGGAAAGCCATGCTATCGATGTTCGATTCTATTTCGTTCCTCAGCTGGTTCAAGCCCTGAGATATGACGCCTTGGGTTACGTGGAACGTTATATCTTTGAAACAGCAAAACTGTCACAGCTATTTGCTCATCAGGTGATTTGGAACATGAAGGCCAACTCCTACAAAGACGAGGACTCTCAAATTGTGAGTCACTTCTTTTTGCTCCTTGTTTCACGACCGACTGCTGATTAATTGCCACAGCCTGACCCTCTCAAGCCGACGTTGGACAAGTTCATGGAAATCTTGATATCCAGCTTTTCAAATGAAGAGCGGGAATTTTATGAGAGAGAATTCTCTTTCTTTAATGAAATCACGGACATCTCAGGGAAGTTGCGCCCGTATATCAAGAAGAGCAAGGCAGAGAAGAAGGAGAAGATCGAAGAAGAGCTGCGCAAGATCAAGGTTGAAGTTGGAGTCTACCTTCCCAGCAATCCAGATGGTGTCGTTGTTGGAATCGATCGCAAATCGGGCAAACCGCTACAGAGCCATGCAAAAGCCCCATATATGGCGACTTTCAGAATCCGAAAGACGAGAAATCGATGGGACGGAAGCAGCATGGGTGGGAGTACTGGCATTCGCGCTTCGAGCCATCAGCAACTCGTGGCGGGATCTCAGGAAACACTTGAATCGGAAGCTGTACAGGAATCCTATGAAGTGTGGCAATCTGCTATCTTCAAGGTTGGAGATGACTGCCGGCAGGATATGCTCGCCTTGCAAATGATTGCCGCCTTCCGTAGCATATTCGCCAATGTCGGACTGGATGTCTGGGTCTTCCCTTACCGAGTTACTTCTACAGCGCCTGGCTGCGGTGTGATTGACGTTCTACCAAACTCAATCTCTCGAGATATGCTTGGCCGTGAAGCGGTCAATGGACTGTATGACTATTTTGTGTCGAAATATGGCGGAGAGGACTCGATCAAGTTCCAAGAAGCACGCACCAATTTCGTCAAGAGCATGGCTGCGTATTCGGTCATATCCTACCTCCTGCAGTTCAAGGACCGACACAACGGGAACATCATGATTGATGACGCTGGGCACATTATACACATTGATTTCGGTTTCTGTTTTGACATTGCTCCCGGAGGTGTACGGTTTGAACGTGCTCCGTTCAAACTGACGTCCGAGATGGTTGCCGTGATGGGTGGCAGCCATGCCCATCATCATGGACACACGCCGGGCGGCTCTAGCAGTGGATTGAGCTTGCCTGGAGGACATTCTCATAACCCGACTACTACACAAGCTTATCAGTGGTTCGAGTCTCTGGTTGTCAAGGCGTTCCTTGCCTCGCGCCCTCACTGCCACAAGCTTTCTCATATCGTCTCGTTGATGCTCGACAGCGGCCTTCCATGCTTCAAACCAGACACCCTGAAAAATTTCCGTGACCGGTTTGCTCTCGACAAGAGCGAGCGAGATGCAGCGGAGCATATGCGCGAGCTCACCCGCAAGTCTTACATGAGCGTTTCGACTAAGGGTTACGATCAGTTCCAGCTCCTCACCAACGGAATCCCCTATTGATTGTTCCTTCCTTTCGCTTAGACCCTGCCCTATGATACTTGGAAACTTTCCCATCTCAGATCAAAAGAAAGACTCTCTTTGAACATTGTATCTCGTCTGCTTACCTTGATTCATACATATGCTAGTATTCAACTTAACTATATGCCGTCAAAGGGTAATCACACACTAGGAGCCATAGAAATCCTTCAAGTTGCCAAACTTTATCCCTTACTTTCCAAGTTGTTTCTACTTGGCATCCTTACGTTTTCCGCAATGAAATGACGTCATGGCATGGGAGAATCTCTTACCACAAACGAAGATGATCAGATTCGACTTGAGAGATGTGACGCGGGAGGTGTGATTCATCTCGCCTGTTTGTGCACTCACTACGGAAAACTTGACATATTCTGACGTAGGCCAAACTGGTTAGAGAGATTTTCGCTCTCTGTTGTTTCGATTGTGGGTGATGATGGCGGTGATGACTTCATGGCCGGAAATGGCAAGTGTCGGTTTTTTCCAACTGAAACGCTGTCTCTACTTGGTTCCATTTCGTCAGTATTCAATTGATTGAAGAAAATTTCTTTCTGTCAATTCCCCTCTTCTATGATTTTCGGATATAGACATCATCTTCACACGGGTCTATCAACATGCAGGACTTCAAGGGCAAGAACAAGCAGAAGGATGGCCCAGTTAATATAGAAAAACCTCCTGACCCTGTTACTGATTCCCCAGTACCGTTTGTGACATGGCGGTCTCTTGTGCTGGGAGCATTCGTCTCCATTGGAGGGATTATCTTCGGCTACGATACAGGCCAAATCTCAGGATTCCTTGCCATGGACAATTACAAGCGTCGTTTCGGGCAACGGCATAGTGACGGGACATACTATTTCAGTAACGTTCGCTCCGGACTCATTGTGGGCTTGGTATAGTTCCTCCTTTTGTATGACGACCACGCTAGATGCTGACCTTATTATATAGCTCTCAATTGGTACTCTGCTCGGTGCCCTGCTAGCCGGTCCGTTGGCCGACCGTATCGGGCGGAAATGGTCCATTGCCTTCTGGTGTGTCATCCTTGATGTTGGCCTCATCATCCAGATTTCATCGCCGTTCGGCAAATGGTACCAAATTATGATGGGCCGGTTTGTCACTGGGTTTGGCGTGGGGGCTTGCTCTCTCCTAGTTCCTCTGTACCAGGGAGAGAGTGCTCCTCGACAAATCCGAGGGGCTATGGTGTGGTATGCATTGGCTTTTCTTTTCTATTCTTTTTTTTTGACAAAGCAGCATGGAGCTTCTGCTAACTACTTTAAACCGTTAGCTCCTACCAGCTGTTTGTCACGCTGGGGATATTCGTCGCCTATTGCATCAATTTCGGGACGGAAAGTATCCAAAATACTGCTTCCTGGAGGATCCCACTCGGCATCACGTTTCTCTGGAGCCTGCTTCTGGGGTTCGGCATCCTAATGTTCCCCGAGAGCCCTCGGTACAATTTCCGGCACGGGCGGATTGACGAGGCTAAAAGGACCATGTCCAGGTTGTACGGGGTGCCTGAGAATCACCGCGTGATCATGGACGAACTGGAAGAAATAAAAGAGCAGCTCGATGCGGAAATGGCAGCGAAACGCGGCTGGCGAGGCTGGGTCGAGATCTTCCAAGGACCGAGGATGCGATACCGGATCTTCCTGGGGATGGCTCTTCAAGCGCTGCAGCAGCTCACGGGGGCCAACTACTTCTTCTACTACGGAACCGTGATCTTCAATGGAGCAGGCATCAGCAACGTCTATGTGACGCAGATGATCCTGGGGGGAGTCAACTTTGGCACGACCTTTGGAGGCTTATACATTATCGAGCATTTTGGCCGCCGCAAGTCGCTTATGACAGGCGGTATTTGGATGTTTGTCTGCTTCATGATCTTTGCTTCCATCGGGCACTTCAGTCTCAATATCTCAACCCCTCAAGAGACGCCTGGGGCGGGAAAGGCAATGGTTGTGTTTGCCTGCCTGTTTATTGCCGGCTTTGCAACCACCTGGGGACCGATGGTATGGGCCATTGTCGCCGAACTGTATCCCACACGGTACCGAGCGCGGGCGATGGCGATGGCAACAGCGTCGAACTGGCTGTGGAATTTCCTTCTCAGCTTCTTCACTCCCTTCATCACGGGCGACATCGACTTCGCGTACGGCTATGTGTTTGCCGGTTGTCTTGTTGTCGCCGTGTTGGTCGTCTACTTCTGCGTCCTGGAGGGCAAAGGCAAGACCCTCGAGGAGATGGACATGATGTACATCATGCGCATCCCCGCGTGGCGGAGCAGCAAATGGGTTCCTCCTCCGCCCGAGGAACGAGTCACAACCTCCCACGTTCTCGATCAGCGAATGGCCCAGAAGATGCAAGACAGCGATGCCGAGGCAGACCAAGGGGACCCGGACACGGCCAAGCCCCGGGCCACGCAGCATCGCGAAGGGGACGAGCAAGGTGCTTCGTCTTCTTCTCCACTGTAGGTAACGCCAGCTGTAGTAGAAGAGAGTTTACATATCTTTAAGATACCACGCTTCTTTTTGAGCCAATACTTAAAAGGTATATATATATATATGAAACTTCAGAATATGTGTATATTGCCAGACAGTTGCAATTTAGCATATATAGACATCAAACACCGGCCTGCCTTCTTCCTGGTACGCATAACGCTAAACCCGGCACTCAAAACTGGATCCAAAATCCCGTCCTGGCCAGCAGGCTAATCTGATAATTGACTGTATGTGGATAAACAGAGAAGGAAGAGACAGAAAAGACGGAAAAAAAAATGTCGGTTTCCTTGTTAATAATCGTAACCATGCAACCGAGAAACACTGTAAAAACAAAACGAGGCCAATATTCGAATCATATTACGGTTCATCATATCACGTAGAAAGAACCCTTTTCATAATCCGTTGAATAAAAGAAGAACAAAAGGTCAAGGTACCATTTTGATATTCGGTTCATCACCCGTGAAGTGAAGCCTTCGTCTGAGTGATTTTTGGATTTCTAGATGATTCAAGTCGCAGCCGTGTCATTGACTGCAGACATGAGATGGAAAGGGAGGGGGGGGGAGTTTAAGTCTGAGACTATAAGTAGTCCATGACTAGTGTTAAGAGAGAGGAGGGGGCGATGATGAAGATAGAAGAGAAGCTTAGGGTTAGTCCATGAAATCTCCACGCAGGATCTTCTCCTGGAAGAAATCTGGCTTGTTTTGTTTTGGCTGCCTGGGCATCTCACGCAGGGGCTGCTCCATCGAGGCGATGGAGGCCGCACGCTGGTGGTTGTGGTAGTGGCCGGCCTGCTGGCTGTGAGGCGGCGCATTAGGGAAGCCGGCGGCCCCGAGAGACGGGGCGCGTTCGGCGCGCGTCCGCAGGGCTTCAGACCAGTTGAAGCCCTCGCCTATTTGTCGCCAAGACGGGTTAGATTTCTCATTCTGAGGAATGGTTTTGTATGTACTTGCAACGACTGATGAAGGAGAAGAGAAAGGAGGTGGTGTTGGTGGCTGGGATGGCCGGTGGGCCCTCGTCCTGGATGTTCCCGGAGACGGGGGATATCTACCATTACCCACGCTTCCCCCACGGACTTCGCGCAGGGCCTGTGCGCCGAAGGAGACCCGTCGAGCAAAAGGCGAGTGCGGCGTGGCACCGGGAGGCGAGTTCTCTGGGTCTTCTTCCATCACTGCTTCCTCGTAGTTCCCTGGACTGGAGCCGAGGGAGCTCGACAGGCTGCCGCGCCGGAAGGGCTGGGTGTTGGAGAAGGGTGAGGTCTGGGTCGGGGAGCCGGAGAGACCGAGTGTGGTGATCGACAGCCTTCGTCGCTGGTCGGCCGGGGCATTGGCGGCCGCGCTGGACATGGTGTTGGGCAGCGTCGATGACGGGCCGTTATAACCAGCGCTGGCAGGTTTGGATAAGAACTCGGAGAAAGCCGACAGGGAGCCGCGCCGGCGGTTAGCGTTGGCGGGGGGAACGGATATGGGGGAGCTCGATCGGTCGGTGGACATGGTGGAAGGCGATAGATACAAGTTGATCCAAAGATGAAGATAAGAAAGGCAAATTGATAAGACAAGAGGAAGGCAAGCCTGGATGGCACAAGCCGCCGGGTCCTCTGAGCTATTGTCCCTTATCACTGAACCAGTAGGGGGAATCTCTTCTATTGTAGTGCAATAAAGGAGAATGCAGGGGCAGCAGCAGAAGCTATTTCCCGTCTCAGCCCTGGCAATGTTGTTTCGAATATATCGGAGATGACGTCAAGCAGGCGATCAATGCAAGGTGGATTAAGCGAGCTCAGAAATGTCAGAGAGAATAGTGATGACGACGACGATGGCAACTAAGCACACACGACCAGTTAGCATTTCGTTCTCCAGAGCTCTTCTTTTTTTTCCCTTGAAAGGGCGGTATTGGACAGCTATTTCTCCTGGAACCCAACGGTTCCAAAAGCAACTCTTCTCCGCGGCCAATCAAGGAAAGAAAACAACGATGGAAGGGACCCCCCCCCCCAAAAAAAATCACAGTTGGGGGATTTCTAGTCCACTCCATGGGTGGACGAGGGGTAGCAGGAGCGTCTGATTGTACCACCCAGGAGCGAGAGATCAGGAGAGGGAGGGGGAAGAAGAGGAACAGAACCACACGTACTCACACAAGACGAGAGAGATGCAGATGAAAGATCAAGCCTAAGGATGAGAAATCGAAGACTGAGAAGAAAAGAGCTGCTGGCAGTTTGAGTTTCAGGAGAGTTAGTTATCTTAAACTACCTGGGTGGTTAGCTAAGGTAAGTAGTAAGTACTGAGTAAGTACCTCCGTAAGTACCTCCTACCTTACCTTCGTACTAAGAGTCTTAGTCAGAGGTGTGCTACGCCGGATAGGGTATAGTGCATAATTACCCCACAATCCTGCTGCTTCTGGGGCTGCACACCGTGGCTAGAAGGGGTTTAGCGCTTCATGGGCTGTTTCGATCAACGTCAATGGTGCATCTGCGAATCAGTACTACATACTAATACTCCACAACATTACATATTTTGGATGCCGGAGTTGGAAAGAGAGGTATCACGATCGAATGAACTAGCTGGTTACTGCCTGACTACTAACTAGTATATTTCTGGACGTATCTTGAAATAATATATCAGTGTCAACTCCATGATCTACGGGTGAAAGTGTACCAAGTACCAGATTGGTGTTGAGCGAATGAATAATAGGCAGGCTGTACCATAGTTACTCGTTCCGGGAAGACAAGAAGAAGAGGAGGAGGAAAGTATACTCCTGGTGGGTCCGAGATTCCAAGAGGAATATAGAATGAATGACTGGATTTCAAAACGAGGAAACAACTCAAGTATTTACTAGAAGATAAAGTGAGAAACAAGAAATAAGCTGATTTGTGTGCGTATTATTTCCATGCCTCCCTTTTCTCTGTTTTCTGGCCGCAAGCAGCTCATTTTACCATCTCAACAAGTCAATAAATATATATGCAAAAAGATAAAAATAAATAAAAAAAAAAACAAAAAAAAAAAACAAAAAAGCACCATGCTAATTTTATATGATATTACCCGTTTCCCTGTATTATTTTTGATGGTCGTAGTCATGGTCATTCATCATTTACCACTTCCGTTCCTTTCTCTCTCCATAGGATATTCTATTTTTTAAGAAAAAAAAACAAGAAAAACATCTTGGACGAGAAAGACAAGTGTGCCTTTATTATTGGTAGTTGCCGTCGGAAGGTTGATACGCAGACAGAGCCAAGCCCCCTGTTGGTGGTGGTGGTGGTGGTGGTGGGGTGTGGAAGAGCTGGACAAGTTTCCTGCCAACAGTGGGCTCCAGCTCGGTACCGTCTCGTGCGATCTTCACCTCTCGATTGGCGTTCCATGGATTGCGCAGGCCGCGAGTGCGGTAGAAGGGCACCCGCTCCGTGGAGAGCCACTCGATGCGAAACGGTTTCCCAAATGATTGGCCAACGGGGCACTGGGCGTTGTCTGTTGTTGTTGATGCTGCTGCTGCTACTGTTGTCTCTTCAAAACTTCGTTCACTTTTGGCGTCATCATCGTCCTCATCATCCTCGGATGACTCTGCCTCCCAGAAGATTGTCCCTCTTGCCGAATCGTCGAGGATCCTTCCCCTGGGAGCGGTAGAAGTCGCCTCGGTGATCACAACCTCTATGTCTTCGGACTCGGTAACGGGACGGTCTGGTCGCGGCGGCATCTCCAATGCGAGGTTTTCATCTTCGTTTATCGGGGAGATCATTCGAGCGTACCCAAAATATTCCCCGGACTTGTTTGCTGAGAAGATCAAATAGACATCGCCTGCGGACTGAGAAGAAATGTGAGTCAGCTTTCCACTTTGCCGTACTGCTAGCATTTTTAGATGCAAGGGATCTTCCTAGTTGCACTCTTACCTCATAAGCCCGATTGAGAACATCTTCGTTGTGTGTCTGTGTAGCCCAGATCCCGCTCTGTCTGCTGAGTTCAAGATCTTCAACCGTCAAGCTCTTTACAATAAAGTACCTCTCCGAAAACCGAGTGTCGCCCAAGTGCCTGATCTCTTCCGGGTTCGTCTGACGAGTCATCTGCGACTCGGAGCTCTCGGCCGGCGTGTCTAATGTATCCTTAGCCTCTTCGAATGATGAAGAGCCCCCAGTCGTCCCCCAATGGGATGCGCTTGGTCCGGGTGTAGTCAACCCTCGACGTGAGCGGCAGACAAGGCGAACCCCTTGAAACATGGAATCGTGGAACCGTGCCAGTGCTACGCCGCAGGCTTCCTCGGTCTTGTAGTTCACAAATGCACAGTTGCTTTTCGATATCAGGAAGACGCTTTCGATATCGTTGGTCGCGTCGCGGGAAAAGTGGTCCTTGAGATCCACCACATTGGCGCTTGGGGGTAGGTTCCCCACCCAGAGAGCGTGGCCGGATTGTTTAGGCTTTCGGGGAGGTCCTCGGGGGGTGCTTGGAGTGACAGCAGGTATCGATTGTTTCGGGGGAGAAACTATTTCATGAGATAAACAAAGGTCAATGATGAAGAATTCATCTTTTTTTCAACAAAGTCCATGCTTGGGAAGACGATGTTTGTTTGGATAACTCACCTTGTACCTGAGCTTGAGGCCTAGCCGATCTCATGGGAGTAGAGCCGTCCACTATGACCGCCGAAAATTCATGGGTTGACGGTAGGGGCCGTCGCTTCCCATTGTCACCGGCACCCATCGACCGAGATGGTGATGGGGAGAGATTCTGTATACTGCGGTAGTCCAGGGCAGGTTGGGAGCTCACTTGCATCCTCATAGCCTGTTGGCCGTGCGCTAATTGCATATGATGATACGGCAGTTGGTGGTAATAAGGCTGGGTATACATAGTCGATTGATCCGTCACAATATGCCCCAATTGTGGCCCTGTACCCTGCATATACATTTGATGGTAGGAGTCTGGTGGGCCGTGCGAAAGATGTGTTGTCTGCTGCTGCTGCTGCTGATGTTGCTGATGTTGCTGATGCTGCAGATGCTGCAGATGCTGCATGTAGCCCGGGTATGCTTGGGAGTATGCCGGAATACTGTAGGCCGGATTGTTACCGTCTAGATGGCCTGCAAACGGGACCAAAGGAGGAATGTGGTACATGATTCCCTGAGATTGAGCGGTCTGAAGGTAATGCTGCGACATGTTTCTCTGATGATCGAAAGCCATCGCGTGTGTTCGGTGGTACGGAGGAGAAGTCGTCGAACCCATGTTCAGATTCGGTAATCGAGGGCCATGAGCATTGGTGACCGCAGGACCAGATGTTCTTTGACGATGGGCTATCCCCGAAGGTTGGTGAACCGGATGCGCTACTGCTACTGGCGGCCCCGATGGTTGCATGTTGGGATCTATCAATAGAATCGAAGTATTGGTTAGCCAAAGATTTCTTTTTCAACACCCCTGACAATTGCGGCGAGCAACTATCAACCGATTTCGTACAAAGGGGCTCTCAGACTTACGAAGTCTGTTGGATGTCTCATATTGCAGCGGTGACTTGGAGTTCTCTTCAACTACCACCCCCTTGGTCGTGTTGAGTCGAACCGGAAGATCATCGCCCATTGGGCCCGTGCGAACTGATAGAGAGAAGAAAACATTAGCGCTAGTGGTTTGAAGGCATGGAAGGAGTGCTGATAGTAGGCGCCTTTCTGAAGTGATTACGGATTGGTGGCTATCGACTTTTGAATCATACAGCAGAAGTGTAAACATACCTTATCTAAACTCTACTGGGACCGCGAGGTATATGCCGAGATATGCAAGAACTCCAACCCCGTATGTTTTGAGCTGTGCAGACCACCACGATCTGGCTGCTACAATGCCCTGAAAGGTATATTTTGAATACCGCGACCCAGATGCAATAAAATTAGGCGAACACTATAACCTGTAAGTTTAGAACCCCGAGAAATCACCTCTGCATGCTTGGAATGGCCAAAGACTTCAACCGAAATATAAGAGCAAAAATTTCGGTTTGAAACGAAGTGCATTTGGTGGTTGGAGGTCGAGGGAAGGATTGGAAAAGGGAAAGGAGGGAAGAAAACCAAAGGACTGCCAGGCGCAGCAAAGCGGTTCAAAATTTGGAATTGGGAGATTGTGAGAAAGAAAGAGCATCCTAGATCTGCAAAATAGAACGCCCAACATGGTGCAAAAAATGATTTGACAAAGTTGTATGTATGGAGTAAGGATACATAGAGAGGGGCCACAGTGTCAGTGTGTGTGTGTGTGTATGTGTGTGTGTGTGTGTGTGTGGAAGCGGCTTACACCGAACAACAGAGATCGAAAGGGGTGATCCCCAAGCCACTTAGGGTTGAAGGGGAGAAGAGCAATGGGTAGGAGATGAAGATTGGAAAGAACAGTGATTAAGTGGCGTGTTGGATGACGGGATAAGGTAGAGGGAAAGGAAAATCCTGTTTCGTAAAAGGAACGAGACTGCAGCGGAAATCTTCCATACCTTGAGACAAGGCGGGATAGGCAGTCTTGACTGATTGGGGGGGGGGGGCCGATGGCGCCCAGGGCCGTCACGGCTGTATTTTGTCCTGATCTGACTGGATACAGAAAGATCGGTCTGGAACCGTCTAGAGTGGTGCCAACAACCAGAGGGAAGACCGGAGGAGGTAAGAAAACGAATGAGGAATAAGAGCTGCAAGCTCCGGCTTTCAATTCAATGCGGTTGATAATTGAATGTCGACCACGGCAAGTCAGTTAATGAGACTCCAAAAGAGATCTTCGCCTCCAGTTCATTCCTCCCCCTTTTAACAATGTGACAGGGTCTGAGACCAATCTGGCCAATTGTTGTCTGGACACAGGGCCGAAGGTAGGGGGAGAAGAGAGCCGCACCTTCGATGCGCCTAGTTCTCGAAGTGGCCGAGTAGATGTGTGGCACGACGGAGCCCGATGATTATTGCGTTTTGTAGGTTGACGCGAGACACTAATACGGTAAAAGCCGTTGGGGAACGGCACTGTACAAGCGTGGAGCCTTTAGAGCTGACTAGGAGGCCCAGCGCGTCCCGGCGGGCCCCTACTGGGGCTCTCAAATATGACAACGTGTGGAGAGAGAGGCGTCTGTAGAGCTACAAAGGATCACAATGGTAGAGTGATCGATATGATTAAGATCCTCGTCGCCCCTGTTGATGTGGCTGAAGATGTGGTGGCGGTCCCAGAGAAGGCGAGTAGACAGATCTCTTCGGCCCAAGACTCGAGGCGAGGACGGAAGTAGAGACGGAACGATGATCCAACTGGTCATGCTCACGTTGAAGACCCAATGTTTCGTCTCTGCTGCCTCAAGCAGTGTTTAACCCCCCCAGTGCGGATCAAACAGAGATCCACAGCTTTGGTTCGTGTGGGCAGCGCCCACACCCACCAGAAGGAAGGAGTTGGTTGGATACAGCCAAAGGGATTTTCTCTGCTGAACTCGTCAGAGGATGATGAGAGGCCGATTGAGCCGGGATTAAGGTCAGTAGAGGAGATCTTCAATGGGGGTCTGCCATGTAGTCTCCGGGGCCGAACCGCCCCATCCAAGGCTGGATACCTGAGAGATTGCGTGAGAGCTCTGGAAGAGGCAACGAACTATATCCGTGAATATGCCGAGTCGTCAGTTGCTAATTGGATGGGCTGGAAATGCCGATACGTTGTGACCGATGGCAGGTTATTATTCTTTTCTTTTATTTTCCCTCCTTTTCCTTCTGTTTCTAGATGAAAATACCTGTGTACTTGTGGGCCCCTCTCACATGCTCTAGGAGTATGTAGGTCAATCTAGAGATCCAGGCACAAGCGGGAAGATTGGGCAAAATGATCTGTGACGACGACCAGGGACAGAGGGTGGCGAATGGGCCCACCGATGGCACGCATTCCATGTGCGATCAGTTGCTTCGTCTGGAAGCTTCGCAGACGTCGGTGGTGGCAGTGATGGGTCATTATTCAGGCCAGAGAGGAGCGAAAAAACGCCCACGTATGCGGACCGTCGTATTATTACAGCTTGCATTATTGGATTGGGTCCAGGATTCCTGTCGAATCAACGGTATGCCTGGTTTATTGAACCTTCCATCTGGCGGTTTGGACGGGGCTAGTCTGGGCGGGTTCGACTCCGTTCGAGGCCACACTGGAGCTCGCTCCCCCCCAAGACCAGCTCTCTCGTCGTATCACCACAACAGCCACCATCAAGAGACAATTTGGAGCCATCAAGGCACTAACGGGGTATCCTGTTATCCAAACAGTCAGTTGCCTAGTTCTTTATACGTAGTGATTAGCCTATGTGGGGGGGGGGGGGGGGGGGGGGGGGGGTGGTAGGGGAGGTTACTAGGGTGTTGCCACTGTCATGAGAGAGAGCACAGATGATGTCGAAGGGGGAAAAGGGAAACTGGATTTCGTCATCGTCAATGCCCAGAGCCTCGTGGAGCCAGGATGGAAACCTTTTGACCCGCCAGGCATTCAATTGATCCGGAGGAGACGCAGGGGTAGGAGGAAGTACGGAGTAAGAGCGTTGGTATCGCTCGGGCCCGGAAGGTGGTGCATTCCCACTAGGCCCGATCGACCGTCACTAAACGGCAGGGACAAGCTTTGACAACGTATTGTTATTATTCCATTCCAGGTTCCAGGGTTCTTTCCTAGGTATTGATTTATTATTACTAGTATTTACCTTGGTGTTCTCAGTCAGTATACGCTCCTTGAGAGACAGCAGCGAGTCTTACCGAGCCAGACTCTGCTCCCTCAGATACCTAAGGTACTAGTTAGTAGGTATTCCATAAGTCACCCAGTCTCTCAGACGGCTTTTCGGGACGACATACCAGCCAATCAACGACGGTCTGTGTAGGGCCTCTCGAGGACCCCAAATCGGGAATTTGCCGATGGCCCAGAGGGAGGCCAGAAGGAGGAGATCGATCGCGGTGACAGCGTCTGTTCTCGTTAAATTTCTGGTATACCTTAGTTACTACTAGAATATGTTATCCACAGCGAGGTAACGCCGTCTGCCCAAAGGAAGTCGGGCACAACTGAAGTCTGGTAAGGGTAATTGTAATATTACCACCGAATACCGGTATCCTGTCTCGGTCGTACGATTGGCGTCGAGTATCGGAGCCGAGAGCCTCTTTTTTTTTTCATTTGTCCCCAGCTGTACGGCGTACGGAGTATGGCGGACTCCTTATCCGCAGCAGATCCTCTCGGCAAACGTCATACATACAGCAGCACATAGGCAGAGGTAAGAAAGTGCCGGCAGTTCTGTTAGGGAGGCGTTGCCTATTAGTTGGAGTACCGAAGCAGGCAGGGATGTTAGCCACAATATGTGTATGCAGTCACAGGTACTAATGTCATAATAAATTCCCTATCACATGCTCACTGCTCACTGTCTCAGTCTCAAAGTCAGGTGATGCCGTTAGTCTCGTGACCTCCGACTCGACCACTTTCTATCACATTCTGATCATGTTGTCTCGTCCGAACCCCTTAACGCACCTCAGATTCCACGGTGGAACCAAGAAGAATCTAAAGGATAGACAAGACACAAGAAACGGTCCGAAGACGAGGCAAGCCACGGTGAAAGGTTTGATTTGACTGGATCAGCCGTCAGCAGGCTTGACGGCAGCGTTGACTCGTTGTCTCGTTGTCTCGTTGACTCTCGCAGATACCGCAAGGACAATCAATCCATGCCCCCCCCCCTGGAGATCCGCAGTCAACCGCCCAGGTTGGACGAGTCAAGTATAGAGACTGCAGCAGTGACACCAGGGCGTGGGCTCTTTCGACATCATAGCCGGCGCAATCGTTGGGTCCTATCTGGAGTCCCGCAACGCCACACACATCATCGACCTCACCCATCGATCATCGCCCTCAGCATCACCACTCGCCCTCACCCTCGCAACGCCTCTTTTCGTTTCCGTGCTGCTACTATTTTCGGCATTCCGTTTGCAATCGCCGCTCAAGCCCGTGCCTGAAATTGGTGTCCAATTCTGGAAGCTATCGGCACCTGTGTGGCGCCCAAACGGACGTCGTCTTTCTTCAGCCATCTTCGTCAACCAACTCGATTGCTCGAATTGCCCGGCGCCTACGCAAGCTATTGACTATTAGAGCAGGATACATAGTACATCCCGGACATTATCCGTGGCCACCAACAGCATCGCCAGGCGTCTAGTGGCAACTCCCCAACTTGCACACTCATGTGGGCTTAATCATAGGGTCTTGTCGCTGCAATTTTCTCGCTGCACATGCCTCGACCCAAATTTGGTCTCCTGATCAAAGCTGAAGAGCAGGGAGATGCCCTGCCGCCTGCACATCTCACTTGATATCATATGCATCTGGAACTTCACAGTACTCCGGATTCTCAGATAGGTATGTGACCGGATAGAAGGACGGCATGAACGTGGAATTCCTCGTTATAGGACCCTCACATTACAAAGAAGCAAAAAGGGAAGTCCAGCCAAGTGAATGTAGAGGATTGGATTCTATTGCGTAAATGGGAATCGAATACAAATTCAACCACCCCGAAGGACCACTTGCACACCCTGCCGATACTCTGTATAGACATAGACATAGACCCTCCCATACAAGTCCATCATTAAGGTTCCAAAGTTGATACATGAGACATGAAAAAGAATCAGTAACAAGAAAAGTGTTTCAAATGGACATTCCCAACCAGTAGAGTTGAAGTAGCATAATGATGTGAAACAAAAACAAAGTCAAGTCAAGTCAAGTCAAGTCAAGTCAAAAAAAAAAAAGAAAGTCAAGACATTAGGTCAGTCAGTCAGTAGTCCTCTCTGGGTGTCTCGGTCATCATCTTCATTAATATAGATTAATATTATGAGCAGGAAGAGGAACAAAAACAAGGGGGAGGGAGAGAGAGAAACATTTCATAAAAAAGTAAACTCATCATAAGAAACAAAAGAAAAAAAAAAGAAAAGAAAATCATCGATCAATGCCTAGGGAGGCTACCTTGCCTGCAAACCGCGCCCCTGCACTCCCTCGTTTGTAGAGTCTCTCGCGCTCCTTGCTGTCCAGGGGCGGGAGGGAGGAGCCTGACGACAACGACGAGACACCACCCGTGGAATCGCCGCGGATGGTCGGCAGCGAGCCAAGGGTATCGGCCGGGCCGGGCCCCGTCTTGCCAGTCCCATGGGAGGCGGCGGCGGCGGCAGAGCCATGGAGAGCGGCCAGCCGTGCTGTGCGCTGGCTGAGGTAGAGCTGCGCGGCGGGCGAGAGCGGGATCGGCGGCGGTTGCGAGGGGATCTCGGCGCCGTTCTGGACAAGCAGTTCGGCGATTGCAAAGGGGATCGCCTTTGGCGGCGCCGTGGCCGTGCTGGGCCGGATGCTGCTCGAGGGCGTGAGGCCGGGTGAGGCCGGGTCTGCGGCCGCCAGGGCGAGGAAGACGGCATGTGTGTTGCGCGACCGGTCGGCGATGTTGAGGTTGGCCCGTAGGGCGATCCCGTACAGCACGCCCTGGATGTCATTCTTCTTGATCGAGGCGAGCAACGTCTCGTCCGCCGTGGCAAAGCGAGACCGCAGCGACGGGAGCGGTTCGACGTACGCTCGGTCGCTGTACTTGGCTGTGATGAACCTGAGCCGCTGTTCACGCGTCGAGCCGGCCGTCGGTTTCTGCAGTTGGTCCAGCGTCCCCTCCCAGACCATATTGCTGACTCGGTTCCCGATCTGCAGAAGGATCTCCACGATGTCGTTGGAAAAGGAGTTGATATCCAAGGTCAGCGAGCGGATCTTGGAAATGTGCGTCCCCAGGGACCGATGGATGCCGCTGCACTCGATGCACAGGACGATCCCGAGATTGATCGACACCCACTCCACCTTGGACGTCGAGCCGCAGTCAGCACACCAGTTGTTGCCCTGGTCCGCGTCCCGGACGGCCTGCAGGAGCCGGGAGGGGTGATCCTCAAACGTGTTGCTATCAATCCGTCCATAGCTGGGCCGTGCACCCACGGTGGTCCGCCGGTTCACACTGGTGGTAGATGGCGCGCTTGAATAAGAGTGCTGGCCCGAGTACGACGAGCTCTTGCCCGTGAGCACAGACCCGATATCGCGGCCAATCGGGCTGCTGTTGTTGTTGTCTCTCCGAGACGATAGCGACGCCTGCGGGGAAAGGCTACGGCCTTCGACGGCGCTCTGCAGGGCGTTGTTGATCGATCGGATCCAGTTCCCCATGTCGTCCTCGGACGTCGCCTGGTAGATCCGTTTGTACTGCGGGGTGATGACCTCGAAACAGAACCGACGCTCGGCGTTCCGTGCTTCGCGGACAGATGCCATGCGTAGATCAATCGGCTCCATGTGTAAATCCAGCTTTTGCTTCCAATTGCTATATTCGGACAGTTTTCCTTGATCCAAGACGATCCAGAATCTATTCATATCAGTAAAAAATAAACTCTTTCCCCCCCCTTTCTTGGAGCAGAATATGAAAAACTCTTACTTGTGCCAAGCTTGCTTGTTAATACCCTTTGGATCGATATGAGATCCCGGCCGAGACAACGCCCAAAGAAGCCCCTCCTTTCTCTGCTGGGTGGCAGCACGGTCTGTATTGCAGGGGTCTCGCTCCTCAAGGTCGCGGATGCCTTTGAAACGGTTCTGGGACGAGTTCACCGAGCCGATGGATGAGCCCACCGCGGTAGCAGCCACTGTGGACGAGTTGACAGGCGCCGCATTGTTTTGCATGGAGATCGAAGACGAGTTGCTGGTGACATTCCTCAGCTGGGAACCCGTACTATCTGCTCGGCCCAACTCTGCCTCGGATCCATGGCCGTTGCTGATGCCACTCCCCGGCATGGTTGGTGGCGAGGACGCATTATTACCGGGGACATCGGGCTCCGTGTAAGTGTTTGACGGTTTCTCCAAGGCTCGGCGTTTTTCCTCCCGCTCCGTACGCTGGAATTGAAACTCTTTGTCGGCCTGGCCCACCTCATGGATGAGGGCATCCAGTTGCGGGACCATCTCCTCGATCTTCTGGGCCGCCGCTAGGAAATACTTGGCCTGCGTGTCGGCGTATCTGGTCAGATGGGAGAGCACTTCCTGCTCCTTTCGACCGCCGTGAAGATCTTGCATGAAGGAGGAATAGTCAAACCGTTTGAGTTCGAAATTGCGCCGCTTCGCCTGGTACTTGGAATCACTCTCGGCGCGCTTCTTTTCCTTCAGGGAATCCTGCCGTTGGCCCAGGTAGCGGCTGACATAGGCATAGTAGTCCCTGCTCTCTTCCTCAAAGTCTTTCTTCTTGGATTCAGCCTGCTTGATGTCGTTTTGGTAGAGCTTGACGATCGGTTCAATGACCAGTTTCTGGAGCTGCAGGGCGTTGAGCTGTTCATAGTTGAGGATCTGGCGAGCAATCTTCTCAAAGTAATGATCCATAGCCGGCTGGATCGCATTTGTATTTGAGGTGGAAGCGTCGCGCAGCGCGGTCAAAAAGGCCTCGACGGCTTCATTGCACGAGGTCTGAGCCTGTTGCGCTGCTTCGGCTTTCTTGAGCACCTTTTTGATCTTCGTGCGGAAGTTTCCCGTTTTCTGCTCGAGTGCCTTCATCGTGGCGCGGAACAGTGGCCCGTCCTCCACCGCACTCATATCCTCTCCAGGCCGCGAGTGTGGAAGATCGACCTTGACGGGTACGGGGACTGGGATCGGGGGCGGCGCCGTGGACGGCGGAGGAGGCATCAAACCCAAGTCGATTGCCTCTGGCGGTGTCGGCGGAGGCACAGCGGCAGCAGTAGCGACAGCAGCAGTAGTAGTAGTAGCAGCAGCAGCAGCAGTGGCGTCCGTCGCATCACTCGAATGCGAGAGGATGGAATGCGAAGACGGGACGCGGTTGCGCGCGGGGACCCCGATCTCCAAGTTGGGCGAGGAGAGGTACGGGGGAAAGATGATGCGGGCAGTATTCTGGACCCAAAAGGAGAAGTGGGCGAGGGTGTTAAGGCGGTTTGCCCGCTGGTCGTATTCGAGGAAACTACAGCTGTTCCGCCAGCCACCGCCTCGATCCTCAGTCGACTTGGGAGGCTTCCATTTCCACGACCATTCAAACTGTACCGAGGGACTCCCGCCGGTGGAGTAGTCGCCCACCAGCTGGACGTTGGAGTTATTCTGCAGGTTCGGATTCGCATGGAACTCGCGCGTGATCAGATTGTCCAGCTCCTTCGAATTGGACGCATGCGCAAAGGTAAGCCCCGTCAGCACCGTATCCATGACTTCCGGGAGTGAGGTCGACACGCCATTCACCGTCGAGTTGGCCACATTGCCTGTCTGCACCTGCCGTAGGATAAATGTAAAGGTAAACTCCAGCTCTTCGTTGTTGGTTAGCCGTAGAAGGAAGGTCGGTCCAGATGCTGTAGGGAGGGTATCAGGATCCTAAGAAGATTAGCATAATCCCCCCCCCCCCCACTAGACATTACTATTGGTATATATCGCCTAACACCATACCTGTACATATTCAACAGGACTATCATCGCCAACGTCGCGTTTTGCCGAGTATCGGGTTGCGGGGAAAGCATTCGGTGTGAGATTCAACACCTTGCGCTTCGAGTTACTGACGGCGACAGACGCAATGCTCACTACTCAAGATGACCAGTCAGTTGTTTTATTTCGCAAACGTCGATACACATCGAACAAAAAAAGACGTACACTTGGTTTGGTCCTTGAGAAACAGGTTCCCAGAATCATCCAGGCGGCTTCCGACGTTGCCCATGGTGCGAAAGGCGCAGGCGAAACGCCGCTCTCAAGTCACAGCTCGCGTGTCCGGAACGATACCGGGCGATTGAATTGTCACCATCGACGGATGACGCGGAAGACGAGGAGCGCCCACGCTGGGGGAGCTGGATCGTCGTTCGAGACAGGAGGAACAGCAGGAGGAGGAGGAGGAGGAGGAGGAGGAGCAACGGCAGCAGCAACAACAACAGCAAGGCGTGGTGGCAAGCGGAGACACTGTCGTCATTCAGCCCTCGACAAGCTGGCCTGGATAAAAGAGCTGGGTTGCAGACACCCTCTGCCGCAGAGCTGATGGGGGAATCTCAGCGGACAGTCTGAAGGTGTGTTTGTCTTTCAGCTAGGGGGGTTGGGCGGGGGGGCGGTTGGTGGTGGTGTAATTGTACGAACCGAACGGTGTGTCTGTAGAAGAGAGGGGGCTGAGCATGGGAAATAATAATGTCCCGGAGATCCTAATTAATTCTCTGCAGCCCTTGAATTAGAAAGTTACAGCAAGTGTCTTTATTTATGATAATAACTTCCTATTGAAAGACTTTTCTTCATTCTCGCTCTAGAATAGATACTGACTCGTGTTTCACGTTCTGCCGCCCCAATAATAAGCAAAAGAAATATGAAACAAATCGACCACGAGGCAGATGGGATTCTAGGCAGCCATCAAGAATTCGATATTATTAGATTTCTAACTATTTACACTCGTCATCACATCAAATAATACGACATTTACAAAAGAATACATGGTATCTGGTATGGTCAGTTGACGGGCGATGAGCATCGGCTGTTGGCCTCACGAACGGGCTCAAGCGGTGGTTGCGAGTCGACAGTAGTAGTCTGAGGAGGGGAAGGCTCCATGTGAGTGTTCTGAGGATGCTTGGGCTGTCCATCGCTCTCCGCCCATTTGAGGACCTGGCCCTTTACGTCCCGCATGTCGTGCATCCTTTGCGCCAGATCGCCCCGGTGCTTGGTCGACACGCCTGCGCGCTCGTCGAGGGCTTCCTCGTCCGAACTCGAGATGGACAAGGAAGACGCACTGCTGTCCTGCTGGAGGTACATGATGTGTTGGCCCTCGTTCTTCTTCCGCTCCCGTTGTTCGTCTTTCAAGGCAGCCATGCGATCGGCGTCTTTCTGGCAGTCTAGGGTGGTCACATGGAGACCAGGAAGATTCTTCGAGAAAAACTCCCGCAGCAAGTACAGATACTCTGCATTCGGACGGTAGGTGCCGCTGTCGTTGTCGATGAAGAGCTCGTAGTCGCCCGGATCAGTGGAGACATCAGGGACAGCCTGTTGTTGCTGTTGTTGTTGTTGTTGTTCTTCCTCCGTTTCCACTTCTGTCGCAGGAGCAGAGGTCACCGTATTGGTGGAAAGAGACAGATGCCGGTGGCGATGCTTGTGTCGCCGGACAAAGAACTCGCCAGAGTAGGCGATGTAGATCGACACATCACTGTGCATCGTGTGCTTGCTGAGCATGTCGATGCCAAATTCCTTGCCCGTCTCGGTGAAGCGAAACTGCCCGTCGAGAGTGAGGACGTAGGTAAAGATGCGCCCGCCTTGTGCAAAGTGAACGAACTCGAGGAACTTCTGGGTCATCTCCAGACACGGCTCTGTAAACGCGCCGTGCAGCGTCGTACGATCGAAATTGTATATCCGGTCATGTTGGTGGTGGAGGGCTTTGTGTAGGATCCGTCCTCGCAGGCTATGCGAGGTGAACATCCCAGCAACAAAGGGCCGAAATTCGACATATCGGTGGTAAAGCTGCGGGGGGACCGGGCCCTGGAACTGCATCTGTATAGCTTGAAAGCTGGGACGTCAACACCAGTAGATCTACTCCGAAGCACCCCGGGGGAAAAAAGGAAATTTAAAAAAAAAAAAAAAAAAAAAAAAAAAAAATACATACTTGTACCGACTGGTCGGTTTCGCTCCATTCTGAGTCTGCACCTCATCTTTCGTCCCCGTCAGACGCCCGATCAGCGGCGAGAAGTGCTTGAACCATATGTTGGGTCCAACCGTATACACCTGCCCGCCCTGGTCGCCGGGGGTTCTCCCCAGACATTCCACGCTGACGTCGAGATGGCCGTCTCGCGCGTGGCGCGAGACCAGCGCCGCGACGCCTCGGAAGAAATACACCCGCTTGCTGCCCATGCGCTTCTTGATGTGGTACGACTGCCTGTGAATCCCGGCCCAGTTCTCATCGACCGAGGCGGCGTCGACGTACGCGTTGCCTAGCCGGTCGTCATGGTCCGCCGGGTCTTCGTCGTACAGACAACATTTCAGCTGGAACCCGGACGCCGGCACATTGGCGACAATCCACTCGCTCTCCCACACCGGGTTGGTGTCGCGCGGGATGGTGTGCGTTCGGAACGTGAGGGCCGGGTCTTGCTTGTGCCGTTTGGGCACGTCAACGGTGAGTTGCGCCAGGACATACGGATCCGACGAAAGCGTGCTGAAGTCCGCAAAGGGGAGATTCACCGCTCGGTGGAAGGTGAACTTGAGCGTGTATCCGGGCGGCGCAGGGGGGATCGGGGTGCCGTCAAACCCCCCGGCGGGCTGGTTCTCACTGGACGACAACGACGTCTTCGTCTTGCCATTCGACGCAGTCGCAGTCATGGCCCGATCGTGTAGCTTTCCCGTCTTCTCAACGAACTTGGGGCCATATTTGTCAATCGGTCGCATAGGCCGAGACTGGGGCTGCACGTCGCCCATCCTGACTGAATCTTCGTATATACTTTCGTAGATACTTTTTTCTTTCGCAGACTAACCTACCGAGTTTGATGACTATTAATTATTCTATTAAGATATAAGACGTGATTGTAATGCAGATCGCACACAAAAAAGAGACAGAGAGAGAGAGAGAGAGAGAGAGAGAGAGAGAGAAAGGGGGAAGATTGGAAAACGCGGCCTTGAGATCGTCAGAAAACCGAGTGCGGCCAAACTCCCACTAACAGTTCTTTTGAGAGCTTGTGGCTTGCTGAAAGGGATGACGTTTGTTCGAGTATGATAAATTATTGACCTTACCTCGGTACACGAATCACTGCTTTGCAAAAGAGGTAGCCAGGGCTCTAACCTAGAATATCTAGAACCAGGCAGCTCTTTCGTTACTCGAACCGCTTCAACTCATGATGAACCATTGAGATAAACCCAGCTGAGTGACATCATCATGAGGGTGGATAGGGCGATCACGTGGAACGCGAGGTTGATCCTTTGTTGCACAGCGTCGAATGACTGGCATTACAATAATAGATACCCCTCCTAGTAGGTTAAGTAACCTTGGAAGATGACTGGTACAGAGTAGATTGGCTATCTTGGTTGGATCTGATTGTTTAGTACAGAGTATACGGTACTTGGTCCAGATAAGCAGGCAGCAGTTGCTGTACTGTAATACTGTATACAAGCAGGTGTTTATTAACTACTGTGCCTCCACTGCTAAAAATAAAGAGAAAGAATAAGAATAAGAATCATCTGTCAGATCTTACCTAGTAGCCTAAATTTTACGTTGGTAGAAGACGATACAGTGTACAGTGTACACTATACCCAGGACTAATTTAAGCAATTTCTCGTATTTTTGTCGTTTTTGCTATTTTCTATTACGCAGTCTCTCCACCTGCTAATGTTCGCTGAGAGGTCTCTGTCGGCATACCGATAGCTTCAAGCTAGACACTGGTTGTTCAATGCAGTTCGGATCAGGACCCTCGGAAAAGAAACTGCATGTCCTCAGGAGTCAGTTTTTCCAACGCCGCTCCCTGATCCTTGTTGATTGTGCCCTTGATCATGTTGGCCTTCTTCTCCTGGAGCAGCACAATGCGAGACTCCACCGAGTCCTCAATACACAGCCGAGTAATGACACAAGGTCGTCGCTGGCCGATCCGATGGCATCGGTCGGCGCTCTGCCATTCCGCTGCAGGGTTCCACCACCTGAATAAGATTAAATAATAGATTAGTTTCACGTCATCATCATCATCATCATCATCATCATCAGAACGGTAACGAGCAGGCAACACTTACGGATCGATGATGAAAACCCGAGACGCCTCGGTCAGGTTCAGCGCCACGCCTCCCGCCTTCAGAGAGACGAGAAACACCTCCACATCGACGTTTTTCATAAAGTAGTCGATCGACTTCTGCCGCTGGGCCGGGGTCATCGTGCCGTCCAGCATCACGGTGTTGAACCCGGCCCGGCGGAGACGCCATTCCACCAGCTGGAGCATCGAGGTGAACTGGGAGAAGACAATTGACTTGTGAGTCTGTTTCTTGCCTCGCAGCTGGTACAGATCGTAGATGAGCATTTCGATTTTGGTCGATGAAGTCCAGTCCTCCATCTTGATCCGGTTGATGATCGAATTCTTCTTGATGTTGTCTTCCTCTTGGTCGATATCGGGCTGCTCGAAATCAATCGAGAGCGGGATGTGGCACCGGGGACAGTCGATTGTAGAGTCGCTATCGAAGGAGCGGATGTAATCTTTCGCACACTGGCGACAGAACTCATGGCGGCAACGAGAGCGGATCGCTTCTTCGGCCGGCTCGTCACAGATGCTGCACACCAGAACGTTCTGGCCAATCTCGGCATGCTTCTTCAAAATCAGATCGGGGTGGTTCGACACCTGACGCATCTGCATGATGAGACCGAAGATGTTGGCGTAGTTGTTCAACATGACGCCGCGGCTCACATACGTGTCGAACTGTCGGCTCGAGTTGGTCATGATGCTTTGGGAGAAGTCTCGTTCGATTTCACCAAAGAATTCGCTGTGGAGCACCACTCGCTTCGGCGGAAGCTCCATAGAAGATGTATGATCCTTCTTCATTCGTCTAAGCATGATCCGGTCAGTTATGAGGCGCAACTTCTTTAGAGCATCCGCTCTTTTCTCGGGTGAATCGTGTTCCGTAACTAGCGAATGTCAGGGTATGTTCACTCCTGGACTCGGGCTCTCATAGACTCACTAGGATTGAGAATCTCCTGGTTGAAAATCGACACATGGCTAAAGCCACTATAATTCACTATTAGATTGACGTTTTCAACATGTTGTGGAACAGGAGGTGCCCATACCTGTGCTGGCAAAAGGTACATTTTTTCTCGGCATCTTGAGACCAGTGCAGTTGCTGGCAGGGGCATTGCTTGCAAAAGTAGCAGGCAAATGGACGCACTTCGAGGAAGCGCAAGAGGGAAAAGAATTCTCCAATGCGGTTCTGCACAGGTGTACCGGATAGGCACCACCTATAGTCGGCCTTGAGGGCAAAACAAGCTCGAGCGACACTTGTTGTGCGTTGCTGGCTACAGTGAGTAAAAGATGTGCAGACTCATTAATAAAAAACATATCTTTCTTACCTTGATACTATGCGCTTCATCAAGAATAAGTCGGTGGTAGTGGATGGAGTGAATCACACCTTTTATTGTTGGGTTAGATATGGAAAACTCAGAATTGTCTCTCAGCAGACTTACTATCCTCTTTCACAATGCCGTCATTACGGTTCCAGCCCTTCAGTTCTTTTCGATAAATAGACTCGAGACCAGAATCTAAACCATAGTTATCAGCTACAACTCACGTATAGTTAGACAGAGAGACACAGGAGTTAGCAACGTACAGGAAATCATGATGACATCGTAAGTCTCCAAATCTTCCTTTCTGAGATTCTTCACTTTGGGGTTTGTATTATGGTAGACCAGAACTTTCAACTGGCCATTTGTATATTCCTTTCAAAATGTCAGTACAGTACTTGGCGGCACCACTATTCAAGACCGGGGAAACAAACCTTGATTTCGGATTGCCATTGCATCAGCGCCACGGGGGGCACAAGGACCAGCGATGGCTTACCAGCTGGATAATCAGACATCACCAATGACACGGCTTGAATTGTTTTCCCCATGCCCATCTCGTCTCCCAGCAGGCCTCCTCTGTACGCAGTTTTTTCCTGTTGTACCATCCAATTCAAGCCCTCAAGTTGGAAGGACTTCAGCTGTCTGGAGATGCGAGCAGGCTGCTGGGCTGGGACAGGTGTGATGATTAGCGTGTTCTCTAGATCTCCCCACATGGTGGTGATGCAGGGGTGTTGTTTTTCAAGTTTCTTCCGTTCTCTCCAGGCCTATATAAATATATTAGCGGCTGCTAAAGTCTTAAAAGAGCTGATGGGGTGCCCTACTCTTTTGGTCCATCCATCCGGCATGTCAGCTGGACTAAGAGGTCTCTGGGGCCAGGGCTGAGGGGGGGGAGTTGGGGTCCTGTTTGTTGCTTCGGGTCTCGGCGAGTTTTCCAAGACCGGTTCTTCTTCGACTTCAGAGTCACTGCTTTCAAAATCTTCAACGTAGCTTTCGTCCTTCTCATCGTCAACAGCATTGGTATCAATAATCGGCATTTTTGTCACCTTCTTCGACCGCAAACTTCTTCTGGTGGCTGGGCCTGTCTGACCATCACTAGACTCAGAACCATCAAATTCTCCGTCTCCATCAGACAGCTCGGACAAGAAGCTTTCGGTATCAAACGAATCCCGGATTTCAACGGAATTTTTAGCTCTTGAGGTCTTCTGACGTTTTCTCAGAGGTCTGTCGTATTCTTGGAGTTGAAGATCTCTCGCCAAAACTGCATCTGCGGTCTCTGGTTCAGATTCCTCCGTGGCCACCAGAGAATGAGATCTTTTGGCCGTGGATCGGGTCTTGAGAGCCAATGCACTTGACCGCAGCTCCGATGCACGTGCAGAAGCACTGACTCGCTTTCTCTTCTCGGAAGTATCTGGTGCAGCCGGTGTCTCCGCAACGCTTGTTGCTGGGGTATTATACTCGGTCGTCCCGTCTGCGGAGATATCTTCGGTGGCTATGGTCGAGGAAGCGGTCGAGGGAGTATTAATTTTTCTCACTGGAATAGCGACTTCGATGCGATTACGGCGGGGTATGTCGATAGCCATTCCATCGGTTTCTTCGTCATCTTCGGTATCTGGAACGACCAATTCGGGTTGTTCGTTGCTTCTAGCCAACGAGTTACGAGTCACTCTGGACGAACGTCTAGGAAACGAGGACGAGATCGTCGAAACATTTGGTCCTATTGCGACTTCATCTGTATGTTTGAAAGATGTTGTTAGTCCACATTGTCCAAAGCCATCACTATCATAGATAAGTGAGCCTCACTACTCAAGCCTTTAGCTTTCGCTGTCGATGACCTTCTCCCCATTATGGAACATGAGGTGTTATGAACAGTTTAATGAGAATGTGCATGCTCATGTAAAAGAGAGAGGTGTGGTTTTATAAAAGAAAGAGATTGAGCGATAGCCTTAGAAGTGAGAGAAAGTTTTAGGTTTCAAAAGGGGCAGGCAACCAGAGGAACTGAGAGAAAACTGAAGAACACCATCAAGCCTCCAGCCTATTACGTGAATGCTTCACAGCTGCTTCAGCGACTGAAGCTTGGTTTTGCCACCAAGGGTTCCTGGCTGATTTTTCTCCCCCTCCACTGAGTGAATCGACTCCCCAGACCTGGGAACGCGAATCAAGGCAGATATTAGATAAGGATTCGAAAGGCGTGTAAAGTGGAACACGAAATTGCCACGGTCCTGTGACCTGCTGCCTACTGATAAGCCCCAGACAGCTTCAACGGTCGACCTTCTTGTCTTCTCCTCCTCCAACACCTCGTTCTGGGTGATAACTCGGTAAAGATGTGGGTTTAAATATTTCTTGTTCGAAGTATGTTTCTGGAATATATGATTGACATCTTCTAGGGCGTTCAGAAGGCAGGCAGGCAACCAGATCAGAGGCCCGTATGTACTAACTGGCTATCTAACTAACTAATTGTTATCAACTAACTAACTAATGATAAAACATAGGCACTCTGCACTGACTGATTTTCTGGCTGTGAGTGTTCTTTTTGTGTATTATTTAGATTATCTGGATTTTTACTGATTATATTTATCTGTTAGTCCAACAACATCTCCGCGGCTCAGATCAATGAAGACTACCAGCAAAGACTACGAGAAGCCGAAGAGCAGCAAGAGCAAGATACACCTGGGGTTGAGGAAAATAATGGAAATGAGCGTACCGAGACGACCTCAGAGACACCTGAACAGAGGAAGAAGAGAAAGAGAAAAGAAGCCGTTGCGCTGGCAAAGATCAAGCAGAGCAAAGAATTTGCTCGCCGCAAGGCGCGACGCATCGGAGACCTTGATGATGATGATGATGATGACGATGACGATGACGAGCTTGCACGAGATATGATGTATGAGAAAAGTCGACCCATGCCAGGGCAGTTGGAGAACTGTGAGATTTGTAGCAAGCGTTTCACTGTCACGGCATACAGCAAGACTGGTCCGAACGGAGGCCTTCTCTGCGGCAAGTGCTCCAAAGAAATCAACGACGAAGAGAAGAAATCAAAGCAGAAGAAGCGGGGTCCTAAAATCGGCCGTCGTCAGAACCAAAGCAATTTGCTTGACGGACTTGTCACTCAGGGAGCATTAAGTCTAGTCGAAATGTGTACCAAGGTGAGATCGAAGATGAATCGGGCTATGCTGCCGTGGCTAAAGCATGCTGATTTTTTTTCCCCTCAGAAAGTTGCAGATAACATCAATGACGTCGAAGAGTTTGGCGATCTTCCACCACTGCTGCTTCATCGCCTGAGCCAGATTCTGTCAAAGAGACGTGTGATAACCCCGAGAACGTTGAATCTCTTCTTGCGACCCGAGCTAGATTCCATCGACATTTATGACTGTGCAAGTAAGTTGTCTTTGGACGTTATATCATGAATGTGTCAATGCTTATTGGACGTCTAGAACTCGAGACGGATGACTTTGGAAAGATCTTCTCATTCATGCCGTCTGTGACCAATGTCAATCTTCGCTTCGCCGGACAAATGAAAGACGCGGTCGTCGACTACATGGTGGACCACAACCTGAAGATCAAGAAATTGTACTTGGACGCCGCAAATCTTGTATCAGATGACTGCTGGCGCCGCCTCTTCAACAAGCTTGGGCCGCAGTTTGAGAGTCTCAAATTGTCGAACCTCGATGCTTCCTTTGACGATGAGACCGTGAAGGAGCTGTGCAAGTCCTGCACATCACTTCGGCGCTTGAAGCTGAAACATTGCTGGAAGACTAGCGACGAGTCGCTTATTGCGATCTCCAAGCTGCCGATGCTGGAGCACCTGTCACTCAATTTCATCCAAAAGACCCATGCAGAAGACATTGTCGGGCTTGTTCAGAGCCTTGGTCCTGGATTGCGCACCTTATCGCTGGAAGGATTTGACGATGCAGACGATGAAGTTCTCGAGAAGATCCACGATAACTGTTCCATGCTGACCAAACTACGGATCATCGACAATTCTCTACTCACGGACGCGGGGTTTGCGGGATTGTTCACCAACTGGTCGAACTGTCGACTTGAATACGTGGATCTCTCCTCTACGCGCGACGTCGACAAAACACTCCCGGATGGACCGGAGGAGGCCATGGGTCTTGCCTCGAAGGGGTTCGTCAGTCTCATGCAGCACTCCGGGTCTGCGATCCGCACCCTCAAGATCGCGTCGTGTCGCCACATCTCGTACGCTGCCTTTGAACAAGTGTTTTCGCCGGACAAACAGTATCCTCACCTGAAGGAACTGGACATCTCCTTCCTCACCTTTGTGGACGACCATCTGGTCCACTGTATCTTCCACAGCTGCCCGGCTCTGAAGAAACTCATTGCGTTTGCCTGCTTCAGCGTCCACGACGTGCGTGTGCCCAAGGGGGTCGCTCTGATCGGCGGGTTGAAAGCGCAGGGGCCCATCGTTCTCGAAGGGGTCCATGACTGAAAAATAAATCCAAAAAGATAGATACTTCTCCACATAAACCCAATGAACATTGAACAGAAACACTTTCTTTCTATTCCGTACTCTGTACTCTGTAATCTTTCGACTGAGTAGTAGGTCATACTCTGCATTTGTTCAGCGAGTCTAGACCGATAAGACGATGTGACACAGAAATGTCATATTCCTGCCGGCATGTGATATAGCAGATAAGGAATGCATGTCCCGTAGATTCGATGGAATGCATCGTAGGAGGACAGTACGGAGGGGAGGACATGGTACGGCAAACGTCACTGCCCTCGCCACATTCCGGGACTGGAATGTCAGCTTTATTTACTACCGTAGCTAGGTAGTCAGTCGGTGGGAAGGAGTGGACGGAAAAGAAATCCAGGTATCTGTCGACGGTGGTCCGTTGACAATGCATTGTTATGAAGGCGATAGTACAGAGTACTCTGTACTCTGCACTCGGTAGGATTCTGTCTGCCGTCGGTTAGTTACCTGATAGACCCTGTATGTAGTGAGTAATATTGAATAAAAGGAGGGTCTTATCAGGAGGGATCGACAGGGCTAGCATCGGTGCGATTGAGATCCACAATATTAGTGGTACAGAGTACCTACTATTAGGAGTACATAGTAAGGACGGAGTATTTTGGTATACCTACCTTACTAAGGTACCTAGTAGTACCTTAGTATCCTAGTACTGTACAGTAAGTACGGGGTAATAATATTGCTGTAGATTACCAACTATTTTATTAAATACTGATCTTGCTATTTCTTCACTTGAACTAGTTACTAGGTACCTACCTACTGGACTATTACTACTAACTAACTATCCCTGTAGTTACTACTAACTAGGTACCTGTTACCCACCGGTTACGTATGCTACCGTTTTCGAGCTGAGACGGTTCATCCTTGGTCGCTTGTGGCGCCACGAGACTCGGTTCGCAGTGTGGTTGGTTGTATGTACCTAGTAGTAGTACTATGTATGTAGAGTACCTAATGTAGAGTACCTGACAGTACCTAGGTACCTAGGTATACCTACTAGGTATTATAAACAAATAGTAAATACTAAGGTAGTATTAATATAAGCATGATTACAGACTAGATCATAAATACTCTGTACACTCATCTAGATAAGTTGGTATACATATATTATTATACTAAAATTGCGATTAATTTCTAGTCAATTAATTAATGACTCAAAAGTATTCTAATCAACAACTCTTACTCTTCTGTAGTATTCGGTATCTTTAGTATTGCTATATTTGGCGTTCCGTAATCAGCTGCGGCTAGTGTTTCGAGCTCCACCCTCCGCATCAGGGTCTGCGAGGGTCCTGCCTTAGCAAAAGAGAGAGAGAGAGAGAGAGAGAGAGAAAGAGAGATTCTACCTTACTCTGTTACTCTTTGACTCTGTACTCTGTATCTCACTTTTGTTACTCTCCCTCTCCTTCCTCCCTCTCTCACTTAACCTTGCCCTTCCTCATCCCCCCCTAGTGCAATACTGTGTCCCCTCTCCCGTGGCTGCCATTGGCATTGTTTTCCCCCCCCCCTTGGACCCAGTGCCACCACGCTTTGGTTGTCCCGGAGCCAGCCTGGTGGATTCTCCAGGGCCTTTACGGAGTCACTACTAACTAACTTCGAACCAATATTCCTCTTCCCTCTCCATACGGCGCTACTGTATCTACGATCCGGTGTCCGTGTCGTGGAAGCTTCGCCTTGCGGATCCTTCTGGCGACAAGTTTTGGTGGTCCCTTTTTTCTCTCTCTCTCTTTCTCTCTCTCTCTCTGAAATTGCATACCTGCGGCTGCTCGGTCGGTCCCTATAGCAACATCTCCCGGCGGGCTTCAGTGTGTTGGTTCGTGTTCTTTTCGGCGTGTTGAAGAGTCGACAACTCGCGTCTCTCATCATCCAGAAACTTGTCGGCCGTCAACAGAATGCCGATCAAATTTCCCAAAGGTTTCACCCGGCGGAAATCGTCTGGGAACGCGCTGGAAGAGGTGGAAAACCCTCCGCAGCCGTCGTTTCGCGTGCTGGAGCGCCCAAGCAGCGAGGGGAGGTTTTTCAATGATCCCGGCTCCCTCAAGAAAATGGCCAACGGCCATCATGACGATGAAGACAATCTTTTCGCCGGCACTGAGCGATTTACTTTGAACCGGTACCATTGTCATACCACTTAAAAAACCTTCATCAGCTGACCCTTCTTTTTTTTCTTCTTTCGATCTAGGACCAGCGGTGGGACAGATCACTCAGCCATGCACGAGGGCTCCTCGTCCACTCGCTTCAGCTCCTCCTCGACCCTTCCCTCCTCGACCGATATGCCCCTACAAGACTCGTCGCCGCATTCCAGGAACTTCTACGACATCCCAGTTCCGCCTCTGTCGAGTGCATTGCGTGCCGCTGGCCGGACCTTTTCCTTCGGAGGGAGACTGTCGAAAACTTCAACGCCGCCGCCGCATCCTCCACCATCGGCACGGAACGAAACGCCCATTACCTCGAGAACCAGGGCTATGACAAGCAGTACCACCAGTACCGCCACCCCTCCCAGACTGCTGGACGAAGATATAGGTCTGGGGAAGATGGAGGACGATGGGTTTGGAAATATGTTCGACAATGTCGGTAAACGGGAGAGTATGGGTCTGCCATTCCGCTCTTCGAACCGAAATCCTCAAGAAGCGGTATGTGGTTGTCAGCAATTTGTAGTGCCTCCAAAGCATTATTCTAAAACCCCTTTTTTCCCCTCTCTAGGCCCGTGTATCCGCTCCTGCAGAAGCAGAGCTGGCTCTGCGACCAACACCCATCGCAGTCGATCGCTCCAGATTTGTCGAATCAGCACTCTTTTCGTCGGGAAGTCGCAATTCCCAGGATGGATTGCTCAGCCCCACGGACAGCAACCGAACTGAATCACCCGCACAGCCTCCAAGATTGCCTCACTCTCGCTCGATGCCCGTGGAGGGACGGCGGGCACCTTTGCCGACATCGAACTCCATGCCACTGCCAACTACCTCACACCGCTCGCTCGAACGGCCCACGGCGGATCGAGGTCTGCGACGCAGCGTCGTTTTCGCGGACACTCGCGCTTCGGCGTCTACGGAGGATGAGGATGCAAGGTTAGTGATGCAATCGCTGTATAGTAACCGCGCACCGCACCCGTTGGTGTCCGGGGAATCTGAACAGTCGGGGGCCCGGGAGGAGGACACATCCCTGTTTGGATACCGGGAAAGCACCGATCTCAACTCCGCGAGCACCTGGGCCTCTCCATCTCAACCCACCCCGCTCCGGCCCACAGACCCGCTCGCTTCCCCCTCGGAGGCCCAGTTGGACGCCGCGATGATCGCCGATCATGCACGACTCGCACACCGGTTCGAGGAATCTCAGCCACGATCAGACTCCCCCGCCAACAAGGTGATGACCCCGTCACAGTTTGAACACTACCGCCATCAACAAGAGCTCCGGAGGTCAAACAGTGATGCCTCCGCCAGCGACGAGTCTTCGGAGAGCGAGTATGAGGAGGAGGAGGACGAAACGGAGAAGAACCGGGAGGCGGAAAGACAGAGACGCAAGCAGGAAGCCCACCTCTCCATTTACCGGCAGCAAATGATGAAGGTCACCGGCCAACAGCAGCAGTCACCGGCCCCTTCGTTGCGTCCCGAGATGGACCGCGCGACCAACAGTACCCCAACCCTGACCGCTACTCCCACGATGAACAACTATATGGGCAACAACAACAACAACAACAACAACAACAACAAGTCGGGCAGTGGCAAGAGCGGCAGTGAGGGAGATGAAGACGAAGAGATCCCCCTCGGCATCCTAGCCGCGCACGGTTTCCCGAACCGGAATCGTCCTCCGACTCGTCTGGCTTCTGCCAGCTCCAACCCGAATCTGCGCTCATCGCTCCACCCTTACCTTGGCTCGCCCGGTTCAGCAGCAGCCTCTGGCGAGCTGGACCCGAACAACCGAAACAGTCTGCCAGTCTTCGCGAGGAATCTGCCCCGTGACCCGTACTTCGGCGCCAGCTTGGTGAATCCATCGAATCGCGAATCTTTGGCCCTGGGAGGCGGTCTGTCATCGGTCGCTGGAGGAGGCCCGGCCCCGGCGTTACCCCCAGGAGGCTTGATCGGCGTGATCGCCACGGAGGAACGGGCGCGCGCCATGAGGAGAGGAAGCCCGAACACCCAAACCACCGCCTTTGGACATCGTGGCGATCTGCCAGGCATGGCATCCGTCCCCAACGGCATCCCGAGACCATATACGATGATGAACGTCACGAACGCGCCGCCTGGCTCCCCTGGCCCGCAACAACAACAACAACAACTGGGGATGTCGCCCGCCGAGCAGGCGCAGATCCAACTTTCCCAACAGATGTCCCATATGATGCAGATGCAGATGCAATGGATGCAGCAGATGATGCAGGGGATTCCCGGCGGTGCCACCCCGCCGCCCATGCCGCCGCACATGATGATGATGCCCAACCATCCTGGCCCCATGCCGGTCCATGCCAATAACGCGAGGCCCGTCTCCATGATGGGCAGCGGGGCCGTCCCCTTTGATCACCAGCCTTCTCCGCCCTTGGCGCCGCCGCTTGGGGGGGGAGACCCGAGGATGAGTATGTTCGATCCCCGATGGGGAAGCCAGTCGTCCCTCGTCCCACCACCACCACCGGGTGGTGGTGGTGGTCTGCGACCCGGCACGCCTCTGGGACAAGGATATGCCCCGTCTATTGCCCCCTCGGAGCGCAGCAATATCGGGCTATCCTCCCGCTATCGGCCGGTTTCGACCATTCAACTCGACGCCACCGCGGCCAATCGCTCGTCGACCATGATTTCCTCCTCCGTCTCCAAGCCGTGGAACGACGAGAACTTCAAACCCAGCATGTCGATGACGTCGCTGCCGCGCCCCAGCATGCCCAAATCCTCCTCCATGACCACGGTGACGGTCCGTCCAATCTCGAGTGATGGCAAGTCCGCCCTCGGAATGAAGAACGGCAATATGCTTTCTGCCGCTGACGAAGACGACGACGACGAGGGCTGGGCAGAGATGATGAAGAAACGAGAAAAGAAGAAGAGCAGCTGGAAGATGAAGCGAGCCACATCCAGCCTGGGTGATTTATTCAATGCCGTCCATTAAAAAAGAAAGAAAAACACACGACCGTCCTCTTCCTTTCAGCGTTTCTTCAATTTCTTTTTCCTTTTCTTTTTCTTTTCTTCCCTTCTCTCTCTCTCTCTCTCTCTTTCTCTCTTCTCCCTTGATGAATAGAGGTTCGATCGCCCCAGCCCCATTCATATCCTACTTTTGACTTCTTGCGGCATCATACCAATCTGTTGATCTCGCCATGATACGAATATCTTTTGCTTCCGACCTTTATTTTTTTTTCTTCTTCTCATATTTGTCTAAATTCCGCATTCGAGGTTTTTCCAAACAGTGTTTCTAACATGCCAGACACTTCTACCTAATACCATCATCATCATCTTAATCATGGGGTGTGTGTGTTTCTACGGAGAGAGGGATGATGCCTTGATTTTTTTTCTTTTTTCTTTGAACCAGCGACGGACCCTGTATTTGGTAGTATAATATATAATATATGTGACCCGATAGATTCATGTCTACTACTTTATTTCGGTAGATTTGTTGACTGTAAGCCAGGTAGTTACTGACATGGGTCTGCAGATAACCATTATTTTATTCTCAAGTCTCTATTATACAGAAATATGTTATTCTCTTCCTATAAGTGTACTCTTATTATACCTAAGTGTAATCTTTCTAGAGATATGAATGACTAAGCAACACGTGCCCCCATCCAAATCCAATGGCAGATCTTGAAGGGCGAGTTTAACCGACCTTCAACTGAGAGAAAGATATAACCTATTCACTAGTTCTATTTAATGATACCTGTTTCACACCTGTTTCATTCTATTTTATTCTACTATCTCTTCTCTCATTCAGAGTGAGAGCTATTTCTAATTCTACCATTGGAGGCCCTCGCCCTCGCCCCCGCCCTCAGTTTCAGGTACTTCGTACTGTCAGTGTCCAAGAAGCAAAAAGGTCCTACAGAGTCGAGATATAGGCTTCTTCCACTCTGCTCTGCTGTCTCTCCCTTTGATTCTGGACATCCTTGTGCTTCACCACTTTTCCTTTTTCTTTTTGGAATTCATATATTAGTCAAGATGAATGCTCCAGATCGGTAAGATTCTTTCTTCTTTCTATACTATTTCTTCTATTATACTATGTATGTCCTGTATACTGTATACTGTTCTTTTCTGCTCATAATCGGTGATGGAGGCTGTTTGCCTTGAATGGGAAAGAGTGTGTCATGGAGAAGGGACTGTTCATCACTTTCATCTTCCCTTCATCTCCATCTTCCTTCCATCTTCCCTCCATCTCCCCTTCATCTTTCCTATTTGCCTTGACCTATCTCGTGTTTTGCTTCTGCTTCTGTCCTGCTTCAAGATGCCTCCCAAGAAAGAGGCTCTCTTGCCCTCCGAGATGGTGTATGCGCGACTCAAGCACCCTCTTACCTCCCAGCGTCCTGGCCGTCAGTCCTCTACTGTCGAGGTGGCCCATGACGAGCAGCCTAGGTCTGCATGCCTTGTTCTGTCTCATTTCGCTGTCTCTTGTCTTTCGTTCTCTCTTCTCTTGTTTCTTCTAGCTGACTATCCAGTTACGAATCCTTTGTCCTGGGCAATGGAGAGAAGAAGATCGAGGTTAGAATCGAGTCTCGTAAGTGTCAAGATCCTGCGTCTTGCATTTCGTTATTCATTGGATTTTTTCTTTTTTAGACATGCCATCTTCCGCTGTCTTCACTTTCAACAAGGAGGATCACACCCTGGGAAATATGATCACTGCCCGCCTGCACCAGAACCCCAAAGTCATCTTTGCAGGATACAAGGTATGTCGTCGTGTCCTCCCAGCTACTCTCAGCGACTCTAGTTGCGTTGTCCCAGTCCCAGCTTACATGACAAGGTTCCCCATCCTTTGATCCCCAAATTCGAACTTCGGGTCCAGACAAACGGAGACATCACTCCCAAGGAAGCTCTCATCGCTGCCTGCCATGATCTGGTCAAGGACCTGGGAATCCTCTCCCGCGAATTCACCAAGGAATACGAACTCCGCAAGATGGTGGGTGCCGCGCAGCAGCAGAACGGCTCTCCCTGAGTCTCTCGCCTCGGCCCAGACGGGTTTCCTTTCCAACAGCTGGCTGTTCTAAACACCGTGCCCTCGCTGCTGATTTCTAGTCGATGCTTTTCTTAGACTAGTCATGATTTATGGAATTACTTTGATGTCTTGTAGCATAGTAGAATAGACAGCTCCTTTAGTAATGTAAACTATTTATATTTATATATTCCTCTATATATTAATATATATATTCCTCTATATCCTCTATATCCTCTATATCCTCTATATCTAATTGTTTCTCTGACTATTCCTCTTCCGGCTAGTGCGGGCTGTCCCTGAACGTCGTCATGTCAGCCTGGACCAGCTCCTCTCCGTCTCCTATTCATTATTCTCTACTCCGTCCTGCCTGGCCCCCATCCCTGTGGCTGGCGATCTCTTTGTGTCTTGTCAATCATTGAAATTAATTTATACCCTCTCACCTTCACCCAGTGCATGAGTAGGCGATGTATTCGTCCTCGAATTCCTTCCTCGGCGGTGCCGGCGGTGCTCGCCCGGGACAGGCGCCTTCCCTCCAGCATCCGCAACCTCAGCATCAGCCGCTGTACGCCCAGCAACAGCAACAGCTACAGCTTCAGCCGCAGCAGGGCTTCCTCCCCCAGCCTACCGGGTTTGTCCCGCAACCTACGGGATTCGGCAATGCTCTCCTGCAACCACAACCCACTGGTTTCCCGGTCGGCGCCGGCGGTGGTGGCCAGCTTCAACCTCAGCCCACGGGGTTTCCCCAGGTCCAACAGCCTCAGTTTACAGGATACCCGGGTCAACAACAACAGCAGCTTCAGCAGCAGCAGCAGCAGCAGCAGCAGTTTCAGCTTCAGGTCCCTACGGCGACGGGCATGCCCTCCCGTCCGTTGACTGCTCATACCTCGTCGGCTATTGCTGACTCCTTTCGCGACCTGTCCTCTGAGACGGCGCCCGTCCCGCCACCCAAGGCTGCCGGGTCCAGGATCCCCAGTATTCGACTCTCCTTCATCACGGCGCAGGACCAGGCCAAATTCGAACAGTTGTTCAAGTCTGCCGTGGGGGATAGTCAGACAATGGATGGTTCGTTGCTCTTGCCAACTTTGTACGATCTTCTACTGACAGTATACAAAGGTGAAAAAGCGAGGGATCTCCTGTTACGTTCCAGGCTGTCAGGGAGTGATCTGTCGAAGATTTGGTAAGAACCTTTCTCGTTTAGTTTTCTCATCCGCTTCTTCTTCTTCTTCTTCTAATAAATCCTCTAGGGTCCTCTCGGATTCTACAAAGTCAGGACAACTCTTCTTTCCCGAATTTGCCTTGGCCATGTATCTGTGCAACCTGCGTCTGACGGGCAAGGAGCTGCCGCCGGCGCTCCCGGAGACGGTCAAAAACGAAGTCTCGAGCATGGTCGACATCATCTCGTTTGGCGTCCCGGATACCCAACCCCAATCTGGCCCCAGAACCAATGCTCCGAGTTTCGACGCGCCCCTGCTGGAAAACAAAACCGCCCCGCCTGCCCCCCAGCAACCCCAGCCGCAGCAACCGTCCAACAGCCAACTCCTGTCGCAGCTGACTGCACAGCCAACGGGCATGTTCCCCCCCTCCGCCACCGGGTTTCCTGGACAGAATCAGGGCCTCGTTCCGCAGCCGACAGGGTTCCCCGGCCATCTCGCCGCCCCGCAGATCATTCAGTCGCAACCGACTGGGTTTGGCCAACAAAACCCACAACCCACAGGCTACACCGGGCCTCGTCCTCCCATGCCGCCCATGCCCACCGGTTTCGCGTCCAGTCTTAGCCCGGTCCCAACCGGCATGGCGCCGCTGGCCGCCCAGCCGACCGGCATTCCAGGACAGTGGGGGTTTGTCAACACTCCGGCCACCGGACTGCCGAACATTGATGCGTTGAAGCAGCAGCTCATGCCCCAGCCGGGCCGCGAAGGCGGCTTCACCACCGCCGGCCTGGCTGGAAATGCAAACATCCCGTGGGCCATCACCAAGGAAGAGAAGAAAATCTACGATGATCTTTTCCGTGCCTGGGATGGCTTCCGTAAAGGGTTCATCGGGGGTGACACGGCCATCGAAATCATGAGCCAGAGTGGTCTCGACCGTCAAGATCTGGAGCGCATCTGGACGCTGGCGGACCCCAACAACCGCGGCCGATTGAACATGGATGAGTTTGCCGTCGCCATGCATTTGATCTACCGCAAGCTCAACGGGTACCCGGTCCCCAACCGCCTGCCGCCCGAACTGGTGCCCCCCTCCACGCGGAACTTAAATGACTCGATCGGCACGATCAAGTCTCTCTTGTCGCAGGATGCCGAGCAGCGCAAGTCGTCGGGTGCCTTCCTTCAGCCTCAGAAGACCGGCGTGAGCTACCTCAAGGAGCATTCCTTCCGTGGTGGCGCAACTTCCCCCAGCTTCGGCCGAAAGGATGCAACCGTATACAAGAACAATGATGATGCTGCGGGCTACCGTTCTAGTGCTCGTCGCCGGGTGGGCAACGATACGGGCCGAACCCCGTCTCCCGCAGCTTCCCAGACATCCACCACTGACGATGAGCTGTCTCTCGACCAGCTCAAGAAGAAGATCCGCGAGGCCAAGATCATGCTGGACGCAGTGGATTTCCAGGATGAACAGAGAGCCGAGGAAGACGATGCTCTGGACCGTCGGGACCGCCGGGAAGCGGAGAGCCTGATGAGCCGGATTCGGCGGGTGCAGGACGACATTGACACACACCCCAATGCTTCATTCCGGAGCCTGGACTCGGGCGCAGAACGCAGGTCCCTGCGTCGCCAGCTGCAGTCCTTCCAGGACCAGGTGCCCACGGCGGCTTCCGATGTCCGCAGGCTGGAGCGAGAGATCGCCGAGGCGAAACTTGAACTCTTCCGTCTGAAAGATGCTAAGGCTCATCCCGGTAGTGCTTCCAACATCATCGGCACCGGTCCTGGCGGCATGGTGACCGAAGCGGACCGCATCAAGGCCCGGGCCCGAGCCAGAATGCAGGCGCGTGCGGCCGAGCTCGCCGGAAGGCCCGCTCCAGCCTCCCTCGAGGACGATGGCGATGCGGCTCGCCGCCTGGAGACAGAGACTGCCAAGGTGAAAGCGGACCGGGAGCGAAATGAAGCCATGACCCGTGATGTCGAGGAGAGCGTTCGGGAGTTCGCGGGTAGTCTCGAGGACAGCCTTCGCGAAGAAGGCGAGAGTTCGGCCCGTGATCACGAGAAGCGTCGCTGGGAGGATGCCTTGGGTGTCGAGGATATCATTCGCGACTTCATTTACGATCTGAACCGTGGAAGTAGAACGGCCGACGTGCGGAAGGAAGAGTGAGTTTTTTATTTATTTATTTCTTTCTTTCTTACTTTTCTTTGCTTCTAATCAACGCTAATACGGAACAGAGAAGCTAGGCCTCAGCCGGCTTACCAGAAGGAGACTACGGAGACTTCGGTTCCATCAAGACCTTCCCCGGTATCCGCTAGCTCTAGCAGAGGTCCGGGAACTCCTGTGGGAGCAACTCACGAGGATCGGGTGGCCGCCGCGAGAGAGCGTGCTCAGAAGCGGATTGCCGAGCGCATGGCAGCTGCCGGTCTGAAGCCAGCCGCTGACAATGAGGAGACGCTGGTCCAGCGCCAGGAGCGTGAAAGGCGCGAGCGCGAGGATCGAGTGAAGCGTGCCGAGGAAGAAGACGCCAAGCGTGAACAGGAGAGGCAACAACGTCTGGCTGCAGAGCGCGCGCCAGCCAGTGCTCCCACCAAACCCGCCGGCAAGAAGCCTCCGCCGGCACCACCCACCCGCCGAGGACGCGCGGACAGTGTTGAACAGCAGGCTGAAGTGAAGAGGGCCGAGGAATCCGCCAAGGCAGCTCAGGCCCACGCCGCCCGTGAACAGTCCATCCGGGAGGAGCAGGAAGCGCAGGAAGCGGAGACCAAGCGGTTAGAGTAAGTCCAACCCCCACCTTCTAGATTTTCATTTTCCAGGAGACTAAACCTTTCCCTTTCTTAGGGATGAGGAGAGAAAGCAGGAAGAGGAATTGCGACGTGAGAAAGAGGCACAAGAGGCTCGTCTTCGTGACCTCGAGGAACAGGTCCGGCAAGGCAAGTTGAAGAGGAAGGAGGAGAAGCGCCGTAAGGAAGAGGCGGGACGTCAGGCAAAAGAAAAGGAGGCGGCGCTTGCGGCCCAGCGGGCCGAATTGGAAGCAGCCAGGGAGCGGGAACGTCAATTACAGCTGCAGCTGGAGGGTCTCGATGACGATGATGACAGCTCGTCGGATGACGAAGGCCCCGTCAGCATCACGCCCCAGGACAGCACCCCGACACAGAGCCAGGTGCTTCCCGCGGCAGTGCCTGCTACTACTACTTCGGTTCCAGAAGAAGTTGAGGTGCCAGCGCCACCACCAGTGGAAGTTAGCTCGCCGGTGAGCAGCCGTACCGGAGATGAGGTTGAATCGCGGAACCCATATCGAAACCTGAGCCAGACTTCTTCAACCGACGGTCAAGCGGCAGCCGCTGCTGCTGCCGCTCCTGCTGCTCCCACGTCTCCCGAAGTCTCGTCCACAAATCCTTTCTACCGGTTAGTTCAGCAGGAGCACACCGGTGTCAAGCCTGTCTCCACCTTTGGCCGGCCTCCGGTCGGGACCAAGACCCATGTCCGTCCAGAATCCGATGACTGGTCTGTTGCCGGCTCCGATGTCGAAGATTCCTCGGACGATGACGACGATGACCGTCCGGGTGGTGGCACCGCTAAGCAGCTGGCAAGCATCCTATTCGGCGCTATGGCACCTCCACGACCTCTCAGCGCAATGGAAGATAACAAGTCACCATCCAAGTCAGCGACCCCGGTACAACAGGGAGGTCCTTCTGCCCCTCCTCCTCCTCCTCCTCCTCCCCCGCCTCCCCCTCCTGCTACCGCTTCTCCTCCCGTCCCAGGGATGAGCTTCGATGCGCCGTCTGCCCCGCCGCCTCCGCCTCCACCTCCGCCACCGCCCGCTGCCCCGGCAGGTATACCACCTCCGCCGCCGCCGCCACCCCCTCCTACTGGTGCTCCGCCGCCGCCCGCTCCTGCGCCTGCGTCGACCGGCCCGGGAGATCGCAGTGCTTTGATGGCATCGATTCAAGCCGGTAAGGGGCTGCGCAAAGTGCAAACGAATGACCGGAGCGGGAATGCTACGGTTGGCCGTGTTCTAGACTAGCAGTCGACTTGACAATTAACAAGTCATGTTCGCCTTGATTCCTTTTGAGTTTGTCTCAAGTTTCTTGTTTCTTGTTTCTTGTTTCCCATGGTGTAACTAGCTGGATAGCCATGTATTGGCCATGGGTTAGTCGTTCTGTGAATAGTACATTAGTTTAGTGATTAATCTAGAGAACTATCTAGATAGCTCTATTGATAAGAGTAGTTGGTAGTATATTGTTATTCAACTAAAAATGAACAGACTAGATCAATTCAGATGAAAATATCAAAAATGCATATATCGTATATCATATAAACTATACCGTAGTCATACATGCAATGGTTCACTATTCAGTACTGACAATTCAAGCCCATATACAGTAATTATGTCGGCGAGACAAGCTCGGCAACGACATTGATGAGAGTGCTGACGGTCCACAAGGCGATCAAGCCCCAGCCGATCTTGTGGTCCATCCTCCAGTTGTTGAGGGGGATGATGATCAACAAGCCTACAAGGGTGAGGAGCAGGGTTGCGCCGCTGATGACCAGGACCTTTGAGATGGCGATATCGTAAGAAGGCGGAGAAGCAGAAGAAGAAGAAGAAGGGATGTCTCGTTGGAGGGTCATGTAGAGGCCGCCAAGGCCTATACCGAGGAGGATATTGAGCATGGGTCCGCCGAAGCAAGCGCTGAGGGCCATGACGGGGTACCCTAGCCGGGCGACAGTGATATCAGCGACGAGGTCGCCGAGGGAGTTTCCGACGGCGAAGATGGTGAGGCCGAGCAGGGAGTCGCTTATGTTGAGGATGACGCCGAGGGTTTTGAGCAGGGCGACGACCTCTGTGGCGATGGTGGCGATCCAGGCGATGGCCACGAGGAAACCGAGCATGGCGAGGAAGGGGCGCCATTCCGCGGCGAGGGGGCGGGACGGGTCGCGGTGTCGTGTGCTGACGATGAGCGCCGTGAGCACGACCAGCGAGAAGAGCAGCGAGCACAGGAATGGGAGGAGGAGGAGGTGGGTGCGCGTTTGCAGGTCCGAGTCCACGGTTGTCGTCCAGCCGATCAGCGCGATGAAGAAGGGCCCCGTGAACAGCTGGATGACGACAAGCCATCTGTTCCATTCCTTGGTTGTCGTCGGGGCGGCGTCGGACTCGGATCTTGGCGCGTGGACGACGGCGGGTAGCTCCGAGTCCCAGCGCGGTCGGCCAGGAGCAAGGGACTGTTGCCCGCGCGAGAGTTTCGGAGTCGGCTCCGTGGGGGGTTGGTCTACCACCACTACGCCGCCAAAATCGTGCGCCTGGAGAAGGGGGCTGTCCTCGGGGAGTCGAATCCGTGGCTCAGGTGCGTCTTCGATGCCATTTGCCGCCGTGACGGTGACAGAGATCGGTTCGGGGTAGTCAACAGGTGCTGGGTCAATCACTGGAATCGTGATCGTAAGGAGCAGTACGCTGGGAGCTGAAACGAGCCCCAAGGCCCGTTCCCAAACGCGCTTGGATTTCCAACCGTATAGAGTCGGAAAAAGGGTCGACATCAGGATGTCCGGTGGGGGGAGCTTCTCATAAGGCCACCAGCTGATGGGCCGAGGCAAGGCTCCTTCTAAGTCGTGATCGTAAACATGCAGCACTTGTGTGGGACTGGTGGTGGTAGTTGGAAGGCAGATGCTCGGGGCCCCGGAGCCCTCAGCCTCGAGACCGCTGGAGAACGGGGGAAAGGGGGACGAAGGGCTCTCCGACCCATAATCGGACGGCTTGCGAACGAGAGAAGTCCCGCGTGGAGAAACTTGCAACAGGGAATTCGAGCTGGAGGCGTCCGCCTGGTAGTTGAGTGAACGGAATCCATCCAGAGGCGGTGCAAGTAAACGAGGACTTTGGGCATGTTCCCCAGCTTCTGGGGTTGAGCTTCGTGACGGGTAGCCCGATGACGACGGAGAGGCCGTCAGCCCGGCAGCCGGATCGATCCGAGTTAGCAGTGGCTCTGTCAGATCTTGAGACCCCAGCCCTTCGACAGATGGTCGACTCAGGGTGACCTGGACAGGTGTTGGAGCCTTTTGCCCGAACACCGTCGTATCAAGTTTCAGTCCAGCGGCATCATTGGCGGATACCGCCCGTACTCGCGCAGAGGAAGCTTGGTCGTGCGGGGAGAGGAACTGCTGGTGGGTTGAAGATCGATCGACCCGTGAATAAGATGCAACGGAGCGATTATCGCTGTGCTTGGACGGACGGGCATTGGGGTCATCAGTGTAACTTTGAAGAGTGATCGGGGGATGGTCGTGGATATTCCTCGATTTCCGAAGTGACGACAACACAGACTGGAACTCGAGCGCACCCACCAAACTGGGTCTGATGGGGTTCAACGTGTTTCGCCGTCCATACGTCGGTCGATAGACATGCATGTTGTCTCGTATCTCTGCCAGATACCGATTACGAGTTTCATCGTCTTCATCCTCATCTTGCTTCCATGCCAGTGCGTCAGATCTCTCCAGGCTCGTGAAATCTTCTGCTGATGCTCCTTGAAGACTCTGCGATTCCGATGCCACGCCGCGGTCATCGTCTTCCTCTTCCTCGTCAATGTCTAGCTCCTGGTTGTCGGGGATGTGAAAGTGTGACCGCGCAGCGGCATTCCGCTCGCGGGCTCTCCGTCGCCGGACCAGATACCAGTGCCAGACCACAACCATGAAGACGTAGAATCCGTACAAGCAAACCATAGCAGCAGCTTCCCACGCATGGAGTCGACCGTCGGCGAGCATGATCATACTGAAGCCCACCGCAATGACGAAATACCCTACATCGCGGACAAAACTCCGACGAGCAACCCTGAACGGGCGAACCAGTGCCATGGACCCTGCCACGACGGAGGTGATAAAACTTGCGGCGCCGATCAATTCGCCGATGGCAAGGTTGCCGCTGTTCGACCGCATCGCGGCAAAGGTCGAGAAGACGTCGGGACTTCCATTTCCAAAGGCCAAAAAAGTCACCCCTGTCAAGCTTTCACTCATGCCAAGAATGCTCGCCAGCGTGCTGAGGTCGACGCAGAGAAAGTCGCTAGCCGCAATCCCGATGGTGCTGAACAACAGCGACAGCCACAGTATCAAGACCACGAAAGCAACCGGTTTGGCGGCTGCCAACGAACAGTAATAGAACTGCAGGTAGGAAAATAGGCCGTCTTCATGGTCGGGGCAGTTGACACGGACGAAGGCACATTGATCCTTGACGTTGCGAACCAGACGGCACTACGTAATATAGAAGCCAGTCAGTTAGCATCGAGCACGCGACAGATCTAACCCTTCACCTCACTAGGGATGGATTCTTCCTCACGCCGTACTTACCTCTGGATGGCCATCTTCTTGACGCGTGTGGAGGTTTGCCGCGACAGTCAGGAGTTCGTTGCTCGAACTTAGAGACGCAATCCAGCTGATAGCAGCCAGTACAGCGAATATGAGGAGACTGATGAAGAACGGCCGGGTTGAATAACGGCGGCTCCTCCTTCTTCGACGAAGTGCTGGCCAATTCAGACCGAACAACCGAGACCCGAACATAATGCTCCTATCGCTGCATGCTGGTTACGCGAGCGCAACGAAGACACGCCCCTCGAGGTGGTAGAGTCTACTAGGTAGCAGTAGCAGTCTCCTCGTTCCGGAGTGAGTGAAGGTCAATCGGCGGTCGTAGAGAAGAGTTTGCAGCGTCAATCGATCAGTCAACCCATTCGGTATGTCCACTCGATGGGTTAACCTCCTTCCTTCCACTCTGCTGGTGGTCAGAACGGTGAAGGAGTGAAACCGGCGTCTCCACCAGGTGAGGTGCACGTCCGAGTTGTGTGACGGCTGCTAGTGATGTCAGTGGTGTAGGACCAAGGCGGTGCGAGGTTCGGCGGCCTAACGAGCAGCACTGGCGAAATAGCGAGTCAGAATTCGGTTCGATTCGACAGGCAACACAATTGTCCGTCTCAGGATCCTCGAAATCCAGGCAAGATACCCCCCGCCGTTATTCTGCGACCTTTGTTGGGTGTTGGATCATTTCACGTGATTCTATTCACGTGATATATACACTAGTCCGGATCCGGTGTAACTGCGCCTTGGGTGCTTGTGGTGAGCCGTATGTTTTGGTAAACACTTCATGTCTTGCCAAGGAAGGCATCGACCCGAAGCGATATCTCGATCGAGCATCCAGCACCGCCGGCGACCGCATCTATCGCAAGGGATGAGCGTCGCATCTTATCTCTGCTGACTACACGTGCTGCCGAATACCTGTTGACCTGTTCCTTCCTTGCTGGGGGAGGAGTGCCGCACACCTCTTGCCCCCCCCCTCCGTTGCCTCCTGCATAATCGATTCACCATGCCCCGCGTATCGAACAAAGTGCATCGCCGCTCCAATGGGGCCTCCACTCCTCACAAGAACTCCCCTATCAAGTATGTATTTGAACTAGGCGACGTTGCTGTGGATGCCTACTAACCCCCCCCCTCCCCTCGCAGAATCCCCCTCAATGATGATATGGGCGAGAAAGCGGCGCGTCTGGAGGCTCGCCAGGCTCTACACGATCGCCAGATGGACCAGATCAAGGCTGCCGTCAAGACCCCGATGCCGCCGCGCAAATATGCCAGCTATGACCGTGCGGAAAGTGAAAGCCCTGCCACGCCTCGTTCCCGCCGACGCGGGCGAGAGAGCGATGTGAACGGACGTAGAGCCGTGACTCCGATGAAGCGGGTGCCCATCTTGGCCAACTTTGAGGAATGGATGAAGATGGCGACGGATAACAAGATCAACGCGAACAACTCGTGGAACTTTGCTCTCATCGATTACTTCCACGATATGTCTCTCTTGAAGGAAGGAGATGGTGTTAACTTCCAGAAAGCAAGTTGCACGCTAGATGGGTGTGTGAAGATTTATACAAGCAGAGTTGACAGTGTCGCAACCGAGACTGGAAAGCTGCTTAGTGGGTTGGCCGATAGTCGTGACCGGAAGGCCCAGGAAGCAGAAGCAGAAGGTGAGGACGGCGAGGACGATGAGGGTGAAGAGGAAGGCACTTCGAGAAGGTCCAAAAGAAAGGTAAAGTTCCAGGAAACTTCTATGTTTCTTACTCTCTCTCTTTTCTTTTTTACTTTAGCTGACTCCACGTTTAGCAGCGCACGCACGAAGCAACTCTTGCTCCATCATTCGCCTCCTTGCAACTCAAGAAATTCGAACTTGAGTTCACAGTTGACCCACTATTCAAGAAAGCCTCGGCTGATTTTGACGAAGGCGGTGCGAAGGGCTTGCTCCTTAACCACCTCTCTATTGATGGGCAGGGAAGGATCGTGTTTGATAGCAGTGATGACACCCTTGATGAGAACTTGCACGAAGCGGGCTCTGGTCGACAGGATCTGACAGAGAATGAACGCTCAGACTCGCCGACTCCGGCTCCAAAACAGACGGATACGGAGATGATGGACGAAAGTATAGAGATTGACATTGCTCCTTTGGCGAGCCGATTTTTCCCTGAGCTGGACCGTCTTGACGAGCAAGACATCTGTCCCTCTTTGAAAAATTTTGATCTTGGAGACCCCAGCGGGTCTCTGGACCTTCCCTTTTTGAAAGCGCCTGAAGAATGGCGGCATGATAAATCCATGGACGAGGGACACGGCTTGACTGATCCTTCAGGCATCATGCTTGATGACGATAATGCAGTAGGCTTTGATGACGACGATGGGACCCTGGCTGGATTTGATCTCAGTGATGATGCGGGTTTCGGTGAAGGTGGTGAAGTCTGGGCGAGAGAAGCTGCTCTAGAGCCGATGCTGAAGGTTCACCGCATAGACCTGAACGGTAATGACAATAATGACGACGATGCGGAGCTTGATCATGATGGAGATGCATATACCATCTCACTCTCACACCAGCCAAACAATATGGAGCACGAGAATATTCTCAGCTACTTCGATAACGCCCTGCAGAAGAACTGGGCCGGTCCAGAGCATTGGAAGATTCGGCGAGTCAAGGAGCATGTGGCAGCGAATATGACCAGTGCAGCACCCAAGACACGGAAAGAGAAGGAGCCCTTTGAACTCGATTTTACTGCAGCTCTCGATCCCGCTGTTGCCGAAACAATCTACACTCAAGCGAGCTCAAACTCGACTATCTCTCTGCCGAAAACGCAATGGAAGACCAAGGGCCGCAATCTTCTTCCGGACGATAAACACTTCAACTCCAAACAACTCCTCCGTCTGTTCCTTAAGCCGAAAGCCCGAATGGGGTCTAGGAGACTCATCGGCTCGAGACAGTTCAACAACAGACGACAGGATCAGGTGCCTGGGAATGGTGAAATGGACGAGGCCTTCTGGGCGAACCACAAGACTGAAAATCAAGCTCCTGACTCAATGGAGGACCCTGCTGCTGGTTCTTATGATGCCAACTTCTTCGCTGACGATGACGGCCTGCCGTTCGCGAACATGGGCGATGATGACGACGATAACATGCCATTTGCCGACGCGAGGGAGATGCTCTCACCACCCGCTGATGGAGCACCAGGCGGTGCAGCCGGCGAGGCTGGTGGGCCATCGGGACTCACTGCTCTTTTGAACGTGATGGGTGGTGGCACCGGCGGATTCGGCTCGCAGCTCGTCACTTCAGGTGGAAGACGGGCACGACCGGACTATGTGGCGTATGCACGAGTTGCTAAGAAGGTGGATGTCCGTCGACTCAAGCAGGAGATGTGGAAGGGCATGGGTGATCGGCTTATCGCGGCCACGGAATTTGACAACAACATCAGCACTGGTTCTGAGATGGACCTGGACGACAAGGAGGAAGACGTGCCGCCAACACCTACATCGTCAGATCCAACCCCGAGCGCTGCCTCGGAGGCTGAAAGTCAAAAGGACGGGCGCCTGCGGTTCACAAGCATCATGAACTCTCTGAAGACGGTCTATCCCCAGGAGGCGCTACGAGACATCAGTACCTCGTTCGGCTTCATCTGCCTACTTCACTTGGCAAATGAACAGGGCCTTGTGTTACAAGGTGGAAATCCCTTCAGCGGTGCTGGGGGTAGCCTGGAAGAAATTTACGTGGCCAAGGACACACATGCCGTCATTGACGAAGGTGGGATGTAGACTCCTCCGGCTCTTGTTAAGTTTGTGTATAGTTCTGTGGTTCCTTTCCGGGTGTAGCTATGTTGATATGACTGAAACGGTGCATGAGAGGATCCTGTGGGGTATGAATATTATCTGCAGCGGAGTTGGTGGATACAGCTAGTCAAGGTTATACAGCTTATTTATTTCCTCTATGATTTATAAGTAAAATGGAAGTGTAGTTATCTTCACCTCTTGCCAATCATCTACTCAGGGGGGCTTCTTCATTTAGACTATAAAACCAGAGGTTTAAACTAGGTTCTACAGCCAGATGATTACTAAAGTATAAAAGTACTTACTGGGCATTATCTTTTAAGTAGCTACAAAATAATAAGCCTGATAATTAAGTGATATGGCGACGTAGATGCATAACTGGCTTTCAAGAGAAATATACAGATAGCCCTATAATCAATCTACAATATCAAAAGAAAAGTAAGATTGTAGGAAGTGATTGGCATTACAGTGGATTGATCATGCAGAGACATCAAAGCCAGGGATATCAAAATATACATACTATAGTTCTTTCAGTCTTTCAGTCTTTCAGTCCTCCATCAGAAACAGTCAAGTGACTTCACTCTAAAGAAGAGGGGGAGGGGGGAATTAAGCTCAACACACAAACACAGAGAATAAACAAAAAAAGAAAAGAAGGGGCAAAAAAAAAAAAATTAGTATGCTCCCGGAATCGGGACAGAGCCAAAGCTCTGCTCTCCCGAAGCGGGGACAGATGCTGTTTGATTCCGTGGATGTTGGTGGTGCTGCGGGGGTGGCGGCGACGGCGATGTTGACGGAGAGGATAGTGAGGAGGAATTGCTGGGGGGAGGAGAAGAAGAAGAGACGGCAAAGCCAGCCTGCTGGACGACCGGGGTGGCGTGCTGGACGCGGATCGGCGGCGGTTGCAGGTGAAATGCCTGGGGCGGGCGGGTGGGAGACTGCGGGACAGCGTATTGAACGGTATAGGAGTAACCGTTCTCTGCGGCACTGTAGGGGTCAGAGTCCGAGTGGTCGTGCTCGCCGGTGGATTCCTGGATGGGGGCGACGGAGACCCAGGTAGTAGCGGACTTGGGGGTCTTGGGAGGATAGCCGGGGGTCATGGGGTGGAGGAAGCCCGGGGTGTTGGGGGCGGACTGGACACGCAGCTGGGCGAGGTACAGATCGGAGCGAGCGCGGTCACGGGTGTCCATTGTCTTCATGAGGCGGCGCTTGGAGTAGAAGCGGTAGAAGACGACGGCGTAGATGAGGATGACGAAGAGCTCGATGACGACCTCGATGATCGCACACACGAGGCCCCAGTCCTGTAGGCGGCATAACAGGCTGTAGTTCACGTCGTCCTTGAACAGGTCGTAGCGCTCGTTCTTTTTGCACGACCACCCCCACAAGTCCTCACCCCCGCCGTTGGCTTTGGCGTTCTCGAACACGGCGGCGCCCACCACCCACATGATCAGGTCGAAGACAAAGTAGCAGACGGAGAAGGTTGAGTAGTAGACAGCCAGCTTCTCTGCGCGCTTGTGGCCGCCCTTCCAGTAGCCCCAAAAGACAGCCAGGCAGGTTAGTACCGAGACGCCCGCCAGCGCTAACAGTAAGTACTGCGGCCAGGGGTTCGTGCCGATCGCCCAGGGGGGTAAATTGTTCCTCTCGGGGATTGACTTGGTCGCTTCAAAGACCGTCAACGTCGTTGCTAGCAACGACAGCACGATCATGCTGCAGCTGAAGTTCACCACGCGGAGGAAAGCCTTGGCCAGGCGCACACGGGTTTTGACCCTCTGCAATGGTCAGTATATGATTGTTCTTCATTGCTTGACATTTCATAAACGAGGGAAGGAGAAACCTACGAGGTCTTTTGCGTTTTGCTTTTCCGTAGCCTTCTCGTGCTTCTCCAACATGTACTCCTCCCGGAAAGTTGGACTCAGCGGGTTCAATGTCCGGGCCGTGCCTGGAGATTTCAAGGCGCTCTTGAGCGGCGAGGCCGGCGGACGGAATTCCGCTGCCCGGCGCACGGGATCATTGTCGGCCACATACCCGAACCCCAGGTCGGAGACGTTGTTGAGAGTCTTCTCCTGCTGTTGTTGCGGTTGTGTCTGGCCAGCAGATGGGTCTACTACTCCACAGGGTGAACCGTCGACCGGCGACAGGACCGAGGTGGCCTCAGCAAAGCGAGCAGCACGGGGGCTTTTGAGAGACGAGAAGGATTTCTCTGAAAAACTCCTTGTTCTTGAGTTCCCGTCTTGGGAGGGTTGCTGCTGCTGCTGCTGCTGCTGTTGCAGGTCCTGCAACTCCTGCAGCTGCTGTGGAGGCAGAGTCATGACGCCCGAGTTACGTCCGCCGATGAGATCTGTAGGAGATGTAGGTTCGTAGGTGTGTGGCGAGTGATCGTGACCGTTACTGGAGGACATGATAGAAGAGGGTAGTTCGTATAGTATATAGATCTTGGCTGTCAAGAGACCTGCTCTTGTCTTGTTGCAAAGAATCACCACGCAGTCAATCAACGCTGTATGTACTGGGTTAGAGAATGGCTAAGAGTAGACCTCGGTAGGAAGTATAGACTCACCTAAACCACGCCCAGCTTAACGAACATACAGGCCAGCAGTAGCACGTCAAGGAGCACAGCAAGGAGACAACAGACAAAGGAAACAGGGGGGAAGAAAACAGGACAGGAAGGACAATCGGCCTGTCCTCCTCGAGCGAGGAAACAACGCCGTCTTGAAGGTCATCAGAGCGGCAGAGCACGCCGCAAGCGCCAGGCATTGCAGACGCTCATTGGCCGAGGGCCGGCGGCTACAGATGTGCCAAATGCTGCTGTTCGCGGTTCTGATTGGGCCAAAGTAGGAGGGGCTAAAGCAGTTGCCCCGACGAATCACATCCGAGCAGCCAATGAGAATCCGCACTGCTTTTGGGGGGGTGCAGTGGGCGATCACCCGAACCAATCAGATCTTGAATCCAGCCGCAAGGAATCTTGGCCAGTGCAGAGGTACCTTACCTCCTCCTACCAGGTACCTCAGAGTCCATGCACCAGCAGGTACGGAGTAACTACTAAGGTACCTAAGGTAGGTATCTACTCGTACCATAATCACATTCGGGTCCGAGTAGGGTACTTACATAGTAGACTATAATAATAGGTATAAAGTTAGGCAAATTAGTTTTGTTCTTACTCTATATGTTCTTCAATGAAGTATAGAGTAACAACAGATTTAAGCATAATAGTGTATCTTGTATTCTATAGATTCTATTATACATAGGCTGATTATTTACTTTTATAGTTAGTACCACTCTATAGATAGTTATATAAATAACTAGTAACCATGTAGTAAATGTAGTGTGCAGATATCTTCTGAGTACAGAGTATAATCCAGTATATAATCCAGTCTAATCCAGCATAATCCAGTACATAATCCAGTACTCTGTCCTAAGGTACAACTGGTAGGCTATCCAATAAGAACAGGTATTACCTCACCGCCTTGTTGTAACCGAGACGCCTCGCTCTCCGCCAGCCACGATTCGCCGAAACACAGCCTCACTGTATTACTGACAGTACTGTACAGAGTACTAGGTACTATACCTTAGAGTATACCTAGGTAGGTACCTAGTACTGCACCAGTAGTAAAGGACAGTAAATCATTGATAATATTATAGATCAGATATTTCTTATTATTAGTCATTATGAGTATCTAGTACCTAGTAATTACCTAGGTACTAGGACCTCCTAGGAGTACCTAAGTACTAGTACGTAAGGTACTGTCTGACGTAATCAGATTACCTTGGTACTTGGCAGAGCCTCAGTCACCTGTGCTCAGCTCCAGCCTCCAGCCTCCAGCCACTTCGTCCAACACCAAAACATCTGCATCGATCGATCTGCCTGCGAGTTGGACTGGAATCGTCGTGTCTCGGTGCATTTACCCTCCCCTCGACCCTCCCTCCCCACTCGTTGCGCTGCACTCGCTCTCTCCATGTCATTGAGACCCTGTCCTGTGTCCCTTTCCTCTTGCAGTTAGCCGCTTGCTTTTCCCTGAACCTCGCCCGCCGTGCTTCCGTTCGCGCAACCTAAAACGCCTTCCTCTTCGCCTATTCTGGTTTCCCTTGTCGCCCTGCTGGACCTGTTGTTTATTGATTTTTTTTTATTATTCTATTGTCCATACTCGTCTCGCCAGCTCTCATTCAAGTCGGTACTCTGTACATGACGGACTGGGAACCGTTACAACAGCGACAACGATAACGGCGGAGGCAGCGACTACTGCCTGTCTCTCTCTCTCCCTCCCTCCCTCCCTCTCTCTCTCTCTCTCTCTCTTTCTCTCCCACCCGCCACGGTTCCTGGCGGCTTTTTCCCCCCCTCTTTCACCTTCGTTCAACCAAAGAAATTTGGGTGGGCTGTTGAACCATAATTCTAGCCCTCTGCTTCTCTCCGTAAAGCAAGGCAGACGGCTATTTTTACCCCCGGAGGGAGCCTTGTTCGCCGCCCAGAGGGCCGATCGGCTGTGTTTCTGACGCTGCCAAAGCTGAACCCCCGTCAGCTTGCGCCACACTCCGTCTCCCAGGGAGCCAACGCCCCACGCGACGGTATGTCTTGATCTCGCTCTCTGGACAATTAAATCGATTCATTATTCTCCAATTTGCCATCCTGGTGGCGGTCGATTTTTTATTTTTTAATTTTTCTATCTATCTCTTCAACTCCGTATAGCTGGAAAAGCTGACATGACCTCCCAAGTTGCCCCCTCCTTCCGCCCCGGCCTCCTCCTTCTCCCTCGCCCGACCGGCCTTGCTTGCGATCGGTCATTCATGGCTGCTTTGATCCAATCCAGCAACGAGCCCGTCATCACCAGTTCGCCTGACTCCACCGTCTTCCTGAAACACTCCAAGCCTGACTCGAGTCTGTCCTCCATCGCCAGCGCCGGTCTTCACGTTTCCCGCTCGCGAATGGCCTCCATCTCCGCCAGTGCCGGCCAGATGGATCGGTCGGCGGATCTGCAAGATCAGGATACCGCTGCCACTGCTGCCGCGACGACGACGACGACGACGACGACGACGACGACAATGACAGCAGAGCATATTAGTAGTAGTAGTAGCTCACAGGTCGCACGCGAGGCGCTCGAAAAGTCGTCGTCGTCGTCGTCATCATTGTTGTCATCGTCGCACCACGCGCACCCCGTCGATCAGATGCAGATTGACTCCCATGCCCACATGCACGACACCTCCCCTTCCTTTGGTACCCCGGACCACTCCTCTTCCGCCCCGGGGCCTCTTCTACACAGCACCACCACCGTCGCTAGTCCCGGGCCGATAGAGGAAACGGCCTCCCAGGACAGTGGCGACCGCCCTTCCCGCCCCCGGGATGACGGCGATCTGCCCCAGGAAGCTAGCAACAAGGCCTTCTCCTACCCGATGCTGACCGGGGGGCTGAACGATCCGCGGCGCGGGCTCAGTTTGCCCAACTCCGGCTTCCACAAGGGCGGCTCCCGCTCGCCCTCGGCCAAGAAACACCGCTGCCCTTACTGCTCCACCGAATTCACCCGCCATCACAACCTCAAGAGTCATCTGCTCACCCATAGTCAGGAAAAGCCCTACGTCTGCCAGACCTGTCAGTCCCGCTTCCGCCGCCTCCACGACCTCAAACGCCACGCCAAACTGCACACCGGCGAACGACCCCACATCTGCCCCAAGTGTGGCCGACGCTTTGCGCGGGGTGACGCCCTCGCTCGCCATAACAAGGGCCAAGGTGGCTGTGCAGGCCGCCGTGCCAGTATGGGCAGCTATGTCCCTGAAGACGATTACGTCGACGGTCCGCACCCGGGCATGGGCGGCGGCGGGGTCGGCGCCGCCGCCGCCGCCGCCGCTGCTGCCGCTGCTGCTGCCGCCCACCACCATGACTCCATGGACGGCCTGGTCTATGACGAACCGGAACGCATGGACGAAGAGGACGAGCGACAATTCAACATGCCCAGTATCAAGAAACATGATGCCCCTGTCGGAGGAGACCCCATGCGCTCCAACTCCACCAGCAGCGTTCACCAACATTACCAACCGCGCCAGCCCAGCACGTACCCGCCGCTGGCCGCCAATCGACCCTCCCCCGGCGGCCTGTTCCCGCCGCCCACCAGCCACGGGGGGTCGAGCACTTCCACCTCGCCCATTTCGCAACCCGGAAACCTGACCTTCCCGCCCGTCGGCCAACCGTCGGGGGCCTCCATCTTTGCCCCAGTGGCCAACGTCACCGACAGCCCCAAGTCCCTATCACCAAACGCCATGTCGTCGCACCAGCTCGGCCATGGGCCGGAGGGTATTCAACCTTTATCCTCTTCCTCCGCCGCCGCCGCCGCCGCCACAACCACCACCACCACCACCACCACCACCACTGCTGCGCCGTTACTGCGAGGGCACTCACCAGTCTTTCCCCCACAATCACAACAAACCTCTTACCCGCGGTCTTCTGTCTCGGGCCCTGCTCCACCATCATCTCTTACCAACCATTCCTCCTCATCCAATACTGGCCTAGGTCTACCGCCGCCGCCAACGCAGACCGGCCCGCCCCAGCTCCCGCCGCCACCCGGGCTAACCTCTCCAGACTCACGGTTTACCCTCCACGGGCCGGGGACGAGTAGCAGCAGCAGCATCCCCGCCCCACATCTACACGGCCATTCGAATCCCGGGCTAGACCCGACACAGAACAGTCGCGGCCATTACCCCGGGCACGAGCCGGACCAGCAGCTGGATTCCAGTCGCGAAGACAAGCTGTGGGCGTACATACGGTCTATGCAGGAAGAGCTAGCCGGGTTAAAGAATGAGATGGCCATTCTTCGCGCGCAGCTCCAGGACCGGTAGTCCTTTTTTTTTCTTCTCTCATTCTTTTTCTCTATTCTCCTTTTTCATTCTCCTTTTTCATTCCCTTTTTTTCCATTCCCTTTTTCCATATTGACCTCTCTTTTTAAACCTTTTCCCCCTCTAATATCTCTTTGGTTCATGATGCACTAATGGATGATGGTTCTGGATGTAAAGCTGGGGAGTTTTGGAGTTCAAAAGGGCATGTATGACGATACATATTCTGCCTGTCTGTTCATAGTAGTGTATACTTGCATTGTACTACCTATTCCTTCACACTATTCTCAAGACTCTACTGTTATTCTCTTCCTATCCACCCAGTCAATAAAAAGACCTACATCCTTGATAATCGCCTTCGGCACCCCGCCCAGCAAATAACTCCTCTGCATCCAGCCAGGAATCGAACCCTTGGCGTCCGACGTGGTCGCCATGACCCATTCCACCGATGTGCCGTGGAGCCTAACATGCTCGACACTAGTGTAAACGCCGTATACAGTTTTGGATTCTGGTTGTGGTTGTGGTTGTGTTTGTGTGACGATGCTCGACTCGACGGGGATCTGCACGGTGATGAATCCTGAGCCGTCCGGTTCCGTCGCGCAGAGAACAAGATTGACAAACGTGCGTGGTGAGAGGGGGGGGAATGCATGGGTGATTGAATAGACTAAACTTGTACCTATACTTAACATAACCCATCACCAATATAGGTCTGTACCGTGTAGGTAGGTAGGTAGGTAGTAGGATTAATACCAGCTAAATCTACCTTCCATCCATCGAAAAAACAACCCTCCCATTCAAGCAAAGCCGTCACATTCACAATACTAGGCGTGTATTCCCCCTCGTTCAAGGAATGGGTATATCGTAGCCCATCCTGAAACTCGACAAAGGAAGCCGTCCCGTGCACGGGTTCGTTGGCGTGGACGCTCCGTCGGGAGAACCAGTGTTCTTCTTTCCTTTCGCTTCTGGGGCTTGGGTGCTTTTTATAGCTTGATAGTTGGATTTTTGCGGTCGAGGGGGGCGAAGAGACGAGTTTCTCCTTTTGAAAGGTCGAGGGGATTGCGGACAGGAAGGTCTGGGTTTCCGAGAGGAGGGGGGGGAGGAATTCGGAAAGCGAGATTGTTGTTGGGAGAGTCGGGTGCGAGGGGAGGCGGGATAGGGGGAGGGGAGTGAGCGATAGCATTGTGTGTAGAGTAGAGAGAGTAGAGTAGAGAGAGTAGAGTAGAGAGAGTAAAGTAGAGAGAGTAAAGTAGAGAGAGTGTAAGATAAGATAATCCTAGACTAGGAGGTATTTACAACAACCGCACTCCCACTCCTACACTCCCTGTATCGAAGATCTCAATCACGCCCGCCCCAAGGGCCTCCTCTACCGCCCACCGAAAGCTGATCCCATACAACTCCCGCCACTTTTTCGTCTTGCCAGGGAGAATCCCTGCAAACTCCCCGCGCGCCCGCTTGGCCACGCTGAAGCTGCGCTCCGATTCCACCGCCCCGTCCCATCGGTCCCGCAGCAGTTCCAGCGGTGCCTCGTTGTAGCTCGACTTGCGCAGCAGGGCCACCAGGTGGTTGCGCCCCGCGCTCAGCAGACGCAGGTAAGGCCCCGTGTTGGGGAGAGACAGAGAAACGCTGGTCGGGGGTGCGCCTCTGCCTGACACGAGAAAACCAGCACGTACCAGCGCCAGGTACTCGTCCGGTGCGAACGCGCCTGTCGGGATGGAAGTATCTTTTGATATCGTCTGGAGGAATTTATCTACTCAATTAGCATCTTTTTACTATAACATTCAGAGAGAGAGAGAGAGAGAGAGAGAGAGAAACCCTGCAAATGCTCGTTCAGATCACTCTGGCGGACCAACTGCTCCAGATCCTCTGCCAGCACCAGACAGTCTCCCAACCCCGCCGCGTCGGTTCCTCGCCCGGGCACAACCAGCCGTTTCACCCGACCACTCGTCACCAGTTCGAAAATCTCCTTTTCGACGCGGGTCGGCCCATTCAGCAGGGTGTGTACGTGCGCCACGGATGCCAGGGGAGGCAGCGAGCGCCGCAACGTCAGCACCTGCGCGATCCGCGTGCTGTTCATCCCTGCGCGCTGCGGTACCTCCTCGAACATGGTATCCCGTATAGACTCGATCGCCTGTACCACATCCTCCACGGAGGCTGTCTCGGGGATATACTGCGATACGCCCGTGTCGGGGAGAGGCTGCTCGTCGTCGTCGGCAGCGTGAGAAGCAGCAGCCTTCTTCACCCCGCCGGGCTGCGTGTTGGGTTTGCGGCGAGCATGGCCTGCAAACGGCGAGCCTCGGGGCCGGGGGGCACTGGATTTGCGGTTCTTGAGGCCCGAGACTGGTGCAGACGTCAGACGCAGGGGCATTCCGTGCTTTACAGAAGAGAGAGAGAGAATCTTCAGGCAGGCAAGGCAGAAATCCTAGATAAGATAGAGTCACGTGTGGATGCCTAAGGCCGACACACAGTACTCTCTACTGCCTCACGTCTTCACTGTATGGCCTTAATTGATGGAAACAAACTCATGGGAAATTACCTGTAGTAGTATTTATAGTATACAATATTCATTATAAATCCATTGCATCCCAGAGGCGTTTACTCGAGTGTGTCTATATAATCTACTCTGTACTCTTGAGTCTTCTGCCTCAGGCATATCACATGACGTAGCGGCCCCTCCAGTTTTTCTAGGACAGCGAGATTTGATCCCAGCAAGAATCCGTCGTCATCGCTCTTTAATTATCGAGTATATATTCATTTATATTCTTCTGCTGCTATAGCTTGCTCTCCAATATTATTCGCTTTATTCCCCTCCCCCCCCAGCTTGAGGGTGTGAACTGCTGTCTGCTGCAACTTTTTGCGCTGCCCCTCACCATGACGATCTTCATTGCGTCTCTGTGCGTTGAAGGCCACTGAACACGAATTCTCGCTGGGGAAAAAAAGCTGACTGACGATCTAGATTCCTTCCCTACACTGTCAACTTCCCTGTTGACGAGAGTCATTCACGCTCGGCCAGTCCCAGAACGTTAAGAGCAACCCCCGGGGCGGCCGCCCCCCCCGCTACGACAACGACAACAACGGCGACGACGACGACGACGACGGCCGCCAATGCAGCGGTCAGCTTATTTGAACGGCAGACGGAGGAGAAGAAGGTCGGGCTCACTCCAGGGGCGACCACGGAGGATGAACGGATCTTCGCACCTGAGCTCGCCAAGACGACAAATAAGGAGGCCTTGACGGACCAGTTCCCTCCGATCGCAGACAGGCTGCATCCGCTCACGGAGAGCGAGAGCCACTCTCCAACCTGGGGGTCGGCCGGCAGCTTCCGCCAGCCCAAACTCAAGGCGATAGCACAGCCGTCGCCCTCGATTCTGAAACACGCAGAGGCCCCTTCGACGGTGGTCCCGCGGGAGGTGCCGCGCCCGGTAGCCTTTCATGCGATACCCCCGCGCGAGGTGTTCTCGCGCGGTAGTATGGCGTCCTTCTCTCGAGGAGACTGGACCGTGGAGCCGGCAGAGCAAGGCAATGGCGGGCTGCGGAACGCGGTGCGGTCGGCGAACGACGCGGGGTATCTGCAAGACAAGCTGTGGGTGGGAACGTTGGGGATGCCGACGGACGTGCTGTCCCAGACCACGCGGGATGACATCTCGGAGAAGCTAGAGGATGAGTACAAGTCCCTGACGGTGTATGTGAGCGACAGCGACTTTGACGGGCACTACACACACTTCTGCAAGACGATCCTGTGGCCCGTCTTTCACTACCAGATCCCCGACAACCCCAAGAGCAAGGCGTATGAGGACCACTCGTGGGTCTACTACGTCAAAGTCAACCAGGCGTTTGCCGAACGGATCGCCAAAAACTGGCGGCACGGTGACTCCGTCTGGGTGCAGGACTACCATCTGTTGCTGGTGCCCGCGATGCTGCGCAAGCTGCTCCCGGATGCCCAGATCGGATTCTTCCTACACATCGCGTTTCCATCGTCCGAGGTGTTCCGCTGTCTGGCACCGCGCAAGGAGCTCCTCGAGGGCATTCTCGGCGCCAATCTCGTCGGCTTCCAGACGGACGAGTACTGCCGCCATTTCCTGCAGACCTGCAGCCGGATCCTGTGCGTCGAGGCCACCAACGAGGGCATCCAGCTCGAGGACCGGTTCGTGAACGTGGGCAAATTCCCCATCGGCATCGATCCGACCTCGTGGGACAGACGCCGCGAGGCGGCGGATGTCGAGCACTGGATCCAGACCATCTCCGAGCGGTACGCGGGCAAGCGGCTCATCGTGTCGCGGGACAAGATTGACGGGGTCCGCGGCATCCGGCAGAAGCTGCTCAGCTACGAGCTGTTCCTCAACACCTACCCGGAGTGGCGGAACCAGGTGGTGCTGATCCAGGTGGCGACGTCGACGACCGAGCAGCCGGAGCTGGAAGCCACCATCTCGGACATTGCGATGCGGATCAACTCGTGCCACTCGACACTGGCGCACCAGCCCCTCGTCTTTCTCAAGCAGGACCTCGCGTTTCCGCAATACCTGGCGCTGATCACCGTCGCCGACGCGCTGATGGTCACCAGCCTGCGCGAAGGGATGAACCTCACGAGTCACGAGTTCGTGTACTGCCAGGATGGGAAATTCGGGGACAAGGCGTACGGCTCGCTGATCCTCAGCGAATTTACGGGAAGCGCGTCCATCTTCAAGGACGCCGCGCTGCTGGTCAACCCGTGGGACTACCGGCAGTGCGCCGAGGCCATCCACACGGCGCTGGCGCGCAGTCAGACGGAACGGCAGCAGGTGTGGGAGCGGCTGCACGCGGCCGTCCTGCAGAACTCGACGGGAAACTGGGTCAAGTCGTTTTCCGAGACGCTGGCGACGGTCTGGCACGAGCAGTCGGCACGCGAGGCCCTAGCGGTACCCCGGCTGGACGTGGACGCCCTCGTCTCGCGGTACCAGCAAGCGCAGCGGCGTCGGCTCCTGATCGTCGACTACGAAGGGACGCTGGCGTCGTGGGGGTCGCCGCGGAGCATCATCCTGACCACGCCGCAGCGGGCCATCACCACGCTGACGGAGCTGGCCGAGGACCCGCGCAACATTGTGTACGTGATGAGCGCCCGCATGCCCGAGGAGATGGAGCGTCTGTTCCGCCGCGTGGCGGGACTAGGGCTCATCGCCGAGAACGGGTGCTTCGTGCGCGAACCCCATGCGGAGACCTGGCAGAACCTGACCGACCAGGCACACACGCAGGACTGGATGACCAGCGTGGATACGATTCTCGCGTACTACCAGGAACGTGCCGAGGGCAGCTGGGTGGAGCGGCGTCACTGCTCGCTGGTCTTCCACTACGGGTCCGCCGAGGACCGCACCACGGCGTCCCGGCTTGCCTCGGAATGCGCGGGCCACATCAACGATGCCTGTCTGAGCATGGGCATCCACGCGCTGCCGGTCGAGGGTGCTCTGATTGTTGAACCGATCAGCACGACCAAGGCCTCTGCTGCCGAATTGGTCTGGCAGTACTGTCTGAACAGCAATGGAAATGAAACCCCGTCGCCCGACTTCCTCTTGGCCATTGGAGATACCCGCGACGACGAGCCCGTCTTCCGCTGGGCGAACAAGCTCGAGAGCTCCCATGCGGTCGAGTACGCCATGACGGTCACGCTGGGGTCGCGCAGTACAGAGGCCAAAGCGACTCTTACGCAAGGAGTGACTGGTATGTATTTTCCTATCCTTTTATATCGACATGGCTACCTTTTTTCTATTCTATCGACATGGCTAACTTTTTTCTCTCTTAGGTGTTCTTTCTTGTCTGCAGAAGCTTGCTACGAGTACATAATCTGGTTAGAGGGCCCGGTATGCGTTGAGTGACGGGAGTGTTATAGATGCATCGACACTTAACACTGTCTATAGTATCAGATTATTACTTATTAGATTATATATTGGTAGATAGAAATCATATAAATCATTACGCTCATATGGACTTAAAATTAATATAGGAACCCTGCTTGGTTGACGCACTTCAACCATTAGTTAAAACTATCACACGCTTATTCATCAACCGAGGTAACTGTTATCCGAAGAGTACTATTTATTGACCATCCTACTTACAATAACTAGTAGTCATAAGTAGTCTATTCTACACTTACTATAGTTCTACAAGCAGTGTATACTATGCTCATCATGTCCTTTGAACAAGCCATCACCGTGACGCCAGTTGGCCCCTCACCTCTCGGCCAGCGGTACACGGCCCATCTCCAAGACGAATGGAGTATAGGAAGGGGTAAGCCAGAATATCTACCTAGACTTCAAAGTAAGAGGATGTATTTAAATGTGTACTATCTGATGTAATGATTAGTCCCCCATGGCGGCTACACCGCCGCGATACTGTACCGACTGGCGACGACGCATTTCGCACACATGCATTCCACGCAGTTTCCAGAAATGCCGGTCCCCATCTCGATGCAGATCTCGTATCTGCGACGGACAAGGGCCGGAGAAGCCCTTTTAACGGTTCAGGATGCGAAAATCGGCCGCAGAACAAGTACCATCCACGTCACGCTGTCGCAGAGAAAAGGAAGCGACAACTCGGACAGCAGCAGCAGCAGCAGCAGCTCCGACTACGAGACCAAAGTAGCGGGGTATATCACTGTTAGTCCGCCGGGAGCAGAACAGGGAGTCTCTGCTCTGACGCGGTGGAGTCCCTCGCCGCCTGTGGTTAAAGGGACAGGACCGTCTGGAGAGGTGAATCTGGCGGCGTTGGCTGCTACGGGGTCTGATGGGGTTTGGAAACGGAGCACGCCGCCGTTTTCTGCGTTCCGGCGAGCGACGCAGCATGCTGATCTGTATGCTCCGGGGAAAGAATCGAAAGAATCGAAAGAATCGACAGGATCGAATTCTTCTTCCCATGTTATTGATCAGTGGGCTCGGTTTTGTCCGTACGGTATACTTACACCATGGACGGACGAAGGCGTTGCGTTTTTGACTGATATCTTCCCTACGGCACTTGACGGGCTGCAAAGCATTGCTTTGAATTCCAGTGCTGATGGTACTGGTGGCTCATTCTGGTATCCCAGCGTGACGTTGAACGTGGAGTTCAAGAAACATCTGCTTCCCGGCAAGACGCAATGGCTGTACAGTCGCGTTCAGTCGAAGGTGGTATGCAACGGACGGACGGACATTGATGTCACGATCTTGGATGAAGAGGGGGACGTGGTTGCTCTCAGCACGCAGGTTGGATTGATCGTGAGTGCGAGTCGGAATATTGGTAAATTGTAGAACCTTGAGAGCTAGGTATTTAACCGATCAGATGGCTATGATAAGCATTGATTATATTTTATGAGTCTGTCTCTTCTCAATCCATACCCCTAGAGCTTCTACACAGATCCTCCCATTGTCTAGAATCTCTGCCCGGACTGTATTCTTGCGTCCGGCTCGCGAAACGACCTTGGCGCGCACGACAGCCACGGAAGGAACAGGCACAGGAGCCAGATACCGGACATCCAGCTGGGCGGTGAAGAAGCTCGAGACGATCTGCGAATGGGCCTCGAGGGCAAGAGACATGGCCTCGTCGATCACGGTGGCGAGCAGGCCGCCGTGCGCGAGGCCCGGGTGGCCGCTTAGTCCCGGGGTAGCCAGGGAGAGGAGCATGAGGATATCCGGTGGCTCGAGGGGGGTCCGCCATGCTGATTCGACCTCGAGCTCGACTCCCGAGCTCGCCAGCGGGACCAGTTTGTTATATGTCAGGGTCTGGACGTGAGGGATGGTGGTTGCTGTCGCCAGGGTGCCGGCGAAGAACCCATTCTCGTCGGTGGGGAGGCGTTGGCGCGATGTGGTTTCGATGGGGGTGTAGTCGGGGTGACTGAGGAGGGGAGAAGTAATCGGGTGTTTGACAATCATTGTAGTCTATGAGTAACTATGGTCTCTATGGAGTGAGTTGTATGATAGTAGTATGACTAGTAGTACGGAGTATGACTGTGACTGATAGCCAAGTGATCGCCTCGGCTGTCGGCACGCTACATAACTAGTAACTAGATAATACTTGAATAAATTAGTAATTAACAGTTATTAACTACTGTAGAGATACTGGGTATATTATTCTACTGCAGTACTAGTACACGTGCTTAAACCACTGATGGCCAGTGATGGACGACATAATCCTGCTTCTAGTAGTCGCTGTCCACGTAATCGTCTCAGATGGTTGCAGGTAGCTCGGTTTGGAATAACGAGGGATTCGCTATTTATTATTTAATTAAGGAGCAGTGCGGACGACGGGAAATTAGGTAATATACAGGAATATATAGTAACTAGGAGTATATACTACAGAGTAACTAGTGATAGCTATTTGATAGTCTTTTTATTCCTTGTGCCTCCATTCCCTGATAATAAACCAAACAATCTTTCTGTAAATCCACTCGTCTGTTCTGTCTGTATTTAAGATCAGTGGAGCCACTAGTGGGGGGGGTACGTAGGCGATAGAGTAGAATTAGTAGTAGTAGAGACATTAGTAGTAGTAGTAGAGCTAGATAATAGTAGTAGACAGAAGACAGAAGACAGTACTACGTAGTCTATGTAAATACAGGGTTAATACTAAGACTAAGAACAGGGTCAGATCTAGTTATCTGGTGGCTGCTAATAAGTACTATGTAGAATAGGAGTATGTACTAGTCTATTGCTAGCTTATCAGTGTGATAGTGCTGTGATAGTGTTACCAGCTAGTAGCTACCCATAGAGTACCCAACCATGCCTCTATGTAGTACTATATGGGTAGTACTATCATACGGAGTACTTATGTAGAATAACATGTAGTATACTTCTTGATTGACTCTGTATTATATCACTAGTATATTATAATATATACTGTCAGACTAAAGTCCAACTCAACACTCCTGTCTCATCTCTGGTTTAATGAGTCCACCACCAAGAGGCAATTAACTAAAGATGCTCAGAACAAGGTCACCATCTCGGCTGCCACTAGCCTAACTGCTCCGGGCCTAGCCGTGTATCCCAGCCAATCACACCACTGCACTAGCCACTGCCTGTGCCTGCCCTAGTCCCGGCCAGGCCTAGCCCGCGAGTCTTGTGACTGGCACCCGGTGCAACCTCCGACACTTGCCCTCTTTGGGAGCGAAAGGAGGACCCCCGCGAAGGGAAGGAACGAACTGCTAACAACAACAAGGGAAAGGGCAGAATTTTGCTGGTCATCGTCACCACCAATACCAACACGCCGTCCCAGCCCAAGCAATGGTCCGGTTATTTATTCCAGCGGAAGCCGGGGGGGCCTGGCAGCTGCCTTTTGCTCTGTCCAGCTCTTTTCTTCTTCTTCTTCTTCTCTCTGTCTCTGTCTCTCTGTCTCTCTTCTCGTCTTGACCCAGCTAGACAGCATCAGTTAGATCTTTAGCCAATTCTTTACTTACTGACCCCCCGACGCTGTCACTATCAATATGCTGACTTCCGCTGCCTTGATTTTCTCGGCCCTCATGGCCACCGCCGTGGGCAACTACACCTTCCCCTATGGCTTCGACATTGACAATACCACCTTGACTGAGCGCTGTACGTTTTTTTTTTTTTTTCTTTCCTCTTCCTTTTTCGCCATTCGTTGGCACTCTTTTCTGTTTCATCACTGACTCATGACGTCCAGCTCAATGGTGTACTGCCGAGCGGAACAGCTGCCCTCTGATCTGCGGTGGAGTCGCCGATGAGAACACCTGCGATGCGGTATGCTTAAATCTTATCCTGGCTTCCCCTTCATGAAGAAGAAGAAGGTCAATGGCTGACTGGTCGGATTGACAGACCACCCTCGCCTTCACTTGCGTCTGCTCCAACGGCTCCGAGGCCGACGTCGCTCTCTACGAGCAGACCGTCCCCTTCTACGTCTGCCAGGCTACCTACGCTCAGTGCATTGAAGAAAACCCCAACAACCTCGATGCCCAGGAGTCCTGCAAGGCCAACGAGACTTGCGGAACCCTCAACGCCAGCGCTGTCTCCACCACCTCGACCGCTGCTAGCACCGCCTCAGCCACGGCCAGCGCTTCCACCACCACCGGCTCCTCCTCGACTACCGCCTCGGCCTCGTCCAGCGCAACTTCCTCGGGTGCTGCTGCCGCCCTCCGTATCGCCCAGGATCACTCCACCAGCCTGCTGGTCGGTGCTTTCCTCGTCGCCTTCCGCGTCATGCTGTAGAGCATACCGTTCTACACTACCCTTCCTGGAAATAATTTGAATCCCACCACCCCCTCCCAGAGTCTATAGTTCGATGCGCTCTGCTCATTGTTACCCAATACCGCCGCACTTGTATCTTGTACTCGGCACGTGCCATGTCTTTTTGTTTAGCCGTCTGTTGTTTGGTTTCTCTCTTCATGTCTCATGGTACGAACTTTTACGTCTGTCCTTAATTGACGCCTGCACCTTCTATTGATGTCAGCGCGATTTTGCTGGTTGAGACTATCTTCCATAGAATAATAGTAGTCATTATATCCATTGTATACCTTGATAGTACAGAGTACCTACCCTATTGTACCACTTTGGTTTCATAGCAGATTTTACCCAAACACCAATTAAAAACCAATCCTGACGGTCGCTTAACCAAATATAAAAATTAATATTTTTTTGGTTATCATATCAGAATCCCTGAATTTTTATGTCGTAGGAAATAATTCTGTCTTGCTGCTCTCTTCTCTTGTTGTTCTCTCTCTTCCACGCTCGCCAAGAGTCTGCAGCACACACTGAAATTTCTCCAACTTATCGATAGACTCCACCCGAACCCAACACCTTTTCCCAAACCACACCTGCCCTCTCGCCCTCCCTCTCGCCCTCATTCCAGCATATCGACCACCCGTTGCACCCGATCATGCCGGCCCCTACCACCACCCTCCTCATCGAGGGCAGCTTCACCGAGCTGGCCGAGGAGTTCGCCCAGTACCTCGACACCCTGCGCAAGAACGAGGGCCCCAGCGTCCAGGCCGAGATCACCCCGCTGCTGCAGCCTCTGCGCGAGAAGGAACAGGCCGACGAGGAGCCGGATCTCAAGCAGCGGGATGAGGTTTTGAAGAAGCTGGTCTCCGCGGCGGCCGTGCTAAACACTGCGCCAGAGAAGGGTGAGCCAGGGAGAGACAGAGTGAAAGTGAAAAGAGGCTGACTAAAAACTTCACAGAAATCACCTCTGCGTATAACCTGCTGTTGCACCTCATCCACCAAGCGTCGGATCCCGACATGTTCCTCTCGCGCCTGTGCACGTATCTCGCCAAGCCGATCCAGTCGTCTCCCCAGTTCGGCCCATCGCTTGCCATTTCCATCCTGACCACCATCTTCAACACGCTCGCACCCTCGGACTCGAGCCGGTACCACGTGCTGTTGGCGATCGTGGCGGTGATCCGGCAGAGCAGCTCTGCGTACGCGTACGAGGCCCTCAAGCCGCAGCTGACGAACCAGCTGCCCGGCTGGCTGACCGCGTGGGAGCTGGAGGAAGAAGAGGCCCGCAAGCTGCACCTGGCCGTGACGGAGGCCGCCGAGGCCGCCGGCGACAGCGAGCTGGCGTACGAGCACCTGGTGCTCGCCCTGCAGACCGTTTCCGCGGGGGAGGCCAGCCGTCCAGAGTCGCGCGAGCTGGCCATCCGTGCCCTCAAGTCGTCGCTGCAGAACCCCACCGTCTTCGACTTCACCCCCGTGACGGGCTCGGATGCCATCCAGGCCCTGCGCGCCAGCGACAGCACCCTCTTCGAGCTGCTGGAGATCTTCACCTCCGACACCCTCGACGTGTATGAGGATTTCGTCGCCGCCACCCCGCTGGCCACCATCTCGGGCGGGGTCCTCGCCGACATCGCCACCCCACTGCAGACCAAGATCCGCCTGTTGACCCTCGCCTCGCTGGCGGCCTCGACCCCGTCGCGCTCGATTCCCTACGCCAGCATCGCCACCGCCCTGCGCGTCCCCGCCGACGAGGTCGAGAAGTGGGTCATCGACACCATCCGCGCCGGTCTCGTCGAGGGCAAGCTCTCCCAGCTCCGCTCCGAGTTTCTCGTCCACCGCGCCACCTACCGCGTCTTTGGCGAGAAGCAGTGGGCCGAGGTTCAGGGCCGCCTGATGGTCTGGCGCCGCTCGCTCGAGTCCGTCCTGGGCGTTATCCGCTCCGAACGGGAACGCTTCATCCGTGACGGCATCCAAGCTGCTGCTGCCGCGGCCGCCGCTGCCGAGGGTAAGACTGGCGATAAGGCCAAGGAGCGCCGACGGAATCAGAACCAGCAGCAGAACCAGCAGCAGACCCAGACCCAGACCCAGCAGCAGCAGCAGCAGCCGCCGGCCGAATTAGTAGTCGAGTGATCTTTTTTTTTTTTTCTTGCACTTTGTTTATTTCTTCTAGATACGGAATGTCATGTCAAAAGTAGATACATCTATGCGAAGACTTATAGACTAATAGTAGGCTAGACAAGTAGATCTCTAAAAGGAAAAAAGCCGGGTAGGAGGATGCAAACTTATAAAGGATGCAACCCTTTGGTCTTCAACCCCTCCCTGATACGCTCATACACCTCGTCGACACTACCCGTGGCCTCGACGGAGACGACCTTGTCCTGTTCCCTAAAGGCATCCACGACGGGCATGCTAGTCTCGACAAAGGTACGGAAGCGCTTGCGGATGGACTCTGCGTTATCGTCGTCCCGACCGGACGTCTCGCCTCGTTTCAGGAGCCGTTTCTCCATCACCTCCTCGGGACAGGTAAGGAAGAGGGTGAATTCGGACGGACAGACTGTTTTTTCGAAAAACACCGCCTGGTCGAGTTTCCGCGGGAACCCATCAACCAGGAAGCGAGCTTTTGCTGCTGAAGAAGATGAAGAGGAAGCTGTTGAAATAGCATCCGCCATCGAGTTGGATAACAAGGCAACTGTGATTTCCATGGGCACGATCTTGCCCTCCCGGATATACGTGCGGATCAAATCGCCGTATTCGCTTCCCTCGCGGTTCTGTTCGGCTCGAAGCAAGTCCCCTGCAGACAAGTGGATGAAGCCATAATCACGGACGAGGTTGGTGGATTGGGTGCCCTTGCCGCTTCCTGGGCCACCGAGCACAAACACAACGGTCACTTCGGAGGGAGAGAATCGAGACATTCTTATGATGTTAAAAAAAAAAAAAAACAATTTTATGTTTATTGTTTATTGTTTTGGTTCGCTCGCGATTTGACGAGAAACACGTAGGATCCGGAGCCGAGGGCAAAGATGGCAATGAAAGGTAGGACCTTGAATTGCGTGCGGCTGTATTGCGAATTGTTCCGAGGGGTGGAATAGGGGCGCGCGAGACCGGTGCGCAGGGGGGAAGCGGAGACGGAGACGACGACCTTCGGCAGTTGCGTGGACCGGGCGAACAGGGACATTGGCTGATCTTTTCTGTGCTAACTCTTGCAGAGTACAGAGTACGAGTACAGAATACCTAGGTAGTTTAAGTAGATACGGACGGAGTACCTGGGTAGTTAACGGTGGTTGGTACGGAGAGTGATGACTTGGCGTGAACCCAATGGGGAATAGCGTGGGTTGAGATACAGAGTGAGTACCTAGGTACTTGGCTCAACAGAGTCAGAGACTGAGGCTTCTAGTTACTTGCATTTACACTGTGAGATGATGAATCAAAATTGAAGATTTATGTACAAACGCTACCACTAATTATATATAATAACACCAAGAATGCTGCATCGTAACACCAACTATACAGTTTACAGTATAGCACACCCTATACAATAAGCTATACACTGTGAGCCGACACAGGCGAGCGGGGCCGCTCGTCTACCTCGGCCATGGGCCGTTCCTCCTCCGAGGGAATGCTGGCGTACGCCTGCTGCTGCTGTTGCTGGCGGCGGCGGCGCAGGACCCAGAAGACGCCCGCCGCGATGCCGCCCATGGCGCACAGGACGATGATGGCGATCAGCAGGCGGGCCGTGCCGCGAATGACGTCGTACGCCAGGAAGATGGCGTCGATGGCTTTCTGCTCGCGCTGGGTATCGCTACTGCCTGTTCCACTGGTTGTGCTTGTGCTATCCGAGATGAAGTCGGCGGAAGACGAAGAAGAAGAAGAAGAAGAAGAAGAAGAAGAAGAATCAGCGCTCTTGGAGCCGTAAAGCTTGGAAGGATCATCCGCCGAGGGGTCCGCCTCGACGAAGCCGACGGCCTTCCAGTCGTCGGGGACGATGCTGCGCTGCACCTCCGAGGTGCGGAGCACGCGGCCGTCCTTGTGAACGGCCTCGGCGGTGACCCAGTCGAGGTAGCCGTCGGCGATGAACATGGTTTCGAAACTGGTCTTGTTGGCCGTGCCGACGAGGACGGGGGCGCCGTCCTTGCTGGCGCGGGCGTAAAAGTTCCACGAGCCGATGTCGGTGGCGCCGTTCCAGCTGACGTGGAAGACGGTGGTCAGATCGTTGCTGCGCGTGCCGTACACCGAGGCAACGACGGCCGGGGGCGCGGCGGGGAGGCCGACAAAGGGAAACTTGTAGGCGCGGTAGGTGTTGAAGCGCTCGGAAGAGAACCGGGCCTCCATCAGCAGCTCGCCGTCGGCGGTGAACTCGGAATGGTATCCGGTCTCGCTCCAGCTGACAAAGACGTTGCCGTTCTTCAAATCCTGGACGTTGCCGCGCAGCCGGGTGAGCCCCCCGTCGGGACGCTTGTAGCGCCGGACGGCCTTGGCGACCATGGTGGTGGTGTCGAGCTCGATGAAGAGGGCCGAGGAATAGCGCTCATCCTGGGAGACCTCGTCCGAGGCGTTGTCAAGGAAGGAGACGACGGTGTGGGTGTCGTTGGAGGAGATGAAGCGCACGTGATGCTGCTTGGAGAAGGTAAAGTCCTGCTGGAAGTCGGATTTGCTGCCGCCCAGGCGCCACAGGATGCGGCCGTCCTGACCGGAGATCTTGTAGATGGTGTTGGTGAAGCGGGCGGAGAGGAGGTAGTCGCCCGCGGCATCCTTGTCGGCGGCGTTGACGTGGATGTAATCCCAGCCGGGCTTGCCCTCTGGCGAGGAAAACATGTTGTACTTGACCGACTCGGCCATGGTGATGTGGTCGCGCGAGTCCCACTCGAAAACCGGGTCGCCGGTCTTGAGGTCGAGCTCGACGAATCCGCCGACCTGGACGTAGGTGGACTCATCGGGGCGGCCGAGCTCGCCCATGGGCAAGTTTTCCGACTGGTATGAGCAGGCAAGAGCCGTCTTGCCCCCCGGAAGAACATTGAATTCGTGCATGTTGAAGCTCGAGAGATAGCTGGGGGGTTCGACCTTATATTCCTCTTCGTAGGCGTTGTTGTAGACGATACCAAACCCCCTGTTGGAGTTACCGCTATACGTCCGCTGCACGATGAACGACAAATGATAGCTGCCGTCCTCGATGTTGTCCGCCGCTTTGAAGTCGAAGACGTTTAGGTTGTCGAACAGGCAAGAGCCCGTCCATACCAGTTCCTAGTCCAGTCAACAACCATGTATAGGCAAGAGAGAGAGAGAGAGAGAGAGAGAGAGAGAGAGAGAGAGAGAAGTACCCCATCGGCATCATAAATATGCGGGCCAACCTGACAGGGCTGCCATCTTTGGGTTTCAGGCTCCGGTGTAATGACGCCGTAGGGCGCCACAAACCAATATCCTGGAGCGACGGCCTCACGGTGATGGTATTTGACGTCAAATTTCACTACCTGAACGTCCGGCAACTGGTTACAAGTTAGAGCGATTCAAAGAGGGGTGATTTGAAAGTAAGGTAGCACTTACTGTGACGAAAGAAACGAGGTCATCCCTGTTATCAGACTGCGCAGCAGCCGTACCCAAGAGAGGTAATAACGAAGCCCAGAGTAACGATCTCATTATTAATCATTAAATAAAAAAAAAGAAGAAAGACAGCAAGATCGAGAGATCGAAAGAGCTGGTGAGTTGGAAAGAGAGTTACAAAGAGAGAGAGGGAGAGAGAGAGAGAGAGAGAGAGAGAGAGAGAGAGAGAGAGAGAGAAAGGAGAGGAAGATCTCCAGGATATGGACCAACTTATTCAAGAAGGACAGCAGGGTATTTCACCTATATACACGCACACAAAATGAGGAGCATCGAGAGAGGAAGAGAAGAAGAAAGAGCGAGAGAGAAGTACTAATAAGAATAACTCTCCGTACGGTACTAGTTAGAAAGCCGGAGAGCGTGTGCCGTGCCAAAGTTCAGAGAGGCAAAGGGCGAAACGGGGGCATGGCCCATCAGAAACGCCAGAGCGGCGCTCTAGAAGAATCGTGGAGGGTCCTGGACTCCGTATGCTCGGTATAATGCTCCATATTCAAAGGATTCGCAGCGATAAAACGAGCCAGACACCCCTCGGGCAACGTAATGCGCTGGGACGGAATCCGTTGATCAAACCAGGCGGAAACTCAGGGCCGCGTTTAGAGTGGAGGAACCCTGGTCTGGGATAAGGCTTGGGATAGGTTCGTTTTGTCTTGGCGAGTTTTCTGGAGAGGAGGTTACGTGTTTGACCCGCTTGATTATTACTGTAGAATCTAGATTGTAGATATTAAGTATTGTAGAATTTGATTGTGCTTGGAATATATTGTCGAGAACATAATACATGCCTAGGTAGTTAAATAAATACTACTACTACTACTACTGCTACTACTACTACTACTACCTTAATTAATTCTAATTTCTGTATTACTCTGTATAATACTGCATCCTGCTAATGTAGGTACTAGTATAGCTGTTACAGCCTGTTACAGTCCAGCCGCTGCGGTTCTGGCCTGTCATTCGTGCATTTTCCAGGGGCTGATCTTAGGACTTTCACAGTCTGGATGAGGCGTTGGACTATTGGATCTGGACTACTCGTGCTGTTAATTTTTTTTTTCAAAAACACTATAGTAGATTATGTGAGATCTACTCTAGAGTATCATTTATAGTAGTTATACTACATATGTAGTATAGAGTATAACTAAGTAGTATCACTGGCAGTACTTACTGCTAATGCTAATACTACTAGGAATACCAGGTCAACTACATACTCCACATGTACTTAGTATGTCTACCCCACAGTCTAGGATTGAACGTAAATTGACCATTTACTTGTTAGGAGTACTACTATAATATATTGAGTAAGAGTATTAGATTTTAATAAGTAGAAAACATGACTAATACTGTTCGTATCTACTCCGTAATGTCAGCCGATAGCCGAAATACGCCACATGTCAGCCTTACAGTGCGTCCATACGGAGGAGTATAAGTATACGGTATGAAGAGGGTAACTCGATTTAATCAAGATCTATCTACTATTAACCAGTCAGGCAAAGAATCAGTGCCCGAGTCTACATCTTTAAAGTCCTCAATGCCCTCCTCCACGTCAACGCCGTACCCTCCCAACTCCACCAGAGCCCGACTCATCTGCGAGACAAAGCCGCAGTGGGCATCGCTGTCGTCGGAGATCTGTGAGTTGGTGATCAGACGGAACCCCAGGTTACCTACATCCAGCACATCCTGGTAGGTATCGTTGGTTGGACGGGCGGGCGGCCAGCGCGGGGACGACCCCGCCGCCGCACTCCTGCTGCGAATGTTCGGGTCACCATGTATGGCATGGCTAGTCAGGTATCCCTGGAGACGCTCGGCGACATTCCCCAGCAAGGGCAGCAGGTTGAGCTTGATATGTAGACCAAACAGGTTAAACGAGGCGCTGGGGTCGAAGAACAACGCCCACAGGTAACAGCTATGAAACCCCTGGGAGGCGGAGTACTGCATGCTCCACACGCGCTGCTCGTACGCCTGCAGCAGAGTGCGCACGTTGCAGGTGAAGGTCGCGTCGCGGACAAACGCCTTGTACCGGCTTCGCGGGCTGGCGGCGGTGCCCCCGTACTTGTCCAGGATGGACTGGGCGACGCTCGGTTTGGCGTATGCCGGGATGATGGATTCCACCAGACTCTCCAGCTGGGCGTCGGTCGACACGCGCAGCGGCGTGAACAGGATGGCTTCGTCCGACGTGTGCGTGACGACTAGCGACTCGAGCTGTTTCCAATAGTGGCCTAAAAATCTCAGCTTCAAACATCTTGTCTTAGAGATGACTAGTATTTTCTTTACCAGCTTCAAATTCCAACCCGGCCAACTGTCTCACCCAGCTTCCATCGCTGGCAGGTCCAATCACAGACGTCCCCCCCGCAGCGCTGTCGATAAGCTGGGCATTCGCCTTGCGGAGGGTCCTGGAGTCCACATCTCGAAGACACGCCAGACTACCCGACGGACAGCCCGCGGCGGCCGCAAAGAGACGAAAACTGTCCTCTAGCGACCCCGCACGGTCATACTGCAGCTGGAAGGCCGGGCTGATGAGCACCGCTTTGGCGAAGAGGGGATCCTGGGCGCCCCCGAACGCAACGAGATGGTGCATGATCGACCCGGCACCCGCAGACTCGCCCCAGGCACTCACGTCGCGCTTGTCGCCGCCCACCAGGCCGATATAGCTCTGCACCCATTGCAGCGCGGCCCGCTGGTCGTATAGGCCCAGGTTGGGGGTTCCTTGGTTCTCCATCGACGTCCCTGCAAGCCAACCATATGCGCCGAGCTAAACCCATTAGAAAAGGAAAATCAGAAAAGGGTATTCAAGTAGAAGAATGTTATTCTGAGTGGGCTTACTCTATAATTGGCCGCTACGATAATCAAATCCTCGCCCGCCTGCCTCCAGATCCCCTTGGTGCTGACATGGTTCTTCGTGCCAAACGTGTACGCTCCTCCGTGGAAGTACACTGCGACAGGCAGGTTAAAAGAGACTTGGCCCGCGCGGATCGCCCGACCAGGAACCTGCACGTCGAGGAAGAGACAGTCTTCGTCCGTCCCGCCTGCGAAACGCGAGAACCCGCCGTCGATCATGTCGCCCAGGGGTGTCTTGTCGAGAATGCCCAGGTTGAACAGGCCGAGCGGTACGTTCTGGATGCACGAGGGCCCATACTCGCCTGTCTGGAGGGTGGTTTCTTGCTTGGGAGAAGCCGGTTTCTCGAATCGAAGCTTTCCCGTGGGGGGGGCGGCGAACCGGATATTCTTGAAATAATATACCTATTCATTAGCATCTGTCTTCGTCTGCACTGCTGACTGCGCCTGCACTGCTGTCTAAACCTACATCAATCTCGTCGTCGTACTTGGCTGCTCTGTATGTGGCGTAGGGCAGGTGAAGGAGAGGCAGCGCAGAGCCAGGCACGAACTCGATACCTGACTGGGTTCTAGGTGAGGAAGAAAGACAGAGGACAGTACCCATGAACAGAGACCAGACAAAGAAGAAAGGAAACATTGTGCTTTGTGAAAGGAGAGACTGGAGAGACTAGAGAGACTAGAGAGACTAGAGAGACTGGAAAGAGACTGGAAAGAGACTGAATACACATATCGAGCGGATAGAAGAGCAATAAAGCATAGAAGGAGAAGTGAAAAGTGAGAAGTGAGAGAAGAAGGAGAAGAAGAGTGAGAGAAGAGGGATAGAAGAGTGAGAGAAGAGTGAGGAAGTAAGAGTAAGAGAAGAAGTGATCAGGGAGCCCTCCCAGTGACTATCATCTTCTACTCATAATGAAATGTCTTGTCTTGTTTACCTGGTATATGTAAGATACCAGTATGTGTACTCTGTTTGCAATGGCGCAGTTCAGCTAGATATACTTCAGCTGCTACCAAGAATAATCAATAAATAATAGACCTATCTACTACCAACAATCTCTACCTCAATAGACACTAATCCTATTTGTCTTGAACTTTCAACGTGCGTGGGTTATGAGCCACGCCATGGCCATGTTGATCGGTATACATCACCTAAATTGACCTCGTCTATCAGCAAACGAAGACACTCGCGTATCCACTCCCTCCAATACCCAGACTGGCGGGTCGGCTAGAGAGTCCCTGGCTTGGCCAGTTCAGCTTGTCTGTGCAGAAAGATAAAAACAAACCCGATAAACGGTGTTTTCTGGCGAGGGAATAGGCAGAGGCAGTGCCTGGAGTCGATTTCGATTATTAATACCTTTGGTGGATTGACAACTCCCTCCTCGGCGGCAGTGGTGTTATCCACAACAACTCTCTCGACCTATATAATATCTTATTAGGATAGTAACTGTAGATAGAAGATAACTAGAGATCCAGGGTCTTTACCACCCCTTCATGGCTGCCCCCCCGGTAGCGCGTATACACGTAGTCACCTTCTTGGATTGGCGCGCCTTTTTTGTCTCTGATCTCCATCTGTAAGGTAGTAATAGGAAGAGTAATAGGAAGAATAGGAAGAATAGGAAGAATAGGAAGAAATAGGAAGTGAGGAATAAAGGAAAATAGCATGATGTCATAATTATCAGACCAATCATATATACACTCTAGTCTACACTCCGACGCCTTCCAATCCAACAATGCAAGAGCCCAACATGATGCACCAGAGGAAGAGGGAAAAAAAAAAAGAATTATTACCAAAGTTTCAGCCAGAACACCTGCATATAAATGCAATAACACCTTCCATGCAAGCCTGATGTTCACATGAAAAGAAAAGAAAAAGAAATAGAAAAGAGAGGTTGAATGCCCTCTAGATACTCTTCTCGGCGACGGCAATGGCAACGGCAACAGCTGCACCGAGGACGGCACTCTCAGGAGCAGGCTTTAGGTCGATCAGCGGGCCGTCGGTCGTCGCTTCAAGGCAGGTACCCTCCAGGGCGAGGGTCTCCCGGCTCAGTTGGTTGAGGTATGCCTGACAGCAGTCGCGGAAGCCTGGGTACTTGTTGATGACGCTGCCATCGCAGGCAATCGACAGGCTCTTCTTGGTGGAGACCTCTTCGCTCTCCACGACCGTCACTTGCTGCGTCTGTTTGATCGACGCGGCGTCGGACGTGGCGGTCACGCTGTCGTCGCTGCCAAGCTCCACCTCGTTGCGCAGGCACCACATGCTGTGGATGGCGGTGGCGAGGTACCCCGCGGCGCGCTTGGAGACCAGCTGGCAGACGCGACGGAGGAATTGGAGATCGGCGAGCGACGGGGTGGCCGAAAAGGTATGCTCCTTTTGCAGCAGGGCGGCGGATGGCGCCAAGGACGCAGAGGTGTCGGCCTCGACGAAGGCGACGATGCTCGTGTCCAAGGAGTACGGTTCTCGTAGAGAGTGAGGCAGGTGGCCGCCGAACAGGCTGGCCGTCTCCACGGCTTCCACCAGGATCAGGCGCACAATCTCCCCCAGGTAACGGCCGGTGATCATGTATTCGAGGGGCTGGTAGTCGGGCCGCAAGTGGGTGCGGTTCAGGGTCTCATCCCAGCGGGTCATGGGCAGCACGCCGCCCCCGAACATGCTCATCTCACTGTTGACGATGACGTGTTTGGCGTGATCGAACCAGCCGACGGGCCGCGTGCCGAACTTGGTCAGCCCGATCCCGTGGACGGGGAAATGCAGCGCGACGTTGGTGCCGGTGCCGAGGATAAGCGACATGCGGGTCTTGGGCTCAACGTAGGCGCGCGAAAGCAGGGCGGCGGAGCTGTCGTTGACAATCGCGTCCACCGTGACGTTCAGTTGGCGTTTTCGGCACGACCGGATGATCAGGTCGCCTAGTTCCTGGCCGACGGTACCGTTGGAGCAGAGGAAGCCCTTGCCCATATGGATCACGAGACCGCTACTGATCGAGGTTTGATCGATGGGGAAGGACCAGGACAGACCCATCGAGAGCGGCGTCTCGGCCCGACCGTACGTCGCGTCCACCTTGCCCAACATCTCCTCGATCTTCTCCGCCATCCAGTCGAAGAAGAGGGTGCCCTCGAGCAGCTTGATGTTGTTGTCGATGACCGATGACGACACGCGTAGGATCTTCATCTCCCTGTCGCGCCCCTGCAGCTCGATCAGAGCGACGCGAAATGTAGACCCGCCGACATCCAGCGCGAGATAGGTGCCCGTTTCATGGCCCGAGGGAAGCGCATGGGTGTAGGAGGGCAACATGCAGTATGGGCTGGCTTGTAGACACGTCTTGAACTGGTCCTGGATCTTATCGGACATCTCCAGCATGTTTCGCACCCGCAAGGGCGCGGAGAAGAGACGGTCCAGTTCGTCTGTGAAGTCGTCCAGCGAGCGCTGGTGCCAGCAGGCGCCCTGGAAAGCCTTCCGCTGTTTGCGGGACAGTTTGCGGAAGAGTGCGGGGAACAGGACCATGCTCTCGAGCGCAGTGAAGATGTTCTGGAAGAGCTCCTGCATCTTCTGCAGCACCTTGACGAGAGGAGCTGTCATGGTTGAGGAAATCGAAATGACCGAGGGAGGAACGAATGGGTGGGTTCGAATTGCCCGCCAGTTAAGCCGAGAGTTATTTCAAACGCCGAGAAGACAAAGGACGGTCCGAATTGAGCGCGAAGAAGTTTAGGAGAGGCACTGGATCAGCAGCGAATGCATCTGCAGACGACGTCTAAGAGTGTGTTGAATGAGAGAGAGAGAGAGAGAGGAAAGACTCGATCTTGCCAGTGAGTGCCAAGGTGAGAGTCAAGAAGGAGAAGAAAGAAGGAAAAGGAACAGTAGTAAGTAGTAAGCCAAGGTAACACCCAACTGGCAGGTGATGATGATCCCTTGCTCAAAAGCGGCAGTGGAGACACGCAAAGAAGACGTCAAAGCAATGACAAGCGGGACACGATGAATGAGCCGGAGGGGGTGACGAGTGAGACTCGGTGGTGATGGCCTCTCCACCAACAATGTCGTAGTAGACTGACTGTGGTGACTGTGGTGAGTTGATTTGTAGTTGTAGGAATAAAGTAAACAGTGGAAGTCACGCTATGGCACCAGCGGAGGGGTGAGAGGGGGGAAGAGAGAGAGAGAGAGAGAGAGAGAGAGAGAGAGAGAGCGAGAGACAGAGAGAGAGAAGAAGGGGGCGGGTCAAAGAGGACGATGAAGCATGGATCAACGCGTGTCCATTCCTCAAGGTAGCAGGACACTGTCACCGCACCTGGAGGGGGGAGGAAAAATGGAATTATGTCAGGGCGGAGAAGGTCAAGTATGGTCAAGTATGGCCAGGTCGCAGTCCGAGTTGGGCGGACGGTGATGGCGATCTGTATGGTCAGGTAATTACAGATACAGATAGGCACCTACTAGGTAACATCATACTATGTAGGTAGGAGGTACGGAGTACCTACAGTAGTGCTGTATACTAATAATAGTGTATCTAATGGTCTCTCAATCATCTGACTACATAGAATGACTATATACAGTCAAGGTTGTCTTGTTTTATCTCCACTGGAACATCTAGTGGGCCATCTATTGACACCATTGCAGAGTTACATCTGCGGCAGCTTGCGGGGCTGTTGGATTCTATCCAAGTACGGAGGACTCTCAACTTATGGTCTCAGGTAGTAACTGAGTACATACTACATAGTGACCACTAGGTTGTAGCCTAGTAGGTACAGGGAAGTTCTAGGTACCTACTAACTAGTTAACAGGTACCTACCTACTACCTAGTCGGTACCTAGGTACCAGACAGGTAAGTAGTGAAAATACGTTTCAGGTACATGACAATACAGTACAACTGTATGCTAAGGCTTAGACCGGTTCCTTCCAGACGGTCGCGGATCAACCTTAAGCTTGCCTGCACGGTTCAATGCTAGTAGATAGTAGAAACCGATAGCGAGGCTTCCTCGTCATGTACTCCGTCCCCAATATCCAGGATAGCACGAGTTCTTTCGTTCTGAAACAGACAGTCAGAGAATTGTTGCTCGGGGCTGTGGAAATTTCGGTCAGCGGCTTGGATTGTGCTTGATGGCTGGCCGTGGTATGTGACACCCCTTGGGTGCAACGGTGGTACTCCGTCACTGGGCCGGGACAGTTACACTGACCTCCAGATCGGGTAGAGTGGTTTTCCGGTGCTTAGTCAGGATTTCCATCATTGACGGTCCAAGCTCCCCACGTGGTCATGGTCTTGCTAAGTTGCCGTTATCACAGATCTTTGATCGCCTTCAAGTACTGACTGAGAAGGAGCATAAAGGCTCTTCTCTGTACTCTTTTCTCTCTCTCGAAATTCAAAGCTCTGCGAAAATCAGATCATCATTCTCACTGCCAGCCAGTCCTGACGATTATTTTTATTCTAATGTAACGGTCGCGCCCATCTTGATGATGTGAACCTTTTCCTCATTCCGACGTGACAATGAGAACAAGACACCTTATTTTTTTTCCCCTATAAACTCGGTGGATACCCGATTCTGTCGGGCAGAGCAACAGCCATGGAACTGAAACGTTCCTCAAAAGACCACTGATGAGCGTCTTAGTTACCTAGGTACTGGTGCAGATCTTGATCCATGTCCTGTCAAACCCTCCCTGTTTTCTACAGCAGCTTCGAGTCCAAGGGTTTATCTTGGCTGACGAAATCGTGCTTTGGGGGGAGAGTAGCGTCTCTCATCAGCACCACCGGGTCATGAACTCCGATTTGCCGCCTGGGGGACCGCGGTGTCATATATGTTGAATGGTGACTGCAACCATACACGGCCCCCCTGTCGTTCATGGTGTACTTCCACAGGCCAGAGAAGAAACCGGGCGAAGCACATGGTCTTATTTTATATCTGTGTGATGACTTTTGTAAAATATTAGATTTGCTCCCTGCCTCTCTGTGTCTGGCTGCAAGAAGAAAGCGCGAGAGAACAGAACAGGAACACGAGGTCTGCGTGCTGTTCTATATTTGAGTCAATGCAACAGTTGTTTTTCTCTCGAGCCATGGCAATGCATTCAAACAGTCACGTTGCATCGACAACCTGGTCAGCATGAGTCTTGTCCCGCCGCCATAACGTGTCGTTGCTCTGCAAGCAAGGCGATGTTTGAATTGGCCAAACCACTCCCTATCAAGGGATGATTTTATTGGCGTATCTCCCTTGGAAGAGTACAAGCAGATCGCTGGCTATTAGACTGGTAATATAGGCCATCAGCTGTCTTACGTAGCTCTGCTCCGTACTTTCTGAACCAAACCAGTCATTCTTTGCATATATCCTGAAGTAACTCGAGGATTCGACGCTGTAGAGCCGAGAGCTCGTCCTGAGTTACCGTGCCTTGGGTGTCTGCGTTTAGGAGCTTATTCCCGTCATCCTTGGAAGCTTCTGAGACGACCAGATGACGATTAATGGCGAAAAATGGCATCTGGAGAGCCCGGAGCTCCGTATGCAACGCCTCCGCCATCTGCACAGATGCCTTGTACACTTTTGCATCGTACCTGGCCACCTCAGCGCGGTCTTCCTCTGGTGTCTTGAGGGTAGCAGTTAGTTCTAATTGTTTTCAATGGAAATAGAAAACCCATCGGAACCTACAGTGATGACTTTGTTATCGATTGGAGCGCCAACAGAACGTCTAAAAATGTGGTCAGCAGGTAAAAAGGCTCTCCTCTCCGTTGGATGCCCTGTGTATTATGTGCTCGACTTACAACACCTCATCCAGCTGCTGCTTCTTCTCGGCTCGCGCTCCCTGTTTCTTCAAGAGTGCCTCCCGGCCTGCCCACCACTGCTTCTCATGATCGTGCTGGCTCTGAATCAGCCGGCGGATTTTCCCCTGCAGGCCTTGGTTCTGTGCCATTGTGGACATTACATAGCGCAAGGCGGCAGGCCAGGTGGTGATACCAGAAGGGTCAATAGTCCTAGGTCTTTTGTTTTCCTCTTCCCCTTCATGTTGCTGCTGGTTGTGTCTTTGTTCTGTGCTTTGTAGAATGGCCGATGCTGGCACTCGGTTTGGGGCGAGAGCAGACAGCGTACGCAGGACGGAGGCAAGGTCGGAGGCATTATACTCATCTGCCATTTCGCCAGATATATTTATAAAAATTGCCAGACTAACGTCTGCCCTCCTATGGCTGATAAGAACAAATGAATTATTATTATTGTTGTTGTTGTTTGGGTGGTCTGATGTGGAGAGAGCTAGACCTTCTATCCCACAAGTCTTGGCTCCATCCAGATGATTGCCTCCAAGTCAAGTCTTCCACCTGTTTTTGAAAATTTACCTACTTTTGCCGACCCTACACTTTGGAGAGTCATCGGACCTTCACCATCCTTACTTTACGTATATTGATGTATTGATTGACCCTTCTTTAATTCGTTGGAAGATCTCTCTCTTCTCCTTTTATTTTTTTTTCTCTTCTTCTTCTTCCTCTTCCTCCCCTTTCATCATGTCCCGATCCGCCGCCGACGCGACACGATTCACGGCCACAGGGCCCTACGCCAATTCAAAAGCCGGCTCTAGCCCATCCACGCCCTACAAACTCCCGGCATTCATGTCTTCCCCCGGACAAAAGGGTCAAGGGGACCACCAGGAAACACCACGGGAGAAGGTGGAACGGCTCCGGGCGCAGGCACGGGCGGCGCGGCTGGCACAGTCAACGAACAATGTGGACTCGATGATTGACCGGGGCAGACGGATTGCGAATAAGGCTCACAAGGCGATGGTTTACACGCTTATTGCTGCTTCTGGTACATCTTCACTGATTTTGTTTCCATCGAATATCTGCTAATTCTCCCAGGCATCTGCGGCGCCCTAACGGTCTATTCCGTCATCTCATTGACACTCTACAACCGCCGCCAGAAGGCTCTCTGGCTGGACCGCGAACTGGAGAGACTGCGCGAGGCGCAGACGGCTGCCGCCAGCGGGACGGCAACAGCCGAGCAGTTGGAGATGGTCAAGAACGAGCAAATCGGCCAGCTGTACCAGCAGAAGAAAGAGGAGGAAAAGGCCAAGCGGCCCTGGAACCAGATGAAGACGTATCTGTTTGGTGGGTTGAAATCAGAGGAATCCACAGCATCGACGACAACAACCACATCAGCAACAGCATCAACATCCTCGATACAAGACGCAGCCGCGCAGACGAATTCCCCCGTGCTGAACGCACTCAACGCCAAGGCCATCCAAGACGCGAGATTGGCCGACTCCTCCGCCGCATCCGCATCCGCACCAGCCACGGCACAGGCACAGGGACACGGCCAGCTGGACGCTCTGGCCGAGAACGCCGAGCAGGCCGTCAAGCAGACGTCGCGGAGCTGGAAGAGCTGGTTGACCGGTCGGTAGAGGGCCACCAATCGCCCAACAACCAGCAAAGATTTGCCCCCTTCCCGGCATCTCTCTGATTATGCTGGCATGCTGTGTTTTGGGTTCTCGCCAATCCTAAAACCAAAAATCACTGCTCATCCTTACCCTCCAATAGATCATCACTTGGGGTTTGCGGCGTCTGTTTTATTCTATCTGACCGGGGTGTTCCATATGCTTCATTGTAAGAGTGTATATTGTGTATATAATAGTTTTCATCCAAAACATGCATTACCTAGTTGATATATCTCAAAGTTGAAGATCTAATTAGTGGTAAGGGAATGTCTACTAGAAGATATAACTTTTTGGGCTATCCAAGTCAGTCATGAAGCATTGATGAGACCTGAACATAAATCACTATCAAGACAAGATAGAAGAGTACAAGTTTCAAAAGTATGTCCATAAGACGAAAGGTATCTTGGTGAAAAAACAAAAAAAAAGGGAAAGGGATAAGAAGGGGAAACGCTCTGAAAGATAAAGATCAACGAGAACTTTTTTTCTTGTCTAGGAGGGGGGGAAAAAAGGATGAAAAACAGGCGCCTAATGATTTCCATTCGACTGGGAAGCATTGATGGCGCGTCTTGCGCGGACGCCATCGGCCAGATCTTCCAAGACGGTGACGGTCATCTCCCAATTAATACAAGCATCGGTGATGCTGACACCCTTGAGCAGAGCCGCAGGACCCTCGGGGGGAACCTTCTGGTTGCCTTCGAAGATGTTGGACTCGATCATGACACCGACAATGGCGGTTTCACCCTCACGGAGCTGGTCGGCGACCTCTTTGGCCACGATGGGCTGGTTGAGGTGGTTCTTCCTGGAGTTGCCGTGCGAGCAATCGACCATAAGCACCTCGCGCTGCTTCTTAGCCCGGAGGGCTTCCCGAGAAGCCTTGATGCTAGCACGGTCATAGTTCGTGCCCTTGGTGCCGCCGCGCAGGATAACGAAGCCATGTTCATTGCCCGCGGTCTTGGTGATAGCTGCCAGACCCTGCTTGGTGACACCCAAGAAACGGTGCGGGTGAGCGGCGGCGCCAATGGCATCGATTGCGACGCCCAGGCTGCCGTCGGTGCCGTTCTTGTATCCAATAGGGAAACTCAAGCCGGAGGCCAGCTCACGGTGGAGCTGGGACTCGGTGGTGCGCGCGCCGATGGCACCGAGCGAGATCAAGTCGGCAAGGAACTGGGGGGAGATGGTATCCAGCATTTCGCTTGCGATGGGCATGCCCATGCTAGTCAGATCAGCGTAAAGCTTGCGCGAGATGCGCAGACCCTTGTTGATGTTGTAGGACTCGTCAATGTCCGGGTCGTTGATCAGGCCCTTCCATCCGACGGTGGTACGGGGCTTCTCGAGGTAGGCACGCATGATGATGAGCAGATCCGAGGAAAGCTTCTCAGACAAGTCCTTGAGCCGGCGAGCATACTCCAGGGCTGTATCGGGGTCGTGGATCGAGCAAGGCCCGACCATCACAAGAAGACGGTCATCGCGCTGCTCGATGACCTCAATGACCTGGTTACGACCATTTCGGACGGTTTCGATAGCACGGGCGGGCTGTATGCAGAAGATCCGTCAATTCTTTTCTTTGTCTTTACTTCGCAATTCGGGTGTCGCTAATGACTCACCGCCGGGATCTCGGTCTGGAGGAACTGAGGGGAAAGCAAAGGGTCATATCCAAGGACTTCAAAAACCCATCAGCATATTCTCATAAATATCGATTGTGCTCGTCATATCGGCTTACCGCGAGTGTCCTCATTGACCTCTGTCGTGTTGATGAGAGGCATCGTGATATTATCTTTCCTTTGAAAGTGGGGGGGGAAGTGGTGATAAAGCGAATCCTGTAGTAATACTTTATCTGCGAAGCACACAGAGGCTTGACGGACAACACAAGAACAACAGGAGATGAAATGCAAAGAAGCAGGATACAGCCAAAGTTCGAATTCACCGAGGTAGAGACAAGAGACAGAGTCGTGGAAGCAGCAGCGGTGGACTCATAAATCCGCAAGACCGAGACAACGCCGCTCCAGCGGGCAGGAATGGCAGAACTACGTAATGGTCTCTCGGTGAGTCATTTCTGTGTCTAGTTGGACAGAGGATGTGTATACCGGACCTTATTCTCTTTCATTATTCAACCCCTGATTCACCAGACTGGCCTGCCCAGTGTCTAGTGTCCACATTTCCATCCCACCCATTTTTATGCTGTCTGTGTTGTCCACGAATAAGAAGGGCTCTGATCCCCATGACTATTTTGCAGCCCACTCTGTCGATAACGATAAACTGAGTGTGGAGTTCCCTTCGGAGCACGGGATACGGAGTAGATTGGTCGGGCAAAAGACGGAAGGTCCGGTGTTCGCTTAGCCATGAAGCAGAAATACTCGGGTTCTGTCAATAATAACGAACCTGAAGAAGAGTTGATATGGCTACTAGTATATGGGCACATGCAGATGGCGACGCTGTACCACAAATATCAATAAGTACTACATACAGTCATAAAATGCTCTGTTTAGGAAGATGTTTATATCTATTAACCAACACTAGTGGTAACTATCTATTTAGTCTTCACTTTGATACCACCATAGAACATTGCAGTAAACTGCAATATAACTAATAAGCTCTCATTTACCTTTGTGCTCTGTATGACCTAGCATATGACTAATCTTCTCAAGCCACATCTACGCCTCAGTGGCTGCCGTGGATAATAGAACAGCAAAAAGCACAAGAATATTGCCTAGGTGGTAGACTCGCTTGGAATATGGAATAAACACCATTCAAGACAATCCCTTTGACTGATTAGATATAAGTTAGAACTCTAGAATCTCTATTTAAAGCGTCTCTCTCCCTTCCCCATAATTGATAGTCTCCATACCTAGAGTACAAATTCCATTCACTCCTAACCTGAACAGCCTAATGCAGGTTCCAGTCCTGCTCTCCAGCATTAATTTAAGTCCATCTGGAGTCAGACACTCCATTATTTATCAATCCGAGCCTTCCAAGCTACACATTGGTGATTTTGGCGCCCGTTAAGAGGTCCAGACCAATAAATCTTAGTGGGCCTGGGCGGTTGCCGCAGCGAAATCCCTCGCAGACTCCACCGGGCTTCCTCCCGTCACTGACGTGCAGACAGACAGTGAGCGACCCTGCGAGCTTCACCTTCCATTTGAAACGCTTCGTGGGAGCTGCAGGTTGACCGCCAAGCTGCAAGGCAAGGGATTCTGATTGACGCACCCCTCGATCTTTCCTCTGCGTGCCTGACGATTAATCTATCCCTGACGGGGGTATGCACTGGACCGCTAGAGTACTACTGAGCTCAGTGCTCCCTAACGGGGTGAAGGACTGTTAATTCCAGCGATCCGTCCAACACATTCATTTTTTTTATTCTTCTTTATTCTTGTGCATTATAGCAATACTTTTTACTCGTGGCCGTTGAATATTAGAACCGATCACGAGAATTTACCATGTTCAGCGTCTCAGCGAAGCGCCAGAGGGAGGACGACGCATTCGGTGTTGATGTCTTCTCAGTGCGTGAGAGGAAGGTGAGTCTGATACGCTATATTGATTAACAGCTTTGAGAAGGTCTTGGCTCTGACTGTGTTTTGTAGAAACCTAGACCGCTGCCTTTACAGACGTCTTCGGCTGCAGACGATCACACCCTCGCACGGCTCTTTTCAGCCACTCTCACACCAGAAGATTCGTCCGAGGACGAGGAGGATGACGGCTCGACCGGTGCTCTATGGAGCTCAAGACAGCCTCAGCAGGCGTCGAGACCCCCCGTACTGGTGTTAGATACGCCTATGGACCTGGATAGTGGAAGACCTACATCTTTACCTCTGGCCAGTGGTGACAACCTGTCTCCGTGGCCCCCCGGGGTACGGGATCATGGGGTCGTTCAGCCGTCGCCGATTCCCCACCACCTGATCGACCAGTCTCTCAATCTCAGCGGCGGACACGTTGCCACTCCGATCTACGGCCACTTCAACGAGGGGACTTTGAACGCGCCGTCCGATGTGATGATGGATGACGACAGCCCCACGGTGACAAGCTCAAACGTGGAGCATGGGAAAGAGACGGCCTGGTGGCGTCGCAGACGTCTCCCCAGTCCCATTAGCGAAGACGAAGGTTCCGGAGACTGTCTTCAGGAAACCCAGTTCTTGCGTGGTCAAACCTGTCCTGCATCACCTCCGATGAAATCGTTCGACGGACTTTTGGAAGAGCAAGACGAGCCAGTCATGATGATGGAAGCTACGCAAGACCTAGAACCGAATACCACCAAACCGCCCCAGGCACCGCCGGTCAAAAAGGGTAGAATCTCGATCTCGATGGGGTATCGTGCCGACTGCGAGAAATGTAGACGCAAGATCCCGGGTCACTACAGCCATATCATCCGTTCATAGACTCCTCGTCGTCTGGTTCACCTTCATTTTTACCTCATTTGGGTTGCTTGCGATGGATGCCGGCGTTAAAATCGACTTTTATGATTCCTTATGATTACCTATGACTCCCTCTTCATGTGAAATCCCCATTGCTCAGAGACGCTTCTTTTTTTCCGTTGAGGTGTTTTTTTTTTCTTTTTTCTTTTCTTTTCTTTTCTTTTTTTTTTCATTTCTTCACGAAAAGAGAGAGCTGCTCTCTAAATTATTATTGTACTCTAGGAAACCATAGAAACCAAAGCTTAACTTCTTGCTGCTCCCGTGTCGCAGTGCCGATGCCCGATGCCTTCCGATACCAGATCCGAGGCAGAGAGAGCCATCAGCACCCGCTTCCGATGCTGTCCTCGACGACGATACAACGAGATATACTATGCTTCAAGAACTAGAGATCTCAGGAAGTGGTACCATTGCTCAAACATCGAGTATCACAGCTTACCGACTCGAGAAATCCATCATTGTCTCCCTTGCCCCCAAATCCGCTGGTCGGCTTAGCGTTTCTCCACGTCGGCACAGCGTCTGGCCTTCCCCGACATTTGTCTTCGGGAGAGCCCTTAGCCGATCTCCACTGGAAGCTTAGAATTGATCAATTTAATAAAGACGATGGGGTCTGCTCTTTGATCATTTCTGAATCTAATCTTGCTCTCTATTTCTTCATAAATAAAAAAAAGAGTTCAAGATGTCTTCGCCTATCCCCCGGGGCCTCCGCCAGGTCCTGCAAAAGTCGCCGTCGGATATTGTGATTCTCTCCTCGCTACGAACGCCCGTGACACGCGCGAAAAAAGGCGGCTTCAAGGATGCGTACCCCGAGGAACTGCTGGCTCACGTCCTGCGGGCAACGCTGGCGGCGAACCCGAACCTCGACCCTGCGCTGATCGACGAGGTGGCCATCGGTTCCGTGCTACAGGAGCTGGGCGGCGCCAAGGCCGGGCGGATGGCTCAGATCCATGCCGGATTCCCTCACAGCGTGCCCTTCCACACGATCAACCGACAGTGCTCGTCGGGTCTGGCGGCCATCACGGGCGTGGCGAATGCGATCCGGGCGGGCGCCATCTCCGTCGGTGTCGGCGGTGGTATGGAGTCCATGACTCGCAACTACGGCTCTCGCGCGATTCCCACCGTTCTGTGGCCGGAGCTGAAGGAGAGTCCCTCGCAGGACGCCCGGGACTGCATCATGCCCATGGGTATCACCTCGGAGAACGTGGCGAGTCGGTACGGCATCTCCCGTGCGGACCAGGACGCGTTTGCCGCCGCATCGCACCACAAGGCCACCGCTGCTCAGACGGCGGGTCTGTTCGACGCCGAAATCGTCCCCGTCACCACTCTTTCGTATGACGCCGAGAACCCCGACGCCCCGCCCAAGGAGATCACCGTCACCCGCGACGACGGGATTCGCGCCAACATCTCCGTCGAGAAGATGGCCACCCTCAAGCCCGCCTTCTCGCCCACGGGCGCCAGCACGGCCGGGAACAGCTCGCAGGTCAGCGATGGCGCGGCCGCCACGCTGCTGATGCGTCGTTCGACCGCCACCGAACTGGGTCTCACCTCCTCCATCCAGGGTCGCTGGGTGGCCACCGCGGTGGCCGGGTGCGCCCCCGACGAGATGGGCGTGGGACCCGCGGTTGCCATCCCCAAGCTGCTCGAGCAGGTGGGCCTGGATATTGCCGACGTGGGCATCTGGGAGATCAACGAGGCCTTTGCCTCGCAGGCGCTCTACTCGGTGCGCAAGCTGGGCATCGACGAGGCCAAGGTCAACCCCAAGGGTGGCGCGATCGCCCTCGGACACCCGCTCGGAGCGACGGGCGCCAGGCAGCTTGCTACCCTGTTGCCGGAACTCGCGCGGACGGGTCAGGAAGTCGGCGTGGTGAGCATGTGCATTGGCACTGGGATGGGCATGGCGGGCATGTTTGTTCGCGAGTAGAGCTTAGCGCTTTTTTTAATGTATATATAGTATAGACAGCATTCCATCAGTCTACAGTACAAATAGTTTAATCAATAACTCCTAGTATTATTGTAAAATAGAGAATAAAGAAGAGAGAGATATGGACTACAGTGTGATATGTGCTGCCAAGACCACGTGACCTTTTATAACCAATTATCCATGCTTGTCGAGAACTTTTTGGTTGTCTCCGAACAGCACACCAACACCGCAACCATGCGCCCCTCAGTGCGACTGTTGACCCCGGAGGCCTCTAGCCGCCAGGTGTCGCGATTGCTCTACCTCTGCTCGACCTGCAGACAGCAAGTCAGCCGTCCCGCCCGGTCGGTGGTGACTCTCGCCCAGCCGTTCGGCCGCCGCCATGCCTCCTCCGACAGTAGCAGCAGCAGCAGCGCGACGACGCCCCTGACCGAGAAAGTCCGCCGCAAGATCTGGGGCACGGATAACCCTCCTGGGTTGAAGGATCCGTACGGCGGAGATGGCGCGATTTCCCGCGCGCTGGGTGGTTCTACCAACGAGAATAATTTGGCGGAGAGTACCGGGCAACAGGAGCTAGAGACGGTGACGGGAGAAGACCCCCTGGCTGCTGCTGCTTCTTCGTCTGGATATGTCCCTGCGATGACATGGGAGGGTCTCCCCACAATTGGTCACTTGGGACGCTGGTCTGATCTGCCTCCTTCGCAGGCGGATGCGTACAGCCCGTGAGTTTTTTTCTTCTTTTTCTTTTTTCTTTCTTGGAACCATATCCCCTCCCCGGAATTTTAAGAGCACTCATCAAAATGAATAGGTTTGTGGCAAAGAAGAGACTCGTCAAGGAGGGGCTCGTGGCTCTCGCTGCCCACCAGGCGGCCGTCGAGCTGGCGCTGCTGCGCTCGCTAGGAAAGCCCTTGACGGCCGTATGCGACGTCCTGGAACACGACGAGTCGATTTTCAAGCTCATCTGGGAGTGCAAGATCCAGCCCGGGGCTGAGGGGGCATGGGAGGGGGCATTGGTCTTCCCGAACGAGGAGACAGAGAAGGCCCTCTCGTTTGTCTTTGAACAGATCGGAGGCGTCGCCGAGGAAGACATCCCAGAGGCAACGGCTGCTGAGGCCGCGGAGGTTGACGAGGCCGAGATGGAATTCGATGATGTGGAAGAGGAGAGCGCGTCGGCCACCTCCTCCAAGCCGATTCCCTTCTTTGGGTACGATAATGTCCAGGATGAGGGCTTCCTTGCTCTCTCTTTGGACGACCTAGCCACAAAGTTTGCTGTACGTTCTTTTTTCTTTTCTTTTTTCTTACTCTCTGTTTCATCCAGAATCATCTACTAATTGAGCAGTTCCTCAAGCGATTCGCCCAGCTATCGGGCCATTTCTTCCCGGACCCAACCATCCACAGCATCACCACCGTGCAACAGGCGCTCGAATACGTCCACAGCGTCAATAACCCCAAACCCAAGAAACTCGCGCACCAGCTCGCCGCCAGCGCGGAACTCCAGGACCTGTCGAATGTCAAGGTCTTCCTGACTAGACGCCGGGCAGCGCACCGCGATGAAGAGCTGGGGCGTAAGAAGATTATCGATGCTGAGCTCCGTGCCAGAGGGTTGATGGAGTAACTCCCGACCCAAATGTGTATATCTGGTGCTGTTCTTTTTTATTGTTCTTAGCATGTCTTAAGATATATTTTTCTGTACAATAGGTATAAAATTGGATATCAATTGACCCTCCTGTCTATCCAACGCCACACATGAAATATCATACAATAGTAAACATAAAAAGTATAGGATTATCTCCTCGCATTCGCAGGGATGGTAAACCCCCTTGTCATAAAGTCTGCTTTGGCCTTATCCCCCGACTTCTTGGTGAAGAGACTGTCCAGGTTCTCGTTCGCGCCGACCATCTTGCGCCGTTTCTTCTTCTCGTTTTCCTCCTCAAGGACCCGCGCGGTGAGCATTGCCGTCGCGGCGTTCTTTATTCCATTCGATGGCGGCCCCGGCGCAGGTGTTGAGGTGCCGCTCCGGCCTCCCGAACCTGTCGTTTTGGTGTCCTTTAAGGTCTCCGTCGTCGCGGTAGTCGACTCTCCGTTCGTCTGCTTCTTGCGTTTCTTCGATCCGGGGGCCTTTTTCAGGGAGTGTGTCAGGTTTTGTTCGGCGAGTTTCTGGGCCCGGTCGAGCAGTTTCTGCTTGTCTGTTTCTTTGGTCGGGAGGATGGCAATCACGTTGTCTTCGGTATATGGCTCATTGCACTGTAATATTAGCTACAGACTTTTTGAGGAGGATGAGGAAGGAGGAGGTTTGACAACAAGAAGGATGGGCTGTAGAGAACATACCTGTAAGCATTTGTCACCCTTCAGCTGTCGGATCGCCTCTTCCGAGAACGCATGGCCACAAGGGACGAGATAAACGGACTTGACGTTGGCTCCCAGCTGTTTCGCGGTGATCGGGCAGATCCAGCCTTCCCGTCGACCGTTGGTATCTGCCGCCTGGCCCACATGCTCGCTGTCGACCTCAAACTTCACCTCGACGACGTCTCTTAAGCCCTTAACCCGCCCGCAGAGGACGGCCTCGCAGTCCGCCTTGGAGCTGATTCCCTCGACATCCTCGCCGGGGAGGAGAAACTGCAGGATGGCGTCCTTGTTATAGAGGTTTCCGATGCAATCCGATACAACTGGCCGATTCAGGGGCTTATGTGATAACGGACACGTCGTCCAGAAGTGCTCCTGTAGCTCTCGTTGCGCTTCCTTCACTTGCGCCGTACTGGGAGCCCGCGCGGCTTCCTTGACCAGCTCTCTGCGAGTGGGAATACTATAGCACGGCTTAGACGGATGTAAGACAAGTACTTGGGTAAATCTCTAGACTCACCTGCCACCATCGTTACCCATCTTGAAAAATATACAACACAGGCAGACTGTTTCACGAGCAGAAAGGATCTTGCGGGTTGCCACCGATAGTTATCGTGACGAAGATGGGCTGACTAAGACGCCCCCCCCCCGGTGGAGCGCAGCTCCATAAATTGGTAGATTAGATCCGGATGCTCTATCAACAGCTGTCCAGAAAGCCTCTCTCCGCCCTCCCGACTGGTCAGGTTTGCTCTTGAGAGCTCAATGCCCTTACCATGATACTCCCTCATAGTCAGCTCTTACTTCTGAGCTTAGCAGCCGGCTCTACTGTGCTAGCTGCGAGCAATGATGGCGCGGCTCGACCCCGGGGTGTTGGCCCTGAATGTGAGTACCGCGATACCCTTCCTTCTGACAGCAGTTCCGGCCGCAGGAAATCATCTTGAAACTCCAGCTTTCACGGATCTGTTCTATTCTTTTTTCGAAATCCATTAATTGTACCGATTTTACTAATACTCAATATAGTTGCCAAGTTCTATAAGGACACGACCACTTTCAGTTGTATCTCTAACCCGGCAATCAAGATTCCATTCTCGGCAGTGAACGACGACTTTTGCGACTGCCCCGATGGCAGTGATGAGCCTGGAACATCCGCATGCTCTTACATTTCCAGTCAGTCTGCCCTGACGGTTGCTGAGCGACCCGGCCACGATGAGATAGAGCTCAAGGCCTCCCTCCCCGGGTTCTACTGCAAGAACAAAGGCCACAAGCCTGCATATATTCCATTTCAGCGCGTCAACGATGGCGTGTGTGATTACAGTATCTGCTGCGATGGAAGCGATGAATGGGCTCATGTTGGAGGTACAAAGTGTGAGGATCGATGCAAGGAGATCGGAAAAGCATGGCGGAAGCAGGACGAGCAACGCCAGAAATCCTTGACAGCCGCCTTGAGAAAGAAGAAAGAGCTTCTTGTGGACGCAGGTCGCCAACAGAAGGAGGTCGAGGATCACATTGAGAGACTGGAGATGGAGCTCAAGGGTGAGGAGCTCAAAGTCAGCCAGCTCGAACAGGATCTCGAAGAGATCCAAAAACAGGAAAGCAGGAAGGTTGTCAAGAGCAAGAAGAAAGGCAAAGTCAATGTCCTTGCTCAGTTGGCCAAAGAAAGGGTCGAGGAGCTACGCAACGCACTCATCGACGTACGCAAGGAAAGGGATGAGACTCGCTCGCGAGTCAAGGAACTGGAAGAGATTCTCGCCAAGTTTAAGGTCGAATATAACCCCAACTTCAACGACGAGGGCGTCAAGCGCGCTGTGCGTAGCTGGGAAGAATATGCCGCTCGGGAGGACACTGAGAACCAGGACGGCAATGCCGCCTTTGACAGAGATCTCGACGAGATCTCCAAGGCAGACAGTGGGGCCACTGGTATTGACTGGGACAAATGGGAGAATGAAGAGGGCGGCCACGAGTCAGATATCAGTGAGTTTGGTTCGTTTTGTGAAGCTAGACAAACTCAACTAACACAGCTATGCTCGGCAGTCTACCAGCTTGCCGCGTACCTTCCTCCTTCCATAGTTGCCTTCCTTGAGGACAAGTTCATATCTGCCAAAACCTTCCTAGAGAAAAACGGCATCTTAGCAGAGGCCGAGGGTGAGGCATCGTCTGAGCCAAAAGCCGTGGCTGAAGCGCGTGATCGTCTCAAAGCAGCCCAGGGCGATCTGAAGAAGATCCAGAAAACCCTTGATGAGCACAGGTCCGACCTAGAGACTGACTATGGCACTGCTTCTATCTTCCGTGCTCTCAAGGATGTGTGCATCAGCAAGGACTCTGGGGAGTACGAATATGAGCATTGCTTCCTGGACAAGACGCGACAAAAGCCCAAGAAAGGCGGCTCCACTGCTCTTATGGGCAAATTCGTCCGCATCAGTACCGTGTCTGCGGACGAGCTCAACGAGGCGGGCGAGCTTGTTCAAGTGGAGAAATTGGCCCTTGAGTACGCCAACGGCCAATCCTGCTGGAACGGCCCAGCCCGGTCGACAACTGTTATCCTGGAATGTGGGGAGGAGAACGAGATCTTGAAGGTGATGGAAGATGAGAAGTGTGTGTACTCGATGCTTGCCACCAGTCCTGCAGCCTGTGTTGGCGGCGAAGCCGAGGGCAATGTTGCCCCCAGACAAAAAGATGAGCTGTAATTGTTAAATGTTGGCTTTATCTTTTTGAACGATTATATACATTGGGACATTTCTTTTTCATCTTTCCTGCTGCTGGTTTATAGGTCGCTTCGTACCATTGATCTATCTAGACGGTTGAAGACAAGAAATCTATAGATTGAATCTCTTACGGTTTAGTAGCATAGCACTACAGTGTGTTCTTGGCATGCTCATCGATCTAGGTTTTCTTGTATCTAAACTAGGTAAGATCTCTCTACTTCAATGACTACATGTCTAAGTACAACACCTAGGCTGCTACCGAGCTTACAACGAAGGAGTTCAAGGTTGGTGTATCAACGCATTCATATTCTCTCTTACACTATCCAAAAGATGCCAACCGGAGATCGACCCAGAAACACAGGACAGTGGTTGACCGAGTTCATCTTATCGAATCAATTGCTGCAGTTCAGAGTTCAGAGCTGCACGAGAACCCATTCAATGCACACTGGCGAGGCGAGATGACCATGTGAGGAAAGCGATTTAGTGCTATAAGAAATAGTCAGCACACAGTCTTATACCAGTGGAAGGATACCAAGATGGAAGCAGTCATACAGTGCAGGACTTGCAAGAGCAGGACTTGCACTCGCCGGAGCAGCAGTTGCAGGTGCAGGGAGACATGTTGATGGATGGAAGGGTGGGTTGATTTGTTGGAGAACAAAAAAAAGGCTTTGGTTTGCTGGTTTGCTTAATTGGCTTGGAGATTCTTGAGCTTGATGATCAGAAATGAGGATCGAGGGCAGCCGTGTCCTGGCTTTTATACCTTTTCCCACCCCTCCAGGAAGAAGTCCTTGACACGCCATTGCAAAATCAAGTCGACTGATTCTCCGCGAAGATTGTCACATGCATGATTTCTTTTTTTTCTCTCTTTCCCTTTTTCCCACTATTCTTGCCATGTACGTTTCATGTTCCCCACTCTGTTCATACTAGAGGAACGCTTCGTGAAGGCATTCCTGCACTGCTAATTTTCTACAGTTGCCTAACAGGAACTGCGAATGGCGGGCCCAATCTAGCAGTGGAGACTAGATCAAAAGCTGGATGTCAATACGTCAAGCTTCTTGGTTTTGCTTTTGCTAAAGCTCTTTAGCATCACCATCTACGGCCTCGTCCTACCACGCCACCATCCTGCGGACACACAGTGGGGACGACGACAACGAGAGCATCTCTCCACAACGTTCTGCTGACTCCTTCTGAACTGGAAGACGTCATATCAACCGAGGGCTGTCTCGAAAACAGCTTGCCCAAAAGGGATGCCTCTTGCATAGTGTGGTACGCCTGAAGCGCCAGCATAAAGATACTACGGACTAGATGCAACCTCTTTCCACGCAGGAGCCAAGGAGGCTCTCTGCGTGTAAGAATTCGATCATGCAAAAAAAAAAAAACGCTGGTGTCTGCCCACTCGGCCACTGGAAGGAGCAAACCCCGTTTGACTTGGCTCAAATGCCTCATCGCTGGATCCACGGGGATATCCCATGCTCGTATGAGGCGCATTTTCAGCCTAAAGAGGGCTAAAAGGCCAATCATAATACTGGGTTTATCCTCCCCTTTGATCCATTCATGCATGCCTAACGCCCGTGTTAGTTCGCAATAGGCAGTCCAGCTGCGAATCCAACGGATAACAGAACCCCGAAGCCATCTACGCGTTGTTCAAAGAACTCCGTTGAATAGCACTTGACGGACGGTATAACATCCTACTACGGTTGTGCTTTAGGCAAGGTCCAGTTTCTCTCCCCGAGAGAGAGGGATAGAGAGGGTTAGATCCGAACCGGGAGCCAGTGAAACCATGCTCGGTCCTCCTCCTAGCAAGAGACTTGGAGGGGATGGCCAAGGATCTCTTGCGTGGCTAGACAGGGACCTGTGACTCCTTTTCTCCACTGTATTTTGTTTCCCTTTCATTTGTCCCGGGATGAAGTAATACCAAGCTGCGGTAACCGCGCAAGCCGAGGGAAGGGAGGGGAAGATGAAAAACCAGGACCAGTCAGACGAAGTGCAAGGAGGAAAAAAAAAAGAAAAGGCCCTGATTGCCTGATCTAGGTGAAAAGCCGCCTTTCCCTTCTCTAGGTTAAACTTTGACCCTCCCTCATCTCCTCTGGGGGGGGGGGCGGTGTCAATGTCTGTCTGCTGTGAGTTGGGCCACTGATCTCTCTGCACCATCATTGACGGAAGAGACCGGCTAGAAGAGATGGAGTAATAAGACTCTGTCCTCCCTTTACGTAAAAGGGCTCTAGATAATTGATGGCGGAGTGGTGTGTATCCACGTAAGAGGAGGTTGAGGTGAGGTGAGGTTGTTTTTATACTCGGACACCACCAAGCTTGGTTTCTGAGAAATCTGCAGAAAAGAAATGAACAAGGCCGGAATACCATTCCTTTAAATAATGGCTCAGGAAGGGGATCTCAGTGGGAACATTATCCTCGCCAACCTCTTGAATTGGATGGGGGGTTGCGCACAAGGTCCTCGTCAGGCCAACAAGGTACACATACAAGACGGTGAAGAGAGAACATAAGAGTCGTGTAGCAGGGAAACCTGCTATTGATTTAATACCGATGTTACTTATTCAGAAGAAAATGGATAATCAGACTACAGGAACATAAATGAGAAATCTCAAGAGTTTATTCCATGGCTAGCTACGACTATCCACGATAATCCCGACTCCCGGTGTCACAATGCCATTCACTGACCACCACCTAGGCAGAATAATCCCCAAGGAGACTTATCAATGAGAGAAGATATTTATTTCTAGAAGGCGTCATCAGCTAATGATAGCATTCTGGGTGGGCAAGAGAGAGACATACGGGGCACTTGCACCCGCCGGCAGGGCACTGGCAAGAAGCACCGCAGGAGCAAGTGTGATCAGGAGCTGCACGACATCATTCTGTCAGTTTAACGAACCAGAAAATCAACATATATATATATATATATATATATATATTGAAAAGCATTGAACGACGTATCAATATCGAGATTGCCCCGCCGAGTAGTTTAAACTACCCCGCCAAAAACGAGAACGGCATGAAAAGCACCATACAGCTGGACAAAGACATACCCATTATGAATGTTTCTTTCGGATGATACAAGGACTTGAATTGTTGCAGGTACCAAGAACGGACAGTGATGCGTGGTTGAGTGGTTTGTGGTTTGGTAACGTTGGAGTGTCGTTGGAGTGTCGTCGGAGGAGGGGGAAGGGGGCGGAATGCCTTTTATAACGACGGTTGGCCGATGACTCGATGCCGATGGGGCCTCGTACGAACCCGTGACTTTTGCGTGCAGCACAACAAACTTTGAGCAAACGAGCGAGTGTCTGCAGGCCGATAACTGGGTTGTGGATCAGGCCACTTTTTGCCTCTGGACTTTAGGTATGATAGAATCATGGCAATGTTTTAAGAACTAGAGGCAGCAAGTCCTCAGTACAGGGAATACTACATACTATTGCGATCTAATCTAATCTAATCTGTAGAGCAGGTGAATGCTGAATTCCCTGATTGGTTTTGCTTGTCAGGATAGCCAGGAAGAATAGTTTTCACCTCTCTCCTAATTCCTTAACCTCTATCTTTATTTCTTCTGCTGCATAAAACCCAAAGCATTGGTCTAGTCAAATGGCCATGCTTCTTCCCATGCAACTCTTTCTGCTTCGGAATGTGCTAGCTGGTCAAGCAGCTCCGCCTTTGCTTGCTTGAGAAGCCTTTTGACTTCATCATATTGCTCTGGTCGTACAACACCCTTGTCAGGCCACATCGGGCCTAGGGATTGCCTTAGGTTTTGCATTAGTTCCATGCCTCTGACTGCACCAGAAACATCCCCGTCAATCAAAGCAACCTCCTCTGCAGAGAACTGTAGAGGAAACGGTGGATTCCCAGCGGCTTGCACGCCCGGGAGGGCTGTCCATTCCTCCTCAAGATCAAGACATCTAGATTGATAGAATGCCTCCCCGTCTATCAGGAGATTTTGAGCGAGAAGTGGCATCTCAAAACTGGCGGTTTGCCGGAATTCCATGGCTTTGAATAAGGTTGTGTTGGTATTGTAAGTGAATCTTCGGTACAAGGCTGAGAGCGACATTTTTAGATACAGATCCTGGGCTTCCGCTTGCTCGGCGGAATCGAGTTTGTCGAAATCCTCCGGAAACGCTGGTGGGTCAAGGCCTGTCGATGGAGGGCCATCGTGATCAAGATAGTATGGCTGGCGTGCATGGTCAAAAAGCGGTAATACTTCGCTTGACTGCCAATCTATGATACCTAGTACCTCTGCCGGCCTCTCGGGACGAACAAAAATGTTCTCTGCATGAAGATCAGGGTGCCATAGAAAGGCAGACGTGATGGATGGGTCCGTTGGTAGAAGGTATTTTACGAGACGAAGATAGTTTCGAAGAGCCGCTGTCTTTTTAGAACGAGAGGGGCGGTACGTGCCAGGCCCATATAGCGATAACAGAGATCGAGGTAATCGGGTCATATCCTGCACACACGCAATCTCTCGAAGGCCAACCGCTGACCTGTACTGCTCTGCACTATTCCCTAGAGTGACCATGTAAGCACATGTTTTCGAAATGGCAGATTATAAAGTCATACAAGGGCCTCTATCAAAATCCAATCCTATCCTACCATCATCGAGGAATTCGCGACCTGTTGACGGGCCAACAGCAAATCGACGGTGTTTAGTGATAGAACTACCCCTCTTCGCAAGGGCACATACATCGGAATCTTCAATGTCGGAGTAATACAGACTTCCGTATTGGGTGAAAGATTTCGACATCCAGGCTTTTTGATATCCAGATATTGTTTTCACGAGTTCAAATCTTTCCTTGATACCCATCGCAGGCCAAACTGTACTGAGCTGGACGCCGGCGACCTTTTCCATGATAATGTATTCGGCGCCAACCGGGTTGTCTTCTAATTTAGAGCTCCAAGCTAACACTTTCGGTACTGGGGTGTGTAACTCATTACGAGCCTAGCAGTGAAGCATGAGATAAAAGGCAGAGCAATCAACAAGTTATAGACTCCTGCTTACAAAATCCATTGTTGCCACTTCGCTGGCAGTGGTGTAGTGAAATCGCCCCGCGTTCGGATTCGGTACTTTACCAACGACTTGCGTACCGTTGTGCATTGTGAAGAGGAAGGTCTTATTGAACATTCCGTCAGGGAACTTCTCCACCTGGACACACTGTGCAGATGTCAAGCCGACTGACTCAGCAGCACACTTTACCAACTCGTTCATATTGAATTCAACATGACGTATTGACATCTCCTGGGCTTCGTTGAATAGAAATCGGCCTCTTGTATAGCGGAACCAGTCATCGTTTGCGTTGCAATTCGTGTGGACTGACTGGTTGAGGCTGGTTGCCGATTGACCGCGAGGATAGGAAGACATCCATTTTTTCTTCTTAAACAGAGAAAATGCTCTGCGCATGATATTGAGTAACGCCGAGTAGAGTAATAGAGAGTAGAATGCAAGATGCAGTCAACAGAGGTAAAATCATGTGATATGCTAAGTCAGCAGCTGTCTTAGAGCATCTGTAGGGGGTGAAGGAGAAACGAAGAGGGAGGAAGCTCAGTATTTTATATAGCACTTAACTAGGCATAGCTGATCTGAGCGGAAAGGAGGCTATTTCGGTTGATAGACTGAAACAGCTCTTTACATTTGGCACAGCACATTCCACAGTACTTATTAGTACTCTCTGTTGTACAGAAATATCGATATTATTCTATATATTCTACTACCTACAGTCCAGTACAGTAGCACTTCTTATCAATCAGCGGACATGACAATTTCACCACACAGACCGTTCGACAGGGTGACGCCGTAATCACCGGCACCGACGGTGACATAGACGTAATTCGACGCAGAGCAGTCGCTAGTCTCGATACTGTAGCAGTAGTTGTCCTCGAACATGGAAAAGATGCAGATGGAGTTCTCCTGACAGGCGGCACAGCAGTCGTAAGCCGTCGCGCCAGAGGCCACCTTGAATTCTTCGCCGGTGATGCCCTGGTAGTCGATGGTGTTGATATACTCGCCTGCCAGGGCGCCAAAGTCGGAGCTAAACGGCAGGCCGGCAATGTTGTTTGTCGCACAGGCGGCATAGTAAGAGGTGGTGCTCACGGTTGTGCTGGTCGCCGTGACCGTCAGTGTGCTGGTCTCGGGGTCCGCGGTACTGGTCTCTGTAAGAGTGGAGGTGGTGCTATAACTCAGCGTCGTCGAGACATCGGGCACCACTGTCGAGGTGCTGGTGATTGTGGCAGTGTCTGTGGTTGTGGTGGTGGGAGTGGCAGCTGTCGCCGTAGCAGGCGTGGCAGTGACAGTCGAGGTGGAAGTGGTATGGAGAGTGACCTTGGCTACACACTCAACCGCGGTGGCATACTGGTAGTCGTATGGCCCTACCGCGCCGCATGTGTCCTCCTCTTCCTCCTCCGTGAGAGAGCGCTTCTTCTTGGCGTTTGTGACGGCCAGCGTTGTCGATAGCGTATCAGCAACGGGCGTGAACCCGGCTGGGGTAGGGACAGTAGTGGTGGTGATAATAGTCGTATCAACCGTGGTTGTCTCTGTGGCTGTGACAGGCGCCGGGGTGACAACAACAGTTGTCGTGTCGTATTCGGTTGAGGTAGTCGAGAAGGTGTCGGTAACAGTTGAGGCAGTGGAAATGACTATATCGGTCTCATAGTCGGTTAGTGTGACTGTGATAGCGCCAGGAGTCACAGTGACCGTATCTTGGGCGGTCGTATACACCACCACGGGATTTGTATCCGAAATGGTGCGGGTGATGCTTGTTGTAGGAATTGAAGCGACCGAAGTCAATCCCAGCTGAGAGTAACAAGTAACGGTAGAGGAAAGGTAAATATGGCTGCTGCTGGCCACGGCAGAGGAGGAACTGGCCGAGGCATGGCCCAGCAGGAAGCCTGCCATAAGAGCCAGAGGGAGAGACATAATGAGGGAGTGTTGATGGGAGAGAAGAGTTGATCAAAGAGTTGTCAGAATAAATTCAGGAGTAATGAAAGTCTAAATATCAAGGCAATAATGCCGCCTAATCCGAGTTCCATTGATCCTGTCGGCTATTATCACCACAATGTGTGTACTTGGTAGCTATGATGACTATTTTTATTATGAGAAAAGTTTATAGAGTACTCTGTACTGCAATTGTAAATTTATGAGTAAATCCTCAACTACCATGGGATTATGACTGAGTGTATCTGTACAGCTGTACTTGGCTCCAAAGATACCCATTTGAAGAGCATTTAGATGAAGTCAAGAGCAAAGTGAGCCTGTGTAATTTTAAAGTCTGTGCAGACGATCAGCAACTGCTGGTACCAGTATTTATCATGTTTGTATATCCATTGCTCAACCCTTGGTTTCAGCTATCCCCAGGATATTGAGGAGGAAAGCAGGCATCAGACTATTAGAAAGGCGTAATAGTAATAGATTTACTAGAAAGAGGGCAATATAATTGTACTCACAAATGGCATCATATCCCATCTAAAGTACCCCTGACTGGTCCCTGCTAAGGCGTCAGGGTCTGCGCCACCCGCCAGGGACGTCTCTGCGGGATTTTAATATTTTGTAAAAAATCCAGGATGTAGCTGAAGAATATAAAGGTATAGGAAGAATTAAAAAGTTTATATATTATTTTCCAAGTTCTACTACCACCCTCGTAAAGTTGTGGTTTTTATTTATAATATTTCTGATTTTTAGAGAGCTGTATATATATTTACTGTCTATGGAGTATATGGAGTGATGAACCAGCAAGATACTATGTCATTATGCAGCGAGATCTAATTTGGATTATAGTAGTCTATCATTATAGACAATTCCCACATTCATTTCAGCATATACGGGCCTCGTATACCCAGCTGAGCTACCAGGTACAGAAACAGGGTTATAATACGAAGCACCTACTTCATTCTCCTCAGCCATCTGAAATATTTACAACGAGCAAGAACCGTCATGGGAAACTTGGTTTGATTGAGTAGACACTATTCATGCAATCTCTTGACAAAATGGAAACCATCAGACTCATCACCTGTCTCTGCGGTGCTGTAAGGCAGGCCGTCGAATTAGATCCGTCAACATACCCTACCACGCTCAACCTCTGTCACTGCAGCACCTGTAGGACTACTTCAGGACTGCTCTTCACCTCATACCATTTGCTAGAATCCCAACCGAAAGAAATTGACAGTCTTTCCCAGTACCAACAGTCAAAGTCTACCAGTCGCTATTTCTGTAAGACCTGTGGCGCACACGTTTTCGCGCTGGCGATGACAGAAAGTGGTGATCAGCAATACCTATGGGCGGGTCAGTTTTGCAGAAGATGCAACGGAAAGAATGTTGGTCAAGTGGTTACAGGAGGGGCTCAAACATCGGAACTAGCTGGCATCAATCTCCCGGGTAATTTGTAACTGCTATTATACAGTCTCAAGAGAAATACCAGTTGCACCTCATGCATGTGTTGGAAGACGGATCGGTGCCCTATCTTTTTGCCCTAACAGCCCTTTTTGGGAACGCCATGTGACTTGAGCGGGGCATGAAAATAGCCAATGGTATCAAAGTCGGTCTGGCCAATCAGAATTTTGGTGGTACCTCATTTCTTAGACAGAATCAGTTGCTGACTCGAAAGCGAATACTTCTATGACCGTGAGAAGAAATACCTGATATTTACTGTCCAAATAAAAATCTAGGAATACAATAATTATCTAAATAATAGCCATCAGAAACTTTGCTAAATGACTTATAAATTAACTGTGAATTCGACTGAATCCGGAGTACTCCTTACAAGCACCAGGTATCTTGACTCTTCACCGCTTTCCTAATCCCTCAAGCTTGTGAAATTTCCACATCCCGCACCGCTTCCCACTGCATCATTTCGCGAACACGCGTTTCCCAGCAGCAGCTTATTACTGCAGCTATCCTTCAGCCTGCACGTCTTTTTTTTTTCTTTCTCGGGAGTTTTTTTTACCTTGAATCCGCCGGAAAGCGGTCGGTTTTTCCGACATGCCGCCAGCATTCGAGTTCCGCGGGAACAACAATAGCAGGACTGACCGGCGAGCGCCGCGTCCCAAGCAGGAATTCACGTTTCGGTACCCGCGGCCTGGAACTGCAGAACGTCCCCTGCTAAGGAAACAAAGAGAAACGACACCGGAGCTTTTGCTTGGCGCGAATGGTAGCAGTGAGAAGCCTGCGCTGAAGTTTGCGGCGATCGGGGATCTCAGTGATAGCGACGAGGCAGAGATGGATGTCTCCTCGGAGGATGAGGATGAGGATTCTCGCCCTCGCAAGAAGCGTATCGTCGAGGCGGAGAAGCCTGCTCCAGCACCTGCTCCGCGATGGTCGAATCCTGATCCGTACACTGCCCTTCCGCCGCCCGATGAATCGCAGTCAAAGAAGGTAGACGTGGTGAAGATGATTCGGAAGGCACGACTTGCCGCCAGCGCGTCGCGCCCAGAGGACAGTGATGCCGTTGTAACGAATGAAGACTTTATATCCTTTGGCATGGAAGACGAGGAGGAAGACGGAAACAGGGCTCCCGAGAATGCACCCAGGGGCCCTAGGAGTCAGCTTCAGGAGTCCGATCCGGCTCTTGGAAATCGCAAACGAACCCACGACGATGAAATCAAAGGGTTTTCCAAGAAGCTTGGCAAACCGATCAGCAGGTTTTATGCCGATGGTTCAATATTGGACGAGTGGAGAACTTTGACGCGGGAAACTGCATCGCCGTGGCTGGATAGTATGCCGTCAAGCTTACATCTAGGTGCCAGGTTAGTTGTCTTGAGCTTTTCTTACCCTCAGATCCCGGTTAAAATGACTTTCTGACGGATTAAAGACTGCATAATGAAATTCTTAGTTTCTACCACTGGGTGAAACCTCAGTTCTATGAACAAATTGTTCGGTCGGACTTGATTGCCAGGCTACAGTCGGCATTTCAAAACAGATATTACGGTGTCCAACTGCGTCCGTTTGGCTCGTTCGCATCTGGCCTCTACCTGCCCACTGCCGATATTGATCTTGTGATGCTTTCCAGCAACTTCATGCGCAACGGCATTAGGACATTCGGTGAACGAAAAGGTCAGATCTACGCCTTTTCAGCCTTTTTGAAGAACCTCGATATTGCAGTCCCAGGCTCTATAGAAACCATCGCACATGCAAGGGTCCCGATCTTGAAGTTTGTGGACAAGTTGACGGGCTTGCGCGTCGACTTGTCCTTTGACAATGACAGTGGAATCGTCGCCAACAGGACTTTCCAGCAGTGGAAAGAAGAGTTCCCTGCCATGCCCGTGGTTGTATCTGTCATCAAACAATTTCTACTTTTGCGCGGTTTGAACGAAGTGCCCACCGGTGGCTTGGGTGGGTTTTCCATCACTTGCCTTGTTACCAGTCTGATGCAGCACCTGCCTCATGGTAGAGTAGAGCAGAACCTTGGCAGTCTTTTGATGGATTTCTTTGATTTCTATGGCACCAAGTTCGACTACGAAACAGTTGGCATCAGGATGAGCCCGCCCGGCTATTTCAACAAGGTAAGGACTGACTTTCTATCAAACTGGCTTGTTTCTAACAGACGTGTATAGCGCGTCTACAAGGTTTATAGAGAAAACAACAACGAGCGTCTTGCCATCGAAGACCCCAACAACCCGGAGAATGATATCTCAGGCGGAACCCGCGAAATCCACCTAATTTTCAGGTCATTTGCGAACGCTTACCGGGTACTCAAGACTCAGATGTTATCGACGTCCATGTCTGCAACTTCAGAGACTAGTATCCTCAGCACTATTATTGGTGCCAACTACGAGGAGTATGCGGCACAGAGGAGTCGCCTCCACCGTGTATTTCTCACTGACCCTCGATTTGCTCAATACCAAACGCCACCCACGCCGCCTCCTCCGCCAGGACCTCCGCCGCCAGTCGAATCCGCTCCTCCACCGCCTCCTCCAGGACCCGCGCAAAAGGACAAGGCGACAAAAATGCAGAAGAGACAGCAGGCCTTGCGCGATCGTGCTCTTCGTCTCAAGAAATTGCGACCTGATATTGCTTCCACGATCCCAAAATCCATCAGTAACGAACAGGCCCTCAAACTCGGAGGCTATCAGACTCAATCTGAGATGGACCGAGACCTTCTTACCCGAGAGAAGACAATGCAGGTCTCGGCGTCGACCTGACTTGGAACGCCAAATATCTGTACAGGATTCTTCGCTGATGAGTGCAAACTTACAAGTTTTAACTAATGGGTCAACCGCGTACCATCATATGACTGTTTTTTGAGCCATTCTCTTTTTGTTTGCGGACGTCATCTTGCAAGACTGATACCCATGTTTATGAACAGGCGAAATTGTGGGGTTTCATTGCTCTTCTTCTATTCATGTTTGTACGAGTTGGGGTCAACTGAAAACGTCAGGCTAAAACTTCTCATGTCTCTCATTATCTGAGCTTCCCACGGTGGATGCCAAAAGCTTACCTAGGGACCAAAAATAACGAAAGACACCCATTTCACTTTTTCTTTTCTTTTTTACACATTTTCTTCTGGGGCTTCGGTTCAGGCGCGTCCGTGCCTGGCGTTTGTTTCGTTGCTGATTTCCAATACTAAATTTTGATTTCAGGTATGATGGGATCAAGGAGTCGATCTCGAATCCACACCACTGGGTCTGGTCTGTCGCTCCACACGCTGCAGATGGTCGATTTCCACCTTTTATGATCCGATTTCAGATACATGCAGGGAACATCTTCACCGGAGGCAGACTACTTCAGCCCTGACAGCAGAGAAAAGTGAGAAATAAAATGGTATATTCCCCGCTTATTTGATTGATCGAATACCTTGCACTCTCTTTCTCACCAAGGGAACGCTATATGCGGTTGCTTGGAGAGGAGGATAGATTGGCACCAGCTTTCTCACTTCATTGCAGTATCAGGATTGATTGTCATACAATAGAACCCTGAGGCATATCTTCGATTAAATAGCATGGTTTCCATCTATACATACATAAACAAACATGGCCTTAAGTCTATCTGAAGTACACGCATGCGAGATCCAGCTCTAATCGCACGTACTCTACCCGAATGAACTACATCGCAACAAAATCAACTCGGCTTGCCCTATGAAATAATGTATACGGTATGATCAAACGGTAACCTTCGTGCTGGCTAGCACAGCTGGGTCCGCCGCCTCCAGCGGGGGTGTCAGCATGCAATCACCAAAGATACCGCAGGACACTTGCTCAGCGGCCGGAGGGGTGCCGGCACTCGCGCGGAGGGCAGCGACGTGCTCTTCGGGGAGAGAGTTGACGAAACCGGGCCCCGGACTGGCCCAAGTGTAATCCACCCATTCCGGGCCTAGGATGTCCCTGATCCCCTGCGTTAGAGAGAGGATGCGCTCCCGGCGCGAGCGGGACCAGGCACGGTCAGTGACCAGGCCGTTGGAGGGAGTGAGGATGCCGGGGGCTTGAACTATTGATTCGTCTGGTAAGAGGAGGGGGGCATTGTCGTCATCGTTATCACGGGTCTCTAGCCCGTCGATGATACTGCGCCACACGCGTAGGGTTTCGTTGAGCTCATCCAAGTTGCTCACGCCCATCACGCTGACTCCCAGGCGGTTGCCGGTCCCTGTGTGAGCGGCAGAGAGGAAGGCCGGGTGGGAATCTGCGGACTGCGCCAGCGGGGAACCCAGGGACCCTGCTTTCGCGGCGCTGAGCAGCCAAGACTCGAGCGCGTAGCGGATGGCGATGACTTCGATCCTCTCGCCCTGCGTCTCTGCCCAATTGCTGGCGTGGTGGATGACGGTGCGCAGGGCGTCGGGGGCCGGGTGGAAATCGCCCATGCTGCCGATGGGCACACCCGTGCGGCGCAGAAGACCCATGCCTAGCGGCGAGGCGTTGGGGATCACGTCTACCTGTGCGGCGACCAGACGGGGCAGTCCGTGGGTCAACAGGCGGGTGTTCTGCAGAGTGTAGTTGGCATACGACATGACTGCGTCGAGGGGTTCGCCCGTTTCACGCAGAACCATCTCCGCCAGGTCGCACAGCACGTCGACTGGATATCCGGAAATCCCCACGTAGCGGACGGTGCCCTGCACGTCCCGGATGCGACGCAGTTCCCGCACGGCCTCCAGGACCTCGCCGGCACTCACAAACTCCACATCATGGCAGTATACAACGTCCAGGTAGTCGGTGTGCAGCCGCTGGAGGCTGCGACGGACGCTCTGCCGGATCCACTGGGGAGAGTAGTCGAAAGACGAGGAGGCGACCCGGCCAACTTTCGTCAACAATTTGTACGTGTTCCGGGGGAATTCTGAGCACACGAAATCCGTCGCTAGGGCCCGACCAAGCAGTTCCTCCGCAGGACCATAGTAAGGCGAGGTGTCGAAGGCGCGTACACCGCGAGAGAGGGCGTGATGGACGAGCTCGGTCGTGGGCAGCGCATACGGATCAGGGTTATACTGCGAGTTGAACGTCGCAGTACCCATGATCAAGGGCGGAAGGTCCGCAGACAGAGGAACAGAAGGACGGCCCATGGTTCGAGGAATTACGGGCTCGTGGTGGGAGGCGTGCGGTAGACAGAAAGAGAATTGTCCTTACGATCGCGGGGTCGATGGAGGGGGGCGATGAGATAAGGGAGATGGCAAAAAAGGCCAGAGTGGAAAGTATGCAAACGCCAGATCTAGGCGGATAAAGGCATATTTTTCTTTTTTTAGTATTTCCACCTTCTCCGGTCTCAAATCATCGTCTATTGGAAATAGACGGAGAAGAAGGGATATCCGATCCTGGTGGAGGCTGCTGCGATCGATCAAGGCATGGCGCCATGGGCTGCTCTGATTAGGTGACGGCGATAGAAGTAAGAGAAAAAGAGAGAGAAAGACTCATTGCGGGTCTGGATGAACAAGGGGAATACCATGGTAGTTTATAGAAGATAATGTGGTTGTAATTCTTGTCTGCAAAAGCAAAGACAGATCCTGCAGATCATATCTTATCCGCACTAAATGCTGGGAAAATAGCCTGAAAATCTAACAGTAGTGGTCTTATATTGTCTGAGAGCCTCCAATAAAGTCTGGTGGATAGGTTGCTGAATAGCAAACAACATAAAACATAATATGGTACACGGATATTCCTGTCCCCAGGGAAGAGCGGAGAATAAGAGAGAAATCAGACAGAAAACAGAGCGGGAGACACAGATAGGTGCTACAAGGTCGAGATATTTCTCCGGGAAACCAATCAATAATATACATGAGAGTAATGCCTCAGTATTGAAATCAACAAGAAACCAAGAACGGGGGCTAGCAGCGGTCGAGTCGAGACAGGCAAGACCACGCATCGCATGCCGAGTGAGAAGACTCGCCTGGTTGTCGATTCGATAAAACGCGGTGGAAATAAAGAGAATCAGGCTCTATCAGTTTTCTGCACAGCCCACGCCGAGTGTAAAAGAAGCCCAGAAACGCCATGCTATGCTGCCGAAAAGGAGTATCGAACGTGGTGACGAGGAAGAGTCGAGTCGAAGATCGAGACGTGACGGAGGGGGTCATGTCAGCGAGAAGAGCCTTCGGTCGCGTTAACGGTACATTGCACGCCCATCACCGATCCTTGTACACCTTGGGATTCCAACCTTCACGAAGCTCCTTGTCCATGGCCGCCTTCCGCTCGGCCTCGCGGACCTCCATCTCAATTCGTTCGCGTGCGCGAAGGATTTTGCTCTGCAGGTAGAAACTGCCGCCCTTCTGTGGGTCATTCATGTCAAACAGCTTCTTGAACCGCTCCATGACGCTCTCCAAATTGGCTTCTCCTCCCTGAGGCGGCTTGACGTTGAGAATCTTGCACGCCTCGTCCAGCGTCAGCCCGGACGACGCATACGTGTTGACCGTCCCGGAGTTGCCCTTCTGAGCCGCAGCGGCATATTTCCCCTTCGCCTGCGCTTGCTTGTATGCCTCCCCAAACGCCCGACCGAACACGCGGGCGCCCGTGACGACGACCTGGGCGACTAGACGATGGGCCTGTGGCGGACGGTGGCACTCTGGTCAGCGCTGCCACTGCCGTGTCTCAAAGAGAGAACCAAAACTCACCATGGCTCACAGAAAACAATCTGCTGCTGTTGAGAAAATATTCCGGTCGTAGGAATCAAGATGACTGGGTCTGTTGTCGGGTGAGAGACAAGCGGATGGTTTGCAGCGTCGGGATTCGGAAGGGAAAATTTTGGCGCGGTTTAGCGCCAGAGAGACTGGAGCGAGCAGCAGCGCAGCAAACCAGGAGGAACGAGGATGGGAGACGACTGTAGGACACAGGAAATTGCTAGAAACATTGCTGTTCAAATGAAAGAAACTATGCTCATATCAATGAGCACTTGAATTATATCATGGGGATGCGAGTTTCAGCTTGTCTGCCCTTCCACTGTTCAACTTCCCGACCACACCCCCATCACATGTCTACGCTCACTATCGCTCCGCGGCCAGTTTCGTTGACCCTACAAAAAAGGCACCCCCCCCCCCCCCGGACATCGACTCCGCCAGTTGACTCGCTGTGCTTTCTATCAATATATCTGTCATGCATGAGTGATATATTTCCTGTTTCTACCTGCGAGAAGAAACCCTCCCTCCTCGACGAAACGCCCTCTCCTTGGTCCTGTTGCCAGACCGCCCGCGATGACCTTGCTGGATGCATATGACATCTCTGTTGGATGGCAGCACTCGGTAAGCACAACGCACCCACCTTTGCAGGCTTCGATCGCTTCCCCCCATCAGTGAATTACGGCCATGTCGATACTGATGGTGCTCTAGACGATCTTCCGTGGATAGATTCCATGTCCCGAACATCATACGGCCCAGATAATGGCCTCCAGCCGGACTCGCAACCACCGACGGTTGCTGCCTTCTCGCCGCCCACGCTGTCGGGCTCGTCTCTGGCCTCCAGACAGCGCTCTAGTATCATCGTCCATCGCAAATCGCCGCTGCTCGTTGCCACGCCGCCCCCCGTCACTCGTGCGCTCGCCTACTCGCATCCTTTCATCCTCCCGTTGAACAAGCTGGTCGGGTTGCTGACATGGACTTCGGGGGATCCGTGGCAGAGCTTTCTGCTCGTCACGGGGTTTTGGACGGTTGTTCTTTATGGAGATATTGTAATCATGTGGGCTGGTCCGATTCTCGTCGTGGCGGGCCTGATCTTGGGCATGTACTCGCGGCGCTACTCGCCCTTGTCGTCGACCACACTGACGGGTGAGAAACATGGGGCAAAGAAAATCGCAGCGGAGGCGTCTTCGACACGACACCACAAGAGTCTGGATGAGATTGTTGATACGGTGAGAACGTTCACTACGCGGTGCAACATTCTGCTCGAGCCGCTGTTAGACCTTACCGACTTCCTGTCTACGCAACGGACCGCCACCTCTGCCACGACAAAACCGGCTCTGACGGCGCTTTTCTTGAGAATACTACTCGTGACCCCTATCTGGATCTTACTGACTCTCCCGCCTTTCTACATCATCACCACTCGCCGGGTCGTCATGGCCGTTGGTACCATCGTCCTTACCTTCCATTCTCAGCCTGCAAGAATTTCGCGTGTGATTCTCTGGCGGTCACTGACAGTCCGGCGGATCTGCTCAATGATCACCGGTCTGGACTTCTCGGCAGATTCCGGGGCGAGCGGCACCGGCCAGTGGCTCAAGACCCAGAGTCAAGGCCATGCGATGAACATCGCCACCAGACGCCGTGGAGATTCATCCGGCATCCGCTTCACCTTTGTTCTGTATGAAAATCAACGCCGGTGGCTCGGGATCGGCTGGACATATTCTCTTTTCCCCGCCGAACGTGCTGCATGGACCGACGAGCACCTGAATTCCGTGCCGCCAAAGGACGAATTCGAGCTGCCAGACGTCCAGAGCGTGGACACAAAATGGCGTTGGGTGGAGGGTTCAGACTGGCGCATTGAAGGAGCCGACGATTCGATCTCAAAGTCCGAGTCCAAGGCTTCGGATGGAGGTGGATGGATCTATTATGATAATAAGGTATGGAGCTTTGGATAAGCAGTCATCTTTTTTTTTTCTCAACTAATCAATCCGTGTAGTGGAATGACGGTCGTCGAGGTCAAGATGGCTGGGATCGATACACCCGCAGAAGGAAATGGTACCGGGATGCGGAGCTGGTAGAGGTCGCTTCTGCCGAGGATGAACAAGAAGATGACCAGCAGCCCCCAGTACCCGGATCGACGCAGGAATCGCAAGAGAAGAACAAGAAGAAGAAGGATCAAGAATCTTCTTCCCCCGACAGCACGAACGACGCCGACAGCAAGAGTCTAGCCGCGTCCACCACCCGCCGGAGACGCTGGTTCGGCGGGTCCAAGGGAAGCGGAGGAGCCGGAGCCGGAGCCGGATCCAGCACACACACACTTATTATACCCGACAATAGCAACGACAACAATAACGACAGTAGTAATCATAATAACGAGACTGGGAAATCCTCAGCCATCAGCAGCGACGCCCATCATTCGCGCAAACCCTCCAATCTATCCAGCGGACACAGCTACAGCAGCAGCGTCGGCAAGGACAGCAATACCAGCGAGAGAGAGAAGGATCTGGTCCATGTGCACGACCATCTCGATCGATGGGCAGCCCGCGCTGCAGGGGGCACGGAGAGAGCGGAGCGCGAGCTGGGACTAGGCGATGATGTCAATATGGGCTTGAGCTAGCCTGTTCTCTATTTCTTAACTTTTTTTGGGGCGCGGTAATATAATGAATATAGCAAAAAAAAACATGTCTCATTGGTTCCGTATACATGAAGCTCTAGCCAGGCCCCGATCATTTACCATTTCTCGGGAGTTTAAAGGTCTATTTGTATACCTAACTACTGACCATCCCGATATCGAGCAGGCCGTAGGTGTTATTCAAAGAGGTGTCACCAAAAAGGTATCTATGCCAAATTCAACTCCCACTGCAGCTCTTCCAGCATGTCTAACCAGTTCTTCGTTCCCGTCTCCCACAAGATACCCAGCAGCTGTTTTGCGCGGGTGACATTTCCGATCCCGAAATGATCGCGCAGATTGTCCAGGGACTGGCCGACCAGGTCCCGGTCTGAACGGGTTTCGCTCTCGCTGCCTGCGATGAACAAGGGGAACGTCAGGGCTGAATATTCGCAGTTTGCGTCTAACCGGGTCTGTCTCACGCGGCTGAGGAGTCTTTGCAGCGCTTCCTGCGCAGAGACAGACACCACGGCAGAGAAGGGGGCTCGGTCTGCTTGTCGCTTCAGCGTCGCGTGTAGATAGAGGTACGCTGCGTCCCGGAAGCAGTCGGCGACCATTCGGAGGCGAGAGATCCTCTCGCCGGTGCATCCCCCGGGGATGATATATGGTCGGGACATATATGTCCAATGTCGAAGGGCGGTGTCTCTGAAAGTCGAAGGGTTTTAGAAAAAGCAAAAAAGAAAGAGAGTCAATCATGGCCCAGCTGGAACGTACACTTTAATAACTTTGGACAAAAGTTCGGAGTGGTCGTGGAGGCTATGTAGCTTGGCAATCTCAGCACAAATCTCGATGATCTCTTCGGTATAGCCCATATAGATATCCAGCTTGGTGACTTTGAGGTCATCTGCAGACCCGACGATTTGGTGCGTGGGAATGGTAATTCTCGCCATATTCTCCGCGTACTTGATACTGTACAGGTATTGATGTTAGTCTGGGGTATCACTTCCATTAAGTCAATAAAACAGAGTCATACAATCCTGCTAGAAAGTCTGCCACATCGCGATTTAAAGTTGCAAACCCTCCACGATTGATAATTAGCTTCTGCAGCGCATTGAAATGCATAGTCCATTGCTTAACGCTCCCCCGAACAATCTCGTATTTGCATACAAGAGCGACGGCTAGGACAATGTCTTCCGAAAAGATCTTGGTCGGGGAATCCGTCAAAACTGCGCGAATGCCACCGAGGGTTTGCACATAGTACTTCACGGCGGCCGCCTGGGCCCTCTGCGCTTCCTGCGCACGATTGGAGAGATGGATTGCAGAGAGGGCGCAAAGAGCACGAAGAAGAAGAGGAGACGACATTGCTCTGGGGACTAGCAAGGCTCGGAGAGGATTGCCATCATTTTCCAGGTTGGCGATGAGCCTAGAGGCTGTCTCTGTATGATATTGAAGGTAATGTGTTTCTAGGGTAGTCAGATGACTGATATGTCGTGATGGTTCAGAGCCAGGTACCAGAGCACGGCGGGCATCTCTATATGTCTTCAAGTTTAATACACCTCTGTCTTCTGTCTCTATGCGTTCATCTGTTTGAAAAGAGCTCTCATCGGGGCTGCCAGGAATTTCATTTGAATCGACAGACTTGTAACCCTGACTGCTGAGAATTGGAGAAGACGGTGATTCTTCTGACAAAGCAGACCCTGACGAAGAGCAGCTGGTTCTGGGTCTCTTCCTTGGTCTTTGACTCCGAAAGACCCGGGTGGAGGGATCCAGGGGTTCAGTCCACATGGACCCGTACCCGTCGCATATTCGACCGAGTCTGACACAGTTCTGGCAGCTGTAACCGCCGGTCAGTCTCGAATGGTTTGTCTTGATTGATCGATCGGTAAAAAACGGTACCTCGGTTTCGCCTCATCGCACCGTTTCCTCCTCGTTTTGCAGGTGAGGCAGCCTGAGCGTGTCCAGCCAGACCTTCCATCGCTCCGTCGTTTCCTAGTCCGAGTTGTTGTTTGAGTGTCTGTCAGCATTCTTTCTTGCAACAAAAGCGACATCAGAACTTCGTATATCTGGAGAAGGCGCGGATTGCGGAGGGGAAGAAGGAGCTAAGCCCAAATTGTCATTAGATACGCCTAGAATTGCCTCCTTATCGCCGATCGTTTCTCGGTGCAAGTGCGTTGCCACAGTTAATTTTGCAGTCAACTGGTTACCTGTTACTGGTCAGTTGGGTAATTAACAGTGGTGCCTACACTATGTCTGTAGTCAACTGGTTAAGTTGTTAGCCGTTTATGACAATAATATTTCTGCTTCCCGCTGGTTTACAACAGTAAAAGAGCATCAGATGAGGAACATTTCTTTCCTAGGCAACATGAGCAGCTCTTTGCTAAGAGAAAGATAGGTTTATACTAGACAATTCTTTTTTAATTGTCAGTATGAATAAACACCTAGTATGTAGTATTCATCAGTTTCTTGGGGTATTCCACTTGGGTATACGGAGTAGTTATATTCATTGCCTTTACTAGGAAAATCCTTGCTATTATCTAAATATTCAGCTATTAGTTACTAATTACTAGCAGTAACTACCTAATTCCTTCACGTACAAAAAGCATGGCTCCGATGTCAAGTCACTTCATCTCCGAAATCACGTAAAAAATACTCGCCGCCTCAGCCCATGGCCCTATGTAACAAGGAATTTCTGACCGATATTGATAAGTCCCTTATCAGTGGGTATATTCCCCACCATCCCAGATAGGCAAGTCCATCCAGAGCTCTTCCGAGTCCCAGGAAATTCATTGCTCGGCATTGTTCAGCAGTCGCACAATGGCAACGTATTTAAAGCTGTTCCATCCTGCTCTCATGCAAATAATGATACTTCCAAATCAATCCTTCCTTCCTTCTCCTTTGGTGTGTGGAAGATATCCTTTTCCTCTCCCATTACACGCCACATTCCTTGAGACCCGCCTCTCCTGTACAGACCACCGGGCAGCCACTCAACCTATCTTCCGGGGTTCCGCTTTGACGTTGGCAATTGACATCTTACTGTCTCTATTATCTTACTCCTCACAATGTCGCTGGCTTCAGAAAGGGCGTCGACGGCTACTGCTGTCTCCCCTCACCCGTTCGATCCTATCCAACCGGCCGAGATCACACTGGCGGTTCGCATCCTCGAGGCGGCTCTTCCTGGTATCCCATTGAGGTACAAGCGCATTGATGTCAACGAACCTGTCAAGAAGGATGTCATCCCATATATCGAGGCAGAGAGGCTGCGGATGCCTCTTCCTCCCAAGCCGACCCGTGTTTTGTATGTGATGTTCCACCGGTTGGATACCGGGGCGTTCTTGAAGGCATTGCTCAACGCCGATACCAAATCTCCTATTTTCATCAAGGAGTTGCCGAGGGAAGTTCAGGTATGTCTCTTATCGAGAGTCCCCATAGCCTTGCCACTACCAAGCTGACCGGTGTGATCTTCTGTCTGACAGGGCCCTCTTGACACGGATGAGGTGACGGAAATCGAAGAGCTGTGCAACAGACACCCCGCTGTCCTGGCGGAAATCGAAAAGCTCAAGCTTCCTCCCGGAGTGACCGTCTGCAACGATCCATGGATGTACGGCACAGATACCCCGGATGAATCTCGACGACTGTTCCAGTGCTTCATGTACATTGTCGAAGTGGATCATCCTCAGAATAACCACTATTCTTTGCCTTGCAAATTTTCTCCCGTCTTCGATGCCACTACAATGGAGTTTGTTCGCATGGATTATCTGCCCGGAGGTGCAGACCATCAGACGGCTGAGACGTCGATGTGGAAGCCTGTCAAGACCATCCAGTACGCCCACGATCTCCTGGATGAGCCGTTGAGAACGGACCTCAAACCATACATTGTTCAACAGCCGGAAGGTGCCTCGTTCTCTGTGGACGGCAACTTTGTCTACTGGCAGAAATGGCGTTTCAGAGTGGGCTTCAACAACCGGGAAGGCCTCGTCCTTTACAATGTCACGTACGACAACCGCAACATTGTCTACCGTCTTGCAGTGTCGGAAATGACTGTCCCTTACGCAGACCCCCGTGCCCCATACCACAGGAAACAGGCGTTCGATGTGGGTGACTGTGGATTCGGCGTTGCTGCGAACCAGTTGTCTCTCGGCTGTGATTGCCTGGGTCATATCAAATACTTTGACGGCTGCAGGACAGACGCGAAGGGCAACCCCGTCACTCTGAAGAACGTTGTCTGCATGCATGAACAGGATAATGGGCTCCAGCACAAGCACTCGAACTACCGTTCCGACGCCGCTACTGTGGTTCGCAACCGCCAACTGGTGCTTCAGATGATCTGCACGGTGGCCAATTATGAGTACATCTTCGCATACATCTTCGACCAGGCGGCCAATATTGAGCTGGAGGTCCGAGCCACCGGCATCCTTTCTACAGTGCCCTTTGACAACGAAAACGGCGCTACTGTCCCGTGGGGCACCAACGTTGGCCCTGGAGTCATGGCGCCCTACCATCAACATATGTTCTCGTTGCGCATCGACCCTGCCATTGATGGATTCAACAATACAGTCTACTACGAGGACAGCGTGCCGATGCCTGAAGATGAGAACAACCCGTATCTCGTCGGATACACGACTGAGCAAACAGTCATCAAGAAGTCAGGCACCGCAAACACCGACGTCGCCCGCCACCGTGTCTTCAAGATTCGCAACGACAATGTCGTCAACCCGATCACATACAAGCCCGTCTCGTACAAGCTCGTCACGGTCCCAAGTCAGATGCTCTTGGTCAACCCCAAGGCATTTGGATTCAAGCGCGCCGAGTTTGCGACCAAGCCGATCTGGGTCACCCAGTACCGGGATGAGGAACTGTATGCTGCCGGCGAGTTCACCAACCAGAGCAGAAAGGCGGACGGTGTTGAGACATGGGTACAACGGAACGACTCGACCGAGAATGAAGATGTCGTCTTATGGCACAGTAAGTCTTTTCCAAATTTTTTTTCCCCTCAAGAAAATCATTCCATTCTAACTGGTCTCAGCCTTCGGCCTCACACACAACCCTCGCATTGAAGACTTCCCCGTCATGCCCATGGAGAAGATCAGTGTGATGCTGCGGCCAGACGGTTTCTTCACCAAGAATCCTGCCCTCGACGTACCCGCTTCGGCCCAGTCTTTCAACAAGTCAACGCTTCACCCTGAGCCGGTCATTACGAGCTCCTGCTGCTCGAATATCTCTGCGGGATCCAAGGCAAAGTTGTACAAGCGGCTGGACTAAATTTATGACCGATTTTCACTAGAATTTACCCGCTGGATGGGTTTGTGTTTATATGCATATATAGTATGATTATGTTTGTTTTTATTATAGGTAGATAAATATACCAAAATGACACATAAGAGAGTGTTCTGCTCAATTGAATAGTGGCTTTATTTTACTTCATATATTCTACGGCTATATATCAATTTTATGGGCAGTAGATACTATAAGAATATTTATATCAGAGCCGCCTTTATTATATAAAATATTTGAATACAAGGTAATACAAACATCTGCCCTGATTTTCTCAGAAGACGAGATGCATACAAATTAGATACCATCATCACGTACTTCATACATTTTGGCCCCGAGTCATTTCAGAAGAAAGGAAGAGAAATAGCAGAGAAGAGAAGAACAAGAATACGTCCATTGACTTTTCCGATCAAATGTATCACTTCGTATCACCTTGAAAACAAAAAGGCTAGTAAGAGCGCATACTTGCGGAATCCTGCCGTTAAGATATAGTAAATAGCCACTATTTAGACTCACTCCTTGGCAACAGTAGGGATATAGGCGCTGGGAACAGAGCCGTGGCCAACGGTATCGATCGCAGCCTGGCGAGCACCAGCAAGACCATACTGAGAGCTGATTCCCTCGACCCGGTGGGTAGAATTAATGTTCTTCACCAGCGTAAGCTGCCAGCAGGTTGCGCTGCCTTGGCGTGAGATGATAGTGGAGTAGGAGAGGAAATACTCCCAGATCTGCATAAAAGAGGATTGTATATTAGAAAATGGAAAGAAAGAAGTACGAGAAGCCAAGACTCACCCGGAACCATCTCTTGCCGTACTTGGCTTCGACCTTCTCACGGTTGGCCATCCAGTTGCGGTACCAGCGCCACAAGGTTGCCGAATAATGGACGCCAACGGTATCAACGCTCTTGATCTCGAAACCGGCACCCTCAAGCTTGTCGACGACGAAGCCAAGAGGAGTACTGGCATCGGCACCAGGGAAGATATACTTGTTCATGAAGAGACCCCAGATCAGGTCCTCGTACTGCCAGGATTTGCGAAGACCAGCGATTTGCAGGAAGAAGACACCGTCGTCGTCCAGCATGTCGTGAACTTGAGACAGAAAGCTGCTAAAGTGGCGCACACCGACGTGTTCGGCCATTTCGAGACAGGTGATCTGCTTGTAGCCACCCGGAACGGAGGGAGCATCACGGTAGTCCATGCAGAGAATACGGCTCTGAGATTCCTCAATGCCAGCTTTGCGAAGGCCAGTGTTACCCCAGGCAGTCTGGTTGCGTCCGAGTGTGATACCGGTGACTTGGGCACCGTAGTGGACCGAAGCGTATTTTGCCAGAGTTCCCCAGCCGCAGCCAAGGTCGAGGAGAGTGTCACCGGGCTTGACGCCAATCTTCTCGCAAACAACAGCCAGCTTGTTGTCCTGCAGTTGTTCTAGAGTCTCTTCCTTGTTGATGTCTCCAATAATACCAGACGTGTAGATCATACGGGGGCCAAGGAACCATGCATAGAAGTCGTCTCCTCGGTCATAGTGGTCACGGACTTGTTCTTCGTCTATAGGGGGTCGGCCATCAGCGAAGCTCTACAGCTCAAGCAGCACTGCATTAGAATGGATAAGAATAGAGAACGCACCCTGAGAACGAGTATGCATCAGCATCTCAGGTATGAAGCCAAAGAGGAAGTGCTTATACAAGCCCATTGTGAAGCGGAAGCTAGCCCAATCGTGTCTGTACTCGAGGCATTCCAGAGCACCGCCTTTGAAATCGACCTCACCATTGAAGTACTTTTCGTAGAAGGTTTCCATGGGAATCCTGCTCTTGCCTCTGTACTTGATGCGATCATTCTCGTCCTTGAACTCAAGGTAGTGCTCGACGGGGCGACCTGTGTACTTGGCCTTCTCATTCTTGCGGGGGGATATCGAGGACGCCACGGTCCAGAACACCATGAGGATTGGCACCGTGGTGAAAATGGCGAAGAATATGGTGGTGTAGAAGCCCCCGCCCACCTGGCGGGCCCCATACCACGGGATCACAACGAGCAGGGAGATGAGTAGTACATTGGAGAAGCTGTCACTTCCCGCCGCATCTGCTGGGAGAGGTGCATTTTTGATCGCCGGGTACTATGAAGCAGAGATGGAAATTCAGTCAGCGATGAACTCCTGGCTGAAACCAATGGCAGCTCAATTACGCCTTCAGCAATCAATAAAAAACCTACCGATGTAGTCCGAACACCGCAATGCTGCGGAGGGCTGATGGGCGTAGGAGCAGCCGGAGTTTCGATGAACTCGAAGTTCTCCGAGGACTCAGAGTAAATCTGGGCCATCAGGAAAGAGCCGGATAGAGGCCGACACCGTGTTGTGATGGATAATTTTGGTGGTTAGTTGACAGGCATCTTAAATAACCGGTGACCTAGATATGAGTGCCTGCCCGGAGTACTCTAAGTAACTAAGTGGTCCGGGCAACTTTAGCCTACCGGTAGTGCCTGTTGTTCGGGTCGGGAGGGGCGCAGGAGAGTTGGGTGTTTCGGGTACCTAGATACCGCTAAATTACATCCTTTCAGAGGCCGTCCATTGGCTGATGGGCGTGCATTGGCCACTTTGTGGGCCTTATATATGACCTCTGAAGGTTCCTGGTATTTTTGATACCGTACAGTACCACACTACTAGGTACCCTAGTACCTTAGTACCTGTACCTGGGTTGTCACTCAGGAGAAGATCATTCTGGCCTCAGGCAGAACAGACAGTGGACTAGACCACAACCAACACACTACACTACTACAACACCTAGTTACCACTTGATGGCGATACCAAGTAATAATTTAATAACTCTGTCATATAATGGCCTAGAGAACTACCTATTGTCTGGCCTTTCGTTGGATACAGAACTCCCCAAGCAGAAAAAATAAACGCCATTAACAATTTAGACCACTGTAATCATACCATCTGACAATCCTCCCAACTTCCAGTAACAATGCAATTGACAATAAGATCTAATAGTGAAGAAGAGCCGAAAGAATCTGCTGATCAGCCGGGCGTATTCCTTTTCATAAAGTCAGCTGAAAGTTCTCAGTCTCTTCATCTTCCAGGGTATGCAAAGCTGCAACTTCAGCCTCCAGCTCCCTGTTCTCGTCTTCAAAACACCCTGCCGCCTTGCAGCGACGCCACATGTCACTCCCAAGAGCGGGGGGCCCATACAACTGCATGTACATCCGTGGAGAGATGGCAGTCCTGGTCGTTGGCTGCTTATTTGCATCACCGAAGCTGCTATGCAATTTAGAAGACATGGTTCTGCCCTTGGCGTATCCAACGGTTGTTTTTGAACTAGCAGTAGCGGCGCTATGACGCATGGAGGACGGGTTTGTAGGGGTAGGGGTCCGAATCCTCCTAGAAGCAAGCAATGACGAGCCCGGTCTGGACGCAGGCCTAGACGTATGTCCTGACGAGGGTGGTCTTGATGAAGTAGTGGATGAGATGGGTTTCACCCCGGACAGAGCAGTAGCTGCATCGCGAAGTTTGACAGTTGAAACCTTGCTCGTAACCGTTGGCTTGATGTTGGCGGCTTTTGCACCACGCCGACTCTTAGTGGCTTCTTTGGCCATTTCTTCTTTGACCACTTCTCCTTCGACCTGGTCCGGAAAATCACTCTCTTCAAAATTAATGGTTTCCAATGACTTCATAATCATTTCATCTACCATCTTGTCATATGCAGCTGAATCTTCTCGCAGCTTGCGCTCTCCCTTGGTGAGGCTACGACTGCCAGCGTAGGTTTTTTCCAGTCCCAATGCCAGGTTCCTGGGTAGAAACTGGGGGAAACTTGTGTCATAGTTGATTTCATCAGGGAAATCAGGGAGTTCTATTTCTGTTTCAGAATAGAGTGCGTGTTTAGTGTTCCAGGGGTATGCCACTCACCTTTTGGCTTGGGCGGCATATATTCAATGTCTGGAACATCATTCTCCACGACTTTGTCTTGGGTGCTGATTTGGTTTTGCTGTATAATAGGAGCAGCCTTTTTAACTCGCTGAGCGGTGGAACTTCTCTTGTTCGTCTTCTCTGGCTTGACCGTCCCCTTCCATGGGCCAGGGGTCTGTAATCCTCGCGTTTTGGCATTGGTCGTCTTCATTCCCAAAGGAGCCCGACTCTGGCCACCTGCTATTGCCGTAACAACAAAGTCAACCAAAAACCCTCCCGAAGATTAACGATCATCGTTTGCCTACCGAACGGCGTAACAAAGGCATCCTTTCCAAGTTTCGTATTCTCATTTCGATTTCCCGCTGCCTTCACAGTCTTTTTTCCAAACGCCAGCGGATTATTTTCGTCGTTCAAGGGGACTTTAAAAGGCGTTTTGGGTGCTCGAGCTCCAGGAGTCTTTGGCTGTAGCTGTTTAAGGCCCTGGTTGAGTGGCTTCGCGGCAGCGTTTGTTTGGTGCGCGTGCACTAGGTTTTCCTGGTCTCGAACAGCCAACATCGTGGCATCTCACACAACCGACTTCTCCGTCAATCACTAGTATCTTTGCTGCGGCAAATCAATATCGAATCGATGCTATAAGTGCGAACGGCGCGTGTCGTGAAGCAGGTCTAGATGCTGTTGGCGTTAGGTGTTTTGTGGTGGTTGCCCGTGGAGACGGGACGATCCCGTGGTTCTGACGGTCCACCGCCCAGCTCCTGACTGGCAGTTCGTAGTCTCTTCCAGACACGCACTATCCATCCCACTTGCTGACCGCCAGCTCTCCTCACTTTCTCCCAGGCAACTTCCCAACAGGCCCAACTCTCCACACCCATCTACTGCCACCCAAATCGGTTTCTCGCTGAGCGAAAGCCTCCCGCTTATTACCAGTTTCTCTTCTTCGTGATACATATTATATCTTCTTTTCGTTGCAAATACTTCTCTCAAAATGGATAAGATTAAGGAGGTAAGTGGTCAGAACCCCTGTTGGCGGGGTAGCTTGGTGGTGCCTTGTGGCCGCAGGCAGTACCAGACAATTCCGCCACTTAAGATTTTACTTCGGACTGTACGATGCATCAAACTAACATTTTTACTCTTAGAGAATGAACGCCCTCCGCCTGGAGGCCGATGACGCTCAGGGGAAAGTGGAAGAGTTGAAGACCAAGGTCAAAACACTGGAGCAGGAGAACCTGTCGAAGGAGCAGGAGATCACGTCGCTCAACCACCGCAATCAACTCCTCGAGGCGGAGATCGAGAAGCTTGAGACTTCCCTGAAGGAGGCCAAGGATGCTGCCAGCTCCAGTGCTCAGCATGATACTCAGAACGAGGCTCTTCAGAGACGCCTCCAGCTTTTGGAAGAGGAGGCCGAGGAGGCCGACCGGAATCTGCGGGAGACCAACGAGAAGTATGCAAAACATCAATTTGATTTCGTTTCTGAATTGATTGCTAACGAAACTGTTAACAGGCTGCGACAGACTGATGTCAAGGCTGGTCACTATGAGCGCAAGGTGCAGGCCCTTGAGTCCTCTCGTGACCAGTGGGAATCCAAGTACGAGGAGATGGCCAAGAAATACACCGATCTGCAAAAGGAGCTTCACGAGTTGGAGGTCTCGATCAGCAATGTTTAGACCTGTCACTCACTGTATGGATGTAGAGCACCGGGAGATGTTGGAGTCAGACTTTTTCTTTTCTTCCACAAGCCCAACACTTGCACAGTTCCGCTTTCCGCGCCTTTTTATATCTGCAGGATACAGCTAGTAATATTTCTTCTGTTACCACCACTCCGCCTAGTCTATAGCATCAATCTGTCTCTGCCCCTGCTGGCAGCTCTGCATTCTCCATTACCTTGAATCGTATCTGTTAAAAGGATCCTATTCTGAAACCATCTGTATCCGGAATTGCTCAAGAAATTTGAGAGAGATAATTATATTTACTATGTCCATATATCAGGGTAAGGGTATCATCGTTCCCGTCGTGCTTGGGCCTTCCTCCTGCTAGACATCTTTTCCTTCATGCGGGTGGCTTTGCGATCCTCTTTGCTTTCGTATCGGAATTTCTTCTTCTTCTTCTTTTGTTTGTCAAGCTTGGAGACTTTGTTTTTATGATTCCGAGTTGCTTGCTTCTTCTCAGATGGAGCTGTTGTTTGTTTCTTTCCCTCCTCTTCAGAATTTTCCATCATTTCCGATTTGTACAGTGCCTCCTTGGACGGGTCCATCTCCTCAACGGTTACCGTGGTGTATTTGTCCTCGTCAATGTATTCGGCTTCGTAGTCCACTGCTGGAGGTTCCGAAAAGCCCTGCCATTCTTCTCCTCCATCACCATCAGCGCTTGCATTTCCAGAGTCACTGTCGTCGCTGTCGTCGTCACTGTCCCGGTTCAATAGTTTGAGCTGTTTGCGGTGTTCCTCGAGTGCCTGTTCAAACTCCGCTTTCCGTTGTTCGCGCATCTGTGTTGTTTCTTGTTAGATCATGCATTGCTTTCGGGTTTGTTTCGCCAGGGGACTAATACCCTTTGGCGATCAAGTCGCTTCTCCTCTTTTGCCTTTTTCAATGCTGATTCTTGTGCATGCTTCGCCCGTTGCAATTTTCGCTTGCGAAATCCTGTGAGAAACTCCTGGCGAGAGGAGTCGTCAAAATTGATCTCCTCAATTTTATGAGCGGTCTTGCGACGCTTTACAGGAGGAGCCATTTTGATGTAAGGTTATGAACAGCTCGCTGCAAAATTTCTTTGGAGTAGTGATGGAAATTCGATTTGTAGATTACTGCCATGCGAAAAAGCTGCCGCTTGATAAGTCGATCCCTGATCTGGTTGGCTGGGTTGTTTAGCGCGGAACCACCTCCGGTAGACCTCAACCTCCATCGGACAAGCAAAGAAGCTCCCTGTCTAGTAGCTTGACCGCCAACCATACAACATGCATTTGAACAGGTTATGTCTGCTTGCCTTTGGAGCAGCAGCAGTTGATGCTCTTACGGATACTTCGCCCTTCTTCCTCGCCTCGACTTCCGAGTACGTGGATATCCTGGCCATGACAGCTAGCTTCCGCTGCTAGAGACGTGGCCAATATACTGACATATACTCTTTCAGGGTCCCTATTTCCTCTGAACAATCCATCGCTGCGACCTCTTTACTCGATAGCCTATCTACAGGCATAAACAGCTGTCCTTCCGAGTACTATGTTGTTGCTTTCCAGCCAGGTGTACACTACTCGGACTTTAAGCAGCCGAGGTCGGCTCCGCGACTAGGCGGAAAAATGAGGGGAGAGGACAAGAGTCTCCGATCCACGAGCACGATTGATGAAGTTGCCGGTGTGCTGGACGCCAAACAAATCCAGGAGATGATCGAAATGAGTTGCGGGACACAGACAACTGTCATCGATGCGTCCTGTGAGTTCTATCGTACAACCTGGACTGCCAAAACACAAGACTGATGGGGATTTATATAGCCGGGATCTACCCTTCTACCTTTGATACAGCACACCGTGTGGTTGCTGTTGACTTTCCAATGCTGCCCGAAGGGGAGAAGCGGGAAGGCCAGCTTCTCGATAATGGTTCGGTGCCCTGACTAGCCGTTGCCAAGGTTTGCCAGTACGCTGACAACTAGGTCCATAGATGGTCTGCTCGCGGACATTATCGAGCGGATTCCTTCATCTGATTACACCCTCATCTACGTCACGTCTCCGCGGGAAGACGGTGGCTCAGAGTCGACAGTCCAGTACTCTGTTGATAACGCTTACCAAGATTCCATCCACCAAGACCTGAAACGTGATTTCTCGGCGCACGTGCGCCGGGTTGAGCCTGCTTCTAACAAGACTCTCTTCCACAACTATGAGTTCTTCACTCCAGGTCTGTTCATTCCAGAGTTGACACGAATGCAATGGAGCTGACGTATAATGACAGGCATTTTCATGGGGATTATTGCGACCTTGATCTTTGTGATGATTCTGTCTGTTGCATTCTCTGCTCTCAGCAGCTTGGAGGTCTCCTATGCTGCTTTTGAGAAAGACACTGCCCCGAGCTCTCAGAAGAAGCAGCAGTAATGTACACAAATAAGTGGCTTTGTGTTGATTTTCGAACTATACTATACGGTATTGTGGTTTCTTTTGCGCCCTTAGAGAGTCTATTGATATTGTCCTTCGAGTTTTTCGTATCCTTGTATGATAAGCGCAGCAATTGAATTGGCACCAACTCTTGTATGGCATTTAGTGTTCACTCCTAGACGGAGATCACCTTGCGTACAGTATCTCTCTGCAAGATAGGTCTATCGCCCTTATTATATTCTGATCAAGCCTGGCCTTTGAGCAAGCTAAAGTATCTAACTCATTACCGTATAGATTGGCTAAATACCTTAGTTACTACTCAGTTCTAACTAACTATGTAACTAACTACTCAATAGTAACTATGTTGTACATGGGCTAATTATAACATCATCACGTGATTGGCTCCGCCCCCGCTGGGGTTTTGATTTATTGATCAGGGAGTCAGGGACTACTGTGGGCACGGGGCAACTGATCGCCGAGTCAACAGCAACCGACACCCCTGGACCGCCATTCCACCGTGAGCGTCTATCTTGACGGCAGACACTCTATCGGTATACTGTCTGGGCAGCCGAACACAGTAGACAGTGTGCTTCTCGCTCCTCGCCCTCTCCTAGCGGCTGTACGGACATCAGTCCGAGGCTTGAGCTTCAAAACCTGCAAGTCTTCTGCTTGACGATAATCCCATTGCCTGCCCCATCAATCCGGTCTAATGAGTCTTCGATAGACCATCCGGCTCATATCTCATCTCTCGTTGTCTAGCCTTAAGGACCGCTTGCCTCCTTCGAGAGCACTCCTGGGTGCCTCCTTTTGAAGATGGTCCTACTATCTTTCGGGCGTCGGGGAGCCCAACGTCCTCTACTCCTTCTCTTTTTGTTATTTGCCCTGCTCAGCGTTGCTCGCGCAACAACTACCTCCGAAACCACCTCGACAGAAACCACTGCCACGACTACCTCTACTGAAAGTACCGCTTCCACAACCACGACAGCGACGGCGGCTGCCAGTACAACCGATGATCTCCCCTCTTTATCCACCAGCACGTCAACAACCGATGCTGCCACGACTGGTTCTTCCACTCTACCAACTCTCAGCAGTTCATCGACGACGACGTCATCATCAAGCAGCACCACCACCTACCCCGTAATCACCGTGCCACCGACGGCCGATGCGCCGTACATGCGCAAGACAAAGATCCCTGAGGGAACAGTGTTCATCGCAGTTGGCGCTGCATTAGGTCTTATTGGACTCAGTGTGTTGGCATGGCGGGCTTTGGTGGCCTGGTCCGTCAACCGCTCCGTGCGTCGCGCAGCAATGATGCAATCCCAGGAATCAAAGAGGCTGCTCCGCTCTAAGAAGAAATCGGGTGTTTACAGTGCAACTGCAGCGACCATGTCACTCGATAAACTTGGCCCTGGTGCCCGTTCTAGTCACCGTGCTAGTCACCGCGCGTCTAGGGTGCCAAGTACTCACAGTGGTCTCTTTTATTCCCCAACGGCAGGAACAGGCATGCACACAGCCGGAAACAGAGGCTCTGGGTACCTCCCTGCAGGTTACTATACTGCCACAAATGCTGCGGCGCCTGGTGGAGGTCAGACCAACAACCCACAACCCTTTTCTCCGCCGCCTCTTTCTCCCATGGGGCCGACTTCTCAGGGCTACACCCGCACAAGATCTGGTCCTAGCCCGCCCCAATCACCACTTCTGTCCCCAACGGGTGGCCACGAATCCGCTTACAACAGACACTCCCATGTTGGGGCATCGACTAGCTCTTTGAACCTGAACTCACCGCCACAGGGTAGAGCACCGAGCGCGTATCTTGAGGATCTCTTTGATGGCCACACGCCGAGTCCTGACCCGCACCACAGATAGCTCCTGCCTTTGAGGGCGGCCCATACATCAAATAGTTTGAGCCTTGGCTGATTGGACGAAGAAAACAAAAAAAATACCGTTGGTCTCATGGTGCATATAGTCGACTTCATCTCAATTCTATTCATCGGGAACATATATGCTGTATTCATATTTTCTTTTCTTTCCGCACAGTTCAAGCGGAGGACATATCTTGATGCGCTCTTATTTCTGTCATCATTAGGTATATCTGCATTTTGCCTGCACTAGCTGTATCTTAATATCTTTTTCTGGGGTTATATAATCAGGAGTAAATACAGGTAGTTAAAATGATAATTAGGTCTCACTTATGTAGCTATTATGTATTATCCAAAGCCCGCCTCCCCCAAGAAAAGAAAATATACCATGTGCACAGCTCTAGACATCCTGCCCAGAGACAGATCAACGCTGCAAAAAAGAATTTTGATCCAATCCAAGCTAACACCAGCCAACCCCTGAGCTCCATGTAAGCCAAATACCCTCAGATATGCAAAGTGACATAGCGAAACAATCTAGTTGGAGCAATAATATGCCGTGAGCAAGACAACTCACGAGGTGAGGTAAGAGAAGAAAAGAAACAAATAAGAGGCAGACAAGTGTGTAATAATATGTGATAGGAACATGAGAATTTCTAGGGTCGTTAAAGTCGCTTCGATGACAAGCCGGGGTAATGTAACAGATGCGCCCTGAGCAAGCCCGGAGGCAGAGACAAAAGGAGGGTTGGGCGGCTTGATCACTTAGTCCGCGTCGAGTTTGCCGCGGAATTCACCGAGGAGGATATCGTCGGGGGCCGGGCCACGGTTATTTCGTACTGCAGAAGACAACCTAGTGAGATTTGTGGAGAATAGACAGGGGGGTGAAGGGAAGTGAGAAGACTAACCCCACTCAGTTTCAACTCGGAAGAAAATCCACATCCAGCGCCGGGCAACTTCAAGGGACATGGCGAGGAAGATCCCGCTCTCGTGATATTTCAGCCACTTGAAGCAGGATAGTATGGGGAAGAGCCAGATGAACCGAATGACCAGGTCGATTGAAATGGCCCCGTAGTAGTACCGGGGCGAGGAGAAATAGAGGTGGCGGCGCAGTCCGTACGGATGGTCCGGGTCACTGCAGGCGGGTGTAAAGAGCGTCAGGTCCCAATCCTTGGTGACGTCCCAGTAGAAGGAGTAGGAGGAATTAATGAGAGCAGAGAGGAACCTAAATCAACTGTCAGAGCCATCTTACGAATTGTTAAAAAGGGGGGGAAGGGGGGGATTCTTTTCATACAAGAGACGAGACAAAGCCACCTCGCTGATCCCGAAGTAGTTGGTTAGAGGATTGTAGTTCCGCATCTCCGCTGCCAGGAAGATGACAGGGAAAGCCGTGAAGTATTTCAGTGCGTTAGCCAAGTGCTGCCCCCCCCAATTCTCCTTGCGTGGGCCCGCCCGCTGAACACGCATATATTCAATGAGACACTGTCGAAGTCTAATAAGGCTAGGAGTTGCGACAATAAGCGGGAAGATCCAGTCGTTACCGCAATTCCGGTCAGGCTTCTCCGTGCTCGAGACACCGTCTCTGAAGAACATACAGAAGCTCACGAACAAATCGCCGAAAACCTTTGCATAACTCGTCAGAGCATCGGCAAGCAAGATATCCCCGAATTTACCATCCTGCGCTACGGCCAGGCCACCGATGCTGATGCGTTTCAGGGTCACGAAGAAGCGCTGCCGTCCGGCCCGTGCCAGACGGGGGAATGGCAGAAACAAAATGAAAAAGAAGATGAAAAGATAGGACTGCGGGATGTAGTCGTGGTGTTCAACCTGCTCAGCAGAGCCATGAGTGACCGCCCAGAACAACAGAATCGACAGGACAAGGGGCACGGTTAAGAGGGTGGCGAAGTGGTAGACGGAGGCATGATGTGATCGTTGATGAGAGGTCTGGCGAGGAGGATATCGGATGAGAGCAGGGACATCCTAACAAAACGATCAGTTAGTTAGAGGAAGGCTCTTTTCGGAGATCGCTGTTGAGCTCGGTTCCAAGAATGATGGGTGCGGACTCACGACTCCTGTCTTGGAGAGATACTGCAGATTAAGACCCCAGCCCCAGAAACCTGTTCGTGAAACCATCAGTATCCTTGTCCATACTCACAAACACCAGTTCTTATCGATGCCATACCAGCAACCAAGATCACTGCCACTCGGTACGGAAGAGGGAGGACGCGACTGAAGTCGTCGAGCTGTGCATGCTGATCGGGCCCCATATTCCATTGAAAGCAGCAAAGAAACCCCTAGAGACGTGGGGAAAAGGGTGGGAACCAGAAGAGGGCAGTGCCAAAGATAAAGGAAAGACCCCCGGGACTCCGGTAAAAACAAAAGCAGCAATAAAACGGGCCTGGTAAGGAGTGACTAGGGGTGAGTCGAGATCCAAGTTGCTCAGGAGGGATGGATGCTTCATTCCAACGGTCCAGATCCATCCCTCACCGACCCGCAGAATTACGTAGGCGCTTAGTAGACGCTGTTATCGCCTGTCACGTGACCAGCTCCACTCGGGAGTCGGAACGGAAAGGGCTCGGAGCGGAAAGAGTTCGGAGCCTTGAAATGGCTTAGTAAGTTGGTCCGGGTCCGAGATCGGGACTCCTGTCACGTGCCCGCAGCCGAGGCCCAGCTTGACGTCGTCGGTCATGATCATAACGGGAAGGCAGGATACAGCCTCAACTAATCTCTCAGCAACAACGAGGGCAGAGGCCGAATTTGCAATGGATACGGTGAAAGACCGTCTGGAGATAGCCCCTCTGCCGGTCGCAACCAGAAGTTCCTCCGCCGCCCATTTCTATCCCTTCGCAACGTCGCCAGACATCATCCGCTCGCATGAGAAGGACATCTTCCTCACCGGCAGTCTGGTGAGCCAGGCCCAGTCGATCATCCGGGCTCTACGTGGTGCACGATACGCACATACACATACAGATGCAATCAAATGTCTGACGGAGATTTTGTACTTCTCCCTGACGACCTTACTCGGAAACCGCACCCTGGGGGAGGAATACTGCGACGTGGTACAAGTCGAGGACGACACGCTACAGCTGCCGTCGCTATCGCGCCGGGCGGGCTACATCCTCAGCAGTATACTGGTTCCGTGGATGCTCCAGCGGATTCTCCCTGCGCTGCGACGACGACTTCGGGCCAAATTGGAACACAGCATCGCTCGGCAACAGCTACGCCAACAGCAACAACAACAGCAGCAGCAGCAGCGGCAGCAGGCAGACGCATTCTATTCTAAAAAGGCAACGAAACAGCCGGCTTCCATATCCAAGCTGCAGATCCAGCGATACATCCTCGAGCACCTTGATTCGATCACCTCCGTGTCCCCGGTCTACGCGCTGAGCATTGCCACGTTCTACTTTACGGGATCGTACTACCACCTATCGAAAAGGCTGTGGGGCCTCCGCTACGTGTTCACAAAGAGGATCGAAGAGAGCGAACAGCGGATCGGATACGAAGTGCTGGGCGTGCTCATGGTGCTACAGATGACTGTGCAGGGATTTCTCCATGTTCGGCAAGTGGCACGCAGTCTACAGGAAGCCGGCTCGGGGACCCAGCTCGAGTCCGGCTCCGCAGGCGCGAGTATTGCCGGTCAGAGTAGTCATGAGATCCCCGCGTTGGTCCGGTCCATCCAACACCCGTCCTCCCTGCCCGTCCTCCCGGCCTCGATGCCGCGTTACGATCTCTCCCTGCAGGATCAGCCCGTTCTTGCCTGGATCCCGACGGGCCAGCAACGCAAATGCACGCTCTGCCTCGAGTCGTTCAAGGATCCCAGCGTCACCGCGTGCGGGCACGTCTTCTGCTGGACCTGCGTGCGCGACTGGGTGCGCGAGAAACCGGAATGCCCCCTCTGTCGTCAGGGATTGCTTCTTTCCAAGGTTCTTCCCTTGAGATGATTCATCCTTGCAATTTCATCCTTGCAACTGTAAATATACCCATTTCCTAGTTATGTACATGTTCAATCTTGAATGTCTGTATTTACGTGTAGCGTTTATATATAGTCAAGCTATAATATCATAAGATACGTATGAGAATATCCATCAATCGTCCGTCAGACGGATAGGCAGACCAAGATCCGCGTGAGCCGGCAGGGGGGGGACAGGGCACATGGCCTTTCTCTTTGCGTCCATGACGTTGTACAGCGCAAGGCAAGCGTACGGATCAGACGCAGCATCTAAAAATTAGTATATATAGAGATATATAATAAGAACAAATAAAAAAACACTTACACTGCACCTGGCGGTAATCGAGGGACCGCATCCAGTCGCCACAGCGGACAGCTCCGTCCTTGTCGAGAGGTAAGCCGAAATGTTCTTCAACTTGATCGCTGAGGTTGACAGCGCGCCTGTTGACCAGAGCAGGCTGGTCGCGCCCATACTTGAGCAGCTTGAAGAGATGGCTGAGCTCGAAGATGGCGCGCGGGTGGACGCCGAGAAACTTGCGGAGACGCGTGCAGTCGGCCTTGATGGCGACGCCAGTCTTGGTGACCTGGGGGTCCTCGAGGAGCAGGCGTAGCGAGGGGGGGAGGAGATCTTGCGCGTGTCGGGCTGGCCGGAAGAGAGCGAGATGGAACAGGGCGATGCGCTGCTCGTTGGCGATCTGGATCAGCGAGATATTGGCCTGAATACTATCTGTGCTGGACGCCTGGGCTTTCCATTCCATGTCGAAGCCCACGAGTTTGTCGGTGAGAAAGAGCTGCGCGACGGCTTCGGCCGTGCGTAGGGATTTGCAGTAGTGCACGATCAGCTCTTTGCCGTCGGGCCCCTTGCACGCGGTATGACTCCAGAACTCGGGCGTGCGTTCACTCCCCGACTGCTCTGCCGTGCATGCCTCGTCTGTGTATATTGTAGGGCCCGTTTTGTATGCTTCCTCACAGGGAACCTCGCTTTCAAGCTCGCCCGATGATGTACGCACTATGCAATCTTCATGTTGGACGTTGTTGTCTGCGACATTAGAGCCGCTGGAGCTAGTGCTGTATAGCCTGTAGGCTCTCAAGCTCGGCCTGTTTTGCAAGGTCTGAGCAGTCTGGCGAACCCAGGTCTTTCTCAGCGCGATATTCCATGTTCGCTCGGGTGCCTGTACATTCGGATATACTGAGCCAGCCGAAGAGGGTAAATAACGAGTCCTGTGTACCGCTGGGAATGCTGTGGATAATCGTCGGCTTGTAATCGGGCTGCTCGGTAGAAAGTTACACTGGATATTACTATCGATTGGGATGTCAGCAGAGAGTAATTATCTTAACGGATATCTGTATAGACAAATTAATCACCTGCGAAAGCCTTCAGCTATGCGTGTTGTCACAGAGACTTGTCTCCCAACTGGGTATCGCACGCCTGCGAAGATGATCGAGCAGGAATGCCTCATGCTTCAATCTGCTCATCTTCACAGCTCTAGAGCATCAAATTGCAAATTCCAAGCTGCTCGTGGCGCAGATGCTCTGCTTTTTCAAGTTCCACGCCGACAGTGAGGTGCTATCAAAGAGGCCGGCTCGGAAAAAGGAAGCTCCCGATCGTCGAACGAAAGTGGTTCGAAACGTTGGAAAATAATCCAGCATTGAAGGAAGCCAAAAGAGCTTGGGATTGAATTAAACGGGGAATTCGCTTTCATCTTGTCGTTTGGATTTACAAAAGGGGGTTACTGCTACTCTGTTCGCTACAGTCACTACGATGGCATCGCAGCTTCTTCCTCTCGGTGCGTCAGAAGCTTCCGCTTCCAATCAGAGAGGTCCATTCAATTGTCCATTGCTAACCGGGCTGGGCAGAGCTCATCGACAAGTGTGTCGGGTCTCGGATCTGGGTGGTGATGAAGGGCGACAAAGGTTAGTTCGCTCGTGTCTCGTTGGGAGAGGGAAGAGGGGCGATTTGCGTGGATTTCTCGACTGACGTTTGTAGAGTTCTCGGGGACTTTGCTTGGATTCGATGACTACGTCAGTAAGTGGATTGTACAGGTGTATCTTTTGGAGGTTATGTGCTAATCCAATAGACATGGTGTTGGAAGACGTGACCGAGTTGTACGTTGCCAGCTTTCTCGCTCGGTTTTATCGGATTGCAAAGGCTAACTGGAATTCCGAATAGTGACTACAGCGGTGCCCAGATTAAGCTGCCGAAGATTCTGCTGAATGGCAACAACGTGTGCATGGTATGCTATTCGAAATCCTGGTCACTGGGAAGATGAACTCACATATATAACCTAGTTGATTCCGGGAGGTGAAGGGCCAGTTGGCAGCTCATGAGCTGTATTCGATTTTTACCTTGCCAATTGTCTTTTGCTTGCAATGATGAAAATGATCAAATGACGACATTACACGTTTTTTCTTCAACTCGATGGTGTAGAAGATAGTAAGAGTGGAAGGAAAGGTTCATGCCAGGTGGTTGTACTGACTAGTAGCTCGATGATCTCGAATATCCTTAACTAAACGTCTATTTCAGCGCATATTTGCTAGAAGCCCAATGTCTCTATTCTAATACACAGACGACCAACCTAGTACTCATGTATCACTGACTACCTCGTGGTTATTGTTGCCTGCTCTGCTGTTCCGCTTCCTTGTAGGCACTCATCCAGTTCTGCCTCAGAGAAGGCTATTTTTCAGGCCTTTTACCAAGAATCTCTTAACCTGCTCAACAGTTTTTTTTCGGTATTTGATTGGGGGATTAATATTACCTGGTGGGCTACAAAAACCGCCGCTAAAAGCCACTGTCGATCATCGTATAGTAGTTCATTTATAGTAGTTGAGGTAGCTTATTACTACCGTTCTCTATACTGTCAAGAAGGATCTACAAAGATTGATCACTTTATAATTCAATGTAATAGAGATATTCTATGACTCAACTGTATGATTCATTGTAATTGTGTAGTATATTGATGTCTTTTGGTGGAGTAGACCTGTGTATTATTATCTCCACCGGAGGAGATGAAGTTGAGACAAGAATAAATAGTATATACTATAGTACTATTTTGCTGATTTGTTCTCCAATCAGTAGAAGTATAATATAATAACAGCTTTATTTTGTACTCTACTTAGTAAAACCTGCCATCTAAAATGTCTCATACTAATAATGCTTTCGGCCCTTATCCGCGCCTAAGAGCTGCCGGTTTTATTGTTCCAGGCTGCAGTTTTATCCCTGTTCCTTCAACACCTGCACTTTCGCTTTCTCCAGTACTATTATTTATCATTTATCATTTATAACTATATATTATTATCTCAGAGACCAGCCAGATCAAACCGTGGGCCTGCTGTCCCTATCTTGACCCCTGTTCCACCGGTCGTTGGCTTACCACGGTAAAAGACCAAAAGTACCCCGGACGTGGGGATATCCATGGATTCGACAGTTCCTTATCGCGAGCAAGCCTCGTCAGGTTATCTTTTGGAGGAGGTTATTATTTAATCCTTTCTCCTCCTCGATCTTCCTTGGATCGCCTTTTTGCAAGACCATCCAGATCTACTACCTAGGTATGGATGACGAATACGAGCTCAAGGAAGTACGCTCTGTCTTGGATCACCCTCCTCTCTATGGCGAAACCGAGCCCACCAAAGCCTCGCTGGGCCGGCGGATCCTGGACAGCTTCAAGAGGGATCCCAATGCGCATGTCATCCACGCTACCGGCGCCGATGGCAAGAGTTACGACGTCGAGGGCGCCGTCGCCAACACCGCTGCGTCACCTCTGCAACGAAAACTGAAAGGCCGTCACTTGCAGATGATCGCTATTGGCGGCTCGATCGGTAGGTTATATAACAATAATCATAATAGTCGTCAGGAAAAAAGAGGTCAAAGCTGATCGGGTACAGGTACTGGTCTTTTCGTCAGCTCCGGTGCAGTCTTGGCCAGCGGTGGCCCGGCCTCGGTGCTCATCGCCTATCTACTCATCGGCTGCATGTTATACTGTACAGTTCACGCGCTGGGGGAGATGTCTGTCGCCTTTCCTGTCGCCGGCTCGTTCGCCCACTTCTCGACGCGCTTCCTCGACCCGGCATGGGGGTTCGCCATGGGCTGGAACTATGCGCTGCAATGGCTCGTCGTCTTGCCCCTCGAGATCGTCGCTGCCTCCCTGACCATTGACTTTTGGCATGCCGACGTTTCTGCGGCCGTCTGGGTTACCATCTTCTGGCTCCTCATTGTCATAATCAATCTTTGCGGCGTTAGGGGCTACGGAGAAGCCGAGTTTGTTTTTTCCGTCATCAAGGTCACCGCAGTCGTTGGATTTATGTAATTCTCCTCTACCTTGCCATGCTTGATATTTAATACATGCTGACTCTTTTTTTTTAGCATCTTAGGCATCATTCTGGACTGCGGGGGCGGCTCTGAAGGAGGGTACATTGGGGGAAAGTACTGGCGTGACCCTGGAGCTTTTAACCACGGGTTCAAGGGCCTGTGCAGTGTTTTTGTCAATGCGGCTTTTGCCTTTGCGGGCACCGAGCTGGTCGGTCTGGCGGCCGCCGAAACCGCCAACCCGCGCAAGACGCTCCCCGCGGCGGTCAAGCAGGTCTTTTGGCGCATCACGCTGTTCTATGTGGTCTCGCTGACGCTCGTGGGTTTGCTCGTCCCTTACACCAACCCGCACCTGATCACCGCCTCCACGGTTGATGCCTCGGCGTCGCCGTTCGTCATCGCCATCAGGAATGCGGGCATCTCTGGTCTGGACTCGGTCATGAACGTCGTCATCATGATTGCCGTCCTGTCGGTCGGCAACGCCTCCGTCTACGGCTCCTCGCGGACCCTTGCGGCGCTGGCCGAGCAGGGCCAGGCGCCCGGGTTTCTAGCCTACATTGACCGCCGTGGCCGCCCGCTGTGGTCGATTCTCATCTCCTCGGCTGTCGGCGCGCTCTGCTACCTGGCCGTCTCGTCCAAGGAGGAACAGGCCTTCCAGTGGATGATGGCCATCTCGGGCCTTTCCTCCATCTTCACCTGGGGCTCCATCTGCCTGTGCCACATCCGCTTCCGCCGCGCCTGGCGCGTACAGGGCCACCACCTCGACGAACTGGCCTTCACCTCGCAGTGTGGCGTCGTGGGGTCCTGGATCGGGCTCGCCTTCAACGTACTCGTCCTCATCGCCCAGTTCTGGGTCGGCTTCGCGCCCGTCGGCTACCGCGAGGACTCGACCACCGACCTGGTCGAGAATTTCTTCTCCGCTTACCTGGCTGCCCCTGTGGTTCTTGTCTCCTACATCCCCTACAAGCTTTGGTACCGCACCCCGTTCATGCGTGCCAGAGACATGGACCTGGATACCGGCCGCCGCGACCTCGACGTCCAGGACCTCATTGCCCAGGAACGCGCCGAGCAGGCTGCCTGGCCGACCTGGAAAAAGGTGTACAATTTTTTCTGCTGATGACTACGACGACGATGCTGATTCACGATTTACTTATTGTTTTAACATGTATATATAATTCTTCAGAAGTAATTAAGGCTCGAATAGACAGAGTCTCTACTATATATTACATAAGCTGATATCCAAAAATAGCACGTGAGTGGCTGAGGCAGTGTTTCACACTATCCCCCATCGGGTGATGACGACGGTTCGCAAAGCCCAGCCCAACCCCAGCCAGAATGAATGGATTAATTGTCTTTCGTCAAACTCCCCAATCATTATTGCAGTGGATTGTTCTCTTGTCTGGTTTTTCTTTATTCTCTCCTTTTTTTTGTCTGCTTCCCTTCTAGCCTATCTCGACTCGTTGCTTGTGGTGTCGGGTTGTTTCGATCTCGGTTCGCTGTCCATTGAAGTCTGCAAGTCTGCAAGTCTGACCGGTAAGCCTCAGCCGCTGCGTTTCTGTTCATTTCAGGCAATTCGATTGCTGGTCTAACCAGCTCCCCCATTCATTCTGCTTGCTGTATTATCTTCTTTTTGTTATTCTCTTCTTCTTCTTCTCTTTCTGTCTAGGTGACTGACGGTAGCAATAAAGCAGGCGTCTGTTTACGATCCCGAAAGCTACCTAGGCAGCATCCATTCATTCCCAGTCGAAGCAAGGATTCTACCCGAAAACTAGACTTAAAAGTGAGGTTTAAATTCATCGGGAAACCTTTTTATCGGGAATTTTGAAAAAAAAAAAAAGGGAAAGAAAATGCCCGGCTTCGCAGATTCGTTCTGGACGCCTGACTACGCGACCGGTCTGGGCGTGCTGTATGGTAAGCTGCAGCAGGGGGTCGTGGAGAACAAGCAGATCCTCACGATCGCCGCGGTGCGCGCGGATGCGGAAGAGGTGTACGGGCTGAGGCTGGGGGATATTGCACCGGCAGTGGATCGGATGACAACGGGGTTTACCAAGGATGATGGCGCGAGCATTCGAAAGGTATTCCTTCATTTCGGTGATGGATAAATCTCTATATTGATGATGATATTCTAATTTTTTTTCAGGCGTATGAAGGTGTCCGGACAGAAATGGTCGAGGCGTCCAAGAAGCACCAGAAGATCGCATCGAATATTCGTGAGCTGGTGGTGAGCCCGTTCAGTCGCTGGTGCGACCAGCACGAGGCGCGGATCCAGAACTCGCACGATGACCTGCAGGCGCGGATCAAGGAGCACACGAAACAGGTGGATCTGACCAAGAAGCTGCGCAGCCACTACTTCAACAAGTGCCGGGTTGTGGAGGATCTGGAGGAGGAGAACAAGTTGGCCTTCCAGAGCCCCGAGACGAGCCCCAAGGTCCACTCGACGCCCAAGATCGTCCTGCCCGAGCCGGTGCAAGAGGAGGGCGAGGAAGAGGAGCCTGTCGAGATTGGCGATTACTGCTACGCCCCGGAGGAGCTGAAGAAACTGCTCATCCACATGCTGGACAACATCAAGATGCGCGAGGTCAAGGTCCCCATCATCGGCACCTACCAGAACACCTCCACCGGCGCCGACATCGTCGAGTACACGCAGAAGCACATGAATGCCTCCAGCGTCAGTTACGCCGAGCGCATCGGCCAGGATCTCGTCGACTCGGGCTTCCTGCGCCTGGTCGGAAACATGGGCAGCACCTTCGCCAACAGCTCCAAGATGAACTACCAGTGGCGGCCCAGGGTCTTCCAGTTGTCCGGCATCCCCGAGAAGAAGAAGCCGCTGATGCGTGTCACTTCCATGGCCTCCAGCGAGGATGGCAACGAGTCACCCATCTCCTCCGTCTCCGAAATCCTGGCCGGCTGGAACCCGCTCAACAATCCGTACCCGAACGAGACCCCCGCCGACAAGTTGCGCCGCGAATCCCGCGAGGCCGATGACCGCTACAAGGCCGCCGTCAAGAAGCTTGATTTCATCCGCTGCAAGCTCGAGGAGGAGATCATCGAGAACCTCCGCTTCATGGAGCAGTGTGAGCTCGACCGCCTCAAGGCCATCAAGGCCGTCGTCCTCGACTTCTCGGGCGCCATTAGCAACGTCATCCCCAGTCTTCAGAGCACCGTCGACCATATGATGCTCTACCAAGAGACCATCCAGCCCTTGGGAGATCTGCGCTATCTCCTTGAAAACTACCGCACCGGCGGCTTTGTACCTCGTGTACAGCCGTACGAGAACTACTACGGCTCTGTTGAGGGTAAGTTTTTTGCTCATCAGATAAATAATTATCCTTACCCTTTTTTTTTTCTCTCCCTCCCTCTAACATATTCTTTCTAGAACAGAACTTTGGTGTGGACATCGAGGCCAGAGCCCGGGCTGACCGCAAGCGCGTCCCGATTCTTGTCACGACGATGTTGACGTTCTTGGACAATCGTGAGTATTCTCATTCAGTCCTTTACAAAGATTTGCCTAACTCTCTTTCTAGACTATCCTGAGCTTGAAGGGGACGAGGCCCGACGTGCAATCTGGCTGTACGACGTTCCCCTGGCAGCCACCCATCGGCTTCGCCATGCTTTGAACAACAGCAAGGTCGAATACCGTGAAGTGCTTGAAAAATTTGAGATACCCGTTATTGCTAGCGTTTTGAAACTGTACTTTCTTGAGTTACCAGGTATGCGATTCTTACCAGAGAGAGAGAGAGAGAGAGAGAGAGAGAGAGAGAGAAACCGGCTAATTTGTGTTTAGATTCTCTTGTTTCTTCGCAGGTGTATGAGATTGTCAAGACCATATATTCCACGACCGCCCATGAAACTACGGAAGAAGGCCGGATCAAGGTCCTGCAGAGCACCCTGGGCCAGCTGCGCCTGAACAACATTGCCACGCTTGATGCGATCATGACCCATTTCACACGCTTGATTGATTTGACCTCCGCCGACGAGGAGTACGTCGCCGGTCTGGCGCAGAACCTGGCGCCCTGCATACTCCGGCCGCGGGTGGAGAGCAGCCTGACGATGAATGAGCGACACAGCTACCGGCTCATCCGCGATCTGTTCGCGCACAAGGACGAGATCTTCGGCGAGCTCAAGCGCCAGTCCACCTCACTCGGCCTGGCTCCCGTGGCCAACAACCGCCCGCGCGCCATCAGCACCGACGAGAGCAACCGACGTGCCGCCATGGAGGCCCGCAACCGCGCCATCATGGACCGCAGCCGCGCCAACAGCCCGGCGCCGCCTCGCAAGCACCGCCGCGACCGCTCCAGCGGTCCCTCCGAGGCCGGCCGCTTCCCAATCCTCGTCAGCAGCCCAAGGACCGCCGGCACGGTCATCCGCAACAGCCTAGAAGTCCCCGGCGGCAGCGGCGTCAGCAGCACTGAAACCCCTTCCTCGTCCACCAACACCTCCGCCACTCCCAGCGCCGCCGAGCAGTCTGCCCCCGCCGCGGCTGATCCCGCTGTGCAGGCCGAGTCCGTTCCGGATCGCTCGTCAACCGACTCCCCCGGCTCGGTGACCAGCAACGGCAGCACGGCCACGCCCCCTCCCCTGGGCGACGCCCTGGACGAGTCCCCCGTCTTCACAGCCACGCCAGCCCCGCCCATCAACGACACAGTCGAGACCCTCGTCGAGAAACGCAACTCACTCACCCGCTCCGGCGCCCGCATGCCTCGCAAGCCCGGCATGGGGAGCAGGTCCGGCTTCCCTGTCATCCCTAGCACGCCGGCGTCATCCGCCCTGGCCGGCACGAACAGTAACCGCAACAGCTTGGCGGAGAGTGAACCCAAGGGTGTGACCCTGGAAGACAAGCCCATGGACGATTAAATGATATTCCTTTTCTTTCCCCCCCCCCCTCTTTCTTCAGCCTATGTCCTATCCGATTTCCATTCTACCCTAACCCCCTTTACCTGAGAATATTCCATACTATCATTTAGCTGTATTTACCTCTTTCTTTTGTCCTTTTTTTTTTTTTTCTTTTTTTTTTTCCCTATTATCTTCTTTTCTTCTACATACCCACCCCGTATGTAATTTTATGTACCTACCCAACATGATTGATTCACACCTGTCCAGTAAATTAAGACTGTAAATCAGCATCCGTATGCTCCTTACTTATCAATGTTCTATTAGATTAACCAGGATCTCTGCCTCGTGTTTATATAGTTATTGTTTCTCACATAGGTTGTTATTACCAGAGTAGGCATCTAGCATTATAGATCCATATACAGTAGGATGGAGTACAGAGTATTATACTACAAGTGATAAACGCTTTAATGCTGATTACTCATTAGTTATCATTGATGTACATGCTCGCTCTAGAGATACCCAAAAGTAACTGTAACAATAAAAAGACACACCAACGCCTATCCAATGACTCCATGATCTGATGCTCAGTTGCATTACTTGGGATGCATGCTGCTTATAACCCCTCACCGGTGAGGAGTCGACGCAAGATACCCTCGCCCGGTCCGGAGATCTGGCTCTGGACTTCCTTCTCCGACACAAAACATGCCAGACCCTGCTCATCCATCGCCTTTCGAGGTGTGCCAGGCCCATTGCTAGACTTGGAAGGCGTCCGTCGCAGATCAGAGCCCCCGGCCACAGTGCCGCCTCGCCCGCGACCTTGCACTTCACCCACGAGACCCAGAGTCTCTAAGCTTCCGATCACATCCTTGAACTCGGTTGCTGTAAGAGGGTGGAGGATGTTATCGTTTCGGCATAACGCACAGTACGTATCAAAGAGCTGTTTCGCGGTAGGAGCAGAATTCCGGGATTTAGACGGCGTGCCTGGAATCTCCCCTTCGCGCCGTTTCCTGTCAAATGCAATCAACGCACAAATCACTGCTTTTTGCTGCAGGTTCAAGCCCTGAAGCCTCTGCATGGTTCCCTGTCCAAAGACCGAGGACGTAATGCGTGCGACATGGGCGATGCTCGCTCGAGGGGCGGTAAGAGGTGTATACATGGACATGGGGTTCTGTTTGACACCGGAAGTTCTGGCAGGGGATGACAGGTTGTTGTTCTCGGCCAAGGCAGTTTGCGACGGGCTTTCCGGAACGCTGTTTTGTTTTTCGAGCTTTTGAAGCGTTTCTTGCTCAATGACATCGATAGCACGCCGGACAAGCTCGAAAGCCTTCCGCAGGTCACCGGTTTGCGAGGCAACTTTTTTAGAACACAGCTGGATTGCTGCAGGCTGGACAAATGGTACAAATTTCGCATCAAATTCTTGCCCGGCAGGGAGAAGGGATCGGAGAAGATTCGTGATCACCCCGGCAATCTGTGCTGCATTGTATGGCAAGAATGGCAGCAAGCGAGGCTTCAAGTTTTTTGCTTTGAGCTTTGGCAAAGAGCGGTCCGTAAGATCGAGGGCATTGGCAATTCCAATGAGAATAAGGCGGGACATGCTATGCAGAGACCATTCAAACAGAGACTGTAGGACTTCCGGGTCCGAAGCGAGGAGATGGTCGATCTCGTCCAATGTCACCAGGTAGAGACTGTCTTCTTTCTTTTCCGGCACAAACATAGCCTTCAGTCTATCGGACTCATTCTTTTTAAAGACCTGGGAGTCGTCACACAGGTCTCCAATGAGCCTGCTATGAATGTCACGAGCAGTACGCATACTCGCGCAGTTGACATGTGTGACTTTTACAGACTTTATATCCATCTCGCGGCAGACCTCGTCCACCATGGCGCTTTTTCCGGTTCCAGGAGGACCGCTGACGTACAAGCAGCCCCCCCTCTGTAACTGGAGGCTTTCTTCGATGAACGAGGTCAGCTTTCCCCGTTCCGTTTCTCGCCCAACAAGCCGAGAAGGCCTCGATCCTCGCGCAAAAAGTTGTCGTGCTTGTGTGTAAACTGTCTGGGCGGCGGCAGCAGGGGTAGACACCTGTCGGGGTGTCCGTGGAGTCAAGCTCTTTGCATTGATCTGCACGCGACGCTTCGGCGTAACGGGAGAAGTTGTGTCCAATGCATTTCGAAATCGAGTCTTCTGAGGAGTTTTGAACTCGACGGGCTGTGAGTTCTCATCGTTCACAACTCCTGAGGATGAAGGGTGGAATTCGATCTTGGTACACGGCGCAGCGGTGCCATCTTTCGCTGTATGCTTTGAAGGAGCATCCTCGGCTTTCTCGCTCTTCCCTTTGGCGTTGTTCTCCTGCACCACAAAACCGCTTCTTGTCCTTGATCTGAGCTGTCGTGATGTAGTGCTCACAGATGGCTCAGTCTCCTCCTGGAGAATCCGAGGCGTTCGCGTTCGGCGCTTACTGGAAGTCCGCAGCGGTAACACTATTCACGACGGGAGATTAGATCAAGTCACCACCGAGGGCAGATGGTACTTACCTTCCGGTTCAAATGCATCACGCTGGCGCTTTCCTAGGACCGACACTGCCATAACGATGAGGTACTTTGGTGCTTGTGGTGATGGCAGGAGCGGGTTGTGGGAGATACAGCGGGTGTACTTTCCCTCGTGTCCATGCAGCCTGAAGGGGCATAATGAATTTATCGCGACGCACCGCCCGCGACGCGTTATCGACGCGGCGCGCGTCCTGCGCTTCTGGACAGATCGGGCGGCCGTAGAGGGTCCCGCTTAAACTTGCCTGTCTTCGGGCGGCTACAGCCTACCGGAGGTTCGGAGAAACTACCTAATTTTCGCGAGTCCCTCCCGGGAGTGCGTCACTGCGGGTTTGCCTGACGATGGATGGATACAGCTGAGATAAAAAAAGATCAACATCGCTTGATGGTATCTCCTCAGACAGCCAACTTGCGTCTTTGTTCCGTATTGATTTATTGGTGTCCTGTCTTCTTTTCTTCTTATCACCACTGACTTTGCGGCGTACATTGTTTGAGAGTGGGTAACAAGTGACTGACATCGTGTTTGCAACTGTTTGCATTGGGCTTGCCTCGCCTTCACTTACAAGTTACAACACCCACAAGCCGTCTACGATATCGCCAAAGCACAGCACCGACAGCTCGTCGACGACAGCCGGAGTTCGCCTGCCATGGACGGCGACGTGGTGGCTCAGTTTTCTGAGATTACTGGCTCCTCCCCGGAGCTGGCGATTCAGTACCTCCAGTTGACGGAATTCAATATCGAACAGGCGATGCAGCTCTACTTTGAGAACGGGGGGGCACCGCTGGCTGAGGAGCCCTCTGTATCGACCTCTGGACCCCAGCATTCTGCACATACTGCTACAGGATACGAGGGTAGATCCGGAGTCGTCAATCTAGATTCTGAAGATGATCTTGCCATCGACGAGACGAGATCCACTCCCCCGCAAAATCAGGCAACACACACATCATCGGGGGCACATACGTTTGAGGATGATGCAGCCATGGCCCGCCGTCTACAGGAAGAACTGTATGCCGGTCAAGACAATACGGATGGCGTGCGAGCACCGATGGCCCGCACCACGGAGACTCTGGTAGGCCCGGGTGCGGACTTTGACGATGGTGATATGCATGCCAGTCTACTAGGCCAGCTTCGCACTCGTCAGTCGAGAAGGGGTCAGTCCTACATTTGTTTTTTTCTTTTCTTTTCTCAAGCTAGCCGCAAGACTAATCCATGCATGTTTTCACAGGCCGTCCTGGTATCTTCAATCAAAGAGACACTGCGTCTATATGGACTGGGGTTGAAGGTGGCGAGGCCTCGCAGCGCGAAAGACTCGCTGCGGCAACTGGCGGGGCTTCTGAGGCTTCCGCGAAATCTAACATGCTTGCCGAAATGTACCGTCCTCCGTTCGAACTCATGTCGAAGCTGCCGTGGGATATGGCACGTGAGGAGGGCCGTGATGATGAGAAATGGTTGCTGGTCAATATACAGGATCCTTCGATCTTCGACTGCCAGCTATTGAACAGAGATCTCTGGAAGGATGAAGGCGTGAAGGAGACTGTGAAAGAACACTTCATCTTCCTGCAATTCGCCAAAGATGACCCTCGTGCTTCCCCTTACCTGCAGTACTATTTTCAGGATAGCGATGTATCTGACAACTATCCCCATATCGCTATTGTTGACCCTCGAACAGGCGAGCAAGTGAAGGTCTGGTCGGGCCCCCCGGTGTTAAAAGCTGCCGAGTTTTTGATGCAGCTCCATGAATTCCTCGACAGATACAGTCTAAAGCACAACGTCCGGAACCCCGTCGCCAAACGCAAGGTGGAGAAGAAGGAGAAGAGCATTGATGCAATGACCGAGGAAGAAATGATGGAAATGGCGCTGAGGAACAGCTTGGGTGAAGGGGCAGGCGCCCACCAGAGGATGGCTGACCCTGATGACTTGACCCGCAGCATGGAAGATATCAAGGGCAAGGGGAGAGCTGTCGACGAGGATGTCGCCATGAGTGAACTTGGAGAGGAAGAGGAGGATGAGGGAGAGGGCCACGAACCGAGCGTTTTTCACTATATTCCTGGCGATTGCCCCCACACAGAACCTGCGGCTGATCCAGCGACCACTACCCGCATTCAATTCCGTCACCCGTCTGGCCGAGTGATTCGACGTTTTGCGCTCTCGGACCCCGTCCAGCGCATCTATGAGTGGCTGAAAGCAGACCCTCCGCTAGAAGACAAAGCTGGCGTGGAGTTCGAGCTGAATGCAATGGGACGGAACTTGATAGACCAGCTCGACACTACTATCGAGGATGCCGGTCTGAAGAACGGAACTGTGATGATAGGATACCTAGAAGACTAGGTTGACTTCTTATGGCGGTCGATGAGCGAAACGCATGATAAACCACTCGATGCTTATGCATTTGAAGAGGCGTTGGCAGGGGTACATGGTTTACAGGGCCTGGGGATTGTTTGCCAGAGGGGTGAAGTTGTACAGACTTTATACCTCCTTCAACTTGAGCTGGGGTTACTACATAATTTAATTAAAAAAACAACTCTTTATCCTGCAGAGAAAAAAAGCAGTGGACATAATATTATAAGAAAGAGAGAGTATCTATCAGGACTTGTTTATATGTTAAGCGCCCAACTTTATCTAAATAGCACAAGATCACGCGTTGCTGAACCAAACAAAACAAACTATATCTAGAGGGGGTGATTCCACCGCCTGGCAAAATAGACCCCGCGTTGCCCCAATCACTGTCGCCATCGAGTTGTCTGCGATGCAAGGGAATCTCACAGCTTCGTCAGCTCCTGCGCCAGGCCCTTGCAAGACAAGTCTATATGAATGGCAGCCCATGCAAGCAAGGAATTACACAGCTACTATCTCATTCTAGAGAGGAGAGAGTCCTAATCCTTTATGCGAGGAAGTAACGATCATTGATAAGGGGGCAGCAGGCGGTATCAACAAATCCTCGATATCAACACCAAAACAATAGTAAGTGGATATTCCTTCAGCCATGGAAACCTTGACTTATTCGGTTTCAACTCACTAAGAATAGATTTCATCCCTTCTAAATGGGACCAAGGAGATAGAACTTTAAAAAAAGAATTCCCCTTCGTCCAACAGTTCCGCCATTCGATCCATTTTCGTTCGTTATTCTAGGTACGTCGTCCATTGCGACAGCTGGATTGTGACCTTTTAAGGTAGATATACTGATATCGGAGACAAGATCGCCTTTTAGTTTCTCTCTAGAAAGCGGGAAATACCAAGAGGAAGCAGTGTTTTACATGATTCTGGAGTGACCAGCAGACTTACAAGCCGATTTCCTATGCGCGTTTCATTCGACCCTTCAATCGACCACCCAATCAGTAATTGACATTCGTCTTGGTGGTTCCATGTCGCATGCCACAGCTATGGAGGGGTTGGTGGATCCAGAGACCATTTACATGAAACAGAACTGCATAGGTACGCCTGGACTGGACTATACTACCCCCTTCAAGGAAGTGGTCTTTGCTACATTTCACTAACCACTAGGTATTCTTGTTAGGTGGTGGAAGTTTTGGTCGTGTCTACAAAGGGTAGGTCTACCGGAGACGGTGTCTTTCTCCTAACTGATGGAATGAGGATCACGCTGACGAGGTATTGTTCTATTTAGTGTCGACAAACGAACCGGCGAATCCGTGGCAATCAAAGTTATCGACGTTGAAAATGCTGAAGATGAGGTGGATGATATCATTCAAGAAATTGCAATTCTTTCTGAATTAAACTCCCCATATGTGACCAAATATCATGGCTCGTTTCTCAAGGGCTCGCATCTTTGGATTATCATGGAATTCTGTTCGGGGGGAAGTTGCTCAGATTTGATGCGTCCAGGCCCTCTTGCAGAGGATTACATCATGATCATTGTCAAAGAATTACTCAGAGGCTTGGATTATCTCCATAGTGACAAAAAACTGCACCGGGACATAAAAGGTATGTCAGTCTCCTTTTCAAGACCCAGGAACAAGTACTGATGATATCTAGCTGCGAACATTCTTCTCACATCGAGCGGTCAGGTCAAGCTTGCAGACTTTGGGGTCTCCGGGCAACTGACGGCTACAATGACCAAGAAAAATACCTTTGTTGGCACGCCATTCTGGATGGCTCCTGAAGTAATCAAGCAGTCAGGATATGACTACAAGGCTGACATCTGGTCTCTTGGAATCACTGCTATTGAGTTGGCTGTCGGTGAACCTCCTTATTCGGATATCCATCCCATGAAAGTCCTCTTTTTGATCCCGAAGAATCCGCCTCCAATCTTGCCGGGAAACTTTAGCAGAACCTTCAGAAGTTTTGTCGAGCTGTGTTTGAGACGTGATCCGAGAGAACGCCCGTCTGCACGCGAGCTGCTCGAACATCCGTTTGTGAAACGGGCTAAAAAGACGACGTACCTCACGGAGCTGATTGAACGGCATGAACGATGGCAAGCGTTTCGCGGCGGCCGTGTGGCTGAAGACGACGACGACGCTTTTCTAGAGGAACAACCCCAACAAGCGGTCTCGGAGCAAGAGAAAGAGGAAGAAGAAGACTTATGGGACTTCGGCACTGTTCGACCTTCAGCCCGGACTGGTGGTTTGAAAACAATGAATGATGCACAGACAAACGCTCGAAACAAAGAAGTTGGCGATTGGGATCTTAATGAGGAACCTGCGAAACCAACATTTACTCCACGCAAGCCTATGACCTCTGGCGAGACATCCCCAACAAAGGTGCCACTTCCTCCATCCCCAGTGAAACAGGACTTTTCAGAGGTTGTGCCTCGGACGCCGACCCAAAATGGCAGACCTCTCCCCGTGCCGGAAGAAGAGAGCCCTGCGACGAGCGAATACGATAAAGCTTTCCAGCAGTCTCTAGTTCAGGATCTGAGCTTCCTCCAGCTCGGGAATACCTCCAGTTCGCCGTCACCTTCGATGACTGACCGACGTCCCGTGTATGGCGAGCAGGTTCAACGGAAGCCTGTCCCAGCACAAACCCCTATTCACCTCACAACAGATACCAGAGCGCCGTTGGGGCAGCCTAATCCAGCCAGCCCTGTCTCTCGGGAACGGTCCCTGCCACCTTTTCCACCAGGCCTCACCGTGCCAAACCAGAAATCTCCTCAGCCCCCGGCGACCCCGAAACACGGTAGCCCGCCTGTGCCATATCAACAGCAGCATATTCCACTTGATACCGAGCGCCCCTCGACTCCGGAAAACAGCCGGCCTCGTGAGAAGAAAGCAGCCTTGCCGAGTGCAAATGCAGAAACCCCATCCACCGACATCACCGCTTTGAACGGAGTGATTTTGCCCGCTCTCACGGCTGCTTTCCGCCGCCGGTCTCGTCGGCTGGAGCTTCTGTCGCACAACGTCGGGGCCAGTCGGGGAAACAAGGAGAATAAAGATGATATTGAGCTACAGAATCGCCGTCGTCATGTCCATGAAATGATGAAGGGGCTTGTGGACCAAGCGGCCACCGTCTTCAGCCAGATCGAGCGCTGGGACAACGAGGCACCTATTGGGATGGGGGCTAGTGTCGGTTCTTTTCTAGAGGGATTCCTCGAAGAAGTCCTCGTCCGCATCGAGCCTGCTGATGAGGAGAGCCCGACCAAGCCGTAATAAACACTCCACCCTCTTTTTCCTTTGTACTGGGCATGCCAAATTTCTATGTACATGGCTTTGGGTTTGAATGGTCCTTTTTTTTTTCCACACATGCGAAAGCACCCTGGTGACATGATTGATGATTAGATTGGTTCTGTTATTGACAGCTGAAATGTTTCTTTTCTTTTGCATGGCGTGGACTGAAAGTTTCATGTTTTTCTTTTTGTCTGTTACCTTAGTCCATAATCTTTACTACGTCTGTAAAATGAATATGCTTTCCCAGGTTAGATAATAGTTTGTGATGGTATTTCTATAGATATTCTGGTGAATTTATATATAGAAGAATGAGCTGTGGTAACTCATCTAAGCAACACATGTCTTGGATAGACTGGAGCAGAAACTGCCAGACTCGGCCGAAGCCTGCTAATAGCTTCGGTAGACCACTTATATCAAAGCGAGCAGCGTTGATTCCGAGGTAGGGTTTAGCTATTCACTCGAGCGTGACGATCTACCTCAAGGCTCACGGCATGCGGGCATGTCGCGAGCCGTAGGGACATGCTGGGGGGTTCCTTATGCCTCTGATTCAGACCAAAGATCATAAAAAGAAGTTGAGTTTTATAACGAGACTGATAAGCGTTTCCGTTCAACCCCCCGGTTGAAATAGCCAATCCGTCTCGGGCGTCGGGATGAGATAATTCGTAATATTGAATTCGTTTGCGGTGACAGGGGCCGCAACTGTGGCGTCGACCGGCGCGGCGGTAGAGTTGGGATTTGCACTTATCCCCGTCAGACCGTGGATGGACATTGGGTTCGAGGACACGCCGGCGCCGGCGGCCTCGTGGTCGTGCACGTCTAGACCGCCCATCATGTCGAGGCGGCCGACGGGGACGCGGGGCACGTTGAAGAAGCCGAAGACGTCGAGGTATTCGAGTTCGTTGAGACCTGGGGTGCGCGGCGGCTGGTTGGTGGTTGATAGGGGTAGATTGGCTGCGGGGGGGTCTGCGGAGGAGGAAGAAGAAGGGACACCGGCGCCGGCACCAACACCGGCACCAGGTTGCGGCTGGCGGGAGATAAGAAAGTCAAGGTCAAAGGCACAGCGGCGCATGTCGGCCAGGATCTTGACGGTTGATGGGGTGGTACGCTCGCCATCTGCAGACGCGGATTGCTGGTATTCGTCGTACTCGTCGAGCACACGCTGGAGGATGGTGGAGTATCGTTCAGCGACTTTCCAGTATCTGCCTAGACGGGCCAGGGTGTCGACGAAGAAAAGGAGGTCCGGGCTGAGGGTATGCGCGATGGTGGAGCCGTGGACGAGCAGCAGCCGCGCCGACACCCAGAGGGTGAAAGCAAAGGGCGGACCTAGCTTGTCGAGCATGTTGTTCTCGACCACGAACCGCGTGATGGAAAGAATATTGTCGACGGCAACAAGACACCGTTGACTGGCACTGTATGACGGGGTGAAAATCGGCGATCGGGTGGTCGGGTAGGCGGCGGACGAATGAAGACGGATGACTGCACTGTCTGCTCGTTAGCCCGCTGGGAGAGGAAAATAAAAGGAGGGGTGAGTGTAACGTTTGATAGGTGACGTGGAGTTGCACCCAGTCACAATGGAGGTTTCTGTTCAGCTTGGACGCGCCGAGCAGACGGGCAGAGTTTCCGTAGGCATATTCGGAGGGGAGATGGAATTCCCACGAGGTCAATTCGCTGTCTAGCTTGCGGTAGGTGGATTGCCATTCCTCGACGTCTGATAGGATGCCGATATCCACGGGTTGTTTGAGAAAGACGTGGATGCGAGAGAGGATGCCGAGGACCTGGATGTAGAGGCCGAACGAGCCGACGTTGCCCGAGGAGGTGAGATAGTCGGCATTTTCTGGGTTCTGATGGAACCAGCGCGTCTCGACGGGTTGATTCTTGGTGAAGAACTCGTCCTTGCAGGGAAGCTTGCGGTCGATGTCCTTGTCGTCGAGGGCAAAGTCGAAGGCAGTGGCGATGGTCGAGTAGCGATCCAAGAGGTAGACCATCCAAAACAGCCGGCGGCGGCTTTCGTCCTCGATCCACGAGTCCGGTTCGGGCAGGGTGACAGCGCGCAGGGTATAGATGGATGGGTAGACGGGCGCAATGAGAGAGGACTTGGATTCGACCGCCAGGCCGAGTTGGACAACCGAGCGTGTGATCAAGGCGAGCAACTTCCACCCCGGCGGGCCGTTGGAGGAGCCCACTAGATCCAGGGCTAGGATGACCAGCGCCTGCAGGGCCTTGACGGAGGAGTTCTCAAGGCCATAGAGCAAGACCTTTTGCTTGGACGAATCATGGTAGCGCTTGCGGTTCTGGTCGTTCAGGCGGCTGTCCGTGGAGAAACGAAGCGTGGTGACCACGATGGCGTAAAGGACCATCCGGTCGGCCTCGACTAGCGGGGAGGGCCCGAAGAAGGTATCCAAGGTGGCTCGTCGGTGAAGGATCGGGCACCAGGTGTTGATGTGCTCGAAGTACAGGTCGACCAAGGCATAGAGCAAGTCGTAGGGAGGCAGGTCAAGATCCGGGTCGGCGAAGGACTGTTCCTGGTTGGCGAAGAGGTCGACCGGCACCTTCAGAGAGGACTCGTTGCCCGTGAAATCATGGTGAGTGGCAGAGGGGTGAGAATGCATGTGTGCGGGTGCAGACGGGAGGTCGCTGGAAAGATGCGAGGGCACTACATGGGTCGCGGATCCATCCGAGGGAGTGGTGATGGACATATCTGGGCGCCTGGAGGGGCCAGGTGCCACGACCGACGGTTCCTGGAAGTAGACCGCTGTCCGAGGACTGGGACCATGGGCAGCTGAAGGCTCCGAGGGGGAGCTATACGACATCGGCCCAGGGGGAAGGTCGTGTGGCAGTCGGGGCTGACCCTGGATGATGTGCATCTCGATGAGACGGGCCTGGGTCTGGATGACTTCTTCCAGCCGGTCTTCAAGCCGTCAGTCTCTCACAGTCTCTCTCTCTCTCTTCTTTCATCAAGGCAAGCGACGCACCCAGTCTCTGCTCGAGTTCCTTCCCATAGCCGGCTCTGAGGCCCGGCTTTTTACGCTCCCGATACTCACACGGCTGGCCATTGCGAGAACACCATCCACAACTTGGCTGCGCCCGGTCTATACTAGATAGTTAGACAGAGCAGGAGGACAGGATTCTAATGACCAACGGCAGGATGGACCTACCGCACTTGACTTTTCGCTGCTTACACAGCTCGCATCTGGGTCGGTCAGCGAAAGCATCCATCCACCATGGCCAGATAGAAAGAAAAATTAGAAAAAAAAAAGGAAGAAGAATAAGAAGAATGAGCGAGACAGATGACGGATGACAGAAGAATGCAAGAACGTACGAGACAGTGAGGGGACGCTTTCGCTTGAGGCCCAGGGCAGAGCCCCCATTCGGGGCCAGCTCCTGGTCCGAGTCGGCCAGCGACCACAATTCGTCTGCGCTCTGGTCTCTATCCGGTTCGCCAGACAGTCGGGCAGTCGGTGGAGTCGGGGCTGCAGCAGTGTTCGGCATTGTGATCCAGCGAGAGAACTCAGAGCCTCAGCGGGCGGCGGGAGTCCATAGGGCGCGAGGCAACGCGAGCAACGCGATCGGGGGGGGGGGAGGGGAAGACACGACTGGCAAGTTAAAGTCTCGCAGGAAGTCCGACGGGGAAGCTCAAGGACAGCAAAAGCGAGTCACCAGTGAGCAGCGAGAGGAGGTCGGCGTAGCGTCAGCGAATGCGTCCGGGTACGAACGAGCAAGTGAGGATGAAGTGAAGAGGAGGAAGCGAGTGGAGTGGAGTTGATGCCTTGGATTTCAGGCAGATTCAGCATGGGAATGGGATACACGCAGGTAACTATCACTACATACTATCAGAGCATTCTATTATAATTATATGTTTATGATTCTATACTTATGATTCTATATTTTATTTATCACATTTATTATTTACCTTCAATTATTCAGCTCTGTCGTATCCTATGTAGTATACTACAATTAAGTCATTCGGGAGTCACTCTCCCGAGGCCCGTCACGGTCCCATTCCCCTCACGATCCTGGTTGAATCGAACAGGCAAATCTCTGGCTGGGTGGACTCAACCGGATGCCCTCCGAGGTTCTCGGTCTTGCCGGGGACTCAAATGATTCAAATACCACCCCGTTCGCTGTCTGACATGGAGAGTTGATCGTTCTTCCTATTATTCCCCTTCCCCTCTTTCCTATCCCCCCCCCTCATCGACACAACACAATGGGCTCTGCCACGACGTTTCCCACCATCAAGGCGATCCGGACCTTTGTTATCGATGGCGTTGGTGCCGGCGGTGACTACCACAATGTGAGAGCGATTCGGATGTGTTGAGAGAATCTGGGTTGACGATGGCAGGTCAAAGGAGGCCACTGGCTGATTGACAGCGACATTTCGACCCCCATGGCCCGATGGGCTCAATACCGTGGATCTCGCACCTCCTGGGGTATCAACGTACTGGGCTCGTTCTTCGTGGAGATCGAGACGACCGATGGAACCAAGGGGTTTGCGACCGGGTTCGGCGGGCCGCCTGCTTGCTGGTTGGTGAAGCAGCACTTTGAGCGGTTTCTCCTGGGGGCTGGTATGGAAAAAAAAAAATCATCTGAGGCTTAAAAAAATAAAAAAAAATAAAGAGAAACTAACGTTTTAGATCCCCGGGATGTCAACAACCTGTTCGAGAAGATGTACCGCGGATCGATGTTCTATGGACGCAAGGGTCTCCCCGTGGCCGTCATCTCGGTGATCGACCTGGCGTTGTGGGATCTGCTGGGCAAGATCCGGGGCGAACCCGTGTACAAACTCATCGGCGGCACGACACGGACACGGCTCGACTTCTACTGTACGGGCCCGGAGCCCGCGGCGGCCAAGGCGATGGGCTTCCTGGCGGGCAAGGTGCCGCTGCCGTTTGGGCCGGACGAAGGCAACGAGGGCCTGAAGAAGAACGTCGAGTTTCTACGCAAGCACCGCGAGAGCGTGGGACCCGACTTCCCGCTGCGCGTCGACTGCTACATGTCGCTCAACGTGCCGTACACGATCCAGCTGGTCAAGAAGTGCGAGGCCGAGGGCATCAACATCGACTGGTGGGAGGAGTGCCTGTCGCCCGACGACTTTGACGGACAGGCCCTGCTCAAGCAGGCCCACCCGACCGTCAAGTTCACGACCGGCGAGCACGAGTACTCGCGCTACGGCTTCCGCAAGCTCATCGAGGGCCGCAACGTCGACATCCTGCAGCCCGACGTGATGTGGGTGGGCGGCTTGACCGAGCTGCTCAAGATCTCCGCCATGGCTGCCGCCTACGACCTGCCCGTCGTGCCGCACGCCTCGGGCCCTTACTCCTACCACTTTGTCGTCTCGCAGCCCAACACCCCCTTCCAGGAGTACCTCGCCAACTCCGCCGACGGCAAGAGCGTCGAGCCCGTCTTTGGCAACCTCTTCCTGAACGAGCCCATCCCCACTGCCGGCTATCTCGACGTCTCCGTCCTCGACAAGCCGGGCTTCGGCCTCGAGCTCAACCCGGCCGCTCCCCTCATCAGTGCAGACCTCATCTTGACTCCGGCGCCGCAGAAGAGCCTGACCCTGCCGGACGAGACGGTCAATGGCACTCATTAGATTATAGTAGTGTAAACGATTGATTGATTGATACCTGTTACGTTAAGAATGAACATTGAATACTACATTTCTTCCAACTCTTCCAATTCTTCCACTTTTCCCCTCTTTCCACGGATAATTCTCGTACTCTGTCCTTTCTCTTCTCCCTCTTATCCGCTTTTTCTTATCCACTTCTACCAATCATTCCAATTACTCTCTCATAATTCGCATTCAGCCGGTCGGATAAAGAATATCCAAGAACCCCGCGTCGGGCTATCATCAGCACGAAGACCGAGATATCCACCTATCAAAAATAAGACGAAGACAGTCAAAGAGTTAATACTGGGTATTCATCATAGCAGTATCGACTAGTAGTAGTAGTAGTAGTAGTAGTAGTAGTAGTAGTAGTAGTAGTAGTAGTAGTTGTCCTCAGTGTAGCTGTAGCTGTAGTGGTAGTTACTCACTGTAGATACTCTTGATACTCTTCATATTCTTCAACCCCGCTTCAACGATAACAATTCACCTTCTTCCTTGTCTTGACTCTTGTCTTTATTCTATTTACAGAGACCTTATTTCCCTCTTCTCATTACTGTCTTATCCATCTCCTCATCTCATCTATAAAATGGTCCTCCCCCAGCTCCTCGTCGGCAAAGTAGCTGCCATCACCGGCGGACTAACAGGAATCGGACGGGTGAGAAAACCACCATTCTTGAGATGAAGAATAGAAACTAATCTCTCGTTCTGTTTCTAGGCCATCGCCCTCGATTACCTCCGCCACGGCGCACAGGTAGCCGTGAACCACCTCGGCGTGGCGAACGAGGAGCCCCTCGTCGAGGCTCTCCGCAACGACGCCGCAGAGATCGTGGGCCAGGACGAGCTGGCGAAGCGCCTGGTGACTGTTCCCGGAGACATTTCACTGCCCGAGACAGGCTCGCAGTTTGTCTCGCGGACGGTGGAGGTTTTCGGCCGACTGGATGTGTTTGTGAGCAATGCGGGGGTGTGCAAATTTGCTGAATTTCTCGAGTACTCCTTACACTTTATTCTGCTATATTTCACTAGACAACCGCTCACTGCTAAAGACTTGAACCATCTCTCCTCGGACAAACGGTGTCTATCAATCTCTCTGGAGCGTTTTACGCCACGCAAGCCGCCGCCCGCCAAATGGCCCTGGCGCAGAGTCCCCCCGGCGGCTCGATCATCGGAATCAGCTCCATCTCCGCGCTGGTCGGCGGCGGGCAGCAGACACACTACACGCCCACCAAGGCCGGGGTGCTGAGTCTGATGCAGTCCACCGCCGTCGCGTTGGGCAAGTACGGGATCCGCTGCAACGCCTTGCTGCCGGGGACGATCCGCACGCAACTCAACGACGAGGACATGAGCAACGATGAGAAGCGCCGCTACATGGAGGGCCGGATTCCGCTGGGGAGACTCGGTCAGCCGCGGGATCTGGCTGGGCCGGCGGTGTTTCTTGCTTGCGAGGAGTTGAGTGGTTACGTGGTAAGTCTTCTGGCAAGAGATTTTTGTTGCTGTCCTTGTCGGTGTTCTAACGGATATAGACTGGTGCACAGTTATTGGTGGATGGAGGGTTATTTGTCAATCTGCAGTAATAGTATTCAGTAGATATATATATATATATATATAATAGTATAGTATCGTATAGTATAGTATAGTAGGTATGTATTGTATAAATTAATGTAGGATATTGTACGCCGTCATGGCAGTCTCTCCCCACACCATCTTCTTCTCCTCCTCACTCAAACCACGTCTTTCCAACACCCCCTCGACTGTTCTCCTCCAGCGAGTCCAGGAGACTTCGTTCCCCCCTCCCCCGACATTGCAGACCGGCCAGTCCGACCCAAACATCACTCGCCGGGCGCCAAACGCGTCAAACACCACGTCCGTCCAGGGCTGCAGCCGGTCGACCAGCGCCGTGTAGTCGGGCTCTTCTGTCCGCGACAAAGGGGGCAGCTCTGAAAACGCGCCCGAGAGCTTCATGTACGTGCGAGGGAACCCAGCCATGGCCTTGACCAGCGTCTTCCACTCGGTGAAGTCGGGGTGTGTCGTGCTGTCGTCGGAGAGTCGGAGGTTGGGTTTGCAGAGGTGGTCTATAATTTAGAAAGGAGAAAGAGAAAGAGAAAGGAGATGGGCTGTTTAAAGGTCTTACTGATGATAATAGTCGTTTCTCCTACTCCCTCCATCATCTGTACGGCCTCTCGCAGCTGCCACAACCCCCCCGATCGCGCGTCAACCCCCAGGTCAAACGTCAGACCCTGTCGACCAAGCCATCGAATCCCCTCTTGAAAGTCGTTTTGAAGCATTGTCCCGGCCGGCTTGTCTTGGACTAGGAACCGCACGCCGCGAATCTTCGCCCATACGCCGGGTGTCCGGGTGCGCTCCTTCACCTGCGCCAGATACTGCTCTAACACCTGCGGCCCTCCAGGCACCGGTGCCCAGGGGATTATCGCCAGACACAACGCGCTGTCTCGTTCCGTGTGTCCCTCGCCGGGAAGCGGCTCGCCCAGCGCGATGCGTGTTAGCAGCGAGACCTCGTCCAGGGCGTGGATCCAGCCGCCGCCATCCTTGTCGACGGAGGAGATCCGGTCCGTTTCTAAAAATATGAAGCCGCGGACATCGCCCGGATGCTGCGCGTTTGCTTCGGAGGACGCACTGTTGCTGGCTATGCGGTATTCATCCACTGAATGCTGTGCGCCTAGTGGGTTGGCCGGCCCATGCCACGCAAGCGTGCTGAGATGCGAGGCAGGGAACAGGTGGATGTGAGAGTCGACAATAGAAGCCATCGAGCGTTTCAAGGTTGCTAATTTATTTGCTAATGAAAAAGTTCATGGCCGTCGATTTATACAGTTCTTCTGGTCGGTTCTTTTCGGTCCAAAAGACCCCGATGGCGGCTATTAGGGATTTTCTCTCTGTCGCAACCATCACCATCACCACTACACAGCGCACACTGACCAGGATTACTACAATCTACTTGCATCCCCGCACCTAATGTCGGTGGACTCGCCGTTATCAGACCATCCCTGTCCATTTATCGGTTGTCTGATTGACACCGCATCGTGATCCCAGTTGCTCCGTATGGTTGGCTACCGAGGCCTGTCAAAAAGCAATGGGACGATTCGTTCCCCTCATTGAAATACCAATATGAATCCGGCTGATTTCAAACCTGATTGAGATGTCTAGGAACTGATTCAGCTACTGTGGTTCTACTACTGTCAATTCACTGTTGAGCACAATGACTCTCCCAGCAACGTACAAAGCGGCCATCTATGACCAGCCAGGCACAATCTCTACCAAGGTAGTAGACCTTGACCTCCCGGAGCCGGGCGTGGGCGAGGTTCTAGTCAACCTGTACAGATCCCATCACACTGTATGGGTAGAGCGATGGCTGATTGACCCAGTACTCACTCGGGCGTTTGTCGCTCCGACCTCGCGATCATGACCAATTCCGTACGTGTTTTCCTTTGATCTTGATTTTTAAAGAAGAGATATATAATAGCAACATGGTCGCCAACTAACAGATCAGTGGCAAACGTTTCCTCGCCCGACACTCCCCGGCCAGGTTGGTGGCCATGAAGGCGTCGGTGTCGTGGTCAAGCTGGGGCCATGGACCGAGTCGTCCGACGTCAAGATCGGAGACCGTGTAGGGATCAAATGGCTTGCTAGTGCCTGTGGGAACTGCGGTATTTGCTTCGTTCATTCTATTTCAGAATATATGTCTTGCTAACCTTACAACTTATTACTATTAGAACCCTGCCAGGCCGGCGCAGACGCAATATGCTTCAAACAAAAGATCTCCGGCTACTACACCCCCGGCACCTTCCAGCAGTATGTTCTTGCGCCCGCACGATACGTTACCCCCATCCCCGACGGGCTTGCCTCGGACGCCGCGGCACCCATGCTCTGCGCGGGCGTCACCGTGTACTCCGCTCTGCGACGGAGCAAGGCCCAAGCAGGGCAGTGGGTGGTCATCTCCGGCGCAGGCGGCGGGCTGGGCCATCTAGCCGTGCAGCTTGCGAGCCGCGGGCTAGGCTTGCGCGTGGTCGGCGTCGATGCGGGGAGTAAAGAAGCGCTCGTACGAGAAAGTGGCGCCGAGCATTTCGTCGATTTGGCCCAGTTCAAAGACGACTCTACCCACGACAAAATCGTCGAGCATGTGCGTTCGCTGGCGGACGGGCTGGGCGCCCACGCCGCCCTGGTCTGCACGGATTCCAATGCCGCCTACGCGCAGGCCCTGCGTTTCCTGCGCTTCAACGGCACGCTCGTCTGCGTGGGCATGCCGGAGGGCCGCTCCGTGCCCATTGCGTCGGCGTACCCGGCCGTCATGGTCCTGAACCAGTTGACCATCACGGGCTCCGCCGTGGGGACCCGTATGGATGCTATTGAAACCCTACGCTTTGCCGCTCGGGGAGCCGTCCGCTCGCATTTCCGTGTCGAGAAGCTCGACGCCCTAACGGATGTGTTTCGCGAGATGCACGAGGGGACTCTCCAGGGGAGAGTCGTCCTAGACTTACAGTAGTAGTTAGTATTGTACTTGTTTATAATTGAAGATATCACTGAAAACATATATATATATGATAATGTATACAGCCAGCTGCAATAAAGACATTAATAGATAATATCCTCCAGTCACTCAATAGTCCCCATCAAATCAGTAAAACGATGAATGTACGCCCGCGGGGCATGGTACTCTCTCAGTCTATGCAGCACAACGCCCAACTGCCCATGGAACTGCCGCAGGCTGGACGGGGCCACCTGTGCCAACGCGTCAAGAAGGAAGAACCCCCCCGCGGGGTCCCCGATGAGTCGGTAGTACAGGCTGTTGTTCTGCTGTTTGCCAGGACCAACTGTCGCCGGATCAATGCTCTCGGTTCCCTCCGCGCGCCTGGTGATCTCATCTAGCAGGTAGACGAGCGTCTTGGCCGCTCCCTGGGCGGCGACGGAGCCACGCATGGCCAGATTGTGCTCGATCCGTTCTGCATGGCGCCGGATGGTGTCCAGAGTCTTTTCTATGGACATTGCGCTCGGCGGCCGAGAGGAGGATCGGTCAAAGTCGGCGAAGAGCCGACGCAACCGTTCGTGCACTTTGTCGAAATAGATGGCTGCACATGCACCGCGGGGCATCGCCTTGCAGAGACTGGCGTACACGGCGTCGTCGTGCGCTGCTAGTCCGAACAGCGTTGCTTCCAGATCGCCCTGCATCACGCATTGCTCCGGGGTTCGGGAGGAGCGACTGTCGCCCTGCGTCTCGGCCATCAGATCGGCTCGGAATTCTTCGGTGAGTGTGTCCGCGCGGAAAGCAGAGAGGATGTCGCAGACCGTCTCCTGTCGGCTCATCGTCGGGACAACAGTGTCTGCTCCATCCCGCTCATATGGCCAGCCCAGGTGGGGGGCGAGGATATCCAGGCGTCCCGTAAGAAGGGTCTGGATGGGCGTTAGTGCGGGCGAAGAACCATTTCGCGCCAGGGGCACCCCGAATTGAGTCCGCTGCGAGTTGTAGTAGCCGTGAAGTTGATCGAGAACCCACTTCACCGTCAGTCAAAAGAAGTTTATGTGCCGGGGAGAGGGGGGGAGTACAAAGATGTGCTGGCATGCGACGTCCGGTCGAGCCTTGGAGGCCGAGCAGGTACAAGTCGACAGGCTTGAACCGATATGCACCTGCACACGCTCCGATAGATCAAAGTAGTAGTATCCGTTCGGACCGATGACTTGACGGCACCCGGCAACTTCGAATCGTCCGATCAAACCGAGGAGCGCTCGTGGGCCAGAGTCTCCGTCTAGAGCGGACAAATCGTAGGTGATGCCCGAGCCTGCTCGAACAGTGGAGGGAGCCCAAGCAACGCACACCGCGTGCCCTTCCTGCTCGCTCTCTGAGATATCTGTCGTCTCGCTCTCATAGCCCTCGTGGCGAGGGATGCGTGGTGTGTCTAGCGCAGATACCATATCTTCAGGCCAGACTTAAATAATAGACGTTTAACAAGACGAGCAATGCAGTAGATCACCTGTTTAGACTTGCGCAGAAGGAGAAGAGATGAACGGGCAACGGTTTATATATGCCTTGACTTTTTTGCCGCAGGAGCCCTCTTCAAGTCATCTGAGCTGACCCAGAGCCGCATGTATTGAGTTACACAGTCGACCTCGCTGTGCCATTGCGCAGACACTGCTGTGGCAGATCTTGGTGAACGGTGGACTTCTGACGCTCACTGGCTAGAAACTATCAGCTGCTAGTATTATAAACCAGTGGGTTGGTACTCCATGATTACTGTTCCGCTCCCTATGGGACGGGAGATCAATTCGAGTCGACTAGGAACAGCCATGGTGGGCTTGGAGACATCTGATTCATGGCCAGGGTGTCCATGGTCAATGATGCATCATAGACGTAACAAGGCTGAAGACCAGTCATCAAATGATCGGGCAGGAACTGTTCATTTCTCCAGCAATGCCGCAGATGCATCGGTAGATAGTTTGCCCCGAGAAACAATAGATGTTAGATCGTGCATGTTCTTCCTGGTCAGTGGCTTCTGTTGGCAGGACTCGTCTGTTCCGTTAGGAGGAACAGGAGGAACCCAGACATTTTTACCGTCATAGACTGTTGATAATATTTCTTGGACAGGTTGAGAAGTCAGAAGAGTAGAATGACCGCAGCATCAGCTGCTGCGCCAGATTATGAACGAAAGCTGAAACTTCGTCGCGACACAGCAGGTTGTGGACTTGAGGCCTGCGCCGCACGAACTTCTGGACAAGGCTGCATTTTATGGCATGCAAGGCTGACTTTTGTCGGAATGGGTCAAGATAATTGCAAGGATTTTCAACCTCACGGGCAATCCACAAGGCTGCTTGTGGATTCATCAAATAAAAATGTTACTTGCAAGATACCAATGCTGTATATATATATACCAATCGCTGTCTCAAACCAAACAATAGGCAAAGGTGGTAGGTAAAAAATATATTCAATTGAAAATGAAGGGAAAAAAGGAGACACAGATAAGGAAATAGCATGAAGGGTATGATGAAGTCATAATTCATTACTTCCAAAATGATTGCAACGGTGGGTGTCGCGTCTGAAAACCTCTCAACCAGTGACCCTCGCGGCATTCCTCTTCTTCGCTTCCTCCAGTGCTCTCTTCAGACGTTCCTGATGCTCCGGATCTTCCGCTGGTGGTTTTGAAAGAGTCGCAGTGCGGGGGCGAGGGCCAGTCAATAACGCCTCGACAGGGGGCGTCTCGGTTCTATGAGATGGCGGCTCCAGCAACGCCGGAGGCTCGGTCTCAGGGGTCTTGCCAATTGCCCGAAGGAGATCGTTGGTCTGGGCGATGATTTCTGCGGGACCTTTGCGGACACTGTTCAGCTTGGAAGTGAGATCGCTCTGGATCCTTCCATCCTCCTTCTGCTTCTCGTTCTCCAAGCGATGGAAAACGTCTTCGTCAGCGTTCGAGTAGCGTGCTTCGGCGACAGAAACGCTGTAATCCGCATCATTGAGCGACATGTCGGCCACCCCAAAGTAATGCAGGATGGACTCTGAGTCGGTTCGCAGCGACTCGACAAGCGTGGCGACAGATTTGAGCACCTGTTCAATCTCCAGATCTGACAGGCCAGACGATTTGAGTGCTTTCCCGTCAAGCTTTTTCAGTTTCGGAGCGATGTCATCAATTGTGCTTTGGTTCTCGCCTAGGCCTCGCATGATTGCATCGTCGAAGGAATCCATTAGTCTGTTAGCTCTCTCATCGCGATCCTTGGCTGCCTCTAGGAGGTTCTGCTTCTCCATCCGATCAAAGTCAGCATCTAGTTGTTTGAGCGCAGGTGAGCTACCCATGAAAACAAGAGGCCGCCTCTCGGCTTTCTTGCGTCGCTGCTCACGGTCCAACGCGATCTCGAGGCGCTTCTGGTAGCGGGCCTCGAGTTTCTTATAGATGTCGTTGACAGTCAACATGGTATGAGACACGTGGAATTTGTCGGCGGTAGATTCCTTGGTTCGGGTACTTTCATGATCCAGTTGACTGAGGATAGTCTCATAGTGGGCACTGAGCTTTGAAATCTCCCCTTTCAGACGGTTATCAAGAGGCGTGAAAAGATTTGTAATATAGTCATCCAGTTCCTTTCTCTCCTCTTCCAGCTGAACTCGGGCCTCAGTCTGCCGGAACTCCTCTTCAAGAACATTGATGTCTGCATATCCGATTGATTTGTCATTGAACATTGTGTCAATATGAGTTTCGGAATTCTCCTGCCGCTGGGCGCGGCCCCTTTCAATCTCTGTACGGCGTTCCTTTGCCTCCTTCTCCCAGACACCTACTGCGTCTTGGATGTATGTGAAATCATTGTTGTACTTCTCCAGATCTTTCCGAGTGGCTATATTCCAGAAACTTTCGGATTGTTTGGCCACCGGAGTCGAGACAAGCGAGCGCAACTCGTTGAGAGGACCGCTCGTCCGAGGATTTCCAAGAGATCCGGGAAGCGGGGGAGGGGGCGAGGCCTTTCGGAGAGGTTTCTTCTTATATGCGACACTCTTCTCTCTAATCAGGCCGATGAAAGTCTCGTCATGCTCATTCCGGGCAGGAACAACACTCGGGGTGTCTGATCTCGGCGTAGGCGTTGACGAAGAGGGTCCGTTGGACATGACACGCCCACTTTCAACCGATGCCTGGCGCAGTGCAGAGTAGGCCTGATATGCCGGCCTGTCGAACGTGAGGTGATCAGAACCTCGTTGCGGGCCTTCTGTGTAGCGAAAAGGGGTGTATATTGGTTGAGGTGGGTTACTCGTCAGCGGCTCTAGGGTTTCTTTATGAGATACACCATTGAACGAGGGAACAACTGGGTCCGTCGAGCCGCTAGTGGAAGCCGAGCTAGGAGAGACAGCAGGTTGATTGCTCACTGGTCGGCTTTCCTCACTTGTTACCTTAATTTGAATTTCATTGCTGGAACTGATAGGGGGGTTCACGGTTTGTACCGACGGTGTCGCCGAATCGGAACGTTCAGTAATGTGAGTAGAGCCTGCGACAGCCTGGGAGGCGCTCTCAGGTTTCTGCTCTTTTCCGCTTTCATGCTCGATGTTGTAAAGAACCTCGCGCAACTTGGTTTCCTTGCCCATGAATGCCGTAAATAATTTGTACCGATCTTCATCCGAATCTGCGACAGCTTCTTTCCGCAACATAGTTACATAGCGTGCCAACGAGGACTTGGACCAAGGGTCCAGATCCTCGTATGGATCCAGGTACTTGGTAGGCACAGTTGTGCTTTCAGCTTTCTTAGTAGTGGAAGAGTCGATCAGCGAGGATTCTTCCACCTTAGATCTTGGCTCCTTCAATGTGGCAGGGCTGTTCGATTTGTGCTTTGCAACGCCAAAAGGCTGTTGTTGACTTATGACGTGAGGCAATCGGTCTTCATTTTCCATTGAAGCCTGAGCATTTCGGCCGCCTGGTGATTTGTCTTCGCGGCGAGAGAAAGGCTGGGTCCAAGCTTCGATCACCCCGTCAATGCTGTCAGAGGGTCCCTCACTCGAAACAGTGCTCGCCATAGAATCAGCGGTGTCAGCCCTCTGCGGATGAAGTGGAGCTTGGCTCTCTTTCAATGGAGCGGAAAAGGCAGGGACATCGTTAGAATGGGTTTGGTCCTGTGGCCGTGGCGCAGGACTTGGCACCTTCTCACTATATATGGTTGAAGGAGAGCTGATGACCGGAGAAACCGCCGGTGCCTGATTGGTATGGGGTACTTCAGGGAGTGCAACAACCGTCGGATGAACCGAGGTAGCGTTAGCAGCTGGGCGAGGCGGTGGTACCTGGGTCGGTGTTCTCTGATGAAAAGCGTCAAGGTCGTCCACGTCTCCGGCAACTGGGCCAAAATGCTCCCAGTCAGATGGGCCTCCAAATCCCAGTGCGGAAGCAGCTGAAGGTGCTACTGGCGAAGTCACGAGAGGTGCAAGAGTCGGAGGCGGTTGGTGATACACTGTCGATGGAGGAGGCTGTGTCGGCGGGGTGGGCCTTACCATTGGGGGAGCAGGAGTATTGTGTGGAGGGCTGACCGCTGTCAAAGGCCCTGCATGTGGCACCGGGGGGGGCTGTGAAACTTGCGGGTCGTAATGGTGAGTAGGCGGATGATCTGAGTATGTCGGCTGCGGCGGTTGCTGCCAGGCCAAGTTGCTCTGCTGAAGTTTCTCATTCTGATAAGCCAGGGGGACCGGCGGTGGCGGCGGCGGGATATTATTCGACGGCTGTAAAGGAGGAGCAGCAGCAGAGCTTGGAGCCCACTGGGCTTGGTAATGATGATCTACTGCAGGAGGTGGAGGAGGAGGCGATTGAGTCGTCGCGATATACGGACTTGGCGAACTCCCGACCGGGGTTTGAGCATGACTATACGGTCGTTCCCCGGTACTTGCAGGCCGAGGCTGCAGACAGACACATCGTCAGTGACCGGTATACATTTAAATAAGCCTGCCAGCCCATCATCGGGCGAAACACTTACCGGCAGCGGTGGCGGCGCCTGGCCGTGGTACTGCTGGTTGTACCGTACCCCCCACGTCGTGGTGTCTGGCCCAAGCGGCGAATTTATATTGCTATTCACGGCCCCCGCTCCACCGGGCATAGGCCCATAGTTGTTTGGATTATAAGATCCTGTAGGAGGGAGCATGGGAGGTGGCGGCGGCGGTGCGAAAGGAGCCGTCGCTGGAGGGGCTGACGGTGACGGCGCGGGCATCTGCCATGACGGCGCCTGGTAGGATTGTCCAGCCGTCCCAGAGGACGAGATCCGCCATTCTGGCTGTTGAAACCCAGAATTCTGCTGGCCAGATGAGGGATGCGAGCCGTACATGTCTGCCAAAGTGGCCCAGTTAGCAGTGTTTGTTGTTGCCTGGGAGAGCCGCAGAGCAGATGAACGAGAGGGGTATCTCGCTGGCTCAGGATAGTGGGCTGGTCTTCTCACCTCGATTGTTGGACCGTATTTCCACAAGACACGACAAGAGATGAGAGCAGCCCGCGGTTGCTGATGCTGGTGGTTGCGTGAGAACTCAACCAGCAGTGAGTGAATAAATACTGTCTGACTGAGTGGTGAGGCTGAGGTCCTCCTTCTGTTGAATCCATCTCCGCTTCCCCACCTGACTGACGACAACCTCTTCAGAGAGAGAGAGAGTCGTCCTGTGCCTATTAATGGCGCCTAACGCCCCTGGAAGACAAGCTGATTTTGCTCGAGGCATCGAGATTCTACACATTATGATGAGGAAAAGCGAGGGAAGATACCGGTGAAGAGGAGAGGAGCTGGCAGGATGGAGGTTCTGTTCTGCCTGGCGATGAGCCTCTCTCGAACCAGCTACGATCTTTTTTTTTTCTCATCGAGCTCACATTTCTAAAATTAGATGGCTTGTCTTTAGGTTGTGAACTGCTTGGAAAACATCTATGACACGCTGTTAGGATCGTTGAAAGGCGAAAATTGTCGATTTGACGCCCAACAACCTTCGCCCCCGAAAACCGCCATGGCATAGTCTAGCGTCTCTGTTATGGCTATGGCGTCAATATCTGGTACTGGGTATCTATGGGACTATCTCCGACTAGGGGTTTCTTTCTTTGATGTGATTCCCACGGATCCGTTTCTGCCGGTTGGGGTGCACAAAGAACTGCGGGTTGGCTTTGTATACCCATCAGACGGAGGCTCTACCACCATGTGAGGAGAGGAGAGCCTAGCATCCCACAAATAGGCGCGTTCTTTATTCAGTGGCTGGCTCGTCTTGATTGTTGTTTGGCTGCTTCGTCATGATTGGCCTTATGAGGCCTTCAAAGAACACCGCTGGGGGGGAAGGCAAGAGGAACTGTCTCGCGCCCCTTCACATAAAGACAACTCACCCAGTTCTTGTCTGTGAGATCGAGAAGACATCTGGAGTATACCTGTTTGTCTTTCATCTAAGGAGATCCCCTATTTATCTGTATTCGTCCAGACTGTATTCGTCTCGGCTACCCTGCCTGCCATGGCCACTACTCCTAGTGCTGCTGAGCCAACCCGGCAACAGTTGAATAAGATTTTCCTTAACCATCCCCCGCCTGGCACGGTACGACCTCCGAAGTTCCCGCCCCGTCCTGATCAGGTCGAGCCCGTGGAATGGGGTCCATTTGTCACGCCCCAGGACGCGAGGCTTGCCTGGCGTGTGTGGTGGCTTCCCAACCATCAATTGGACTGGAATGAACCGGGAGCAGGACCTGAACCCGATGACAATGACACTGTCGATGCCTCCATGAGAGATACGCGGGAGTTAGCCCATCACGTTTATGAGCATATCAAGAATGAGTATATCACGCCCGTGGACGAGGAGAAGTTGGCCGAATGGGCGGAACAACAGACTGCCAACTGGACCCGACAGGACATTTATGCCGAGTTCATCTCCGACGAGACTGTCGCTACAGAGGACGATTTTGAATACAGTCAACAAGTAGTCTCTGGGCCGATCCGCGTCAATGGCTATAACATCCTCACGCACCAATATTGGAAAAAGGCGAGGCTCGACCAAGAGCTGCAGAACAGAAACCTGGAGATTACCGGCACGGTAAAAGAAAAACGCAAGAGAATTCACGACGACGAAGTCAGAAAGATCAGGGAGAGTGGAAAGGTTCGAGTCACCAAACTTTTACCGCGAAGCGATCTCTCGCAATGGAATATTAAACGTGAGCGCGAGAAGTCATATGGCATCTACAAGCGTCCCGAGGAGAAACTCGCACCCTTGGACATGTACACCTGGGCCATCAGTTTGAGCCCATATAACCCTACCCTTTGGGTCAGCCGAGCGTACTGCCACTATATGCTCGGCCACTGCGATCTCGCCCTCGGGGATGCGTATCGAGCTCAACTTCTCTGCGATATCCTGGTGGATCCGCTCGAGCGAAACCGCATGTCGGGGTTATATCCTCGGATTTGGCACGCCATCGAGCAGCACATTCTGGCTGCGCCGTGGGAGTTAGACGACGACAAGAACCCCGGTCAGCAGGTATCGGAAGACTACATCGACAAGCCCACCCGCATCAAACGTTCGATTGAGAGGTTGCGCAGCTCAAATGGGGTCAACTACTTTGTGCCGACACTGAGAAGGGCTCTCCATCACATCATCAGTCTCAGCTTGTTGACACTGCAATGTTGGGATGATTTCATGGCCATGGAGGATCACCTTTCCCAACGCTTGATCATGCGTTTTGAAGATCAGCGGTTGTTCGATATCAGAAAGAAGCTGTTGGAGCCAGTGGTCGATGACTTCAAGAACCATCCCGAACCTAGGCTCTACTTTTTTGAATCCCGGTGTGGGAGTGTGCGATATAATCCGTACCCCTATGGTACCGATGATGTCGATCGCTTAGACGCGGACTTTCTTCAGACGATGGACTTCAACCTCTTTCACAATCCGTTGCTTCCTGGGAGAAGTCGTTGCAAGTTACAGAAATCCGGCGAGCACCAGAACGACGTGGGAGTATTCGCCACCAGGGACATCAAGCAAGGCGAGCTCGTCTATGCCGAGGAGCCATCGATCAGAGGACATCTCAATCCTACCATCCCGTCGAAGAATGACTCCCTTACGCTCAAGAACAGAAGGTGTGACAACTGTCGGAAAGAACTTCAAAACCACGACTGGCGTGTTATCCCGTATGATGGGTCAGGGACTCGAAACCAAGCGTTGAAAAATAAGCGGATTGCCTTCCGCTCGATCGCCAAAGGGGAGCATGCCGATATCTGCAAATGCTATTTGGACGACAACCACGAGCTCCTAGGCTTCTGTGCCGGCAAGACCGCGGGCCAGGACAAGACCTGTCTCGAGATCGCACGCGAGTTGTACCACTTCCGAGTGTGCGGCAAGGACTGGAAATGGTTACACAATTCGATGCGGCCGGTCTCCAAGGCCGATAATGCGAATGACGATGGCCAGAAGTACCATTTCTCTCACACAAACGAAGCCCATGGCACCGTGCTTAGCCTTCTACTACGCGAGGCCATCGACATCACGCTGAAGAGACGGGAAGAGACCGGGAACCCCAACCTCCTTGCTTACGAAATCGATGAGCTTCTCGTGATGAAGATCGCAGAAGAAGGGGAGGAAGATCAAGTTCGCTTCCCCTTCACACTGGCCGCAAATATCAGAGTCCCATGCGACATTCTCCTGCAGCTGGGCGTGGACATCTTCCGCGATCTGAGCTTCGACACATGGGTCATCCAAATGGTGCTGAGGAAGCTGTTGGTCGGAGCCGTGCCGTGGGACGAGCCTCGCCGCGGCACGAGCAACGACTTCCACGACGCTGTCAAGAAAATCCCAGACCCGGCAGACCAGGAGCCCCCAAAGCCTCTCGACCACAAGGTCTGGCACGATGACGGCGTGTGCAAAAGTCAAGTCGCCCGACAGATACCCGCGGGTGTCACAGATACCGAGCCCACCTTCCAGGCGCTGTATATCTTCCCGGGCTTCTACATGTTCAACCACGCATGCACCAACACGGCCAACGCCAACTGGATGTTCAACGACGTAGTCCCCAACCGTATCATCGTCTACGCCAACAAGGACATCTCCAAGGGCGAGGAGATCAGGATCTCCTACCGGGCCCGGCCCCTGTCGCGGATCAACGCACGCAGACTCCTAGGAACCGACTGTCGGTGCGACGAGTGCCAGGATAAGGGGGTTAATCTCCCTCGTGCGTCGCCAGAGGCTCCAAAGCATGAAACTGACAAGCAAAACAATTCGGGAGGGAACACGAGCCAACCGGCAAATGCTAGCCCGCAAGACAACAGCGGCTCAGGCACAGGCTCCGGCTCTGGAACAGGCGTCAGGACAGGCTCCAGGACAGGCTCTGGAACAGGCTCTGGAACAGGCTCTGGAACAGGCTCTGGAACAGGCTCTGGATCAAAGTCAAACTCGGGCTCCGGGAGTAATCAACAGCAAAGCGGCGACAGATCATCCAGCCAAAAACGCAAGACATCCGGCGAGTCAAGTAATACCAAGCGCAGACGGTTAGCCAACGCGGCGTTGGCGGCGATAGATGATGAATGAGTGTTTTTTTTTCGCCTTGTTACCTTGTAGGTCGTTTATAGAACTGTTAGCTTGGCTTGCTGTCAATATTATGTCATTAGTTATAGTTGCTCTGTGTACTCAGTACCTAATTATAAGTTGTTTATTTCCCTGGAGACTTGGTAATCTATCCCAAGAGCAAGATATTCTCATTTGTATCCGTACAGAGGTGAGGCGCAAATCAAGTCACAACAAACAATTGAAGAATAAAATACAGATAAATTCCAGAGCACCCATCCACGAGTATAGAGAGTATCGATCGGCATGATTATAGAGGAAAAGAGAACGATGCAACTGGTATGGAAGAGTGATTATACATGATTTCATGCCGCCACTCTGATTCTCTTGCCCAGCTTCTCGAGCTCACCAATGACGCCGCCGGAGGCAAGCGTCCACTTTTCACTAACCCATTCGTCGTTGATGTTCTCGCGCAGGAGGCCGCTGCGAGCAAAGTACTCCATGAAGCCGCGGGCCTCGGTGCGGGAGACACCACCGATGTTCTGAATTTCCAGAGCCCTTTCATTGGGCGAGGTGGGCTTGCCGGTCCGGAATAGCTCGAGGACACGCTGGTCAGCGTTGGCCCAAGGGTCGGGTTGAGGGAATTCGGGCGACGAGGGGCTCACACCGGCCTGGCGAGCGGCTAATTGGTCCAGGGCCACGTCGAAGCCGTACACGAAGGGGTTGTTCGAGGCAGAGGTGGCGTAGAGTAGGAGACCGCCGTTTGGCAGGGTAGGCTTCTTGTCACCGGGGTGCATCAACGACAGGAAATGACGCACAAGGACAAGATCATGGGCATGGATAACCTTATACTCGGTGTTGCGGTATTCGGACCCCTTCATCCAGTGCGCCAGGCCATCCACGGTGACCAGCAAGGGCGGGCGGGCCTTGAATTTCTGCTGGGCGGCGGGAGAGGCCTCGGTGGCCGTCAGCTCGGCCCACAGGGCCTGGAAGACAGGCCAGGCGAGAGCGGGGTCCCGGATGCCAACGCCGGCAAGGTCCTGGAGGGTCATCTTGGGTTGCACGGCCTTCTTCAGCGCAGGGTGCTCCTGAGAGACGTGCAGTTGAGACAGAACGTCCTTGTTCGCCGTAATAGTCCGGCTGAGAAGGGCAGCAGTCGCCTCATTCTGGATGTACAGGTTCGGCTCGTCGTCGGAAAGCGGCGCGTAACCAGTATGGGCATTGACCAATTCTTGCGCTGTAGACCCATGAGTACCTTCCGAAATATATAATCCAGAGGAGCGAGAGGAATAACTTACGCTCGGGCACGGTGATGACAACCCATTTCTTGGTGAAAGCCATGGCCATGGCCTGGAGGAGATGCACGCTCTTCCCCGACCCCCTTTCACCGGTGAGAATCTTCTTGTACACCTGGCCATCGCCACCAATCTTCTCAAACAACCTCGCCATCTCGAGGGTCTCTTTGCGCATCAGTGTTCCCGGCCGGCGGAAAATCGACCAGCCCTGCTTCGGCTTGAAGGCCTGCACGGCTCGCAACTGATCGAGCATGGGCACCGGCAGACCAACGACCGAGCCACGCAGCCGCGCATCCACCATCGTCTCTGCAGACAGATCCTGCATATCCTGCACTTCGAGGGCGTTCGGGTTGCTGAGGACGATTCGCTTGCGGAGGGCCTTGCGTTCTCCCACGGCCGGCGGACGGGCTCGCTCAACGGGCTTCTTCTTCTTCTTCATCCGTGCAGAACTGCCTTCACGGTATCTCGGACCCTTGGAGTCATGCGGGATCGGCTTCTTCTTGATAATCGCGTTCCGCACCGACGAGGTATGGAACAATGCCGCCTGGGGCAGCGCCGCGGGCCCTGTGAGAGCCCGGGTCGCTGGCCGCAATTGCGACAGACAGCCCCAGCAGAACGGGGAGACCATTGTGCTGTGACACCGGCGCTGCGGCCAGCGTAAAACTCAATGGAATACTAAAAAAAAAAAAGAAAGAAAGGCCCAGGGGGGAGGGAGGGCGAGGGAATTAATGAAGCTGACAGTCCCGTTGTTGATGGAGAAGGCAGAGGGAGAGCACAATTTGGAAAGATTTCCTTCCGGGAAAGGGAAAGGCCGCCACGCCGCTTTCAACGCTACCGGAGCGGCAGTAAAAGCGGCTCTCGAGAATTTATCTATCATTTTTTTTTCCCAAACCGCCGCGATAACGAACGAGTGTTTTTTTAACTGTAACACCACGCCTTTACAGCCTGTACAGACCGTCAAGATGGAGGTTGAAGCTGCGCAGGGCTCCAAGCCCAAGCCCGAGAGACTGTCAGTCTGAGCCATATCCCATCAACCTTGGAAACTAATAAAGTATAGACCCATCACCGTCTCGAAACCGACCCCCTACACCTTCGACCTGGGCTACCTGCTCGCCAACGACCCGAACCCACTTGAAGTGTCACGGTCTGCCCCGCTGGACGCCTCGCTCAAGGCGACAGCCCGGGACGGCGCTCAGTCGCTGGTCAACCAGCTGCTGACGACGTGCGCGATCACCTCGTCGACGCAGCACGGGGTGTTGCTGACGCTGCCGCCGCCGACGACACACCTGCCGCGACACAAGCCCGTGCCGAAGCCCAAGCCGCCGACGAAATGGGAGCTTTTTGCCCGCAAGAAGGGGATCGGCAAGTTCAGCTCGAAACCTGGCGCGGCGCTCGCGGACAAGGAGCGACGCAAGAACCTGGTGTACGATGAGGAAAAGGGCGAATGGGTCCCGCGATGGGGGTACAAGGGCAAGAACAAGGCTGGCGAGAATGACTGGCTGGTCGAGGTTGACGAGAAGCACTGGAAGAAGGAGGAGGACGCGGCCGCTGTGGGCTCTTCCATCCGCGGCATGTCGCGCTCGGAGCGGAAGGATCGCATCCGTCGTAACGAGAGAAAAATGCGTGCCAACGATCGTCGCTCCAAGAAGTCTGGTGGTGGTTGACCTTTTCTTCTTCTTCCTCTCTACTTTCCTTGCATGTGTTTTCTATGATTTTGTTTCCGGCGTTGTGGTGATATCTTGAGACCATTATGGCACTGCATCAACATGTCAAAAGTTCAATATAACTAGTTATCTACTTATCCGAATAATTTATCACCCAGCTACCATGCCACTTGTATACCCTTAAAAGAATCTCGAGAACACAGGGTCACATGTACTAACGTACTGCTCGTGTATGTCTATTAGGCGGACTATCTTACACAGGTTCTCAAAGGGGAAAAGAGGCTAGAGCAGGGGGATGCTTCGGCGTAAAGACAGAAAACGGCGGGTTGGATATCCATGACAGAGACAGAATAGAGAGAGAAAAAAAATAAAAATTAATAAGAAAAAAAGAGAACAGTGCCTGCAGAACGCAAAGCAAGCAAGCAAAAGATGACCTTGGGAAGAATTGATCGAATAATTGCGCGCCAATCATCACAAGCGAAAAAAAGAGAGAAGAAGAAAAAAGAGCAAGAAGAAAGCTAAAGTCTAAAGAAATATTGAACCCATTCCGAGAACGCCAAGCATGCATCTTTCAATCGACGAGAGACGGAGTTGCTGTATCGCAAGGAGAAGAGAAATTGATTCGGTTGTGCAAGGAGAAGGATTTTCGAAAAGCCATGCCGCATGAACGGTAGATGTAAAATAATGAATCAAAGGGTGAACAGAGGAGGCTTGAACTTGTCACACACTCTCCTGGTGTATATGAGAGATGTGATGTTGAGAGTGGGTGAATGAGGGATCTATGACCGCTCTAGATTCGGATCGGAGAGAGTGGTGGCCCAAGTTCGGGCAGCTGGGAGAGGCTTCTCGTGTGCGCATTTTCCAGCTTCATAGGCCGCTTCTTGTGATTCTTGCCGGTGCTAGGACGGGGGGGTTCCTCATCGGGAGCAGCCTGACTGCTGCCGGAGGAGGAGATTGCCCTCTCGTCCGCCACGGCAGAAGACACAGACGAATCAACATCCGAGTTATCCCTCGCCTGCGCAGCCTTCGCATCCAACTCTTTTTCTTTCTCAAGATATTCCTTCTCTGTCCAGCAGCCCTGCCAACAGTTTTTCCAGTCGCAGACAAGGAACTGGAAGCAGAAAGCGTCGATCTTCATGCAAGGTTGGAAGCAGATGCACAGATTGCGGTAGTCCATCTTGTTCTGATCCACGTAGGAATGGAGAAGGTTCAGATGGCAGGTGATAGCGAACAGGAGGTAGTAGTTGTACGGAGGTAGCTTCGATAGCTCGTCTTTCAGCAACTGCGGAGCTGTGGTGGCTCCCTCACACTTCTCGGCGATCATCGCCTGGGTTTTTTTAGGGAAAAGTTCATCTGGCAATTCACGCAGCCAGGCCTTGAACATGGAGCCGATGGTATTGATGTCGTAGAGATCAGGCTCATCAAAAAGGTTGATGTCAAACTCTGTAAGGGGGTTTATTAGACGTCTATTCTCTTGCGATATAAAACTCTGCTCGGCTTCTACTCACCGGTGTCAAATCGCCGTTGCCAATGCTTGACTTCTCTGCCACTTCCCGGAACACGGTAAAGGCCTTCTTCCTCACAGCCTTTGAAATTTAGGTAACTTTGTTCAGTGTTAGCGTTTTTTTTTTTTTTTTTTTTTTTTTTAAAAAAAAAAAAGAAAGATATCAGCAGAAGAAACTTACTCTATGCACCGATAAGGCAACGCTGGCATCCAAAATTCTGTCTTGTCTCGACAATCCTCCAGGCGCTTTGCAATCCTAGTCTTTCGCGTTTGCTTGATGAGGGGAAGATTGATGACAGAGCAGATATAGTTGTCATCCGTCAGTAACTCGCGCTCATTAGTGCTCCCACTTCGAGTGATCTTTCCAAAGAATCCCTTTCCAGCCTTTCCCAGGCGGTCCGCAGCTCCACTGGACGATTGCTTGATATTGTTGAACAATGCGGCCGAAGCGCCAGAAACCTGGCTAAGAGAAGCCGATGTGACCATAGACCCTCCATAATTTCTTTCCTTCCTAGTATGAGCGTAGCCGTTCTCTGAATATCCCATTGCTGGGGGGCGGGCACTCGAGCTCGTGGCAGCAACCCTGCCTGTTCGATCCGGCCGCGTGATGGCTGTTTTCGTGGCCTCCTGGGTCGGTTCCTGCTTGCCATGCTCCTCGAGTTTGGTCAAGGTTGTCGATGGACGGCGGTTGGCCAATCTGTGGATAGAGGAGTCATCCAATCGAATGGATCGTGATCGCGCGAGCAGACCGGCGAACCGAGGCTGTTTCTTCTTCATTGGATGTAAGACTTCCGAATCTCCCCCTGTCTTCCGGCCGTCTGGGTGGTGGAGGTCTTTTTCTTCTGCGATTTCGGTATCTACGCAAAACAAGGCTGATTAGCTCGAATATCACTTGCGTGCCAGACAACGAGATTCCTACTCTTTGCCTGTTGCTGCTCTGCACACTCAATCATCGCGGGAAGGTCCGATGTTGACTCGCACGGCTTGGTAAATATTTGTGTCTTCCGGTCCCTAGAGCTTCCACGACTCTTCGGTTTTTCGGTCGAGTGATCAGATTCATCTGATCGATGGGTTTTGTGGGAGACTTTCGACGGCTTCAAGTTGGAGAAGAAGGACCGAGAGGGATCACGACTATGCTTTGGAGAGTCTTTCGGCGACGGAGGATATTGGGGGATCGCTGTGAAACCCGGTGTCGGCGGCTCTGGGCCATGGGTGGTGGAGGCGGCGGCTGACAAGAGAGGACTGCTTGATTTACTGTTCGACTCTTCCGTGACGGGTCGGATGGTGGATCCCTTGAGAAAAGGAGAACTGGGCATAGATCTGGGAGAGCGAGGCGTCAGAGGACTGGGCCCGTCAGAGCTATGCGCGCCGGGCGTTAGAGGCGACGATGTCTTTAAATTTGGCTCCAACGTAACCGCACTCAGGTCCAGGTTTGGAACGGTCGAATGTCTTTGAGGCATTTTGAATGGCACTCCTCGCACTTTTTAGACCTTTGCGAGACGGTAAAAAAAGATAATAAAAAAAGAAGCCACCTGGGCTAACAGTTGGAAGAAACCAGTCTTCTCAACCGAGTAGGTCTTAGATATGCTGCTGACCTACGAGGCCAGTCAAGGGAGAAGCGATGGTGGAAGCGAATAATCTAGAAGAATAATGACAGTCAGCAGTGAGACATGGGGAGACGACAAAGAAAGCCGGCTGGGAGGCAGAGCGACAACAGTCGAAAGACAGAGGGTGAGTGAGTGAGAGAGAGAGCGAGAGCGAGCGAAGACCAAAACAAAACAGGCCTCCAAGGGACGCATCGCAATTCAATAGAGTCCATTCACAGTCATCCGCCAGGTGAATTGGGGGGGACCCAACCGTCGGGTAACAACCCATGCCATAACGAACTTGAAGATGGACAATGCGACTGTGTCCGCAGGGGGAATGAATCGACGTACCAAGCCTCACTCACCCCTCATGTTATTGTCGAATGTCCTCCTCCGACACCTTGTTTTCCTGGTTTTTTTTCTTTTCTTTTCTTGTCTTGTCTCTGTCTCTCTCCTTTTCCCACTCCACTGACGCAAGTCTGTCGACGACAACTCCTAATGTCACACAGGAATGAGCTTCGGTCGGTCAAGGTGTGGGAGCCGCGATTGACCAACAGGCGTGGAGCAAGGGATGGAGGGGAAGGAGAGCAAAGGCGGTCGCCTGGAGAGAAAGCGGCTGAGACGGAGTCGAGGACGATCGGAGCGGGTGAGGGCCGATGATCACAGATGATAATAATAATAATTATTATTATTATTAACTGGTTATCGTGGACAGGCAAGTAACTGAATGGGTGAGCCGAGGGGCAAGGTAAATAAAGTCAGAGTGGTCGAAGGAGCGGGCGGGCAGGGGCAAGCAGCGAAAAAGAAAGGACGGCGTCTCGGCGCAGGAAGAGCAAGAGGCAGGGCAGAGAGAGAGAGGCAAATAATACGGTCAGCGTGGGAGGTTGAGACGTGACAGTCCAAGGCTGCGTGAAAAGAGCATCGACTCGAGAGTTGCAGTGGTTGTTCTGCAGGGTGTTAGGCCCAAGACTGACAAGACGCCTCTGTTTCAGGGGAAGTCTCCAGGTGGGGATGGCGCTGAGCTGTGCTAAAAAAGTTATACACAACGTAGTACTCCGTAAGGTACTGTTAGTTAACTAGTGTATAGCGTCCACGCTATGGAGTACGCACGCCGCCCAGTATGGGGAACATTATGTGGCTTTAACCTCCTTGGTGCTGCTTATAGTGGAGTTGTTAAACTAATAGTGCTATCTCGATAGATTCTATTATTGTTCTCAAGATATTCTTCGGATCTTCGCTGCCTCCACTGCTTAGTTCATCCGTAGGCAAACCTCTTGGTAAATACTATTCACTCTCTATGGTTCCTACAGCTCCTTTTTTCCTACTATCTATGTACGGAGTAACTACTACAGTACATACTACATAAAAGGGATGGGCAACAGGGATGTCTCAATCTAAACGGAACTACTTATCAATAGCAATATCGAAGCTGTTTTATCATTTGCGGGCTCCGAGTACACCGAAAGATCAAGGGCCCACTTCCCTCGCTGCCACTGGCTGACCGGTCGTGGGAGCCATGGATGAGATGAGGCTTCCATTGGTCCAGGGGCTGCCAGGCAGCACTGTTACGGACTAGCGGCGAACGACTCGATGCGGTGAGCGTGCGCTAACTGGAGCATGGTCGGGTCTGATTGGACAGGATCGCCCATGGAATAATTCCATCCATGAGACCATGCATGGCATACTCAGGCGCCAGGTACCGACCTATGTAGTATACCTTAGTTAGTAGTAGTACTAGGTACCTAGGTACTATGTAGTAGTTACCTAATATTGGTTATTATACTACAGAGGATGGGAGTTTATGGTATATAGTATTGGAGTATATATTTGATCGGTCTCAGGATCTACCTAGTAGCTTATATCTGTTTAAATGGACCCATCAAGTATACAGGCAGGATGAGCATATACTACTAGGTAGGTAGTTACTACGGAGCACCTAGGTACCTTAGGTACTACATAAGTACGGAGTACATATTACTCTGCATAAATAGTTGTTGCACGTTCTCTTTCTAGGGCATACAATATGGCCTCCTAAACCCCTATGGTATAATATATATTCTTATATGACGTGAGATCTAGTCTGTTGAGCACTAACTCAAATTACCACCAAATACATATGAACCCATCTTCTCCAGGAAGATACTAAGATGTATCCATCTAGCTAGCCTTCCTACGAGGTACAAATACTACTACCTCCAGTTACCCGCTAGGCTTCTCACCCATGTACGTAGGTACCTATTACTAACCAGCAGCACCTGCTAGGTCTAGTAGGTTAGGTAGTTATAGGACCGCTGGTAACCATGGCCTTCCTTCCAAGTAGCCATGCTTAATCTGACTTACTCCGTATATACTCCGTACCTTGCACCTTGCAAGCTCAACAAGCGATTCTTCCTCCGTATTCAGTACGGAGTAGATCGGATACAAGTCGATCTCTTGGCGATCATTTCAACCGATGGGCTAGAATCGCCCTTGGAAGCATCATTGGTACACGTGGAAAGGATGGGCTTCTACTGCATATGCAGGTTTCACTGCTGCTGAGAATACAACAAACAAAGGAAGAAAAGCCGGTGTCAGGGTGGTAACGCAACGCAACGCAACGCAACGCCGTAACGGTTCCCCGTACAATCTGACTAAGCTCCCGTGCCTACAAATAGAAGCTCGATCTGAAACACTTCGTCATCGGTCACGTGCTGCGTTTCCGTAACGTCGGTAATCCTCGGCCGTGGGTGCAAAGTTTGCTCGCGTTTTCTCCTGTTGACTCGGCACGAATCACCTCACTTACTCTGGGATCAAGGGGTTGGAGGCTCGAACGCCAGCCTGCTTACGTATCCCCCCCCGGCTCGGTGGCAATATGATAAACGTCTAAGGCCCTCTCTGCATCGGATTGACAGTGGGCCTTTGTTGTCGTCATCGACGGTTGATCCCTACCACCTACCTTACTCCGTACCTACCTACTGACAGCCTGACCTTTTCGGACCGATCACGTCTGCTGCCACGCCTTATTATTATTATTATTATTATTTTTTTTTGTTTACCTTCGTGGGGCATTTTTCACCACAAAAAATTATTGTCGAAGGATGGCTCTAGTATCTGGACCTGGCCGGGCCGGTGGAGGTCTGGACGGGCAGACTCTGTGTACTCAGAAGCACGTGGACTATATCAAGAACCTTGATACTGTGCGTGATTCTCATTGCCACTGTCGCGGTTCTCTTGATCGCTGAGGGACATAGGTTGACAATCAGCTCAGAGGCGGGAGGATTTGGAATACTGGTTGACGGAACACTTGCGACTCAATGGCGTGTATTGGGGCTTGACTGCTCTCCAACTGCTCGGCCAGCCGGAAGCTCTCCCGCGTGACGAGACAATCGCCTTTGTGCTCTCTTGTCAGCATGACTGCGGTGGCTTCGGAGCCGCTCCTGGCCACGATCCTCATATGCTCTACACGGTCTCCGCCGTGCAAATTCTGGTCGGTTTGGATGCCGTAGACGAGCTGGACAAAGATGACCGCGGAGGCAAGCAAAAAGTCGCAGCCTGTAAGGAAAATAACAACACACGCCACAAGAGTTTGGTCTTTTAATATGTAAAGTACGGCATGGTACTAATGATTTCAAAGTCATCGCAGGTCTGCAGGACAAAGAGACCGGTTGCTTCATGGGAGACCAGTGGGGGGAACAGGATACCCGGTTTCTCTACGGCGCATTCAACGCTCTGTCATTATTAGGCCTTCTGGATTCGGTCGATGTTCCCAAGGCCGTTTCCTACATTCAGCAATGTGAGAATCTCGATGGAGCCTATGGAATCTGCCCTGGGGCTGAGTCTCACTCTGGCCAAATCTTCACCTGTGTGGCTGCTCTCGCGATTGCTGGACGCTTGGACCTGGTCAACAAGGACCGTTTGGGGGGCTGGCTCAGTGAACGTCAGGTAGACAAGGGCGGGTTCAATGGTCGTCCCGAGAAGCTGGAGGATGCATGCTACAGCTGGTGGGTTGGGTCAAGCCTGGCCATAATCGACCGACTTCATTGGATCGATGGCGATAAGCTTGCAGGCTTCCTCCTACGCTGCCAGGTTTGTGCTTCTTGAGCCTGAACCGACTTAGTGGGTTAACTGACGTGAAGGAATTCAAGGATCCCGACGGTGGTGGCATCGCTGATCGACCGGGTAATATGGTTGATGTTTTCCACACATGCTTCGCCATAGCCGGTCTGAGCCTTTTGAAATACAAAGGTCTGGAAGAAATAGACCCTGTATAGTAAGTGTCTTCTGGATTGCCGATTCTACAAGCTGAAACTGACTAAATTCTAAGCTGTATGCCAAAATCAATTACGAGCAAATGTCTTGCGCAATGAAAGCTGGCTCTTATCTCTATAACCATCTTTTAAGTATTGTCTAGTCTGTAGCTACTTCCCTCCTGCCATCTAATAACCCATTTCCCCTCTCTATCATGGACCTTGGGATACAAGGCAGGAGGAGAATGACCCTCCACTGTGTCTTATACTGCTTCACACCCCTCTATAATGGCTTGGTGAATGGCCATCAAGATACAGTGAGACATATACAGTAGGTAGTAGCCATGAGATAATCTACTAATAAAACCTATACTATTCTGCTCTTAAACTAGAATCTAGATCCTAGGTAGCAATTTATGTGTTTCTATGGCCCATCTACTGACAGTGCTGCGTCTTTCCTAGTCACCTTCCTACTCCGGACAGGACAACCGTTCCTTCTCTCGACTCGACTCGTAAGAACCATTCGTGCCTACCTCACTCCTTCATATTTCTTTCGAACCATCTCCTTCCCTCCAAAGGGGAGCTTTTTCTTTTCCTCATCTTGTTCGCTGCTTCTTGAATACGCTGCATTTCCTCACTCGATCACCCCGTATCCGAATATTCTCCTTCTTGCCCCTTCTAATGCCAGCAACGATTCACATCTCTTACTTGTCGCTTCCTTCGGCCCCCAGGACAGGCGGTTCTTTCGCTCATCCTGCTCTCCTTCCAAGATGGATCCTGCTTCGCTCCTGTGCAGCATCTGTCCCAAGCAGCCCCAGTTCAGCGACGTCTCGCACTTGCTGACCCACGTTTCCTCGAAAGCTCATTTGTCTCACTACTTCAAGCTCCAAGTCCGCAGCCATCAGGAGCCGGGTGCTGGAGACCTTCTCAATGAATATGACCGATGGTACAAGTTCAACGACATCGCCCGGCTACTGTCTAATCGAATGACATCCAAAGAAGCCCGAAAACGGAGAGTCCAAAGCAAGGCAACGGCCCATGGTGCTACGCGTCCGATCAAAAAGGATACAGACAAGAGGGCTATAAAAACACCCACTTCTTTGCCCGAGTTTCTAGATCCTCGCCTTTCTGATCCGTATTCCCGCCCCTCCCTCCAGGAAGACATCGGGCATTCGTTTGATACTACTAGCTATCCACCGCCATCTACGGTCCCCAAAGCATACTTTAATGAGCAGGATGAGATTCAAACATTAGCTTCGGGGAGTATCATTGCTCCGTCCTGGAAAAGGGAACACGAACTGGATTCTGGAGACGAGAGTCTCTCCATTCTACAGTCAAGTCTTCACTGGCCGGAAACACCCAGGATTCGAAGTAAACTGCCTACAGTCTCCTTTTCGGCTTTCCCAGGGGTGGCTCATGATCCGTTTGTGGATGACAACGAGAATGACGCCAATGGTGAAGTGGACATCGACAAGGAGAGAGCGGACGAAATGGCAAGACTCAAGGGGATTCTGTGGCCGGGGATGGATATCTTCGACTCGGCCACAGAGCAGATGAGGCGCAAACGGAACCAAAAGAAGGATGAGAGCATCCTTAGGATGATGGAGAGGACATCCCTCTGTATCGAGCCTACAGAACTAGTCTTTTCTCCAACAGGGATCTTACGAAGGCAGAGAGTCATTTCCGGAAACGTGGAAGACAGCAGCCCGCTGAAAGGGGAGACCCCTGTTCCCAAACGACGCGCCAGCCGTCCAAAGCGTGGCGCCCTTTCCCAAACTGACCCTAACATTGCACCAGGATGTGTCCAAGGAAATAAACGGGTCAAGAAGGAGCAAGGCCATGCAGTAAAAACGCTTTCTCCCAACTCGTCTCTATCGAGCACCCTCTTTCTCCGAAGCCCGGTTCCACTTCATTCGTTATCCAGTCGCAATGGTTTCTACCCCAGTTCTTACCTTGAAGACGACAACGAGGATTTGAGGCTGTCCATGGCCGTGTCCGAGCCGAAGGCTCGTGGGGGATTCCCGGTCTTTCATGATGAACAACACTCTGCACACAATGTGGGCTTCAAGAATCACCGTTCCGAAACCACCAGTGACTCTTCAAACCCCTTCTTACCCCGGCCAGAAACGTCCGTGTTCAACTCCATGTCGACATTTGCTGCCAGTACATACCCGTTGCGGTATTCTGGGGAAACGGGGCTCAACGCCGCGGGAAAGGAGAACGTCGAGCCTGTGATGAATGGATATGGTAAAATCGAGACACCGGGTCCTTGGCACTCCCCCCTGGCCAAAAGATCCTTCTCGGGGGACATGGGGTTACCGTCTCAGGTACTCTTCGGAGACCTCGGTGGTGTCGAATTTGGTGCCTTTGAAGATCTGTCCGGATACTCTTTCAACCCTTTGGTTGCCTCGTTTAGTCGATTAGCTGCACACGAGCCACACCTCTACGCTCCAGCGAAGACCCCCGAGTACGAACAGAAGCCGGCTGCGCGTATCCATTCCCCCAACGGCACTATCTCCGATATCGAGCATGATGATTTCGAACGACTCTACTTGGATGGAAGCACTCATTAAAAGCAAAGCGGCGTCTAGGCAGTGAGATCCTTTCAGCGGCGGTCTATATTCATTCTTCTTCCTCTTTTTTCATACAATTACCATTCGAGAGCGACATCTTTGCATCATTATTCGGCTTTGAGCATCATTTTTTTTTTCTTCTCGACACTGTCGTCGCTTATAATGGCGTTATCGGGACAAAGGGGGGGTCGTGCTATAGATATCGACCAGAACGTTGCTCGGACCAGTTCGAAGAAGTTCACATGAGCCATGTCTATCTTTTTCTGCTAGCAGCAAGAGATTAATGATAGTTATATACTTTATGGACCTGGCGAATAGAACATTCATTTGTTATTGATCAGTGCCTACCTCACCACCTACCTAGTAGTTACTACTTATAAACTACGTTGAAGATACCGTACTAATTATATTCCCTAATACAGCAAGCGCGCCTCGTTACGATTAGATAAGCTCAGCTCAGCGCGTCTTCAACGCGCGCGTCTTTCGTCCGGCGGCGAACATGGGTGCTTGAAACGGTGTCGGGCAACGCAACGTCTTACCGATGCCGCACAGGACTCGATAGATCAGGGTTTTATTACTCCCGATCTTCAATCGTCGCATTTTGGTTGATTGTGAAGCTTCAACAGAGAGTGAACTCATCTCTAGACTCGACGATACCTTCCTTACCTTGCTCTCGGGCTGGCAAGCAAGGAAGACAGTCCCATACAGCTCAACCTGGACAAACCCATCATTCTCCAGGAGACCTATAAACACTGGATAGGCAGTCATGTCACCACCTCTATCTTCCCAGACGTCGTCCACGTCCCCGAGCCTCAAACGGAAACAGCCGACCATCTCGAGCTTCTTTACAAAGAAACCTTCCAGAAGCGAGGAGCAAGCATCCAGCGAGGCTGGGACTCGCCAGGAGGTGAAATCGCTGGCGCCAATTTCTGCCGGCAAGGAAAATATAGTGTCGGTGGCGAAGGACCATTTGGAAGACGAGGAAGACGAGGAAGACGAGCCAGTTGTGCTCCGTCCGTCCAAGCGGGCCCGAACGAACGATTTCCACCATGAAGACGCAGATACTGGTGCTACGACTGAGCGATCTCCGCATGCCCTGCCGCAGAGTGGTAGTCAGCGTACCGAGCGGTTCAAATTTACAAGCTCTCGAGACCCGACGGATGGCCTGGAAGGGGAGACCGAGCTAGAAAAAAGGAAACGGCAAAAGGAGAAGGATAAACTGCATGAGCGCTTTGTGAAGAGGCTCGGAGGGTCGGACTGCGCCATCGGAATTGGAAGACGACAGGTAGAGGCCGAGACGGTACCGGGGGTAGAGGATGTTGGCGAGGGGGAGGAGGATGAAGAAGCGCAGCCGCCACCGCCTGTGAAGGGGAAAGCCGCAAAGAAGGGCGGCAGCAAGCTGACGCCGCTGGAGAGCCAGGTTGTCGAAATCAAACGCAAGCATATGGATACCGTGTTGGTTGTGGAGGTCGGGTACAAGTTCCGCTTTTTCGGCGAAGATGCGAGGATAGCGGCCAAGGAGTTGAGCATCGTCTGCATCCCGGGAAAGTTCCGCTTTGACGAACGTAAGTCCAGAAAGACATAAACTACCTTCCATGTTTTGTTCTTTATGTTTTCTGCGGAGTGTGCGGAACTAATCGATCTTCCGACCATAGACCCTTCAGAGGCCCATTTAGATCGATTCGCATATGCCAGCATTCCTGTTCACCGACTCCATGTCCACGTTCGACGGCTTGTTGCTGCAGGCCATAAGGTCGGCGTTGTTCGACAGCTTGAGACGGCTGCGTTGAAAGCTGCAGGCAGTAATCGCAATGCACCCTTTGTCCGAAAACTCACCAACCTATACACCAAGGGGACTTATATTGATGATGTAGATGGTCTAGAGGGAAACATGGGTGCTGCCTCGGGAGGGGTGTCTCCGGCGACGGGCTACATGTTGTGCATAACGGAGACGAATGCGAAAGGATTTGGGAACGATGAAAAAGTCCATGTGGGTATCATCGCCGTCCAGCCAGCTACGGGAGACATCATCTACGACGACTTTGAAGATGGGTTCATGAGGAGCGAGATTGAAACCCGCCTCCTACATATCGCGCCCTGTGAATTTCTGATTGTCGGGGAGCTATCGAAAGCGACGGAGAAACTTGTGCAACATCTTTCAGGCAGTAAGACCAATGTCTTTGGCGACCAGGTGCGGGTCGAGAGGGCGATGAAGCAGAAAACGGCCGCCGTCGAAGCACACAGTCACATCTCATCGTTCTACGCCGGCAAGATGACGGCAACTAGAACCGAGGAAGATGTGCAGGCGAGCAATCTGCTTCAAAAGGTGCTCAGCCTGCCCGAACAGGTCACTATCTGTCTTTCAGCCATGATCAAACACATGACGGACTACGGCCTAGAGCATGTCTTCGATCTGACCAAGTATTTCCAGTCCTTTTCTGCGCGATCCCACATGCTGCTGAACGGGAACACCCTGATGAGCCTGGAGATTTACCAAAACCAAACAGATTACTCGGCCAAGGGGAGCCTCTTCTGGACACTGGACCGCACTCAAACCCGTTTTGGACAAAGGCTGCTACGCAAATGGGTTGGACGCCCATTGCTGGACAAAGCCAAGTTAGAGGAGCGGATCGATGCTGTGGAAGAGCTGAAAAGTCCAGAACGGTCTGCTCAGGTCGAGCGTATCAAGGCGCTGCTCAGCAAAGTGAGGAGTGACCTGGAGAAGAGCTTGATTCGCATCTATTATGGAAAAGTGAGTGCTTTTTTCCCCCCCCCCCCCACCCAGTACTCGACTATATGACGCTGACGATAACCACCTTGAAAGTGCACGAGACCAGAGCTCCTTACCGTTCTTCAGACCTTGCAGATGATTGCCATGGAATTTTGCGACGTCAAGTCTCCTGCCGACGCTGGATTTGCATCTCCAGTACTTGGCGAGGCCCTCGCCACGCTGCCCACCATCTTGCAAACCGTTGTCTCATTTCTAGACAAGATCAACATGCACGCAGCGAAAAAGGATGACAAGTACGAGTTCTTCCGCGAGTCCGAGGAGACCGACGCCATCAGCGAATACAAGCTCGGCATCGCTGGTGTTGAGCACGAGCTGCGGGAGCATCGCTCCACGGCCGCGGCGGTGATCGGGAAAAAGGCGGTCGACTATGCTACCGTGGCAGGGATCGAGTACCTGATAGAGGTCGAGAACAACTCGCCCTCTCTGAAGAAAGTGCCCGCATCCTGGGTCAAGGTCAGCGGGACGAAGAAGCTATCGCGCTTCCACACCCCCGAGGTCATCCACATGCTCCGGCAGCGGGACCAACACAAAGAGGCCCTTGCCGCGGCGTGTGACCAGGCATTCAGCGCTCTCTTGGCGGAAATTTCGGCGAACTATCAGTCCATCCGGGACTGTATCCAATCGCTGGCGACGCTTGACTGCCTGCTTTCGCTGGCCGCGATCGCCAGCCAGCCAGGGTATGTGAAGCCGGAATATACCGAAGAAACGTGTATCTGCGTCGAAAAGGGCCGCCATCCGATGGTGGAGCAGCTGCTTCTTGACAGCTACGTGCCGAACGACATCAAGCTTGAGAGCGAGCAGACGCGCGCGCTTCTTGTCACGGGGCCCAACATGGGCGGCAAGTCGAGCTACGTGCGCCAGGTTGCTCTTATTGCAATCATGGGCCAGATCGGATCCTATGTGCCAGCCCAGTCGGCGAAGCTAGGCATGTTGGACGCCGTTTTCACCCGGATGGGCGCGTTCGACAACATGCTTGCCGGCGAGTCGACGTTCATGGTGGAGCTCTCCGAGGCAGCCGACATCCTCAAGCAGGCCACGCCGCGGTCCCTGGTCATTCTGGACGAGCTCGGCCGCGGCACGTCCACGCATGACGGCGTCGCCATCGCCCAGGCCGTCCTAGACCACATGGTGCGGTCGATCCGCAGCCTGACCCTCTTCATCACCCACTACCAGCACCTCTCCCGTATGGTGGATTCCTTCCCGAACCATGAGCTGCGGAACGTGCATATGCGTTTCACCGAGTCCGGCTCTGGGGATGACGAGGAAATTACCTTCCTCTACGAAGTCGGCGAAGGCGTCGCCCACCGCAGCTATGGCCTGAACGTCGCACGACTGGCAACGTTGCCGGCCTCTGTGATAGACGTGGCGAAGCAGAAGAGCGCCGAGTTGGAGGAGAAGATTCGCCGGCGTCGAATAGCAGGCATTGTCGCGGCCGTGGGAACGATGCTCGATGAGCCCGGCATCGGAGATGACTCGTTGTTCGACCGGTTGATCACCAATGCAGAGCAGCTTTAGGTTCAGACTTATTACTGCATGTATATGCATCTACTATCTGTATACTTTTTTAATGCCAGGCCTTATCTATGGATACTGACGACCAGTTCAACTGTTCCTCTTCTTCAGGACCAATTTATGCCTCAGGCAGCACACGTAGTATTGACTAAGCCCACGTGCGTCACCGATAAGAGTCATACCCCTCCAAAATCTGAACAGCAGCTCCGACTTCGTCCCCGCCAACCTTGAACCCATTTCAATTGACCCTGCTACCTGTGAATTGACTGTCAATTACACACTTTTAAATCTTGCCGCGATTGAATTACAATGGATCTCGTCAACCAGTGCGTCAATTGCTGCCGAATTGGGTCTATATATATGCTAATATGCTCAGCCTCGAAGGGAGACTGCTCTTTGCCGTGCCTAAAAGTGAGCTTCATTGTTTTCGCGGGAGTGAGCGATTTTCTGGGGTGACCAAGGCTAATCTGCGAAGAGGGCCGTCTCCAGCAATCGACGCTGGACCTGCTTTCAGGCTCGGACATCCAGTTCCGTCGCGAAACGCGGCTCGACATCGCTCTGGTCAAGAACCTCCCGATTGCGCTGATTTTCCTCCCTGCGGCAGACATCCCCACCTTCATCGGCGAGGGCCGGGTAGACCTTGGGATCACAGGGCGCGACCAGGTTGCCGAACACGACGCCCAGCTGCCTGCCGGGGAGACGTCGGGCGTGGAGGAGATCCTGGATCTGGGTTTCGGCCGGTGCAAGCTGCAGGTGCAGGTGCCCGAGAAGGGACCCCTCACTGACCCGAAGGAGCTGGTCGGCAAGAACGTCGTCACCAGCTTCACAGCCCTGACGGAGGCCTTCTTTCGTCAGCTCGAGGGCGGCGAGCTCAGCACCAAGATCAAATATGTGGGTGGTAGTGTTGAGGCGGCGTGTGCGCTGGGTGTTGCCGATGGCATTGTCGATCTCGTGGGTGCGTTTTTTTTTTTTTTTTTTTTCTCTTCCCTCGTTCTGTTGTTCTCTTAAAGCGGGGGGTTTCCATTTGGACCAGCTGACAACAAGTGTAAGAGTCCGGTGAGACTATGAAAGCCGCCGGCCTGAAAGCCATCGATACTGTTGTGGAGAGCACCGCGGTGCTGGTCAAGTCGCGGAACACCAACAACTCGCTCGTGGAGCTCATCACCTCGCGGATACGGGGTGTGATCAGTACGTTGTCTCTCTCAACCACTGTCGGAGCTTGTTTCAAATGGCAGATACTAATTGGCAGCCGCCCAAAAATACGTGCTCTGCCAGTACAACATCCCGCGGACGGAGCTGGCCACCGCGTCGCAAATCACGCCGGGCAAGCGCGCGCCGACGATCACCGCGCTCGAGGAGGAGGGCTGGGTGGCTGTCAGCTCGATGGTGGAGAAGAAGGCGATCGCCACGGTGATGGACGAGTTGACCAAGGTTGGGGCGACGGATATTTTGGTCTTGAACATTGCCAACTCGCGGACTGGCTAGCTTCTTTCTTTCTTGGGATTGTAGAATTGAAAAGCATCTTGAATACTATACTACATAACTAGTAACTATACATATACTATTGTTATAGTCATGCTATATATGTGTATGGGTATGTATGGGTATGTATGGGTATCTATAAATCGAGTGTACTACCGTTCAACGTTCATACCAACACCTTCACGTCTCCCCCTGACCAACGCACGCAGACACTGCCCGACTCCCTCCAGATCCCCAAGAAGACCAACATGCCCGCGATCGCTCTTGACCAGTCCGTCCTTGATAATCCGGTATCCAGCCGGGAGCATCGCCGCGGAGGCGAGACAGACGCCGTCCCCCGCGGCGAAGGCCAGATCGTCATACGCGTCCTGGCACTGGATGGTTTCGCGCGAGGAGACGCGCGCCCCGTACACGGTTGGCACGGATTTGCCGTACAGCACCGCGAAGGGCGGGTATCTGTTCTGCGACTGGTGGGTGGGGTTGAAGGCCAGCTCGGTCTTGAACTGTTTGATCTCCGCGAGGGTGCGGCGCAGGTATGCCATTGCTGCAGGGCGAGGGATCGTGCATACCTGGCCGATCTTGGTGGTGGTCGTGGTGGTGCGTGGACTCGTCGGCGGGGCGGCCACGCTGTTGACTGAAGATTCTAGGGCGGCCACAGCCTTGGAAGTGGTATTGGGTTGTTGTTCTTGTTCTTGTTCTTGTTCTTGTTCTTGTAGAGCATTATTTTCTTGTAGAGTATTGTGTTGTTCTGGTAGAGTACTTTGTTGCACCTCATTCCCGATCTCTGGTCCGTCCATCTCTTGGCCAAACATACTTGACAGCCGCTTGGGAATGCGCGCCTTGTTCTGCAGCTGGTCGATGAACCCCGTGCCGCGCGAGGCCGACGACGACGCCGGCAGAGCAGGCTGGAGGCACGGGGACAGCCGGTGTGTGTCCCAGGCGTCGGCGGAGAAAAAGTCCACGGGATACTCCTCCTTTGTCTTGCGGTTGATGAAGCACCGGCCGTCCTCGGGCAGGAGGGCGAAGCTGGTGCGGAAGGTGAAGTTGACCTGGGCGGTGAGCACGCGCGAGCTGAGCAGGACGTCGTCGCCGTTGCGTAAGGGTCCTAGAATGTTGACGCAGTGCTGCGGGACGCCCGCGTAGAGCACGCCGGCAAACAGCTCTGGCCGCTGGTTGACGGCGTGGCGGGTGATTAGGCCGCCCAGGCTGTGGGCGATGACAATGGCGCCCCGTCGCTCGGGGGGCATATTGGGCGAGTTGCAGGGGAGACCCTCCAGGTAACGGATGAGCTGGCGGGCCAGCAGGTGCGGGCTCAGTCGCCAGTCGTACCCGTAGTCCCAGACGCGGAGGTCGCCGCGCACGGCGTTGTCGCACTTCTGCAGCTGGCGGAGCAGCCGGCGGCAGATGTCCACCGGCCCGATGTGCGACAGTACGCCGGACGGGATGATCCGCTCGGGCATCGTCTCCTCGTCTTCTGGCTCCAGGCCGACCTCGAGGTCGACCTTGCGCAGGTTCAGGCCTACCTTCATCGGTACCCATAGCTGGCGGTGCGGTGGTTTGGCCGACCGCAGGATCGAGCCTCGGTACCCGCCCATGACAACCACGTCGCCTGTCATTTCCGACATGGCTTCGGAGAGGATCGGGTACAGGCTGGCCGAGTTGCTGCGGGGGGACGGCTGTGGAGATGGCAGGCCACCATTATTAGTAGTAGTAGTAGTAGTAGTAGTGGTGTTGGTGGTGGTGGTAGTATTGGTAGGTTCAGGAACCGTATGACTTTTCACCCCATTGCTAGTGTGATTTCCTCCATTGCTCGTAAAGGAATTCCCCGAAGTAGGAGGATGCATCCGTTGATGCACATCACTCGTAAAAGGCCGGTACCCCCATTCGGTACGAAAGTCCTGCAGATGCAGAGTCGGCATGCTAAGCAAGCGACTGCTGGAGTCCTGGAGACTGTCCTTGATCGCCTTGAAGCGGCTGTTCACCTGCGAGTGGATGTTTTCGTACCGTGGCCGCTGTTCGAGCGACGACGCGGTTGACGAGGCCCGCAGGTATAGCGAATGGTCCGACGCCGACCGGTGAAGACTGCGCGGGCGACCGTTGACCGACACGCTGGGGCGGCGCGTGTACGAGTGTTTGGCCGCGCCGGTCGCATCGAGACCCTGCAAGTCCGGGACCAACTCGTCGGTCGGGCTATGATGTAGGTTTGAGCATGATCTCCAGAATCCATCTGTCTGCTGCTGCTGCTGCTGCTGCTGCTGCCGCGGTTGCTGTCGCGGCGACTCCTCGTCCGAGTGGCTCGGCGATGTGTTACTAGACAAATAGCCCTGGCGATTCTGGTTTGACGACGAGCCGGAGCGGAATGCCAGCGTCGAGCGTTTGGCTAGCGATCCGAGGTCCGGTAGGAACTTCTTTTTCAGATTAGTGATCGCATCGCCAGACCACGCGCGCGATCGCAGAGGCAGGCCGTTCTTCAGAATCGACCGAGTGAAGCTAGTCCGTTGGCCGTCCTTTGGTTTTGTTGCTGCTGTTGCTGCTGCTGACGTTGCCGCCGTTCCCGACGTCGTTGTCGCGGGAGGCTTCGCGTGCGATGTCTCCTCCGATGAGCTCTGAACGAGCGACTCCGGCTCGGCAGTGATTTCAGGAAGAAAGGTGTTCTCCTTCTCCCCGTCGTCGTCATCCGGGATGGTCTCGAAGAAGCCTCCGTGACGTTCCATCATGCGAGTCTTCTCCTCCGCGGGAGTCCGGCGGGCCTTCATCCGGCTCTGGGTGCGACTGATGCTGACGCCGACCATCTCGTCGGCCTCATCCTCCTGCACGAGGTCGACGGAGCGTCTCGCCGGGTCATCGCTGTCTGAACCCGACAGGGTGTTGGTGTACTGCGGTTCCTCCATGATAGCTCTTCACCAACGATTGCCCTGGCACCAACAAACCCGTAGAAAAAAAAAATTGTCGCTATAGCGAGTTCTGAGCCGAGCACAATTCCATCACAGGGCCAGAAAAATAATTCCTCCCGAAAAAAAGCAACGTGTAGTTATTAAAATATGGAGAGAGAGAGGAGGGGTTCTCTTCTGCCCAAGCGAGGTTGTCGTCTTCGTCGCCGTCGCCGTCGCTCTCTCGCTCGTGGGAAGATCGAGTCAAGATCTGAAGCGGGAGTGTCTACTGTAAGAAAGAAGCCAAGTTCAGTCGCTCGAGCTGTAGAGACGTCAAGGATTTATCAGCAACAATCCATGACAGTTGACGAGAGGAAAAAAGATCCACTTGGGGTGTGGGCACAGCCTCCGGCAGCTCCGGAAGACGACGTTTCGCAACTGTTGGTGACTGACGGAGAACGGCAGTTGGAGGCGTCGGTTAGTTTAGCTGTCTGCCTGGATAAGAATACGGCGAAGAGCTCAAGTCTGTAAGACGCAGTTTGACGGTGCTGCTTGAGGACTGGAATACTGTAGTATCTTGTATCTGTACGGGGTCCTGCTAATCCGAGTGAGATTATAGCACGAGTATGGAGCTATACTAGTACATCATCTGCTCAGCACTAATGCTGTAATAATATGGTTCAATTTCTATTTCAAATTTCTCTATGGAGATAATAATACGAATACTAATTACTTACTCCCTTATAGTTACACCATGATGTAATCTAGATCGTGCCAAGATGTGGAGTGAACATGATCGGCGGTTTATAGATCAGAATAGACTCATCCATCGAGTATACAGAGTACTATTCTTCAGTAATCCATTCTCTAAGAATAGATTACTTTGATCCTCGCAGCTCCCCTGTACGGATCTCCTGCTCGCCCTCGCGCGCAATTGCCTCGTTCCTCGCTGCTCCCTCGCTGTGGCCAAACGTTTTGTCTACCGCCGCGTTGAACGTCCCTCGTACCGATTCCCCGGCGCCCTATGCAGTATACAGTCAGAATAAATAGGAATGGTAAATGTGGGTATGAAATAGGAATGGGAAGAACAAGAAGAAAAAGACGTACGTGAAGACCGGCTGCCATAGAACGAATATTCTCTGCAATACCGCCGCTTGTTGAGCCCTGTTCATCGGCTCTGTACACGGTCGGACTCTCTGATGAGTCGTATCCGGCTTCCGAATCGCGTTGCTCGGTTTTCAGGGAGTCACCGACGTAGCCGGCCCCTGTTGAAGGGTTATACTTGGTCTGTGCCGGGTCGTACTGTGCCCGCGTGTCGGTGCGACCGGGTACCCCCGGTACACCGGTCGAGGAAGCTCTCGGCGGAGGAGGAGGAAGAGTTGTAGAGCTGGTGTCGACTCCTGTTCGGTCGGTGGGTGCGCGAGAAGCAGCGGAGCCCGTCTGGTTGGTTGTCTTGGTAGTCATGGCGCCTGTCTTGCTGTCGACGCGGGGGTCGAGCTTGTTCATCAGCGACGACTCGTGCGGGCCGTAGTTGGACGCAGACGACGGCGAGGGGAGCTGCTGCGTGGTTCCTGGATGGAAGTTGCCCGAGAGAGTCGTCCCAGGGGCGTACTGGGCGCGGTTGTTCAGGTCGCTGTCCACGCGCGGGTCGAGTTTGTTGGCCAGGTCAGACCGATGAGGCCCAGCAGTCGTCGGGGCAGGGCCGGTGCGAGGGTCAGCAAGACTGGCAACACCTCCTACCTTGGTCTTGGGGTCTGTGGACATGAATCAGTTCAAGCTTTGATCTCGTATACCTAGGTATGTTCTGGAGAAGTTCTGATGTGGCTGGTTTGTCTGCTAAAGGTCCGCCATCATCGTTATAGTGACGTCAGGTTGACCTCAAGGCCTGCCAGATGATTGTCTTTATTGTCTTACGATAGTTATTATATACTACATTTAATCTAGAGAAGAATGGTGCTTATACTCATAACCAAAGGCTATAGTGGTACTGTGCTGCCTCAGTCCTCCTCATGGAGATTCGACTCCAGTGGCTAATCTAGACGAGTGACTGCCACCCATGTTATAAGGATCTCTATGAAACTATCCATGGTAGTCATACCAAAAACAGGTCAAGTTCTTGGGCTTCACTGGAACCGTAGGTTGCTGCCTGTGCTTGATACTTGAATGAGAACATTCACCTGAGAACATTCACTTGATTCTTCTCAGTAATACTTCTCAGAAATCTTTCTCATAAATCCTTCTCAGGAATTTCTTCTCTCGTACTTCTCCGATACTTCTCTCATACCTCTCTCTACGAAACTGACAATACACTATTTGAGCTTCTTTGTGATACTGATATTCTCTATGGCTGTCTACACGCTCCCGCTGGTGATACCGAAGAAAAGGCGAGTCGAAGAGGTTCCTGAGCTCGAAGCCGAAAGTGACAGGCTTGACCAGGAGGCCAAGACGGCGAGACAGAGACTCGGCGCCCATTCGTTCAATGCGGAGTTCTGGACGAAAGTTGCAGAAGTCGAAACGATTATCCTGCAGAAGACGAGTATCGCCTCTGAGATCTCCTTGGCTAGATTCACTGGACCAGAGTCGAAATGGGAGGAGGGTGAAGAGGCGAAGAAGCTTTTCCAACAAATCAGAGCGCATCGACATCTGGTTTCTTCATTTACAGCCTACAGCGAATGCCTCACAACCAGTTCGTCTGGAATGGGAATTGCCAGGTCAGGGGCTAGAAAACGAGACAATCGGCAGACGGAATTTCGACGGCAACTGCTCGCAGACTACGCAAGTCTCGACCCTACCAGGCTATTATGCGTGGTGTCCGATCACCCATCGATATGTTCCCGAGTCGTCAGTAACAGCAGCACACTTCTTTTCATACAAGCATGGGTAAGAGACCATGGACGCCATCTTTGGCAAAACGGAACTGATCTCCTCTGAAAACGGATTTATCGTCTCTTCCACGATCAAGGAGCATTTCGACTCTGGCATATTTGTCATCGTTCCTGACGTGCCAGAAAAGGCTCCCTTCCAGACGATCTTCCACTGAATGGGCTAGGAAATCCGGAACTTCAAGATCAAGATCATCGACAAGCAATGGCCCCTACTGAACTGCGGCATCTTTACCCTGGATGATGAGCCGAAGTGGAAAGATCTGGATGGTCGGAAATTGGTCTTCCGGGGTACCTGCAGACCGGCAGCTCGTTATCTGTATTTCCATTACTGTCTCCAACTTCTCCGCCGAGCATGGAAAGCCGGTCCTGGAGAGGAGGCCGCTGCCTGGTCTCTCCAGGATGAGCTTGCAGAACCTCTCCGGGCAGTACCGGGAAGATACATCTCAAAGAACATGCTTCAGGCTTTCATCGACGAGCTAGGCCATGAGTACAAGGATCTTCTACTCGGAAGCAAAGCAATCAAAGACAGGGCCAGTCTATTGCTTGATACTGCTGCTGTACAGATTACAGACAGCGACAGAACTAGCGACAGCTCCGAGGAAAGTGATGACGACTACTAGAAGGGTCACCATGTGGTTGTTGCTCAGCCTGGTAGAACAGAACTTCCAAGGCTTCAATTGAAAATTATATCAGTCTTTAGATATCCCTGCAGACCTAGACTAGTATTCATCATAGCCAATTATTCTCGTATTATTCAATCTTATGCTACTTCCACCTGCATAGACTTCTTATCGTAATGCTTATCTCTGCCGAGGTTGTTTCATACGGAATATTTGGCAGTGATCAATAGCAATACTTACAAATACCCTCTCTCTCTCTCTCTCTCTCTCTCTCTCCCTCTCCAGCTGATTTATCTCATCGTTACTACTGATACTAAATACAAAATGCAAAACAAACAAATTATATACACCAACCCCCCCTCGGCAGGGATAAACCCCTCCCTTAACGGCGGCACATTCAGTCTGCAGACCGTCTCCCTCGCCGACAAAGACCACCTCCCCGCCGACAAGATCCTCGTACGCGTGCACTACCTCTCTCTCGACCCAGCCATGCGTCAATGGCTAACAGCCAAACGGTCGTACATTGCGCCCGTGGAACGCGGGGCCGTCATGCGCGGACAAAGCATCGCCAGAGTCATCTCCGTGGGCAGCCAACTCACCGACTCCCCCTTTCAACCAGGGGACTGGGTACTCGCCTACTCTGGTTGGCAGGAATACGCTCTTCTCTCGAGCACGGAAATACAGCAAATCGCCTTCCCGCCCGGTGGAGGAACACCCACGGACGCCCTCTCGGTACTTGGCATGACCGGCTTGACGGCGTACTTTGGTTTACTGGATGTCGGGAACCCTCGGCCAACTGATACGGTGGTCATCTCCGGTGCAGCAGGGGCAACGGGGATGGTGGCAGGGCAGATCGCTAAGAAAGTGCGTGGTGCGAAGCGCGTGGTCGGGTTGGCGGGCAGTCAAGCCAAGTGCGACATGCTGGTGAAGGAGCTGGGTTTCGACGCCGCGATCAACTATAAAGATGCGGATTGGAGGGAGCAGCTCAAAAAGGCCACGCCGGAGTACATCGATGTGTTTTTCGATAATACTGGCGGCGACATTCTCGATGCCTGTCTGGCCAGAGCGGCGCGGAATGCCCGTTTCGTCATCTGCGGTGCTATCTCCCAGTACAATGCTACGAAACCGCAGGGACCGGCCAGCTTCATGACTGTGATTGTATGTTCCCACCCTTTGAATAATGGCTTCTTGCTAATTGGTAGTCCCAACGCATCACGATGAAAGGTTTCATCGTCTTCGACTACGCGAAACAGTACGGAGCCGCTTTACAGGATCTTTCTACCTGGCTAGCGCAGGGTTTGATCAAACGCAAGGAAACCATCGTCCCTGGCGGACTAGAGGCCGCGCCGCAGGCTCTGGTAGATCTCTACGCGGGCGCTAATACGGGCAAGATGATGGTCGAGGTGGCTCCTGTCAAGCCGGCAGCCAGGCTGTAGTATAATCTTCGAAGTACGGAGTAAGGAGATAAGAGACATTCCTAGTCATTTCAGATGATCCACACACACTACCACGTCGTAGATCCATTCCGACCGGAGCACTTCCGACGCGGTGATGCGGCGATGGGCGTTGGGACAGAGCATGGCGTAGATCACGTTGCGACAGCGAGTCTAAAATCAGCAGTTAGTCATGGAGCACTGCTAATTCCCCAGGAAGAGTGATGTACCCCCCCCAGTCCATCGATGGGAGAAAATCCCTCCTCTCTTCTCCCCCGCAGATACTCTCCGTACCCGCCGTCTTCGTCCTCGCAAGCCACTCGCCACAGTAGATGGCCGGTCCGCATCGCCACGTACACCAGACCGGCCGCCCACACGTCCCCGGCTCGAGCGTCATAGGATTCGTCTTCCTGCGGTAGTAGAAAAGAGTCGTCGCCACCGTCTAGCTCCTCGGGCGCGGTGTACGGGATCGTCCCGGACATGCGCCGTCGGGTGGCCTTCTTCTTACGGCTGCGACGCGGGGTGCACCCGCTCTGCTGGTCGACCCATTCTGCGTTACCGAAATCGGCCACTTTCACCTCGCCGGACGAGGTGACCAGGATGTTCTCCGTCTTGAGGTCGCGGTGGGCGATGCCTTGCTCGTGCATGAACTCCACGCCACGCATCATCTGTTTGAAGAAGCAGTCCGACTCGATGGGGTCCAGTCTGCCCGCCTGGACGATCAGGTTCTGCAGATCGCCCCCAGCACAAAATTCCATCACAAAGCAGAGATCGTTCCGTTCATCGTGCAGGCAGTCGATCAGGGTGATGATGTTGGGTTGGCCCTGCAGGTGGGAAAGGATCCGTTGCTCTAGCAGATGCGAGTCGGTCAGGTTCGACGGTGCGGAGTGGCGGAAGACTTTGACGGCGTACATCTGCTTGGGCGTCTTGGCCGAATGCGCTCCCCGGCCCGAGACCTTTTTGGCATGTAGTCTGACCGAACTCGTGGAGCCGTAGTGGAGGACATCCGTGCAGGAGCCGTACTTGTCCGTGAAGCTGGCCAGGGGGTCTAGATCCTTGGGGGGACTCGTCACGAGCGGCTCTCGCTGTCTCTCGTGTGCTTCATCATCCTTGCTCTCCGCTAGCCAGTGTGACAATATATTGTGCAGACCTGGAAGAAGGCGTTTGGAATCTTCTCTGGAACTCAACAGGTGACGGTGGCTACCGTCTGGGAGAAACTCAACGGTGGGGGAGCGAGAGGGCTTGTGGTGATGGTGATTATCGTATCTGTTAGCCGTGATGGTTGTCATAGTGGGAACAAATTTGAAATTAGTAGTAGGATTGTAGGACTACACGAGAAGCAGATATTCATCGTCCTGCGAGTATCGACATCATCGTAGTCGTAGTCAAGGTGAGTCGTAATTACTACCCAGGCAATATAGCACTACTAGTATCTCATGCGATATATGTGTATCCTGACTCAAAAAACGGTCAGCTCTCTGCTGCAGTGCCGGTGACAATTCGCTGGAACAAAAGACGCAGCTTCCATGGGACGTGCAATATTCTGTAACCGCCAATTCTGCTGCATTTTCGCCATGAGGGATTTTCATGAAGCCAGAAAGAACCACGGGTCGACCGCACTTTCCTTGTTGGTAAATCACGTGAGCCCACGGGACACGTCACACGTCACACCTCGATCCTGACCGCTCGCTGGCGGCAAGAAGCCACAACCAAGCTTTTCCTGCGTCTTGGCCACTTTGCAGTGCCCCCTTTTCCTTTCCCCAACAGCAGCAGCCGCCGCTGCTGCTGCTTGGCCCGTGCGAGATGAGCGAAGAGCTGCGGGATTTTCTTCGTCGACTCGCGATAGGGACTTTGCGTTCTTTCTGCCGACACGGGACGGCGGTGACGTTGAGGCACGACGCGCGATAGGGGGACTTTTGGCCAGGAAAAATCCCTCAGGAAGCACCCACAGGCGCTCTATTTTTGTGGAGAGACCAATTTCTTTCTCTAGACGATGCGGGATTTGCGACATGAGGATATTGGTGATGGGTGGGAGTATGCCCACTCAGTATGGGATGTGGTATGCCTGCCCACTCAATACGACTAGACTGCTAAACTGCTAGACTGCGAATTAACTGCTACTGCTGACGTTGATATTCAGCCTGCAGGATGCAACGCTCGGGGCAACTGACAACACTGCTATATACTTTAACTCATCGTTCATTGGTGGGAGACTCAGATAAGGCCTGATTAGTGAAGATGGAGACCCAGACGCTCTGATGGGGAAACCGAACCCCTTGGAGTATAGAAGAACCCACGCCCCCAGCACCGGTGGAGACTGAATAAGAGATACCACGTTCACTGCTCCGTACATCTGTCATTGCTGGTCTCATCCTTCCGAGAAAACTGGTGTCATAGAAACTCCGCGGTTGCATTGCGTGGATGCCACTACCTAACTAGTAAGGAACCTCGCTCAAATGCTAACACGAGAAAGCGAGAGGACACTCTGTGGGATCACCTACCTGGCCTATCTGAATGAGGGAGGTCCATGCCTTGAACGCCTCCCTGCAACCCTGTCTATGATCTCATACAGTTGGGAGGAGTGTTGGAGGGTGAGGTTTTGGAATAGTATCTGCCCACTGTCTCTCTCTGTCCACTGGTTGAATGACTTGCGTCGGGATGACAGCTCACACATGGAAATCAACTGACAGACAGACATCATGGTGAGAGAAGCAAAGAAGCCAAACTATTCATATTCTTAATTCCCTCGCCAATCATTCGTGGTGAATCAAGCAGCTCCATGGGTCGACCGGGCGTGGCAATGCAAACGTACCGCATATTTCTTTTTGTTTTGATTTTACCCACCTCCATAGCTATTAGCTACCTCTCTCTGATCGGACTTTAATTTCTTTTTTCTTTCGCCCCAGTCTAATTAGCTAATGTAAAGATGGGAAAGCGTGCAGGCTCCAGTCGAGGGTTTTTGCAACGGGTAAGAAGTTGGAACTAAGAAGGACCCCCAACCCATATGGGAATCGTCGTTCCTGGCTCAGCTCGACAGTCATGGCGAAAAAGGATAAATACCTCTAGCAGAGCCTGTCTGAATCTCTTTCCATCCTAGGTGTTCTATCCTTCCTTCGCGTCATCTTTCCGTTTGCTGTGCTGCCCGAGTGCGGGAGAGTAGACTGCTCTCTCTCGAAATCTTCTCCCTCCCGGCCAGTTCCTCTAGGCTAGCTTTCTCTCCCTATCTCCCTTCCTTTCCCCCTCCTTTTCTTTTCTCCTTCCTCTCTCCATCACCATGGCGCAGTCATCTCAGAGTCCTGAAGATCTCGACGTGGAGGCCAGTGGCGACCAGCCGCCCGACGACCAGCAACGGGTCGGTCGCTCTCAAACCATCGCTTTCGACGAGATCTCCCTGGCAGATGGCTCTCGTTCGATCTACCAGCCTCGCCAGACAAGAATCACCCGGTCCATGAGTCGTGATACGATGCGAAGCGCCCGCAGCAACAACGCCCAGTCCACTGCAAACAGCGGGATCCCCATCGAGTTCCGCACTCTCTCCATCCAGATCACAGAATCCAAGAGTGCGACCGAGGAAGTCCTCAAGGCCAGGCAGAACAAGGAAAAAAAGCCAAACCAGGACTATTTCGAGGGCCTGGATTTCCACATCATCAGTCCGGATGTGCTGTATCAACAGTTCAATGTCGATGTCAAGTCCGGTCTGAGTTCGTCGGCCGCCGCATCTCGACTCCAACGGGACGGCAAGAATACCATCGCGCATCACCGGGAGAACTACCTCAAGAAGATCCTCGGTTATGTCTTTGGAGGTTTCTGCTCCGTTCTCTGGGTCGGTGTCATCATCTTCTTCTTATGCTACAAGCCTCTCAGCAACCCCCCCTCGATAACAAATCTCGCCATGGCCGTACTCGTCATCATCGTCATCATCCTCCAAGCCAGCTTTTCCGCCTTCCAGGACTGGTCCACGAAGAAAGTGATGAACTCGATCCTCGACCTGGTCCCCTCGGATGCCCTGGTGCTGCGCGACGGGAATCGAACCCGCATCCCTTCCACCGATCTTGTGGCGGGCGACGTCGTCTACATCTCCATTGGCAACAAAGTCCCCGCCGACCTGCGTATCGTTGAGAGCTCCGGCGACGTTCGTTTCGACCGTGCCCTCCTCACCGGCGAGTCCGACGAGGTCGAGGGCGCCACCGACTACACCGACGAGAACTTCCTGGAAACACGCAACATCGCCATGATGGGTACCAGCGTCACAAACGGCAACGCGGTCGGAGTGGTGGTCCTCACCGGTGCACGGTCGGTCGTTGGCCGTATCGCCACCATGACCACCGGCGTCAAGGAGAAGCCCACCCTGATCCAGAAGGAGATCTCTCGGTTTGTCACGATCATTGTCATCCTCACCGCCATCCTCGCCTCTCTGATCCTCTTCACTTGGGTAGGATGGCTGCGCGTGGATCATCCTTCCTTTATGAATGTAGTTGACATGCTCAACGACGTCATGGGATGCGTGGTCGCTTTCATTCCCGAGGGTATGCCGGTCGGTGTTGCTCTGACACTCATGAGGGTCGCCAAACGCATGAAGCAGACCAATATCCTCCCCAAGGGGCTCGCCACTGTCGAAACGTTGGGCTGTGTCAATGTCCTGTGCTCAGACAAAACCGGCACCCTGACCCAGAACAAGATGTTCGTCAGGTCTCTCGGCTTCGTCGATCAGGAAATTAGCGTGGACGATGTCATGCAAGCGGCCAAGAAGGGAGTCGACGCCACAAACTCTCTCAAGCATCTCCTTCAAGGATCGATTCTCTGCAACGACGCCAGTTTCGATCCGACCACGATGGATTCGCCCGTGGACGAACGCGCTGTGAATGGCAATGCCACCGATGCGGCTGTTCTGCGCTTTGCGGAAAACCTTTGCCCCGATGGACTGGCGCAGCTCGCCCAATATGAGCGGATTCATCAGATCCCGTTCAACTCCAAGAACAAGTGGATGCTCACTATGCACAAGAACCCGGCCACCGCCGCCAGCGCCAACGAATACCTGGTCTACGTTAAGGGGGCCCCAGACGTGCTTCTGCCCAAGTGCACGTCCTACTGGTCTGGTGTGCATGGCGAGGTGCGAGCCCTGGACCAGGAGACTCGCGCGCTCTTTTCTGAGTTCCAGGTCAGGCTCTCGAAACGAGCAGAGCGTGTCATCGTCCTGTGCCAAAGACACTACACTCCGCGTGCCGCGATCGCCTCAAATGATTTCAGCGACGAGATCATTGCGGAGGGTGTGCAAGACCTGACCGTGATGGGCATTTTCGGCATCATTGACCCTCCCCGGCCCGAGACGGCTCACACTGTCAGGCTGTGCCGGCGTGCGGGCATCCGATTTTTCATGGTGACCGGCGACTTTGGCCTGACGGCTGCCGCTATTGCTCGTGATATCGGCATCTTCACTGGCACCGCCGAACCGGACACGATCCAGGACCTGCGTAAAAAAGACACCGCTGGCGGTGAGGATGACAAGATGCAGCAGCAGCAGCAGCGCAGCCTGCACAGCCTCCTGGTGGAAGGATCTCAAATCTCGTCGCTGGGCCCCGATGACTGGGACACGGTTTGCAGCTATGAGGAAATCGTGTTTGCGCGGACAACGCCCGAGCAGAAACTGCGCATCGTGGAGGAGTTCAAGTCGCGCGACCAGGTAGTGGCAGTGACGGGCGACGGGGTCAACGACGCACCCGCGCTGCGGGCGGCAGACGTGGGTGTTGCGGTGGTGACGGGCAGCGAGGTGGCCATGGAGGCGGCGGATCTGATCCTGCTGGACCAGTTTGACTCGATCGTTGAGGCGATCCGGCTGGGCCGGTTGGTGTTCCAGAATCTGCAAAAAGTGATCGCGTACCTGCTGCCCGCGGGCAGTTGGTCGGAAATCTGGCCGGTGATCATGAACGTGTTTTTCGGGGTACCGCTGCCGCTGAGCTCGTTTCTAATGATCATCATCTGCGTGTTTACCGATCTGTTCCTATCGCTGTCGCTGATCATGGAGCAAGAAGAGTTCGACCTGCTCTCACTGCCGCCGCGCAACGCCAAGCACGACCATCTGATCAACCTCAAGATCTACGCGCAGTCGTACCTCTTCGTCGGCGTCATGGAGACCATCTGCGCGCACTCAATGTTCTTCTTGTACATGTACCGCCATGCGAAGATCCCTTTCCACTCGCTCGTCTTCGCGTTCGAGAAGTACTCGGCAGGCTTCTACGGTTACACCGAGGACGAGCTCACGCATTTCACCGCCGTCGGGCAGTGCGTCTACTTTGTCACTCTCGTCATCCTGCAATGGGGCAACATCCTCGCCGTGCGCAGCAAGCGCCTCTCCATCGTGCAGGCCGATCCGATCTGCCGCCCGGAGCGTCGCAACCTGTGGCTCCCGCTCGCCATGCTCGTCAGCCTTGTGATTGCCATCTTCGTTACGGAGGTGCCGGGCATCCAGACCCTGTTTGGCACCGCCTCGGTGCCCATCGAGTTCTGGCTGATTCCTCTGGGGCTGGGCTTTGGAATTCTCGTCATGGACGAGTTGAGAAAGGTTACTGTTCGGATGTGGCCTAATGGGGTGATAGCAAAGATTGCGTGGTAGTTCTCTCCCCCTAGTTACCTAGTTACTAGGCGAAGACTGCTTCTACATCAACGTAAATCATTTCATGATATGTGATTATGTGCATAGAACCTTACAAAATAAAATAGAGGATTATGAATGTAAATTGATTAACTTGGTCCAGACCACTATATATATATATAAACCCCCGCGTCAAGGGAGCCGTGAAGAGAACTGTGTATAAGAATGTTGAAAGAGAGAGAGAGAGAAAAAAGAAAAGGAAAAAGAAAGAAAAAAGAAAACGAGGGAGATGATGATGATGAATGACGATGGTTTATGTTTGTACTTTGCCGGCATCGCGGACGTCTTGCATGAAGGCATCCTGATCGCCCGAGCCGGGGAAGATCCAGTAATCGCCCACACCGGCGGCGTGAGGGAGGTGACCGCCGCCGAACCCGCCGCCGACGGGGGCGCTGTGGCGGTCTCTGGCGGGGCGCACGGCGCCAGCATCGCGAGGACCCCATGCGAGGATATTGCGGACAGCGGAGCGGGAATTGGAGGGTCTTGAATTTTCATCCGCGCCCGAAGTAAAAGTGAATAACTGGGTCTGGAGACAGCCGAGGATGGCGACCGCGGCGCGGATGAGAATACGATCGCCCTCGAAAACCCAGCAGTCCCAGACGCGGACGAGACGGTCCAGGTCCAGGCCGTTGGTGAGCAGGGAGCGGAACATGGGCTCCCAGATCTCCTCGTCTGTCAGGCGGAGGGTGTCGTACAGGTGGGCGGCTAGACGGGGGAATTTGTACCGCAGCGTGGCCGAGGCGAGGGAGTACGTCCGTCCGATGGCGCCGCGGTCGAGCGTGAGAAAGGCGAGGGGCAGGGCGCGATTCAGCGCGTTGGCGAGGGTGATGAATGCCGAGGCCGGCGAAGGGAGTTGTAGCACTAACAGGGCGGCGGTAGTCTAGAATTAACCAAAATTAGCTTGTCTATTCTGTAGTGTTGGAGAGGGGGAAGAGAGAGAGAGAGAGAGAGAGAGAGAGAGAGAGAGAGAGAGGGCTTACATGGAGACCATGGATGTAGCCCACGTCGCTACGATACATGCAGTACGCCTGGAGGACATCTACCAGGGACTCGCGCAGGGGCCCGCCCTCCTGGAAGAGGTTGAGGTCGGGAAACGCGGACGAGGCGTCGGCGTCGATGGCGTCGAACCAGACCAGCATGCGCCTGGCGCTCTCGTTTGTCTCGTCCGGGGTGGCCGCCGCCTTGGCCCGCACGTCCTTGGCCCGCTGCAGGGCCTTGTGGAAGGTTTCGTGTGTCAGAGCCAGCTCGTTGCCCAGGGCACGCTGCCAGGCGGTGCCGCGCGAGCGAGCGGGGACGCCTCGCCACCATAGCTCGCGGGTGCGTGGCTCGGCGATGGCCTGGTTCCAGTGTGGGTAGACGTGCTCGTCCCAGATGCTCTGCAGTGTTTCGCGGGTGTTGTCTTTGTCGCACTGCGCGGAGGCGGCTTTGGTTGCTTTGCGTTTTTCTGTACGAGTTAGATGATAGGATAATGCAAGATGAGCAAGATGGAATGATGGAGATGTGTGGTCTTACCAGCCTCCCGAGATAGAGCCATCATGCGCTTGTACTCCTTGAGGTGGCGCTTCTCTTCCTTCTGGTCCTTCGGGGGCAGCCAGCTGGGCCGGGTGCGGGTGAGGACCTTCTCCTTCTCCTTGCTGATTGGCAGCGGGTCGATCATGATGTTTGATTTTTGCAGCGGGGGCAACTCGATGAGGGACTTGGAGACGCGTGTGGCCAGGTCGCCGTTGCTGCCGTCGCTGCGGCGGCGCTTCTCGTCGGCGTGGTGCTCGAGGGCCTCGGTGATGATCTTGGCCTCCTCGGAGAGGTCGGACATCATGACATTGTACGAGTAGACCCGCGGGTTGCGCGGGGAGATCTGGCCGCGCTCGGGTCCCGCCGAGCTGGATCGGAGGAGGCGGCGGTTGGAACGGGACACGCTGGGAGAGACCGAGGTCGAGGCTGAGGCAGAGAGGTGCGGGACATCGTTCTCCGAGACTGAGTGGCTGAGCGGCAGCGGCCGGCGGCTGGGGCTGGTACTCCTGGAGCAGGAGGCGCGGTCGTGCAAGGGGCGCGGGGAGATGGGGACATTCCACAGGCTGGCGTCTTCGGGCAGCTCCTCGTCGGAGTCGTGATACTCGGCCTCCAGGTCTCGAACAGACTTTCGGCGGGACGACTCCTCCTTGCGGTCCGAGCCCCTGGAGTTGACGGGGGAGAGGGCGGCGAGACTGTTGCTGGAGGCGGAAGGGGTCAAGGCGGGCCGCAGGGGGGAATTGGAGCGGGAGCGACGGCGCTCGGCCGACTTCTTATGACTGCTGGGGCGACGCTTGTTGCCCGCGTGCAGCGACGGCGCTGTAGTGCTGGTAGTGCTAGTCTTCGTGCTTGTACCCACGATGGTGGTTGTCGTGGTCGTTGGCTTCTTGGCTGCGGTCAGGTCTCGAGTGGTGCTGATAACAGCTTTGGCGGGCATGCGGGCGGCCGAGACGCGCCGCAGGGGCCGGGCGGCGTATGCAGGGGTAGGGTCTGGAACATCGTCGAGGCCGATCTCCTCGAAGTTGGAGATGTCGGCGAAGAGGCCCTCAGGGCTGGACTGGTGGGAGGAGTGGAAGGAGGAGGATTTGGACGACTTGGATCCGGTGAGGCCCGGGGGGGAAGCGGGCGAGCAGACGGTGGCCATATTATTGTACGACTTTGGAAAAAAAAAAAGATAACAATAAAAAAAAAGATAACAATAATCGATCAAACGACCGAAAGAATCCGTATAATTGAATTTGAAGATAGAACCAAGCGAGCGTAATCGAGAGAGATGGGGGGGGAGCACTGCTCCGGAGACGTCCGTCCGATGGCGATCTTTTGCTCGAGTCACTGACAGTAACACGCACGAGGATCTGCGAGGTCAGTACGGAGAAGGATTTCCCAGACGAACAGGAACAGGAGACAGGAGGCAAGAGACAGCACAGACAAGCAGGACCACACAGACAACACACAAGCCGGGTGTTGTCTTTGTGAAGCGATCGGAAATGTCGTGGTTATCGAGATCCGGCCTGAATCAGGAGGACATGGCGTAACGAGCGAGAGGTCTGAGTCTGGAAGTCTGGAAGTAAGAAAGAAGGAAGAAGGAAGACTGAACGAAGGAAGAAGATAAAACAAGAAAAGGAAATGAGCGAACAGGGTCAAAGCTGGTGGAGAGAAGGAGTGGTGACGACAGGGAGAGAAGACAAGATCCTCTCCAGTCTCGCTCTCGCCGTTCTCTGCCAGCCGCAAACGAGAGTATTTTACGTATAATACGATACGAGTAGAGGACTTGGTAGTGGAGAAGAGAAGAGAATAGGTAGTAGGTAGTTGAGAATGCACGACTCCATAATTGAGAATATCCTATTTATTGTATATATGTAGTATATTATTATTTGCCTCCCCCTTGATCGTACCAGGGATCGTAGGGATCGTAGGGATCGTAGGGGTCGTACCTCAGGATGGTCAGGATGGTAAAGATCGTATGGTAATTACCAGCCCTTTTATCTCATTATTGGACTGCTTAGTCAGAGACTACCCACTAACCGGACTTGGTTAGTGTCTCCCATACTATAGTAGTGCTTATCATAGACAATAATATTTTTCTACTACATAGTTATAGTTATTAAAATAATTACTAGCAATTGATGCTAGTAATAGAAAGTAACTAAGAAAGTAAATACTACATATAATTTAATACTCCATACTGCTATCAAGTAGCTACCTAGTATGTAGCAGTACTCCGTACTAAAACCGCCATCCTGCAAACGTCGCCCGCCCCTGTTGTACCACCCGTGCCAGACGCACCGCCTCGCTGTCCGTCGCCGGCCGAGCCGCCCTTCCCACCGTGTGCAGCCAGCGCAGCACGGTCGCATACCGCGTCTGTTTGCGGGCCAGCACGAACCGAAACGCTGCTGCGGCCAGGTACGACACGGCGTGAGGCTGCACACTAGTATTGGTAGTGTTAGTCTTGGGAGTGGTTGTGGTTGTGGTGGCTGTCTTCATCTTCCCCCTCGCCGACCGGATCAGATCATGCACTGTTTCCATGATAACCGCGTCTGACGGTTTTCGTAGGGCTTGCAGGTACCTCGACAGACGGATGGCGGTCATGACGAACGCCGCGTACAGGTTGGCCAGCACCACGGGGGCGGAGTTGTACGTTCCGTCGAGGTACATCGGGTGCAGCTGGAGCTGGAAGAAGGCGAGCATCTTGCGGTGCAGTGTCTGGCCGGGGAGTCGCGTGGTTTCAACGGTCAGGGTGTCTGATACGGTGCGGCCGACTGCCACTGCATTCTTCTTTTCTTTTTTTCCCTTTCTACTGCTGCCGCTGCTGCTACTCCCGTCTAGCACGCGTTCCTGATCGCGATGGATTTCCAAACTGCGCGTGTCAATCAGGCATCCACAGTAAGGAAACCTCGCCGCCGAGGAGCCTGCTAGTCGGGGAATACTGATCCCTTCGACCGTTGCGTCAAAGTTTACCAGGCTCTTGGCTGGGTTGACGCTGGCTCCGTACTCCGGCTGCCCCGCGACCATGACCTGCAGAAACCGCCGGGCCAGACGCACGTCCGGCGTGACGAGCAGGAAGTCGTCGACGAGCCGCAGCAGGAGTGCCTGCTCGGGATTCTGGAGAAGGAACCCCAGTGCGTCGCGCTCCAGCTCCGCGTAGAAGAGATTGCACAGCAGGCTGGATAGCACCGACCCCTGCGGGATCCCGTGTCGCTGGCGGAAGTATTTCTTGCCGATCTTGACGATGTTGTGCCGCACATGTTCCTCCAGCAGATCGAGTAGGTAGTCTGTCTTGTACTCTTTCTGCATCAGGGTCTCTGTGTAGACGGTGTTGGGCCGGAGCGTTGTGGTGGTGGCGGTGGTAGCCGCTGCTACATCTGCAATCTGCTGTGGTGGTGCCGCGTGATGAACGAACCTGCGCTGCGGTTTACGTTGCTGTTGTGGGAACTTGGAGGCTCCAGTCAACCTCACTTCCAGGTGCTTGGTCACTAGAAACGATTCGTCCTTGGATACAATCCTTTCGACCAGCCCGATCAGTTTCTGCTGTGGGATAGTATCGAAGCACGCCTGGATATCGACTTTGGCAAAGTATAACGGGGGCAGTGGTGTGTCCGAGGAGAGTCTCGCCAACAGGGTCTCCTTGAAACGCTTCAGCCGCGTGTGGATCTCCCCAACCGACTGGATGGCTGAGCCCATGCTCTGCGGGTCTCGCTGTCGGACGTGCTGGAGCATGCTGTAGATTGGAGTCATCACCGAGTTGATGCTAGGTTCGAGAAACGTTTTCGTGGTGCCAGCCGAAATCCCCCGGCGCAGCATCCGTCGCCGCAGATTCATTATCGGCCGTGTCCCCGTGGGTTTCGGTAGCAGGCGCAGTGTGCTGTAGCCTAGGGGTCGTCGCGCGAGCACCCGCCGCGCCCGATCAAGCGGCAGCTCCTCAAAGGCATTGCTCTTGAGGTGTGCCAGCGGCCGTTCGGTCAACTGCCGCCATGTATCGTGGCGGAAGTAGAAGAGGCGGTTCCGGTGCGTCTGCGATTCGGTCACGTAGAAGTTGGTCCGGATCAGCGGCACCAGAAGCGAGTCGAAGATGTAGTAGATCCATTCATGGAGGAGCTCGGTGCGTTTGCGCAGGTCTGTTTGGGCCAGCTTGGCGGCGATGGGCGCGTTTGGCGGCGCAAGCCAGGGAATGGACGCTACCTGTTCTAGTCAGTAAATGCTGCTGAACTGCAAAATCCAACTGTAGCATGTATACCTTGATGCCCTGACAAACCTGGTGCAAACTGAGACTCTCGTACCGACGCATCCGCACGAACCCGTCGACATGACTGAGGATGGCCCTCTGATTGTCGATTCCAGCCTGGCCGACGCCGTAAAACCCACGAGGAATCAATTTTCGCAGCACCGCGCGACAAAATGCTGAGACATTGGCAGATGGTGTCGCGTATGCCGTCAGATCAAACCCTTGGCTTTGCGGCGGCTTCACAGATCGTAGTGCATTTTCTGTCGCACCTGTTGCATCTGTTGTATCTGTTGTATCCTCTGACCGCGGAGGTTTAGACATCTCAAAGCATGGTTGTGTCACAAGCGGTTCAGAAACGTAGGAGCCCTGTGTCTGCTCTTCAACATACACTTTGCAACCGTTTACCGGACAGTAATGGTTCAACAGTATGACATATGGACAGTTCTGGTTGCGAGCCTGGAGCTTCTGAATCAGTTGTACAGGTTCGCCGCGCAGTCGACGGGGGATCTTATCATTGCCCGAGCGGTGCTGGTTGATCTCCTCGTCACGAAAAACGTAATCCTTGAACGGCTGAACGGTTTCGCGGCTGTCTACCTCTGACACGAAGACATTATGCAAGCCGAACTGGCGGGGGAAGACGTATTTCATGACGTGGAGAGTGTGGTGCATAGAATCCGCAGATGGATAGCGATTGAGGACGTCTTCAATTAGCCTCTCTCTCTCTCTTTTTCTCCTGATTTCTGATGGGTTCTTACGGATATGTCTAAGGCCAAAGCGGACATTGCCCTTGGCATTGAGCGCCGGGCGAGCGTACAGCATGCGGCGACGTACAAAAACGATGCTGTTGGGTTTATGGCCATCTGTGCAGGCCTTGTTGGGTACTGCTGCTGCTGCTGCTGGCAACGAGGTATTGCGTTGACTGAGAAACTCCAACGACGAGAGGGGAATCCCGCTAATCTGCTGCAAGCTCTTTTCAACCGAACTGAAAATTCCACAGTCGAAAAGCAGCTTCATCATGATCTCCTCGCCGTTGCTGCCCAGAAGACCCAACACATCCACCCAGGGAGCCTGCTTCAACCGCTGCACGTTCTGGTTCGGGTGCTGACACACGATTCCCGGCAAACTGCCGGCCAGGGCACCCTGTTCCCAGTTGGCAGCACGCTGGTATCCATTTGCAAGCAGATGCTGCGGTTTCTGGGAAGAGAAGCGGTGGCGGTTGAACAGAGTGAGGATGACAAAGTTGACGATCTTTTCTTTCATCAGCATACCCTGGTTGAATACAAACTAGATAGATTTCTCCTACCTCTGACTGCGCACATGTCGGTCCCGAGTCCGAGCTAGGCTGTGACTGCGACTGAGTAAAGGCGAGCCAGTCCGTCCGGCGGTTCTGGTCGACTGTAGGCGACGACTCCTTGAGCACGCCGACGACCGTAGTATCCAGCAGCTGGGCGAGGTGGTGGGTGTGCGGGTCGTCTGACGATGTCCCACTGGAGGAGAGTCCCAGAGAGACGATTCGCCGTCGCCGTAGCTTGGACGCGACGGGGAGTTGGTGCAGGAGATACTGGCGGAGCGTCACGACTCGAGGATAGTAGAGGGAGAGCACCGCATGAGACGAGGTGAAACCGCCGGCGGTGGGTTTCTTCTGCGGCGACAGGGGGGCATCTCGGACGGGTCTCTTTCGTTTCTTGCCCATTGAAGGTCTGACAATGGTAAATTAATTCGTGCAAGACTCCGTCCCTGGGTGATCTTGCCAACTTCCAAGGGTGTTGGTCAAAGAGTTGTTTTGTTGATGCCTGAGGCTGGCAACCACGCGTCGCGTCTTTTCCTTCACGTCGACTTCTTAATTGCAACGACTACAGATTCTCATTCTGCACAGTCATGAGCATTCGTCTTGGAGAATTGGAAGATATCGTCATCTCCTTTCTCGAACCTCTTCCTGCTCAAGATGAGCCAACTGTTATCATCAGCCATTCAGTGATGCTCTCCAGTCATTTCTCCTCGTAAGGTGGTGCATATGCCACGGCTTCATCACAACCAACCCCGCTGCGCGTTGACTCTGCCCGTATCTGACTCAATGAAGACTAACGATGATTTTGACATGCGTGTTCTGTACGAGCCTCTTGGAGGAATTGAAAAACTGGAGAACTATCGGACAGGGGGCTATCACCCCGTTCAAATCGGTGATCACCTCCACCGTCGATATCGAGTTGTCCACAAGCTGGGACATGGGTCTTATTCAACCGTGTGGCTGGCCCATGATGATCAGTCGAATAAATACATGACAGTGAAGGTTTGCACAGCAAATTCGAATCTAAAGGAAGTGGATATTATATCCGCTCTCACTCATCCTCGCTGTCCCCCAGTAAACCATCCCGGGAAGATGATGATCCCTGCGATTCTAGACAGGTTCATCATCCAGGGCCCAAATGGTACTCATGCCTGCTACGTCACAGCACCTGCGAGAGCTAGCCTCTCTGGAGTGAAAGATGGTTCATGGAGCCGCTTATTCCAGCTTGATGTAGCCCGTTCTTGCTGTGGATTATGTGCACGTCTAAGGAATTGTCCATGGAGACCTTCACCTCGGCAACATTCTTCTCCAGGTACCGCCCGATTTTGACCAGCTCTCAGTCCAGCAATTGTATGAGAGGTATGGAGCACCGGGACTAGACCCGGTTCTTCGTTTAGATGGCAGTCCGCTTCCGCGTGGTGTCCCATCCCACGGCATTGCGCCCATATGGCTGGCGGAAGCGAGTGAGAAAATCACACTTTCAGAAAGCAGGATCTTGCTTGCAGACTTTGGAGAGGCCTTTTCCCACTCGAAAGAATCGAAATACAAATCCTACACCCCGCTTGTCATCCGTTCCCCCGAGGCGTACTTTGAACCAAACACCGCTCTATCTTTCTTATCAGATATCTGGACTCTTGCCTGTACCATCTGGTCCATCATCGCGCAGCGGCCACTGTTTGAAGGGTTTCTCATGACTCAGGACGACATGACCTGCGAGCATGTCGACGCTCTTGGTGTTTTGCCATTTGAATGGTGGAAGAGGTGGGAGGCGCGTCGACTGAAATTCACCGAGGACGGCAAGCCAATAAACCGCAACGATTTCCGATCTTGATTGGGATGATCGGTTCGAGGACAGCGTGCAACAGCCCAGACGAAAGCGTGGCATCCCGTCGCTTGATGCAAGGGAGAGGGAAGCTTTCTTCCACATGCTGCGGTCAATGCTCGCCTTCCGACCTGGGGATCGCCCGACTACCAAGCAAATTCTCGAGTCGGAATGGATGGTGAAATGGGCTCTGCCTGAATATCAGGATAATATATGCCCATGATCAAGACGACAGACGACATTATCTACTCAAGGGAAATACAACTCCATACATACTTAATAATAATCAACCTGATTTCTAGACGCACTACTCCGTCTACTCCGTAGATTAATTACTAGCTGACTACCTATTATTAGATGAATCGACGATCTCCCTCAGTCGGGTTTCGAAACACTCCACAACCGTCTACTCCGTACTAATAGTAGTTCGTAGCGACTAGTTGATTAGCGAGACAATTTTAGATAATAGATAGAAAGCACAGAATAATAAGTGGACCGATGAGATCGGCTGCGAGTTGGACTCACTAGTGATTCTGGTCTACTACATAGAGTAGATCGACGTTGTAGTATGAAGAGGCGGTTTATCTCTATTTCTATTTCTATCTCCTGGTCTGTTTTCTGTTTTCTGTACTCTGTACTCTGTACTCTGTGAGACGGCGCCAGACCATAGTAACACTCCACTATGAATCAATACTCCGACTCTATTGTCTCCCACAATCGATCCATGGAATCGAGAGTCTAGAACTCGGCGCCCACTTCCGACAGGACGAAATTACGTCTCCACCACGTAGACAGAAGAACGTCAGGGAGGACGCAGCGAGAGAGAGAGAGAGAGAGAGAGAGAGAGAATAAGAGAATCCCTGCAGGGTGCACTGCAATGCATCTGTAGTCTGTAGTTGTACAGCTCATCAAATCTCTCCGTAAGAGCTGTCAGAATGTCAAGATCGGACAGATCGAGAAGAATCCCGTAGATTGACGACTCATTACAGACAGCAGTTAGTTAACTATCTAGTAGATGCCACCTACTATCTGCTGTATTGCTTTTTTTTAATCAAAAAAAGACAAAACCCGCTGTTCTGTTCCATTCCTGACCGGTCTTCGTCGTCCCTCGAGAGAGCGCTTTGTCCTTGTCCTGCGGTGAGGCGACCCTCTTCAACCCCTCGTCTATCTTCTCCTCCTCCTCCTCCTCCTCCTCCTCCTCCTCCCTCTTCTTCTCCTCTTCTTCTTTTATCGCCTCACTCGGTTCTCCTTTTTTTCATCGCTGTTTTTTTCGTTTTATTTTGATACCCCCCCCCCATTCTATCCTTTCGTCGCTCCCTGTCCATCCATGTCCTCCCGGTAACGCTGTCCCACCTCAACATGACGCTCGATGACTGCGAGAGCCGACCAATCTGCGACCTCATCGTGGCCAACGCACCGCACCACTAAACCTCCCCCCCCCTCGCTGTTTGCCTGTCGAATTTTATTTTTTCTCTCGCTGATTCGACTGCCCGCAGCCGCGGTGAGAATGCACTATGCCTGCCAGCAATGGCGACCACGTTGCCGACCCCCGGCATCCTCCCTCCCTCTCGCTCTCGCTGGTCCCTGACCCTGAGCTGGAGTCCTTCTCCTCCTCTCTCCACCCGGCTCAGACCCTGCCAGAAGCGCCGGACGACCCCTGGATGCCGCCCACATCCTCCTCCTCGCCGTCTCAGCCTCGTCGTCGCTCCGTGGGACGAGACCCTTCGCCCGACCCCATCGAGTTCTACCGGCCTAGTCGGGCAGAGACGCCCAGCAACAACGTCACACCGCCAGGAGGAGACCCCGGGGCTGCTGCGGTCACGGTGGACGACGTCAAGACCGTCCGCCACGAGGAGGGAGCCAGGGAGTCCTCTGGATTCGCCTCCTTAGAGATACCCAGGACTGCTGCCGCCGCTCGTTCACCTCCCTCCTCCCGCTCAGCCGGCCCTCCGCCCGCCAAAGCAATACCCGCCGTTCGCGCCCGCCACGCCTCGTTCAAAGACCTCGTCAACAAGTTCAATACCAACGTCGATCAGGTTCTGCCGCTGCCGGCGAAGAATCACGGCAGCAGTCCGGTCGACCGTCCGCGGGCGCCGCTCGTACCTCGTTCCTCTCGTCTCGCTCGTGATTTTTCGGCGCCTGGAGGTCATTCTTTTGCCCGTTGGAACGCCGCGGAGGAAGCCACCGCGCCCGCTGCGGTCGCTGCTGCTCCTGCTGGTGGCGGCAGTGGTGGTGGTGACGGTGGTCGTGGTGGTCGTGGCCGAGGACGACAACCAACGCTCTTTCAAGAGCTGCTCGCTCTCGACACTACTGTCGGCCAGCAGTCCGTCTGGTCGTCGTCGTCGGCGTCGACCTCGTCTCCGCTCCGCCGTAGAGGCTCCGAAGGCAGCATTTGCAGTCCCAGTCCGGCCCTGCTCGATTGGCAGCGTTCGACCGGCTCGCCGTTGACACCGACAGCCTGGTATCTCGGACGTGCCCCGTCTCTGGAAGCGGTTCAGCCGGTGGTCAATGCTAGGAGAAGCAGCAGCAGTCACCGAAGAACTCGCAGTGATCATCTGTTTACAACAACAACAACAACAACAACAACAACCCGCGAAAACTCTCCTCCGCCTCACATGGCGATCTCTTCTTACTCCCCCTTGCTTACGAGCCCAGGAGGCTCTCCACATCCTCATTCCCGCATTCCTATTGCCTCGACCCGTCGACGGAACGAGGCTTCCGACTCGGAGAGCTGCCCAACATCACCCCTAGCACCCTCGGTAGCATCCACTACTACCTCGACAACCACCACCATCAACAACAATCACAAACACAATTACAATCACAACAACTTCAACTCGATTACCACCGCCTCCTTTGGCGGACGTCCCGTGTCACTCCCTCCCAAGGGCACCAGCCGTCTCCCCAAACCAGCACCCCGTCCCGTTACCCCTGTCAACGATGCTCCGCCAACGTCTACGCCCTTGACTCTCCGCTCGCCGCCGGCTCGTAGCGAGATGGCCCACGGGCGGATTCGCCCGCAGCGGGCGGATCGCAGCCCCCTCTTACAGGCCTACGTCGCTGCTCCGCCTCCTAAAAAATCCCCTCCGCTGCGCAGCTCGCGCCCGCGCCAGCCTGTCTCCATGGCCACTACCGTCGCCTCCCGCTCGCGCGTCGTCGATCGCGTCTCTTCCTTCCATCAGCAACAACAACAACAACAACAGCAGCAGCAGCAGCAGCAGCAGCAGCAGCAGCAGCAGCATCAGCATCAGCATCAGCAACAGCAGTTTGGTAATCGCGACACCAGAGATTTTCGCAGCCTGCGTACCCGAGAACGCCGGCTTCCGGAACTCGGTACTGTCGACTTTGCCGCCCGTCGCCAAAAAATCCAACAGGCTTTCAATCGCACCGTGCAAGAAAATGCTCGCAAGGAGGAAGAAGCGGCCCAGATCCGCCGACAATCCATAGCTTTGCTAGATCACAGCCTAGCGCCAGAAGTTATTGCGGACGTCGTCGCCGTCGTCCCGGAGAGCCCTGCAGTAGTGGACAGCCACTCGATGCAAGACCAGGCACCTCCCGCCGCCGCCTCCGATGTAGGGGGAAGCACCACTACCTCCTCCTCCCCGTCTGTACCTCCTCCACTGCTCACCATCAAGACCGATGAGCCCTCCTCGTCAAACCCCACGGAGTTGACTGATGATTCGCCCACGCTGGGCCTCGAAACCTCCATCGTCCCCCATACTCTTCCCCCTCCTGCTGAGACTGGACCGGTCCAACCTCCTCTCGTTGAGGAGGCTCCGGAACCCTCCTTCACCAAGTCGCCACCGCTGGCGGTAATGACGGCGACGCCAGCCGTGATGGACCAGAGCTCATCGCCCGTGGAACCATCGCCAACGGCATCGCATGTCACCACGTTCGATCCCGAACCGCAGACCGAACCTCCGACGCAGGAACCCTCGCATCGGACGCTGCTGAGTCAGATCATGTCCATGCGCGAGTCGAGCCCGAGCAGCGCTTCCTCCTCATCATGCGAAGAGGATCAAGAGTTTTGCTTCTCCGAAGACAATGATGATGATCAAGAATCCATCTCGATCATGCTACACCAGGTGGTCTACAATGCGGATGCCCGGATCCAGAGCGCGCACCACCCTACAAACAAGCCCACCGCTCCCGGTCAATCACGTCCAGTCTATGAACCCTCCGAACCGATCGCCGCCATTGATATGCAGAATCATCGATGGAGCATGAGTTCCTGGTCGTCGTCACTACGCCACCAAACCTCGGTTGATGACGCATGTGATGGAAGCGGAGAGGAGCTGACGCGGCCCGCCTCCATCCACGAGAGCGTAACGACGCTGCCGTCCTACGCCGCGTCGACTGCTCCGCCCTCGGAAGCAGAAGATGCGATCTGTCGGATATCGACGACAGTGACGGTTCCCACTCTGGCCCCCCCAGCCGAGATCGACTCGCGGTCGGACTTGTCCCATCCAGGGTTCATTTCCCGTGCCCCCAGTCTGGCTCGACAAGGTGGCTGGGACTCCAAACGAGTATCGAAGCTCTATATGGATGAGCTCGCCCGCGGCCGCACGCATCCTCTCCCAACCCCTGCTGTCCGTGCCTCCCCGGAACCACGTCTATTGCCGCGGGACGTCACCGCCACCCATCATCATCATCATCAGCATCATCATCATCATCATCATCATCACCCTGAGGGACGACCTGACAGTCTGACGGACGATCCGGTGCTTGTTTCACGACGTGATGCCAGTGCTGCTGCCAGTCTCGTCTTCCGCGATGACTGGGAACATGCATCCCCTTCCATTGCAGAATGGATGCAGATCGCTGCCGGCGAAGGCCTCACGCCTCCCCTCCCAGAGCAGGAGACCATCCCTCCCGACAACACCACTCCGCGTGTCGTCCCTCCACCAAGCCTGCACTTCATGCCTTCCGACGGTGATGAACTGGGTCTCGGTCTGGCCATCCACGCCCGGAATTCTTCCCACCTTCAAGAAGGGAATGCGAGGGAAAAAGAAGAAGAAGAAGAAGAAGAAGAAGAAGAAGAAGAACGACCCCCACCACCAGTGCCACGCAACGATCCACCACCGCCGCCACCAAAGTCAACCGACATCCACCACGATAATTCTCTCCATCTTAGCATCTATCCCAGTTACCCAACCTCCAAATCGGCACCGCAGCTGGGGCAGCAGCCTGTGCCCAGTGGCGGCAGCAGCAGCCAAGATTCCTTGCAACAGATTGGACACATTCCTTCTCCACTGACGTGGGAATCGTCGGCTACCTCTCTTATTCCCTGGAGCACGGAGACCATAGATCTGCCGATGCCGCCCCGGGTTTCCCCATCACCCGAGCAACGTCGCTTGAAAAAACGCCGGAACATCATCAAGGAGCTTGTGGACACCGAGTATACCTTTGGGCGGGACATGAAGGTCGTGGACGACATCTACAAGGGGACATCCAGTTCGTGTCTGGACCTGTCGGCCGATGACGTCAAGACGCTCTTTGCCAACTCCGACCAGATCGTGCAGTTTTCCATGACTTTCCAAGACGCCCTCAAGCAGGCCGCCCGGAGCGTGTACGTGATGCCCAAATCGCAGCGCTGGAGCAGCAAGCGCAGCTCGCGGCGGAACCTCGCGGCCCAGGCACAAGCGCAGCCGCAAGTCGCCCCGCGCCCCGAGACCCCCCACGGTGTTGCCGGGGATGCCTCTGCAGATCTGGAAAAGGACCGGATGACATTTATCGGACAGGTCTTCCTGGCGCACATAGGCCAGATGGAGAAGGTGTACGCGGACTACCTGAAGAATCACGATGCGGCCAACCGCAAACTGCAGACACTGCAGAAAAACCCCAAGGTGGCCATCTGGCTCAAGGAGTGCCGCGACTGGGCCGCCGACCTGACGACAGCCTGGAACCTGGACTCGCTGCTCGTCAAGCCCGTGCAGCGCATTCTCAAGTACCCGCTTCTGCTCAGCGAGCTGGCTGACTGCACGGCGGCGGACCATCCGGATCGCCCGGCCATCCTGGAAGCCCTCGAGGGGGTGACCAACATCTCCGTGCGCATCAACGAGATGAAGAAGCGCGCCGATCTGGTCGGCCAGGTGGTCGGACGTAAGCGCAAGGAGTCGGACGTGCGCACCGGCCTGTCCAAGGCGTTTGGCCGGAGGACGGAGAAGCTCAAGCAGCAGGTCGGCCTGTCGGACATGGTCGAGGACAAGGACTACGACGCCCTGGCCACCCGCTTCGGGGACCATTTCTTCCAGCTGCAGGTTGTCATGCGCGATGCCGAGATCTACACGCAGGAACTGCGATCCAGCCTCGACAAGATCAACGCCCTCGTCACGGCGGTCGAGGCCGTCGTCGACGTCTCGCCATCCTGCTATGTCGAGCTGGAGAGCAAGTGGCGCCGTCTGCGGGGGTGTTTCCGTGAGATCATGGGCGTCGCTTTGGAGGAACATGTAGGTTTTCTCTCTCTCTCTTCCTGTCCACCAAATCGAATCCATTCTTTTCTCAATAAGCTAATAAAAGGATAGATGACCAAAGTTCGGAAAAGCGTCATCTCCCCCATGCTCACCCTGCTCAAAATCTACGAGGGCCCGCAGCGGGTAATGCGAAAGCGAGATAAACGACTGATGGACTATGCGCGATTCAAGGCGATCCGGGACCGCGGCGACAAGCCGGACAAGCGCACGACAGAGCAAGGCGACCAGTTCACCGCGCTCAACGAGACGCTCAAGGACGAGCTGCCGAAGTTGTATGCGCTGACGGCGCGGTTGATGGAAGAGTGTCTGGCGAACTTTGTGCAGCTGCAGGTCGAGTGGTTCGGAGTGCTGCAGCGGATGATTGAGCCGATCATCAGTTCGCCGGTCGCGGCATCAGTGTTGTCGTCGGGCGCATCGGCAACGTCGGCGACATCAGCATCGCCATCAACGTCATCGCCAGGCCCGGACGAGTTATCGCGCATCATCACCGACTGGGCCAGTGACTTTGCCTTCTCCGAGGCCCAGGTGCTGACCCTGGGTATCGTCAACGGCTCCCTCCTCGCCGAGACAATCAATCTGGTCAACTTCAATACCCCATCCTCGACCACTGTGGTCGGCTCGTCGCGCCGTCCGTCAACGGTGGCCAGCTCCAGCACCCGCGTCGGCACGCTCGAGGACTCGCCGCTCGTGTTACAGGATTTCGCCAGCGTTCTGCAGTCCCCCTCTGTGGACAGTCAGTCGCTACGCTCCGCGGGACGCCACCGCGCCGACTCGACCTTCTCCGGCCGCGCGGCGGCAGACTCGTTCGACCTGCCACGCACCCAACTCCCACAGATCATGAGCCCTCCTCCTCCTCCTCCTCCTCCTCCTCCTCCAGCAGAACCACCTATCTCTACTCTTCCCACCACGACAACCACCACGACTAATACTCCGGCTCTGACCGCCGCCGAGCCCTTCCCCTCGCTGCCCCAACTCACCTTGGATCAGCCCTTCCTGGCGGATATGATCAATGCGGCGCAGCAGCAAAATGCAGACTCAGCGGATACTCACCACCACCACCAGCAGATAACTCCCTCGCCCGCTGCAGGGCGGTACTCTGACTTTTTCTCGTCGGCGATGCCCATGTCGGACTCGCTACAGACAACCACCACCGCAGCCACCATGGACCCGCCTCCCACCCTGCAGCAGCAGCAGCAGCCGCCCAAAGTGCTTTTCCTGGCGGCGAGCATCTACGAGTTCAATATCGACCGGGCAAGACGCGAAGCAGGGTATCCCTACCTCACGTATGTCGCGGGGGAAATCTTCGACGTGATTGCCGAAAAGGGCGAGCTGTGGCTGGCGAAGAACCAGGACGATGCCACGCACCAGGTCGGCTGGATCTGGAACAAACATTTCGCGAAGCTGGCTTCAGAGTAGCCTGTCGACATCCATCCTCCACCCTCCATTGCCACTCTTTTCTTCCTTCGTGCATTGATGCATGTATTGCCTTTTTTTTTTTTTCCATTGACAGTGTCTTGTCCCTCTCCTTGACGGAGTATTATGATTGATGATTAGCGACCTGCCTGTCACCCTTTTCTAGCGTATCTCTTGTATTTAGATACCCATGATTCGAGACTTTTCTACTCCATATTCAATGTAGTGTAGTGCCATGCTCTGTAGATCATCAGTTTGAGAATTGTGTTACAGTATGGTAATTTGATAATTTGGTAATTTGTTACTGGTAATCAATTCCTCACGTGACCGTGTTACACCACTCCCACTAGCCACAGCCACATGTGACGTCGCTCCGACTTTTGTATCTCCGTCCGCTCCGAGTCTCCCTCTCCCTCTCTCTCGCTTTCTCTTTCTCGCTTTCTCTCCCGTGTCTTCGACTCTTGTGTTTCTCGTTCTTCTCGCATGGGCCAGGATGCGCTGTAGTGACTTGATACAGCTCAGGTCCATCGAGATACGAGCTTAGATACCTTCTCATCCAAACATTACTCCCCGGTGGACTGTGCTCGCCGGTTGCTTTGCTAATTCACAGCTTCTCAACAGCCTAGTACAGAGTGAATATTTCTATTCTACTTATTCTCCCTTTTCATTCTCTATTCATTTTTATCTATACTCATGTTGGACGGGGGCTTGGGCAAGTTGCATAAGCGGATGAGGGGCCGGTTTGGCGAAACGGTTGGTCCGAAATGCTGGCCTTGATGCTTCGCACATACTTATTGTCCTGCAGTTACACCCTGACGATGCATATTTGAGCTGTGAGTTTGGAGACAATAGATTTAGTTGAGATGTTCCTTTGCTGATATCTTCAGATTATGATATTCGGTGTATGTTGCCACGGCATGTCCTTGACGGTCTGGTGCTAATGAGACAGTGACGAGGGAGGATATGCAGACACTCAAGAATGACTGGCTGACGGACAATGTGAGGAGAATAACGCCTTTGCTGCTGTCAAGACACTTTCTAACCCGGTTTAGGTTATCTCGTTTTGGGAGGAGTAAGAAGGCTTTGTCCAGTCCATATACGTCTAGAACGGCACACTAAAAAAAAAAAAAAAAAACAGATATCTGGAACGCGAGTTTCTGACGCAGTACAAATCATCGAACATTGTGCTGCTGCGGCCGAGCATGTCGTTCATGCTGGTGCAGACGCCCGATCCGCGGACGCTGCGCGAGGCGCTGCCGGACCTGAGCCACACGACGCACGTCTTCCTGCCGATCAACGACTGCCGCAACGTGACGGAGGCCGAGGGAGGCACACACTGGTCCCTGCTTCTCATCTCGATCGTGGACGGCATCGCGTTCCACTATGACTCGCTCCCCCCCGGCAATCACTGGGAGGCGTACAACGCGACGGTCAAGGTGGGCCGGCTGCTTAACCGGGCGATCCGCTTCGTCCACCTGAGCGACTCGCCGGTGCAGGAGAACGGCAGCGACTGCGGCGTCTTTGTGTGCCTGACTATGCGGTACTTGTTGCTCAAGCGTCTCCTCCAGACCAACAGCGACCGCAAGGTCAGTATGAGTCTTGGCCACAAGGAGATCAACGCCACCGCGGGGCGCAAGGAGATCGCCAAGATCATCGACGGCTTCCGCAAGGAGGGCGAGCGACGTAGATCGTACGTACCACCTATCCTTCCTATTTTTTTCTTCCTCCTTCTTTCTCTTTACTCACGATGGGTAGAAGCAGCGCCAGTCCGGCCGGAAAACGCTCGCGCAGTCCCCCGCGGATCGAATGAGTTTTTGCTTCCTGTCTGTTGGTTTCAGCGTACACGTAGTAATGATACATTCCCGATGCACTTGTATTCATCCAAATGGGTTCATGATAATGGCATATACAATGAAGTACCTTCTATCATTCCATACAGAATCTCGACTAGTAGTAGAATACAGCATAGACAGTGGTTCATACAGTAATTTCGATGACTATAAATTGTCAAAGGTATTATTTCATGCATCCCAAGTCTCTTTCAGCAAAACAGCAGTCTGATGCCTGTTCTTGTGGTATTCGTTGTTATGTGTACTATTTATTCTCGAGGTTTGAGGACCAATGGAGGTAGATATGCATGGTTGACTAGAACGCCAGCGACACTGTATGACATAGTATATAGTATATCGTCATACTTATACAGCTAGTCAAAGTCAACGTATTGATGTATATCTCGATAATCGTATAGAGCCTGCGCGGATCGACATTGTGCCGCTGATACAGCATCCACGTCTTGATCCTCGATTGTACAGATGATACAGAGGAGGGTCTGGTTATTAGCAAGTGATAGATAGAGATAGAGAAGTAATCGAATCAGTGAGGCAGGCCAGTCGGTGTCGTCAGTCTGGTCGATACCGATTTCTTTCCCCTCCCGAGCATTCTGCATGGCCGTTCATGTAATTGATGGAACCTGGTTTCATTAGTATATCAGACTCGGCCGTCTCGTTCCACAGATGGTCATAGACATGGTCTAGAGAACATGTAGGGATCTTCCTTTCCATAAACGCGTGTGATGCTCCGGCGTGGAGGGGAGGGAGGTCGAGCCAGCAGCGCCACGACCACGATTACCAGGGCGACAAGCGTGACGCTTTCGATGACAATAGCCACTAGAAGATAGGGGTTTCTATTTCCATGGCATGACTGTAGATTGTCGGGGATTCTTGTAGACTATTGCTCGTCGGATGCCACTTTGTTGTACCGCATCATGTCGTAGACAGAGAGAAAAGGAGATAACAGTTGGCCAGGATAATCCTGGTCTTCTCCAAACGACGTGTCCTCTCATATATCAGTATTGGAGCTTGGTACTGAAACTTGACTATAATATCAGTTATTCTACTCATCCAACATTGACATGTAGAAGTATAGAAGTATCATACATGCTGTCTATTTAAGACAGCTATTCTATTTATAGTCACTAGCACAGACCACAGTTAGATTACCTTAATCTCACCTACAGAACATACCCGTATTAGTCCAAATATATATATATAACATGAACTCCCTCCCTGCCGCCTACTACCGCGGGGGCACCTCGCGCGCTCTTCTCTTCCATGAACACCACCTCCCCCGCGACCGGACGGCATGGACACGCATCTTCCTCGGGGTGATGGGCTCCCCCGATGCAAGGTACAGCCGCCAGCTGGACGGACTGGGCGGAGGCATCTCGAGTCTGTCGAAGATCTGCGTTGTGCGCCCGTCACGCCGGGCCGACGCACACGTCGACTTCACCTTTGTGCAGGTGGGCGTGCACAGCGCCGAGGTCGATTACGCGGGCAACTGTGGGAATATGACGAGTGCGATTGGGCCGTTTGCCGTGAACGAGAGATTGATCCGCCTCTCTTCCGAAATAGAGACCGAGACGACGGTTTCGCTGTACAATACCAACACCGACAAGTTGATCCATTCCACCTTCCCCGTCTACCGAGGCGAGGCGGTTGCCACGGGCGATTTTGCCATTGACGGAGTCGCCGGGACGGGCGCTCGTGTCAGGCTTGATTTTCTCGATCCGGCAGGCTCGCGGACTGGTTGTCTGCTGCCAACAGGGAAGATAGTCGACTGTTTGGACGTGGGAGGAGACGGCAGAGAAGGTAGAGAAGTTGTTCGAGTGACGTGCATCGACGTCGGCAACCCGAGTGTCTTTGTTTCAGCGGATGAGCTGGGGATCGAGGGTTCCATGCTCCCGGACGAGACGCAACGGACGCCAGGCCTCCTGGATCGACTGGAACGGATTCGACGCTGTGCCGCCGTGGCGATGGGGTTGGCTGAGGGGGTGGAAACGGTCGCGCCTTCGATTCCTAAGATCTGCTTTATCTCGAAGTCAGCACCATCTTCTTCTTCTTCTGTCGTTGTCAGGGCAATCTCAACAGGGCAACCGCACAAGGCACTCCCCATCACGGTCGGTTTGGCGGTCTCCGCAGCAGCAAGACTGGAAGGGAGTATCGTTCATGAATGCGTGAGGAAAGAAGATACCCAAGACACGGATATCGTCATCGGACATCCCAGTGGGCAGTTGGTGGTTGGGGCGGCGTACGAGGGAGGGAAATTGCAGCGGGCAACGGTATATCGGACGGCGAGACGTTTGATGGAGGGGAGGGTTTTTATAGCCTAAATGGATGATGGGATATTTGATAGGAATTTGGTACAGCAGTCCGTCTATCGGTAGTCTATTCTACTCACCTCTGTCGTCTATAGTAACAGTACTGTCTATACTACTTAGGTTGCCAGGTAACAAAGAGTATCTGCTTCCTTCTCTCACTCTTGTTGATGGGTTTCTCTGGTGATATTCCCGGTTCCGCTGCTGCTGCTGCTGCTGGAAGGACCTGCTCGACCACCTCCCACCAGGTATTTCTTCCCCTCCTCCCCCTCCTCCTCTCTCTTCCTCTTCTCTTCTTCTCCCCAACACCATCTGGTTGTTTGATGCTAGTATCGTCTCGCACGTATACGTTCCTCAAGCCCTCTCGTGTTTCCAGCTTCTTGCTACTGCTTCCCTCTACCTGTCTTCTCTCTCTCTCTCTCTCTCTCTCTCTCCCGATCTCCCCTCTTCTTCTTCTCCTCCTCTTCTCCTTGACCTCGATCAGACTTGCTGCAATGGCTCGTCTGTGCCTCCCAGGTCTCACTCAGGTTCCCGGGAGCAAGGCAGCTCGCTTCAAGACACAGCCAGCATTTCGGTGCTTGCCACGGACTGTTGTCTTCCGCGCCAACCGCGAGTCCTTGTCCTCCCGGATTCCTTCTCCTCCTCCTACCCCCTCTCCTCCTAGCCCAGCCTCGCCTGCTGGTGGTCGCTCCTTTACCGAGATGAGTCGTGGCTCTCGTCTCCCCATTCGTAAGGTTGTCCCCCCAACACCTTGCACTGTCTCTCCTTTGCGGTCAGCCCCCACCGCGTCTTCTACTTCCCCTTCTCTAGAAGCGAGACGGGCAGCTCGACAGGCCCGGCAGCGACCTTGGTCGCAGCCAGTCAAGACAACCCCCCGTCAGGAGGGTTCCTCCTGTTCCGCTGCCGCCCGTACCCCTCGCTCCGTCGTCGTCCGCCCGCCCCCCGTTCAGCCCGTCGCCGTTCCCGGTGCCTCGGCGCGCAAGGCGATCGCGCTCATCGATGCCGCTCTGGCCAAACCCAGGCCGCGTCGAGCCCAGGAGACCACTCCGGTGGTCTCTGACAAGAAAAAGCGTGTCCGTTTTGGCGACGCCACGGTGCACCACGTCGACCCCTGGATCGTCCGCAGCGAGCACGTCTTCCCCGCCCCTGGCCGGATACTGGGCCTCCTGGTCGGCTGGAAGGTCACTCCCCTCGCGATCCCCGACGAATACGGCGAGACCGAGAAGTACTCGACAAGCTGGGCGTCCGACAGCGCCTCCATGTACGCCGACCACGTGCATGGCCCCAAATACTGCGACCCCGATTGTTGTGCGTGGGCAAGCCTGGCCCAAGTGGCCAGAGCAAACCCAACCTGCAACCTTCGCCAGGTCAAAAAGATTTGGCTAGCCATGCGTTGGAAGGCGAGGCGGATGGGTCACTTCTTTTTGTGAGTTTCCATATCCTCCATGTCGCTCCTTCCTTCCCTCCCTCCCCCGACCCCTTGTCACTCTTTCTTCTTGTGTAACTCCCTTGATGGGAGCATATTGTCTTTTTCTTTTCTTCTGTTTCCTTTGTTTTT